CTGAACTAGGAAGTATCTTCCAGAGAGAGGAGAGGGTGTTGGTCATTTTCTTCTGTTTTTTCTGGTTCTTTGAAGACTAGTCTGTCCCCCCCTTCATCACTTACAAATCAACTTGAGCTTTTGTATCACTCTGGTTAGAGTGTGGATATGGTTTTTGATAGAACATCTGTAGCATCTACATTTCTCTTCATCTATTTTCATCCAAACCAGTTCTCCTTTAATATGTTCCTTTCTTCAACCATGGTTGCATAATTTGTCTGGTTTTATAAAATAGTAACTGTTGTTTTCTGCTTTCATATGAATGCTATTACGAGCCTGAAAGGATAATCATCCGCATCTCTCTCCTTGAATGTGTTCCTTTCTTCTCAATAACGCAAGCTTGAATGCTGTCTCCTCAATTTCCATATTTGAAACCAAATCTTTTTGCCCATATCAAAATTCAAAGCATACGTTAAATCAGTGATCGAAGCCTGGAGCATAGAAGAATTTACATTTAAACTTCATCGTTACGGAAACACACAGATACAAAGTAGGGTAACAAGAACATGTGTAACCGGAAACAGGAAGATGTGGCTTAAAAACAAATTAAACTTTTTCAAATTTAGCTGGGAATATAATTTGAAATTTAATTCCTCCCAAAAATAAATTTGAAATTGAATAATGGAAAAGGAATAATATGTTTAAAAAATTATTTTTATTTTTTGCCACGAAAAAAGGAAAAAAAACAGAAGAGCTAGTTGATAAATTTGTAATAATCAATTTTATATGTCATGTGAGGCTCACGTGCACTCCCAAGGGGCGATCACATATAATTCCTACATAGTTATAACCTACATCACAGGCAAAGAATACACAGCGAGCCAGAATCTGATTGGTCCGTGACCCAAAGACCTCGATGAGTCGCTGACCAAGCCATTGATCGAAGCATAAGCAACAATAGAGAGCGAGCGAGCGAGCGAGAGATCGTTAGGACCCAACTCAACAACACGACTCGGCTCACTTACCTGGTCCAAGATGGAACTTGCACCACACGACCCGGGTTCTAAACTGCTCCGACCCGACGAACCAGAGCTCGACCTCTACACCATCCCAAGCCACTCTAGTAAGTTCCCTCCACCTTTCCCTCTTTTAAAACAAAACCCTAACCCTAGCTTTAATTCAAAACCCTAATTGCTCCTCACGTTGGAACAAGCTCGGAAAAAGGTTTCCTGGGTTCTCTTTAGATTTTATGAAGTTATTTGTTAATGTATATAGCAGAGGCCTAGGTCTGAGCTTTTTGTCTTTTATTTTCTCTCAGGCTGGTTTTCGTGGGATGAGATTCATGAAACTGAGAGAATTGCATTGAAAGAGTACTTTGATGGAAGCTCAATTTCAAGAACGCCAAAAACATACAAGGAATACAGGGACTTTATTATTAGTAAGTACAGAGAAGACCCTTCTAGGAAACTCACATTCACTGAGGTTAGAAAGTCACTTGTGGGTGATGTTAGTTTGCTCCACAAGGTCTTTAATTTCTTGGAGAAGTGGGGTTTGATTAATTTCAGTGCAAATTTGGGTGTCAACGGTGGTTTTGGCATTGAGGGTGAGGAGAGGTCTAAGGTTAAGGTTGAGGATGGGGTCCCCAATGGGATCCGTGTGGCTGCGATGCCGAATTCAATTAAACCAATTTCACCCATTTCAGCTCCCCCTAAAGTTGGGGATGCTGGGGGTGGAGTTGTGAATAGAATTACTTTGGCCCCATTGGCATCATATTCTGATGTTTTTGGTGATTTAAAGAAGGATGAGGGGTTGGTTTGTGGCAATTGTGGTGGACATTGTGAAACTGGGCACTACAAGTATAGCAAGGTATTTTCACTGGTTCTTCAATTTGTTCTGTAGTAAATTTTTTTGTCCTTAGTTTTCTGTACCAAAACTTAATTTAACTTCTGTATCTGTTTATCATATTTGGCAGGGTGATTTTCTAATTTGCATAAAATGTTTTGAAAATGGGAACTATGGGGAGAACAAATTGAGGGATGATTTCAAGTTAAATGAGGCAATTGAAAAGAGTGGTACTAACGGAGTGGAGTGGACTGAATCTGAAACTCTACTACTTTTAGAATCTGTTCTGAAGCATGGGGATGATTGGGAGCTTGTTGCTCAAAATGTTCAGACCAAGACTAAATTTGATTGTATTGCTAAGCTCATTGATCTGCCTTTTGGGGAGCTTGTGTTGGGTTCTGCCTACAGAAAAGGCAATCCTAGCGGCTTTAGTGGTAATTTGATCTCTTCAGAGCACATTCAGTTATCTTCATCTGAATGTCAAGAGACTGTCAAAACCAAGGGTCAGCTGCATGAGCAGACAGATGACAGCAAGCAGAATGGAGATATTTTGGATCAAGGACCTCCTTTGAAAAGGCAGCGCAGTGCTTCCCTTTCGGATGCTAGTAGTTCACTGATTAAACAGGTACGTACTTTACTGGCCCGATTTATAAAGATTTAACTTCTTGGTGAGCTATATTTTCGGACATCAGTTCTTGTTCAATTCTATTTTTATGATACCAATAAAATTACTAAACTGGTTATTAGGGGTCCAGTTTAGTTTGCCAATGCCTTGACATATCATGGCTGAAAACACTATGCATGCACGTATGAATGAAGAAAGAAAAATGTTAAGAGGTTGATTTCATTATTTGTTTCTTTTACTTTACAAATATGCTTTTATACTATCATATGTCAACTGTGGTCTTTAGTTCTGTTTCTTTTCTTTTCCCGTCATCTTAATATGCATAACAAAATACTAAGGTTGTTTCCATTAGGTAGCTGCTCTAACAACCATGGTTGGTCCGCATATTACATCTGCCGCAGCTGAGGCTGCTGTTAATGCACTCTGTGAAGAAACCTCTTGTTCAAGGGAGATATTTAATGCTGACGACAATTCTATTCCTAATGGCTTGTGGTCTCCCGCTAATAATTGTGAGACAGAGAGGTTATTTATCCAACTGATTCCAACTGATGCTCCATATATACTTTTATTTGTTATTGTATTTTGTTGATGTTAAAGTTCTTGAACTTCTTATTTCTTATCAATTTCAGAGTTCATGGTGAGGATTCAGAATTGAAGGAAAGGCCAACTCAATCAGGTATTTGAAGCAAAGCCAATTATATGACATGATTTGTACAGTGTGCTACAACCAACTTGGAATACAGGAATAAGGGAGAAGTTTTTACTGTAAATAGTTATATATATTTGGCCTAATTTAAGTTAGTGTTTGGTGATTGTTGTTGGTTTCCATTACACTTTTCTAATATTTGTTTAGTCGCTGTGTTATTTTGCTGGCAATCTAGTTATTGCATCATTTCAGTCCTAACCGTCTCTATTTGAATTTCTATATTTTCCAGAGAGTCGGCATGCAATATTTAAAACAGACGACATACCTCCAACTTTGCAAATTAGAGCTGCTATTGGAACAGCTCTTGGAGCAGCTGCTGCTCACTCAAAATTATTGGCCGATCAGGAGGATAGACAGATTGAACATCTAATGGCAACCATAATTGGGACGCAGGTATATATCGTAGTTTTATATTATTTTAGTTTGGTTCCCCTCGTTTGTCTCTGTGTTTTTGGCCCTTTTTGCGTGAGGGAGTTGATAGCCATGTGCTTTTCCCATTTGTTGCAAGACTTGCTTGCTGCATATGATCTTAATCCTTCCTCTTGTTTTTGGCATGAATATTTATGTAGATGAAGAAGTTGCACAGCAAACTCAAGCATTTTGAAGATCTGGAGCTGATCAGGAAGAAGGAATGTGCTCAAATCGAAGAAGTAGAGGATATTCTAGTTGAAGAGCGGATTAATATCTTACAGAGGACATTTGATTCTGGTGTACCTAGATGGAGGGATCATCCTTCTTTAAAATCTTGAAATGTTTGTTGTATCTTTAGATGTAGAGTAGAGTAGAAACATAGACGACGAGAGCAGTGATGTGTCTTCTTAGTAAAGGCTGTTCAATTCTTTAGGTGTTTACTGCTTGGATTTATAATTCTTGCTGATTGGGGTGGGAGGCGGGGCGCGGTGGTTTGGGTGGGTTAGCAAATAGGGTTGACGAACAGAAACTTTGTACAATTAGGATCCCATCATTTCTTCAAATGCTAACATTCCAAGATTCAATGCAATTATGCAATTCCTTATTATGTTCTTCTTCACTGTTGATCAGGTGTTATATATGATATTTACATCTTCATGTTCTGCAATGTTGTGATTTTATAGCTCATACAAATGGTGATAAGATTTGTGATTGGATTGACAATGCGCCAAATGGCCAACTAAACACAAACTGAAATAATGTGCAACATAAATTAAAAATTTGTTGCAATGTGTCACCTATAGTTTAATTTTGTTTACGTCTTCGTTCTAAAAATTGCACATGATTCGCATGCGACCTTGTTGAAGGGTCAAAATATCAATACTTTTTTTTAAAGGATCACGTGCAATGTACATGCAATATTTTGAGTAGGAAAAAAAAGGGATAAATTTCACTTCACTACCCGAAAGTTTCCTGAAATTCAGACTTCGCTATACGAAGTTTTTTCCGTCTAAATCTCTTGCCTAAACTTTGATTTTACTCCCACTTTCATACATTTATTAGTTTGACTGTCAAGTTTTCTGTTAAACGACGACGTGACATTCATATCTCCACGTTGATCACTGCATCTGCGTCACGTGGACCAATAAATAATAAAAAAGTTGTATTATTTTATAAAAAATTAAAATTAATAAAGTTAAAATTTTAAAATCAAATGTATAAAAAAACTTCGTGTAGCAAGTTTGAATTTCATAAAACTTAAGTGAAATTTACCCAAAAAAGAAAGAAGATAAAGTTGGAATGGGCCGGTTAGCTAAGCGCGGCCCAATTTATACCTTTACCGCCCAAAAAACTGAAAAGTTCAAACTCACTTCCTGCAAAACAAACCGTCGTCTCTAAAAACCCCTCCAAAATCCCCAAAATTTTCTGCGACCAAATATGCTCAGAAGACGTCTCAGGCTCAGCTACTCTTCCGACGAAGAAGAACAACCAGAACCACAACAACACCAGAATGAAGAACCTCAGCCGCAATCGTCAGCTGTCACTCACCCACCCGTTACCCTAGCCCCTCCAAACCCTTACCCCTCCGAACCGCTCCCAATCACCTCCTCCTCCGACGAGTTCATCGATGTCTCCGACAACCTCTCGTCGCCGTCACCTCAGCCGTCTCCGGAACCCGAGAGCGACAATCGACCACATCCTCCTCCGCCGGCTCAGGATCCGGCACCGGAACCCATTAACCGGCCGCCTCCACCTCCATCTCCATCTCCACCGAGCTCCGGCGGGTTTCCGATTAGTGAACATCTCCAGGGGTTAGGGTTAAGGCTAAAGAGGGAGTGGCTCGATGCTTGTGTCCATGGACTTCAGCAATCCGTACCGGGATTTCAAAATTTTGATGTGGAGACGAAGGCGAAGCTCTGCTTCGAGCAGTTTTTGGTTTCGGATATGAATCTGTCCGGCGGAGGCGTGCTTCCAGAAAATGTGGCTTCTCTCCATCTCGTCGATCTTCCCGGACCTTATGTATTGCAGGTCAAGCTTGAACCTTTTGCTGCGAATTAACAGAACAATGTGAACTTGAAATGTCATTTGGCAATGACAATATATACAGGCGAACCTTTATTTTATTTTATTTTTGTTGCAGGTTGATGAGATTGTTAATATCAGCAATCCTCTCAAGATTAGGTATCAGAAAGCCGCTGTTGGACTGAAGAGGTGTCTCAAGTTGTCCATAACAGACGGTGTTCAACGCGTCTTTGCCATGGAATATAGGCCTATTCAGGCGCTTGAAGCTTTGGCTCCTGCTGGTTTGAAGGTTTATTTTTCTCTGGCTATCTTCGTTACTGAAAATGGTTTCACTTCATGGGGTTATTCCATTTATTTTTGTTCCAATGTTTGACAGTTTTTTTGGTGTCAAGAAAGACAAATTGTACTGGTAGATTAAACCCTTTAAGGCTTATCTGCTCTTCTGACTCAAACACAGATTATCCTATTAACCTCTAGGTTGCTATGTGTAATGTGCATATACGCCACGGACTTCTTATGCTGGTCCCTGAATCTGTTGAAGTTCTAGGAGGATTAGTTGAGGAACTGGATGCTGCACGTCAACGCCTTGTTGATGAAGTAAATAAGCCACCTAGAGGAAAAAGGTAACTATAAAGTGTATAAGATATGTTAGTGGTGTTAAAGGTTTACAACTTACTAGTGTTCATGTCAAACCATAAATTGTCAAACAAAAAGTATAACTTATTCCATGACTAGATAACACTTCTACTTCTAAAAGCTCTTGCAATGTAGAAGTTTATAGTGTTATTGGATAAACAGGTTTGAAGTTAACTTGGTCCATGATATTGGATTACAGACTGCATGCTTGGTTCAAAAGTACTCATGTTGGCGGACTGCAAGATGAATTGTTTTCTTTGGTGAGGAATAACTTACATCAAGATGTGTGACTGTTTGGAACTGTTCTGGAAACTGGAAAAAAAAAAAAAAAAAAAAAAAAAAAAAAAAAAAAAAAAAAATTATGTTGTTGGATTTATGTGCATGAAATTTTTGCTCAAGCTCAAACATGCTGATCAATCTTGATTTTTTCCCCCCCCTCCCTTTTTCTTTGGGCTCAAAATTTCTTGAAGTAAGGGAATGCTGGACTACAACTGATCACTTCATTACATTTATTACAATTTGCACACTTGCACAAAGTATACCAGGCGGATGAGCTTGATACTTTTGTGTTATTGTTATGCAGAACCAGGAATGGAGTGGTTCCTCCTCTAGCTACAAGGTTAACTCTTGCTGCATGGCCTCCTAACGGTGTTCATGATGCTGGACACACCAATAGTTCAACAATGGAAGCCCCAACCCCATTTCAGGCGTCTAACCAAGGTATATAGAGGGCTCCATTTACTTGTTTGTTGTTGGCACTAGATGGCTTTTTAGAGCATAAGCAGCTCATGTCTAGTTTCTTGGAATTTCTTGTCTCTGTATAATGTAGAATTAGGGTGACTCCATATGTATGTGTCGGAGATAGTCATATAAGATAGCAGCTCTAGTTAGTTCCTGTCGTTACATTACGTTTTTCCATTATGTTCTAAGTTAGTTCTGTCGCATCCTTTCTTGAATTGTAGGTGCTACATTCTCTGTATCAGCCAGAAATACCAGCTCTGTATCATCTAGAAACACCAGCTCTGTATCATCTAGAAACACCAGCCCAGTGACTGCCGAAGAATCTACTGTTCCTCTCAGTGGAGAACACTCTGTTGTTAACCCATCATCTACTGATGTATTTGGTGTTGAAGATATGCCTATGGATACTACTCCCTATAGCAGAAGAAATGCTATTCCCAACCCATTATCTGATGATTTTGGTGTTGAGAATCTCCACATAAATAGTGCTGGTCATAGCAGGGAAAGTCGAGTACCTGAAAATGTCATTCCTAATCCATCCTTTGAGGATGCTTTGGATGTTGAAGATGTCGAAATGGATGCCATTCATATTGGGGGAGAAAACCATACCTCAGATTCTATTTTGAATGATGAAGATATCAATATGATTAACGAGGGCGAAACTCATGGGGGTTACCCATCGTCTGATGCTATTTTGAATGATGAGGATATCAATGTGGTTAATGAGGTCGAGCGCCAAGAAATACTATCTGGAGACCACGAACCACCTTTCAGTTACCTATGTAGTTTGTCAGCCAAGTTAGCTATGATGAAGAACACTCATTCAATCCAGGGGAAGGTTAAGGTGCGTATGGTTTTCTATTATTTTTATTTCCATCAGATGATAGATTTATAGTTACTTTATTACTGAAATGTAGACATAATTTCTGCAGTGTGTTCTGACTGGTGTGAAGAAGTTCCAATACACACATACATATGAGCTTCAGGCGTATGTTGATGACGGCACTCTCATTAAAGAAATTCTCGTTGATCACAATGTAAGTTAGAGCTTTTGTGGGGTGTCATCCATGATGACCAATACTTGTTGAAGTTCGATATGTTGATTAGCTGTTTGTGCTCTTCAGGTTGTACAGGAGGGGATTGGTCATTCTCCTGAGGAGGTCAAAGCTGCCATTTCTTCTCCAGACAAAACAATAGTTCGTAACATGAAGGAGAAAATGAAGCAGTTTCAAAAATTCTTAACAAATTTTGAGGTAATATACTTACCAAGTACCAAGTCAATTTTCAGTTTTTGACCTTATTCACAATCGTTTCATCAGTTCTTCTATCTCGTCATCATATTGGAGTTTTATGTTTCAGGGCATAATGCTTATAGAGATGAGATTGCATGATCTTCCAATTGCCCTTGAGATGAAGCAGGGTTGTACTCAATCTGATGCGTGGTTGCTTTTGAGGAGAATAAAGGCCTCCCCTCCAGCTCGAGCATCTGGGCATGCCTCCTCTGCAGCTCGGACATCACAGTATCCTTCCTCTCCAGCTCGGACTTCACAACATCTCTCCTCCCACCCCATTGATATATCCCCCTGATAATCTAGCTTATAGTTCTGGTGTTGCTATTGCTTATAATGGAAATGCAATTGGCGTGTGGTTCCATGGTTAATGCTGCATCGTGGAAAAGATCCGGATTTGGATGAAGCTCTTGCTTGCAAAAATGGCTGCTGTGGCGGCCGCAGAAAGAGGTTCCGAAAATGTCTTATGTGAAGCCGGATTTTCTGAACGTTATCTCAGCTATTTCATTGGAGAACACAAGTGTTAAAAGATGAGGAAGATAACAAGAAAATTATTGTAGGTAATTGGATATATATTTCTTAAGTTTTGTGCCCAAAATACCCTTTTATTTGGGGTCAATTTTTACTTGTCTAATAAGCTGTATCGACACCTCACCGGGACTACGTGTTGCTTCCTTTTTCATGCAACGCTGCTACGTTGCAAAATTCTGTTGACCCTTCCAAGTATATATGTATATAGAGATTAATCAGAACAAACAGCACTTCAATTCCTCTGTATTTTTTTTTAAAATTTCTGTATGCAAATTAATTAAAGAAGCCATGGATGATATCATTAACAAGGTACTCAACATTATAATTCCTCCCATATCCCTCACCTTCTTCCTCTTCCTTCTGCCGCCCTATCTCTTTCACAAGTTCCTCCTCTCCGCCGTACGATCTGTTTTTAGTGAGGATGTGGCTGGAAAAGTCGTCCTCATCACTGGAGCTTCCTCTGGCATAGGAGAGGTACATATATTTTGGACCACCAACCTAGCACTATTAAATGCAACATGAAATTTTCATAATTATTTCCCAAATTCCCAATTTAATGAGGTACTTACTTTTACAATTATGTTTGTGTTAATTTGATGGGGGTTTTGAAGCATATGGCATATGAGTATGCTAGAAGAGGAGCTTGCCTAGCTCTTGTTGACAGAAGAGAAAACCTGCTCCAATCTGTGGCTAGCAGAGCCATGTCCATTGGCTCCCCAGATGTTCTCGTAATCCCTGCAGATGTTTCAAAGGTGGAAAATTGTAGGCGCTTTGTCGATGTAGCAGTGAACCACTTTGGGCGTTGTAAGTGCAATTAATTAATTAACTAATTAGTTTTCTCAGTTTAATTATGTTATTCGTACAATTATTCTCTCGTCCAGATGTCCACACGTTACTACCGGGCGTAAGAGAATTTCTGGTTATTCGTATGTTTATTTATGTGGATTAATTCTTGACAATTAATTACAGTGGATCACCTAGTCAACAACGCTGGGATTACTCCAGTCTGCTTGTTTGAAGAGACCACTGATGTCACTAAAATAGCACCAGCTATGGTAATTTGTAAATACAATTATAATGCCTTCATTGTTTATATATGTATAGTTTAGTGAATTCATGATATTAAGCTGGAAATTATTTATGTTTGTGATTGAAATTAGTGCATGCTCCACTTTGTTTGACAGGACACAACTTTTGGGGTTCAGTATATGGCACCTACTTTGCCATTCCACACCTTAAAAGGAGCAGAGGGAAGATTGTGGGGATTGCTTCCTCTGCCGGATGGTTGCGGGTTCCACGACTAAGCTTGTATGGTGTAAGTAAAGGAACCAATTAACCTCATGAACAAGCTAATTCAGTACTCAAATCTCTAATTAGTTCTCTAATTTCACATTGGGTTCAGGCTACCAAATCAGCAGTGATAAGCTTCTATGAGACGCTGAGAGTTGAAATTGGGAGAGAAGTTGGAATAACAATTGTGACTCCAGGTTTGGTTGAATCAGAAATGACCAAAGGCAAATTCTTATCCGAGGAAGGCCAACTGGTATTGGATCAAGAATTGAGAGATGTAAGCTTAATTAATTATTTTGGTTATTGTGTGATTATAGAGTTCAATGGTATTAATTTCTGTGCTCAATTTCGAACACCCCATGTTAGGTTGAAGTAAGCATAATGCCAATACTGCCTGTCAAGGAGGCTGCCAAATCAATCGTGGACAGCGCATGCCGGGGAGAAATTACTTGACAGTACCAGCTTGGGTTTGGCACTCATTTTACTGGAAGGTGTTTTTCCCAGAGTTACTGGAATGGTCTAACCGTACGTTACTGATGAGCAAAGGGAGCGGTGGCGAGAGGGATACAATAAGTAAGAAGCTCCTGGACCTAACCGGCTTGAAGGAGTGTCTGTATCCGGAGTCGGTTCGATAGATATCCTAAGCTTAAACAACAATGATGATTGAGGAACCTTTTCCAGATAAGCAAATGTAGTTGCTATTTAATGTCATTCTCAGCACATAAATAAATTACAGTTTCTATCTATCTCATCAGAAGATAAAAGGATGTACCAAACATACTCAATCCAGAAGACAACAACACACTAAATCTAGAAGACAACAGTATCAAGCATTGCTCCAAAAGTCTGGCCTATGTTTGAGGACATCAAGTTGGAGACAAGTTGCTCAAGGTGTTTCTTGGCATCTTTCCTTCCCACCTTAGCAATTGCAAGCTTCTCTGGTTCATCTTCCTCCTCGTATTCCTCCTGCACTGCGGTGATGTATTGCATAGCCAAGGTTTACATTTCCTGCAAAACCCGAATGAAAAAAAAAAGAAAATACCATGAACACTAGACCTCAATTCAAATCAGCTCACACTTTAAACTATGCTGACAAAATTCCAACACTTATTTCTTCTGTCAAACAGGTTTTCATTTTGTCACGAACTTTTAACCAGGTAAACAACATTGAGACGAAGATCTAGTGGTTTTTCTAAAACTAAAATCATAGTATTTCTGGACAGTGACAGGCCAAGCCATTACATTAAACTAAAATCATTGAGACTTTCTTACCTGAATAGTTTGCTCATTTGTTTTTGAATGGGCATCAAATGGCTTGAGCATCAGCCCATCAGTCAATTTCTTCTTCTGACGAAGGCTAAGCAGCATTTTCTCCTCAAGTTCATTCCTACTGAAATCCACAGCTATGGAGTAATAATGCCTGTTCAACCCATGGATCAATCCCTGAAGAGAAAATTTACAGAAAGAGGTCAAAAATTTGTCATTATAATTTGCAAAAGAAAGGGATTTACAATTTAAACTTGTTCAGAAGCTCACTTGGATGGATGGCTTATTAAGATGCCCCAGATTGGATGTTGTCTGCCTTGGTTCTTGGCCAAGCATTATGGTTTGTGGGTTGATGAGGCGGAAGGCATCCATCACCACTTTCCCCTTCACGCTCTGAATTGGATCCACCACCACCGCCACCGCACGCGGATGCAAAGCTTCAAAGCTCTGGAGAAGATTTACAGGCATAGATAAGAACCAACTAACAATTAACCAGTAGCCATTGAATCAAACCAATTGAGAACAGTCAAAAGAATATAATCTCTATCAACCATATGGAATTTTCTAACACAACATTCATATACTCATAGAAAAATTGTATAAAGCTAGAACCTGTTGGGTGTTCATATCCACAGAAGATAACCAGCAGCCAAACCCAGGATGTGAATGGTACCACCCTACAACCTGCTCTGCCCTGCAGTTTGAATCAGAAGAAGATTAAGCTAATTATAAGGAGGCAGAAGCGTAATTAAGCTAGATAATCTAAGTGACACTGAGATTAGTACCGTCCAGGCTGCTTAAGCATGTCGAGCATCTTCGTCTGGAAGGCGTCATCAATGGCTTCCACACTTACGGCGGTACCACTCTGCGGCATTTCAATGGTGTCGACGACGTCGATTCTGTACTCGTCGGGAAACTCTCCGAGCAACAACCCCATCACCTTCATAGGAACGCCCGCTCTTGCTATCAAATTTCATACAATTAACGAAAGATTAAAAACAATTCATTTGCATAAAATTTATAATTAAAAAAAAGAGAAGAAGAAGAAGAAGAAGAAGAAGAAGGAGATGGAAGAAGCAAACGCACCATGCTCTTGCTACCATATACATTTGATTGTTATATCTTTTTCAGCATTGTAGAACTTACTGCACCAAGAGAATTGTCACTACCAAGGTAAGAAAAACCAACGAACGCATGGATCCATAAAGAACCTTATATCATATAAAATTTAATATATTGGTAGTACTTGATTTTGATATGTTGTTTATGATGTGTTTTCAGTTCGGCAGTTGAGGAATCTGCCACTGTAAATGAAGGTCATAGATCAAGTAGAGAATGGCCAAAAATAGGAGGGAGCATTTTTAATCAAGTTCGGTCATTTCTTCCACAGTGGAAGAGTGCGTTTTTGGCATCATGTGTATTCTTTTATATTCCTATCGTCAACAAGGATACGAAGTGCATCGGGTTGGACAACAATTTGAAGGAAGCGGTTATTTCACTACGATCGACAATGGATCTATTTTATGTAGTGAACATTGTTATTCAAATTTATATCGAACCTAAAGTTCCAACATTTAGGGTCATGGGGAGATCAGATCTTCATACCATAGTTTTGCCAATGGCTAACAGGATTTGGAGGATCTCATCACATATCTTAATTGACATTTTAACGGTTCTTCCCATTCCACAGGTATAAGAAAATTGGTTTACCAATCTCTCTTTTAAAAGTATTTGAAATTCGGATATGTGAATATAAGCTAAATTAATTGTTGGCTTAATACTGTGTCCAGGCAGCGATCCTTATCTTCATGGACTCTAGTTCTTTGAATACGAGGAAGTTTTTGGCTTTTCTTGCTCTGTTGCAATATGTATCACGAGTTCTTCGTATCTACTTATTGTGTACCAAACTCAACAAGACTCCTGCTAGAGAGACTGAGACATGGATTTTATTTCAAGGCGCTTTCAGTTTATTTTGTACATCCTTGCTAGTCATGTAAGTTTCAATCTTCATGTAGCAATTTATCTCAAGCGATGCTCCATTTAGTTTCCAAGTTTTGGTTGGATTTCTTGGCTGGAAACCTCGGAGGTGTCCGGCGTCGGGAAATCGGAAGGTGGGTGGCCGGCGAGCATAATCCTTCTCTCCATTCTCTCTCTCTGTTTCTTTTCTTTCTGAACAAGTTAGAAAAACCTGAAAAACTCAGTGAGATGTGAGAGAGAGGAGGGCGGGGTTTATATAGCGTAATAAAAACACTTTTACTTTTCTGATCTGACTAGGATAGATTTTTTACTTTCCTGATCCCTGGGTAAGTCTTCGGGTTTATTTGTTCCATTTGGGCTTCATGGGCTTTTTATTTTTGGGCTTAATGTTATTAATTTTACCAATTATGGGAAAACTTTATTGGCACCCAAATGTTTTCTTTAGGGACCCAACATAGCTTTAAATTCCAACTCTCTTTAAAAGATTTTTATTTTATTTTAATACAAGGCAAAACTAAAAAAAATAATTTATTGGATCCTCGTTCAAAAGGGATACGAGTAGTGGGATCCAGATCCTCTACTCTGATTTTCTCTACATGATCCATGAGTAGTGTGACAGAAGTTAGTACAATATTACATTGTAACAGAAATTAATTAATGTTTCTCCTACTTAATCATCTTTAATTGAAGTTCCTGCTGGGTTCGTCTTCGTTGCCATTAGCTGTAAAAGCTTCTCAAGTAGCTCAGGGCAGAAAACCCTCAACCAGAATCCGAACTTGACCCAAGCTGGCTCTGTCAGGTACATGTCTCCACGGCAAGCACTGTCCACAATTGCCTTTGTGCACCCGTCTCATAACACATACATCGTCATACACAACGCAATCATGAAATGTAGCTTCAAATTCAGTTCAGATCGAAACATCAAACGAAACCACGTTTAATAAGGGTCTAGCTTTTAAAATCATAGTGCCAAAAAGGGGTGTGACAATGACATCTAATTGACTTATATATATGCTCAATAATTGTAAACAAAATGAATGTGACTCGTGTGGGAAAACATTTATGTTCATAAGCGCTTCTCACAAAAGCGCTTTTATTATAAAAATTAAGAAATCCAAGCGCTTCTACGGCCTAGAACCACTTTTAACATTTTCTACCAAACGCTATCAGAAGCGCTTTGGTTGTCAGAAAACGCTTTTAGCTCTCCCAAAAGCACTTCCAAAGAGTTGTCAACCAGAATTCTAGCCAAATTCAAATGTAAATTTGGAGGGTATATTTAATTAATGGAAGAGTCCCACATGATTTGATTACCTGTGATAAAAATTGGCTGCTTCCTGTCATCTCAGACTCAATCAATCCTGGGCTCACAATTGTTATCCCAATATCAGATCCCAGTTCAGCCCTCAATGTCTCAAAGAAGCAAATCAGGGCTGCCTTGCTTGCCTGAATTAGCCACCAAATTAATAACCAATTAGCAAAACATAATTAACATTAACAAGGGTGTTAGATAAAGCAAACTATATACTATAGAGTCATATATATATATAATTTCTTACATTGTAGAAACCAAATTTTGGTGTAGAAAACCATGTTGAACTTGAAGAAATTACAACAATCTTCCCTTTGCTTTTTCTCAAGTGTGGAAGTGAGAAATGGGTGCAATAGACTGAACCCCAGAAATTTATGTCCTACACATCAAAGTCATACATGAATTAGCTGACAGCCCTCTAAACTTGAAGCTTAATTATAAGGCTAAGTGGGTTGATTAACACCTTTATGATCACAAATTTCAACAGAACAACAAATCATTTCCATGCATTTAAGTAGAAAATAATACCATGATCGAAACCAACTTAGAGAATTGGCCTTGTGTCCAATCTTCAAACGAGCCAACTTGCAGAACCCCGGCGTTGTTCACCAAATGATCCACTGTTTTTGCACATAAAAAAACAAAAACCATGCATCAATTAATTAGCAGCTTTGATATTCATTTTGATTTTGATAATTTTAAAAGCCAAAAAGCATAATTCGTTTTGTGAGAAACTACTCACATTGGCCAAAGTGATTGACGGTTTCATTAACTAGTCGATTGCAGTGTTCAAGAATTGAAACATCAGCTGGGAGCACAATGGCATCTGGAGAGCCTAGCCCTCGAGCTTTATCGGCCACCCCCTGAAGGCGGTCCTCTCGTCTGGCTGCCAACGCCAGACGAGCTCCTCTTTTGCATACTCATATGCCAAGTGCTTCAAATTAAGAAGGAAAACATTGGATAAGATAAAAAAAAAGGTACAAAATAATAATATATATGTAGATGTGTGTATGAGATTAATTTGTTACCTCTCCAATACCTGAAGATGCTCCGGTGATGAGGACAACTTTGCCGGCCATGTTTTCGATGGATTTTGATCGACGCATGAAACCAATAAACTTGTAAATCAGAAAAAGTGGAAGAAAGAAAAGCAATCCAGTGAATGTTAGTAGAGGGACTGCTACGTTCAACACTTTGTGAATCAAATCCATAGCTGCCTAGCTTCTTCTCTCTAGCGACTTCGCAAGTATATATTTAGTCTCAATCACAGAGAGAGAGAGAGAGAGAGAGAGAGATGAGAGGGATCTTGTTGAAGATTGCCATTATCTTGAGGGTATGAGGTTAACGATATTGGCATATGCGCATCCAGCGCCACATATTTCCGTACAGTTAATGGAAAATGTTAATATATTTACTAATTACTCGTTAAGAACAATTATATCACAATTACAAAAGTGTTCCTTCTAAATCACAAGGAGTTAGTTGGGTTGGTAATAGCAGTACTGAACCATGTTCGATTCTCAATCAATTTTCAATAGTTAATGAAGTTTGACTATAATATAAAAAATACTCATGAAAAGACTCTCCTCGATCATAATACCGACAGATTGGTTGAGAAATGTTATCTTCAATTTTTTTGTTTTCTTTCCTTCCATCTATTTTCACTTAATTGGTGAGCGAGTGTTTTGTCCTTTTTCCTTTTCTTGGCCTTAGACAACATAGTTGGCATCGCCAAATCTCATATTCAAAATAAGTGAAGCTCCACAGTTGAGCTGGTTGCTCTATGACTGTCGCATGGATTGCCAACAGTTAGGCTTTGCCAATAGTCCCCATGTACATCAGTTTGTGTTAACGCAGCTTTCCTTTCTTAGCTTACATGGAAGTCAACTTCACAATCTCCTCCTAACAATTAGCCTTTCCTGCTGTAAATAGGATTGTATTCATGTCTATATTAATTCCTACCTTAAGTAGGTATTCTGTACTAGTATAAATAGGGACTTTGTGTAATCTATTAAATACAAGGAAATATATTTTCTACATGGTATCAGCCTAACCTAGGGTTTTCTCCCTCTCCCTTATTCGATCCTCTTCCCGCTCCCTTATTCGATCCTCTTCTCCTTTAGGTCCACCTCATGGCTTCTTCTGAATCTATCATCTCCCTCCCAAGCCCCAACTCTTCTCATTTTATCAAGCTTACTGACTCCAACTATCTTCTTTGGCTTCGCCAACTCAAACCCTTTTTAGTCGATCATGACCTCTGGAAATTTATCGATGGCACTCATAAACAACCTTTTGCCCACACATCTACCTCTAACACCGAAACCACCACCACCACTCTTACCCAACCCAATCCCGCTCATGCTCAGTGGTACCAACAAGACCCACTCATTGTTAGCTACATCACCAGTACACTCTCTGAGCCCATTCTCTCTCTCACTGTGGGTTGCACCTTTGCCCGGGATCTCTGGGAGTGTCTCCAACGCCACTTATCTAAATCCAGTATGGCCAGTGAATCTACTCTTCGTTTTCAACTCATGGATTTGCAAAAAGGCTCTCAACCCATTGATGCTTACCTTCGTCATGCTAAGCCCATTGCCAATTCACTGGCTGCCATCAATGAACTTGTCTCTCCAAAAGAACTTGTCACTGCTGTGCTTCGGGGTTTAGGACCCGATTACAAAATGCTCGTCACTGCAATTCTCAATTTTCCTTCGCTTCCTGACTTTGCTGATCTTCGTGCTCGTTTGTTAGCTTTTGACGCATAGGCTCCTCGCATCTCTTCTGCTCAAAACACAGCGCTCATGGCCACCCAATCCTCTCCTCACACCGCCGGTCATATTTCCTTCCCTTCTAACTGTGGTGGTGGCTCTTCCATCAACAGGCGTGGTGGCTGGCGTGGTGGCTGGCGCAACTTCTCATCTTCCTGGAGCAACCCGTGGAATGGTTTCTAGTAGCCCTAATGGCCTACTCAACCGTGGCTTCCTTCTTCTCCACGTTCTAGATCTCAAAGTCACTGGTATTCCTTTTAGCCTCCTTGGGCCCAATCTGCCACTTCTAGCCAACAGTCTGTTCGACCCAACTTAGCTCCTGGTGTCTTAGGACCTGCTTGGTGCACCACCTGCAATACCAATCAACATACTACTTCAACATGTCTCCATTGCTACAATGGCCTAGAATCTTTTCCATCCTTTGCTAGGGCTCAATTTATGCAGCCACCTGACTCTACCTGGTACCCTGACACAGGAGCCATTCATCACATGACTGGTAGTTCTTCTAATCTCCAAAATCAACAGCCATATCAGGGTAATAATTCTGTATTTCTTGGTAATGGAGATTCTCTCTCTCTATATCTCATACTGGCTCTCTTCCTCTTCCTTTAGGTTCTTACCAATTTTCTCTTCAAAATGTCTTTTGTCTATTCGTACTAATCTTCTTTCTGTTGCCTGTTTTACTCGTGATAATTTAGTTTTCTTTGTCTTTACTCCTGACTTTTATCAAATCTATGACTTACGCACTGGTTTGTTACTCTTTCAGGGCCCCTCTAAAGACGGTCTTTACCCACTTTCCCTCTCCTCTCACTCATCCACCGTCCCTCGTGCCTTTACCGTCATGCACTCTCCTGCTTGGCATCGTCGCCTTGGTCATTCATCCCATCCTATGCTCTCTCATCTAGCGCCATCTTTAGGCTTTAAATTTTCAAATGCCTTCTGTAAGGATTGTGCACTTAGCAAATCCACCAAACTGTCATTTCTTAGTAATACAACCTTTGCCCCATCTCCCTTTTATTTAATTCACTCTGATGTATGGATGTCCCCCGTCATATCCGTCACTAGTTATCGCTATTATGTCTTGTTTACATATGATTTTTTCTCGTTACTCCTAGATCTATCCTATGCACCGTAAAAATGAGGTCTTTTCTCACTTTCAAACCTTTCTTGCAATGGTTAAAAATCAATTTCACACCACTATACAAATCCTTCAAAGTGACAATGGCACTGAATATGTTAATAATGCTTTCTCTGATCTTTGCAGTCAACTAGGCATCCACCAACATTTCTCATGTCCCCACACTCCCCAACAAAATGGCCTAGTTGAACGTAAACACAGACATATTGCCACCATGATACGTACCCTCCTTACCACTTCTCACACTCCCCACAATCTCTGGGTTGAAGCCGCCCTCACTGCTGTCCATCTCATCAACCTCCTACCCACTCCTAATCTTTAATGGGACACTTCATACAATCATCTCTTCAAACATCCTCCCTCATACTTTCATATTTGAGTGTTTGGGTGTTCTTGTTTTCCTTACCTAGGACCCTATACTGAAAATAAACTCACCAACCGCACCCTTGAATGTGTTTTCCTTGGATACAGCTCTCACCACAAAGGTTACCGTTGTTTACATCCATCTACGGTTCATGTTTACACGTCCCGTCATGTTTTATTTAACGAAATGCATTTTCCATTTGAGCATTTGCAGGTATCATCTTCTTCTGAGTATGTGGATATTGAATTCCACCCAATTCTGCCCTCCTCCACACCTGTGCCCATATCAATTACTCATGTTGCAGACTCAGACTCAGAATCACAACCTCACGGCACCTCCCTAGTGCGCACCTTTCCAACTGTTGCCGTCTCAAGCCATAACATTGCCGCAACCCTAGGTCCACTCACCGTCACTTCTTCGACTTTGTCCCAGCCCTTGCCCCCGTTCCAGCAGCTCCGACCTCCTTGGTTCCAGCAGCTTCGAACCCAACAGTTCTGGCAGCTCCGAGCCCCATGGTTCCAGCAGCTCCGAACCCCTAAGTTCCAGCAGGTCTGATCTCCTTGGTTCCAGCAGCTCCAAACCCAACAGCTCCAGCAGCTCCGAGCCCCATGGTTACAGCAGCTTCGAACCCCCAAGTTCCAGCAACTTCTTAATCTTCTGTCCCTGTTCCCCGCATGCGCACCCGCCTTCAGGATGGCATTCACAAGCCTAAGCTTCATACTGACGGCACTGTCAAATATCCCCTTCCCCGTGCCTTATTAACTGTTGTTGAGCATACTGAACCTACTTGTTTTTCATAGGCCACTAAGCATACTGAATGGCGGGACGCTATGACTGAAGAGATCAATGCACTCCTCAAAAATCATACATGGACTTTGGTTCCTTCCTCTCCGTCTCAGAACTTGGTTGGCTGCAAGTAGGTTTTTTGGATCAAACGTCACTCTGATGGCTCCATTGAACGCTACAAAGCTCGTCTAGTTGCCAAGGGTTTTCACTAACGTCTGGGCATAGACTATGTTGAAACCTTCAGTCCTGTTGTCAAGCCTGCCACCATTCGCACTGTTCTCAGCCTTTCAGTTTCTCGTGGTTGGTCCCTTCGTCAACTTGACGTCAAAAATGCCTTTCTTCAAGAGGATGTCTACATGGCTCAACCCCTTGGTTTTATTGATCCCACTCGTCCTTCTTATGTTTGCAAGCTCCATAAAGCACTATATGGCCTAAAACAAGCACCTCGTGCTTGGTTCCATCGCATCAGTACTTTCCTTCTCTCGGTGGGCTTTACAAGGAGCCAAGCTGACACTTCATTATTTATTTTTCAACAGGAGTCTTGTACCATATTTCTCCTTCTATATGTCGACGACATTGTGGTCACTGGCAGTGATTCCACTCACCTCCAGCAATTCACCTCTCTTTTGGGTGACCATTTTGACATCAAAGACCTTGGTCCACTAAGCTATTTCTTGGTTTTACAGGTTCTTCATAAAGATGGTATTCTCCACATCAATCAACTCAAATATGCACATGATCTTTTACAGAAAGCCAATCTTCTCAACTCCAAACCCGCATATACTCCATTGGCTGCCAAGGTTCTCTTCTCTGTCTCTGATGGTGCTCTCATCTCCAACCCAACAGAGTATCGCGAGCTTGTTGGCAATTTACAGTATCTCACTCTTACTTGCCCTGACATATCTTTTGCCGTCAACATTGTTGCCCAGTTCATGAGTGCTCCTCGTACCCCTCACCTTGTTGCCGCCAAACGGATACTTAGGTATATCAAGGGCACTATTGATCTTGGCCTCTCCTTCACTCTTCAAACTGCTGCCGCTCATCTCTCTGCCTACTCTAATGCAGATTGGGCTGGGTGCCCCGATTCTCGTCGGTCGACCACTGGATATGTGATTACTCTTGGAACTAACCTCATCTCATGGTGTTCCAAGAAACAACCCACAGTCTCGCGCTCTAGTACAGAGTCCGAATATCGTGCACTCTCTCATGCTTGTGCCGAAACCAATTGGCTATGCTCTCTTCTTCATGAATTGGGTGTGCGTCTTCAATTCCCGGTCCAACTCTTTTGTGACAATCTCAGCACCACGTACATGGCTGCCAATCTAGTTTTCCATGCCCGCACACGTCATGTTGAGTTAGACTATCACTTTGTCCGTGAAAAGGTGGCTCTTGGAAGTCATCAAGTTTGCTTTATTCCTTCTGTCGACCAACCTGCGGACTTATTCACCAAAGCTCTTCACAAACCACACCATCAGCTTATGTCTTCCAAACTTGTGCATCCCTGCGGACTTATTCACCAAAGCTCTTCACAAACCACACCATCAGCTTATGTCTTCCAAACTTGTGCATCCTGTGATGCCCAGTTTGCGGGGAGATGTTAACGCAGCTTTCCTTTCCTAGCCTACACGGAAGTCAACTTCACAATCTCCTCCTAGCAATTAGCCTTTCTTGCTGTAAATCAGATTTCCTGCTGTAAATAGGATTGTATTCATGTCTATATTATTTCCTACCTTAAGTAGGTATTATGTACTAGTATAAATAGGGACTTTGTATAATCTATTAAATAGAAGGAAATATATTTTCTACAGTTTGGCTTGTACAACACGTTGCTTGCCCTAGTGGAGCCACCTGGCTGATCATGAAATGCACACGTCTACACATATGCTGGCAAATACGTACATATATAGACAGCAATTGTGAGACCCAAAGAGCATCCCCTTTATTGGCTAAAAACATAAAACACAACACAATTTTAACCATATACAATCCAACACTCATAAAACACAACACTATTTTACATAATATACAAAACCCAAAACCCCAAGTAGACAACTTCAATCTGTCTTGACTTCAGGACTGTGGAGGGTTTCAGGGTAGACTACGTTCTTGGCTCCAGTGTAATCCAAGATCTTCTTGCTTGGTGCTTCTTTGGCCGAATAGCCTGGCCTTGTCACGTACATCAATCTATAACCCCACTCCAGCAGCTCAGGGAAAAACACCTTCCATATATATGTCACCCCGAACCATGCTGGCTTTGTCAAGTACCTGTCCCCACGGCACACACTGTTCACTATTGCTTTTGCACACCCTTCCACTGACCCAACGGGAGTCGCACTTACTTGAGCCTGCACAAACAATGAACATTCATAATCAATGGCTTAGATTCACAGTATGGATAGATGTTAATTAATCTTGACCTAAATTCAAGCAAGTATCGAGCCATGATCAATGATTTAGATTCACATTAGCTTACATCTCTCAAGTCTTGATCCACTATCATCTTGCCGTCATCACTCATTAAAAATTTGCCTTGGGTGAGCTCAGACTCTATGTATCCACGAGTTACAATTGTGATTTGGATGTTTGGACCAAACTCAATCCTCAGTGTCTCATACATGCTTAACAGAGCTGCTTTACTTGCCTGATCAAAGCATATATTATATAACCAATCAGTAATTAATGAAATTATATATATGTACAGTACAGACATTCCAAATACTAGGGTTTCAAAGACTACTTACATTGTAAATGCTCTGCCTTGGTATAGGCAACCACGAAGCAGCGGAAGAAAGCACCACGATTTTACCTTTGTTGCTTCTCAGATGTGGAATTGCAAAACGGGTCGTATAAACTGAACCCCAGAAGTTTGTGTCCTGCAACGACAAGTCGTTTCAACCTCTACTAGGAACAATTAATATCCCAATTTAGGAATCTTTTTCTTTGGGCAGAGCCCAATTCAGGACTTGGGTTACTTAAAAATTGATGGCTAAAATTAATGGAATTAGAGAGCAATTACCATGATGGCTCTAAAATTAGTGATATCAGTTGCTTCTTCCAACATGCCAAGTGAAGTGATCCCAGCATTATTCACCAGATGGTCCACTGCATCACCTCACCATACACATCAATTAATCACGCTATTAATTCTCTTTGATAAAATTAGTTCATTTAGAAGTTGTACTTACACCTTCCAAAGTGGTTGATTGTTTCATCAACAATTCTCTTGCAGTCTTCAACCTTGGAAACATCAGCACGGGCCATAAGAACATCTGGGGAGCCACAGTCACTTGCTCGATCAACAACTTCTCTCAATGAGTCCTCTCTCCTCCCAACAAGAACTAACCGTGCCCCTCTTTTTGCATACTCATAAGCCAAATGCTACCAACACAAATAAATAATATATAAGTAATTAAGAAGAATTAATTAAACATGTTACATTATTAATTTCAAGAATTTCATATAGGGTTTTAGGGTTTACCTCTCCAATACCAGAGGAGGCACCGGTGATGAGGACCACCTTTCCATTGACGTTTTCACTGGAAATGGAGCTCAACACACAGAGGAAGGACTTGAAGAGATAAAAGGGTGGCAGGAAGAGGCAGAGGGAGAAGAAGGTGAAAGGGGGAGCTACAAGATTCAAGAGCTTGTGGATAAGATTGAGACCCAACATGACTAATTGATGACAACAGATAAGGATATTGTTCTGAGATTTTCTGAGATGATAAAGATGGATTTGAAAGCTATCTGTTTGGTTTGGGGTTTCGTTATATATAAGGCAAGGCATGGCATGCAGAGGTACAGTAGAAGAAGGTGGTGGAACAATGGCACTGATCCATGGCATGGCAACAATAGGACACGTGGTCTAGACGTTTCTTGGGTGACGGTATAATTTGTCTTGGTGCTCCTCATTATTGCCGCTTCAGAATGATAAGAACAAAAACAGAGCTGGGGGTCCTTACAATATTGGATGATTGGGTTGGGCTGGTCTTGGGCTTGTATTAGTAAAGCAACTGCACTGCCATGTGTACGCCCAAACCCACTGCCACAGGAATTTCAGAGAAGGGAGAAAAGGGTTTCTTTCTGTGTTCGTCTAAAGATACTAACATTACAAAAAGTTATATAAGAGCAGAAGCAGCTGAAACTTGGATTTTGTTGGAGCTTTAAGCTTTATGGCACCTTGAATCAGATTGAGTTTTGTTGTTGAACAACGTTCGTTGCTCTTCAGATCAGCAGAATTAATTCAGTCTTTTTAAGTCTAACACATGTTCAATCTCGTTTGGTATAGAACGGTCAAGACACTAATTCAATTTAATGAAAATAAATAGTCCACTCAAAACCGAGCCACCAAACCAACGAAACACAGTAGCTTTTCTTACCAAGTAGTATACGGCAATTGAATATATACTTGAACAAGGAGTCATAAATTTACATGCAAACATATCACTATCTTGTTACTAACCGACCATACTGGTTGGAAAAACATAAGAAAAAAGAGTACTTCTTCAGCTTTAATTGCTACTAAACCTATAACTATTCTACTACTAAAGTTCATTTTTCAGTGTTACGAAAGCGGTTATCTAGCTCCAATTCAAACAGCCTTCTTTCAGTGACCCTTGCAATAAAATCATCAGCTCTTTGGTTCAATTTCTGATCATCATCATCGTCATCTTCATCTATATCCTCTTTCACCTTCACCACTACTTCCTCACTTTCTTCATCCCATCCTCTCCCTTCTATAGCTTCTTCATATCCACAAGTCCTCTTCAGCAGCACCTTTTCTTCCACAAAAGTACTCATATTCTTGGGTTCCTTTTGGTGGTGGGTGGAAGAGCTCTGAAGGGTTTGGCACCTTTTCATGCTTTCATATTGGTCAACAATATTAGATGCAGAAGAGACTGTGGAAAAGATTTTGGATTCTCCAACAAGGGCAACAACAATGAGATTGCCTAGTATGAACACAAACTTGGAGCTCAAAAACAGTGAACTGATTTTTGGGACAGAAACAAAGACAAAGGCCTTCATGGAAGAAGTTAAAGAGGGAAGCCATAAAGGGCTAAAACAAAACAGACTGCAAGTTAATGCTGTCAAAGTATAAAGGAAGAGATTGTTGAAAGGCTGGTGATGATGCCTCTTGTTGTGCTTGTGCATTGCTTGGAACTTCAAGATCTTGATGGGATCCATTTTTGCCTAAGGGACTAGAGGTAATTCTGATGAGTCAGGAGAATCTCAGACGAACAAGAAATAAGATTGAGGGGGTGGTTTTCATCTGCGGACCATAGAGCATTTACAAACACTGGTTTATATAGTGGGTGAAATGGGGTTACTTCGGTAATTAAGATTCATCAGATTATTACTTTATATGGGAAGGTGACTTTTGTAAAGTCGTGGGAGATTGATTGGTGTTTTATTGGTTACTTTTGCTTCTCGGGCCACCTGCTTTTCCTCTGCTTCCAAATTTTTATTAATATTTAGTAACAGAATCTCAGAATTTATGATCAGCTTCACTGATGCAACTAAGGAATGAGTTTGAGCCTTCGATGGTGTTTGGGGCTATAGATTGATTCTCTTTGTGCATGAAATTTATTAAAGGAGAAGCAGTCCACGTAGAAAGCATATGCATAATTGTATTTCCTTTCTTTTTCCTGGACGTTTGAGTGAAGGCTTTGTTGGCTTTTTGCTCACATAATTCCTCAACTAGATGGGACATTGTTGAGTGGAACAAAAAAGGCAACCGGGGAGGGGTGTGAGTAGGAGAGATTATAGAATACTACAGTACAAGATGTAGCATGTGGCGATATTATAACACGTGTACAAGATGTACTACGTGGTCATGCTATCGTCATATTTTGTAATTTCTTTTGTGAGTAGATATTTAATTATTAAAGTCATACTCCATCAAAATGATCTCCTGTTTTCATATTCAATTAAATTTACACCAGAAGAGAATTGTATACAAATCATGCTTAATTATAATCATTTTATGAGCACTAAGTGAATGGTTTTTCTTTGCAACTTGGACATTATTGAAAATAGCTTTTTTAGGTCATGAAAGCGCCAAGGCCGTTTAGATGAAATCCAGGGAACTAAAAGCAAATCTTATTTTATATTGGTGGATATGAATACTCTTTCTGCAAATTGAGTTAAGCAAATTACCCACGCGACAATGCGCCCACCTCAAGTTTAAATCTCCTCTCTTTAAATTAAAGTAGTTTAGACAATCGTTTCTATAACGAATAAAACTAAAAACAAACAAATCAACACCCTCTCCTTTCCCTCTCACTTTTCCATTTCTAAAGAGTACGTACGTGTATGATTCCTCCTTCCTAAGATAAAAGGAGATTAGTGCTGTAATCCAACATGTATTTAGTCAAAGGAGGTCAAAATTATCATTTGTTTTCTTTAAAATTTAAAAACAACCCAACTTGCATGCTAATTAGTGCTTAATTAGTTCTTAATTCTTGGTGCCTAAAGAACCGAAAAACTTTTCTAAAAGTTGGTAAATGGATGCGGATGCGGATCATGTGGATGCCTAATCTAATTACATGGTGATTCTTCCTTGCTCAGCCCACATGCCATGCATGTGATGGATGTGTACAGTGTACGTACATGTATACAGTACACCAGAGTACAAAGCAACCAAAATATTCCCTCAAAAAATGAAGCTTTTAAAAGTTAGCACAAGTGGAAATTAATCCACAGATTGATTTGATATGGGCTCAAAACTTGAAAAGCTGTTTTTACTTGTTTAAAATGTATGGTATCCCAATTCCATTCACACACATTTTCCTGGGTGGTGCGAATCCCAAAAATTATGGGAGGCCTCGGGTGCCATTTTATAGAGGGTCTTTTACTTTCTTTTTACCCTTTTCTTTGTTGTTTCTTCTTTCCTTTCCCTTTTATTTCTTTTTGTGGTTGTAATTTGTGACCATTTAGTTGCATATCTTGCAACATGGAAACGAAAATAATTTCAAGCCTAAACTTTTTACATAGTTTTTTCTCAACCCGTGAAGGACCGTGTGATGCATCACACGGTCGTTTTCTTCAGGTTAAAAATTCAAGGAAACATTTTTAAAAACTTCACATTCTAATGCATAAATCATGTAATTTAGACTATCGCTTGTATTTTTTTCTTTATTTTTTTTCTTTTGGGCTCTTTTCATGAGCAGCCCACTTGATACAAACCAACTTCATTAGGCCCACTCAAGTAAAAGACAACTGATTATAAGCCTTCCTTGCAAGCCCCAAAAGACAAAACACCTAACCAATACAAATCAAACTAGCCTCCCTTCTTTTTAAGCAACGCATTTTAGGTTGGGCATGTGTGTGTGTGTGTGAAGAAACAACCTCCACGGTTATTAGTGGGGGTTGAAAATTGGACACGGATGAGAGAGACGTGTATGATTATGAACCCCATTTGAACAGAAAGTGATATAACACCGATTTCTGATAACATGTGTCTCATCTATACTAGACATCATGAAGAATTGCCACAAAAGTCATCAACTTGTACATTGGAGCAGGTTAAAAGTCAAAAGTAAAAAACAACTAAAGTAAAAGCACAAAGGTGAAAAAGAAGACAACGGTTGAAGAAGCTTCACTCTTTCACACCAAAAAGCCTCTTCTTGCTCTGCCCTTCTCAATAAGCCTCCTGCTCCCCCTGCTGCCCATAACCAAAAATGGATCAATAAGAGATTAAAAAAATATTATCAAAGTCTCAAAAGAAGGAACTCACATTCTTGGGGGTCATGAACTGCACAAACTTGTTCTTTCCTTTCCCAGTGGGGGACTTGTTGGAGGATTGAGGATGATCTCTCCCATCTCTATACCTCCTCAGCTGCTGTCTCACATATTTCTCATACAAGAAAGCTGCCCCTTGGAATTGTGGAAGAACCAACCATGCCACAAACACAAGCTTCACGTCATACCAAATTGGTAACCTGCAAATTCCATTTTCCAATCATAAACTTAGTTTCTGATAGTATCTGTGTATTCTTGGCGCTTTTATGATTTGTTCTTACCACTCTAGAGCTGGTTGGATTACCATCTCCAAGAGAGTGAGGAAAGAGTAGATGATCCAATAAGCAAGCCACTGCTCATCATCTATCTTAGTTGTGCTCTCTATGGCTATCACTGATGCATATCTATAATCAAACACCAAAAAAAATATCAAGAACAAGTTCATCCCCTTACTGGGTTTTATTAATATAATGAAAAAAATGCAAAAACAAAAAAATAAAAACTTGACACACAGAGAGAGACAGAGAGGAGCTGCTTACAAGGGGTAAAGCAACGTCACCACTGGCCTGCAAAAAAATTCCAAGAACATTGGGAATTAGGGGAATTAGATAAACTGATAAAGCACAAAATTAATACATGTTGGAAAGAAAATTAACCCAAAAAAGAAGATGAAAAAAGCAGTAAAAGCAATTAAAGTCTTACCCAGCCAGTGAATGAAGTTGGGCAAGCATGGTCCAGGCTTTTCCCATTGTTCTGTTTCGCTGTCTTTGTGGGTTCCAAAAGGACACAAAACACCAAGAAATTAAATTGAAAGCACAAACTAAGAGGGATTGGTTGCAGAAAACTGAGCCAGTGGGAATAGGGTTTCACTGTTCAGAGCTGGGGAAATGAAGACAATTGATGTGATTTTGGAAGGTGGTCGTGGGGATGTATATATGATAAGATGAAGAGGACACGTGGCAGGAGAAGAGCAAGTATCGGATTCTGCCTTGGACGTGTCGATGTGGATTTAGCACCGCCCAGTCGCAATCTAGAGACTGAAAGCACAGTGTGGTCTCATCAGGTTGGTCAGGTGCGTGTGTGGCTGGACCGCCTTGGTCTCTGCCATTTCCCTCAAATGACACAATGGCTTTGTTCTTTGCCCCAGACACAAGCCACGTGTTCATGTTTTCTTCTGTTTTTTAAGTCGACGTCGGTGACACGTGCCGGAGGATGACGATCCAAATCTACGCAGAGTTCTTTTCCTTTTTACATGGCCGGTCCAGACGGATCATCCGAAGGTGCGGTAATGATTTATCTGAAGCTTCTTGATAGGGTTTGTTAAATATTTAATTTGAGGTTTTGATTAGTGTCAACTCTCATCCATTGCATCAGATTCCATCATGCTTAGGAGAGAACCTATCATCTCATTGAATGAATGCAACAGTAACGTGATGAGTGCGATAGATACAAAAGTATACACTCGATTGTAAGAATGATTCTCCTTAGGGCTAGATTAGGATTTGAACCCTATTTGATCTTTGGTCAACAAGCATCTTTGTGGGCTAAATCTGATTTGGATTTCTGATGACCAATGCCCTGCATTACCAAGGATGGAAAGTGGGCTTTTATGGAAGTAGCATAAAAAAGGGTAAGAAAAATTGATGTCTTGCTTGAGCAAGCATTTCTGTGGGCTTTCTTCTCTCGAGGCAAAGTGTTGTTTTTGTTAACGAAGCTTTGTATTCCTAGCAATCTCAAATGCTCTGCCTAGCCAAAGTTGGAAGACAGATTACCAAAACAAGGCTTATTGTTTAGAGGTACACCTTTTTCCTTGCAAGAACATAATAGTAAGACCAAATTAAACAACATAATCAATGGTAGAGTTAATAATGAATCCAAATTACTTTTCCCCAAGTTATCTATTATTAAAAACTACCTTGTAAACATGCACAAAACACCACTAATTACATTGGCGTGTAAGCCATTGGTGCAGGCCCTCCACATTTCTCCCCCACCCATTGAAGTGGTTGAGCTAAAAATCCCATGGCCTCCTCCATTTTAAGACAAAATCTTCCCTTTGTCTTGAATTCTATAACTACATCTGCTATTCCTGCTAATAAGTGGTTACACCTACTACAAATATTTGACAAATTTTCTTTCTTCAACAAGTGCTAAACAAGCTAGATCAACCTCTTTTATCAAACTTGAAACTTTGTTGGGTTTATTTCTTTCAATATCTCTGATCAACCAAATGAGCGCTTAGAAATTATGGCAGCAAGAACTTACAACATTGCTACGCTATGCCTTCCAAGGGACATGTGCAAGGCAGAGAAGAATGAGATGGCTACCAAATTGGGGTTTTATCGTTCGAGGCGTGTAGCAATGATCACAAGCAAAAACGGAAAGTTTTCGGTGAGAAGCAGCGCCGGAGGAACTCCTAGAAGTGTGGAGACAATCAATGGAAAGGTCAATGGGGTTCATGTGGGAGAGGGTACATTGTTTGGAAACAAAAATAGTACAGAGTTAATTAAAGATAGTGACATTGATGCACCTGCTCATTCCTCTTTGCATGGAAATTTTGTTGAGGGCAGGTTTGTATATAGGCAGACCTTCGTAATCAGGTCTTATGAGATTGGACCAGACAAAACTGCCACACATGGAAACACTCATGAATCATTCCTTCTTTTTTTTTTTTTTTTTTTTTTTTTTTTTTTTTTTTTTTTTTTTTTTTTTTTATGTCTGTGTCTGAGAGGGATAGCCCGTTGTAATTTTTGCTCCTTGTGAAATTAATGAACATACTGTCATTAGTAGGAGAGTTTAATTGTGAAAGTCTAGAGTTTATATTTTCATTAACTGTGAAAGCCATTGGTTGCAGGAAACAGCTCTAAATCATGTGACAAGCTCTGGCCTGGCTGGAAACGGGTTCGGTGCTACCCGTGAGATGAGCATCCGGAAGCTTATTTGGGTTGTCACCCGCATCTTCATTCAAGTACAGAGATATAGCTCCTGGTATGTGATGCCATATTATGTTTTTATTAACAACTAGACATAACAATTGATAATATTTTTGCAAGAGGCTATCTCTACACCCAAGACAAATACTAAAAATGTGGTCTCTCTAGCATTACTCGCACCCCACTAATGGACTAAAATGGGTTATGTGACAGGGGAGATGTTGTTGAAATAGATACTTGGGTGGATGCAGCAGGCAAAAATGGAATGCGCAGGGATTGGATCATCCGAGACTACAAGACTCAAGAAATCATTACAAGAGCTACAAGGTCTAGCTTCTTCTGCTTAATTTATAATTTATCCAAACTTAAAACTCTAAATAGCTTAGCTGACCTCCAATTTTTTTTTATATGTCATGCAGCACTTGGGTGATCATGAACAGAGAAACAAGAAGGCTGTCCAAGATTCCAGAACAAGTGAGACAGGAAGTGCTACCATTCTACCTAAACAGAGTTGCAGTCGCCGCTGAGAAAAATGACAGCGAAAAAATCGACAAGCTCACCGACGGCACTGCAGGGAGGATCCGATCAGGCTTAGCAGTAAGTCTAGAAAAATATAAGACCACCAAACTATCAAACTAATCAAAATTTCATGGAATTTTGGTAATTGGTTAGCATCTTAATATATTAACAACCTACTTTGTCTTGCAATTATCCCAGCCCAGATGGAGTGACATGGATGCCAACCAGCATGTAAACAATGTGAAATACATTGGATGGATTTTGGAGGTACTTAAAAATACATAACACAAGCTGCTCTTACATGCAACATTTTTCATTTTAATTATGTGTTACTAAATCAAAATTCATTTGTGTTTTATTAAGCAGAGCGTGCCCATCAATGTGTTGGGAGATTATGATCTCACGAGCATGACATTGGAGTATAGACGTGAATGCAGGCAATCAAACTTGCTAGAGTCCATGACAAGTGCAAGAGCAAGTTTGGCTGAAGACTCCAGTTGCAAGAACAACTCCATCAACCGTAGGCCCGACCTAGAGTACACGCATCTGCTTCGGATGCAGGCTGATAAGGCGGAGATAGTACGAGCACGAACAGAGTGGCATCTCAAGCGAAAACATAAGTTGCACTGATCTCAGTATGGGCAGCAGTTTCAATTTGTGCCCCCCCACATGGATTTCTCTTCAAGCCTTTTGCTTTCCCCGCTGTTTTTGTTGGTTTTTTTTTTTTTTTTTTTTTTTTTTTTTTTTTTTGTTGTTCAATATAGGTCCCTACAATTTCTATTTCCTAGACATATACCCATCATTCTATAAATCTATGTTTAAAACCCAATTTCAAACTTAAATGACCAGTAGGATGTAAGAGGTTGTAGTACTCCTATGTTTTTACATCATTGTCATCAGACTTCATATTTTATTTATAATTTATTCCAAGCATTTCATTAACTGTCATAATTGTAATTAAAACTCCCTATTAATAGCATATCAATCACCCTATTTCTTTTGGTTGTCATTCCCTCTAACATATGGCCCCTTAAAATTGCAAAAATAAAAAATTTATGTAAATTACATATCCAATAATGTACATATGAAAAAAAATATATATATATAGGTATGTTATTTACCCAAAAAATATTAACAAAAATAGGTCAATTACTTTGTAATTGAAATTTCCGTACATTTTTCATAAATTAAAAATAGGTACACAATAATTTATAGAAAATAGGTACATTGTATAATTGAAATTTATGCACATTTTTTATAAATTAAAAATAGGTACATTATTTAGAAAAAAATAATAAGTTCATTATACTAGGTAAATTGTTTTACTAGGTATACATTATTGGAGAAAAAAAATAAGTACATTATTTATAGAAAAACATAGGTTCGTTATACTAGGTAAATTGTTTTACTAGGTATATTATTAGAGAAAAAAAATAGGTACATGATTTTGAGAGAAAAAAAAGGTACATTATTTAGAAAGAAAAAAAAAGGTGCATTATTAGAGAAAAAAAAAGGTTCATTATACTAGGTATTGTTTTACTAGGTACATTATTAGAGAAAAAAAAATAGGTACATTATTTTGAGAGAAAAAATAGGCTCATTTTAAAAAAAATTGTTTTCATAAAACAAACAATAAAAAGATTATCAAATTATTTTTCATAAAACAAGTAATAAAGGAAAAAAAAAGGGGGTACAATATTTGGAGAAAAAATAGGTTCATTAAAATAAATGTTTTAAAAACAAAACAATAAATAGATTATCAAATTATTTTTCAACATAATTATAATGTACACTATTATTCATAAAACTATAATAAAAAAGAATACTAGTAGTATAATTCATAAAAGACAACAACATTAATTCCTAAATTTAATATTGAATTTAAATTACTAATACTTTAAATAGATTACTAGTCATAATTCATAGAAGGAAAACACCATTAATTCAAAAATAGATTACTTATACTTTAATGTGGAATTTAATATTTAATTTCAAATAAGTTTCTTATCAAATAAGTTTCTAAATTAGTTCCTTTCCAAATTCAACGGGTGTCATTAGTTACACCCCCCATAACACATTAACTTATAAACAGGGGTAGTTTTTGAATCCGAAAAATATAATAAATCAAATTTTAAGTTATATTAGGTAACTTGCTTAGTTGGATCCTAGTCATCGGGTATTATTTGAAAAAATTGGGTATTTTAAATAGAAAACTAAAGGAAATGGTTGTAGGTGATTTAAAATGAATTTTATGGGTCTAAGCTCAATTTACTATTATTTTTTTTATAATCACTGTTTGGCTTTAGGGTGCTGTATTCTTCACGCTGTAACAATGTTTTGCAAGTGCAGTGCATAGCCTGGGAGGACTTATCTTCTAAGGGAATGACACATTCACATACAATTTCAGTAATTTATCTGATTTACTAGGAATGCTTTTGAGCAAGAAATACACAACTACAGGCCCGGGTAACATCTTTCTGTGTATATTTATGAGAAGGCTGAATTGTCGGAAAGGAAATAAAGCCCATTCGTGTTATCAACAATCGTAATATGTTATGTTATCAGATTATCAATTAAAACTTATATGAAACAATTTTTATCACACATAGAATCAAATTAATGGTTTTTTTTTTGTTTGGAAAGTCAACGGACGAACCCAAGCCAAACCCTAATTTGGTTCATCAATTTATTGGGCTTTATGGTTTATCCTTCTTAAAAGGCTTATCTCTTTCAAGTTCGGGGCTTATTAGAAAGCCATAATGGCCCAATATGGTCAAATTAGCAAAGAGATGGGCCCACCTAAATAATCCCCTTGTGGGTCCTGCTATTCTATCTAGATATCTTACCGCACAATTGTGGGGTCATACCTATAGATGGTGGGACATATTTCCAATCGCTTTCAATTTCTTTTGCTCAAACAAAATCATTTCTTTGATGAAACGCAGACCAACCACGCAAACCCCGAACTTGGAAAGAAGAAAGGTGGAAAATGAGATGGCAAAAATAGAAAGATGAAGCAAGAAGCACTTCATCTTCATGAATCATGAATCATGAATCATGTCCAGTCCAGTCTAGAAGAAGAACCATTATTTTGTTTCTCTCTCTCTCTCTCTCTCCAACTTTTCACACCAAACAAAACCCTTTTCGCAAGGCAACCCCTCTCTCCTCAACCCACCTCCACCCGATTTCTTTCATTCGTCAACAAAAAACTAGAGACCTTTTGTTGACAAGAATATCCAGTCAAAGCCTGCAATCAATGAGGGCCAAGAAAATATATATATATATGAAAAAAAAATTTCTCTCATCTTCTTGCAGCTAAGCTAAGCATGAAGATCCCATCTTCTTCATCGATCACATTAAACAATTCATCAATTTTGGGGTTGGGAACTTTTTAACATTTTTTTAATAACGGACACAAATCATATGGTATTAATCTAACACTTACCAAAATAAATTATATGTGGGAAGAGTTATTATATACTACTTTGCCCATCTTATGAATCTCACTTTTTTCCGTAACAACCCATTTGTAGAGGAAGGCAGCGCAGTTAATTATACTTTAATAAGTGGCCTAACTCTCTTGCATTAGATTTTATAAAGTCTTAAGGCACCACTAATTAATTCATATATATGTGTCTTTCATTTAATACAAATGAGATTTGACGATAAATAAAAATTGAAGAAAGCGAGAATCAAACTTTCTCGTTGCGTAAGAAGACAAGTACTCTTTAGAGTGACATGATATAATTTAGGTGTTACAAGAATGATTTTGACTTGTAGATCAGTGGTCTCATGTTGGAATCTCCTTATGACAACTTAGTAGTGTGTGTGTGTGTGTGAAAAATCTCCTCTCCCCATTATAGTCTATTTAGACTATCGATTGTATTTAAAAAATTAAAATTTTTGCAATCAAACAATAGTAAAAACTCGTAATAACAATAATTAACATTGGTCACACTGAGACAGTAACTAAAGTTGTTACAACATTCTCGTGAAAGAACATCAAATCTAGCGTGGGTTGTGTAATCTTTTTTCTACTTTATGTGAAGGTACATGCTACAACTAGCTATGACATCCTCTTATGAAATATTAAAAAAGCACTAGCGATGACATTGATGGTGACAAGAATCCTATGAATGCTGACACAATATTCTTGATCAGTGATGGAGATAATGTTTCCCCCTTCAAATCATCTTGTCTCTAATCAGACGTTTTCCCTACGAAATGCAATGTATAATTAGAGAGATTAATAGAAGCACAAATAAATAAAATATTTGGGTGCTGCAATTGGCTAAACAAATATTAATCATTGCCAATCTCATCCCAATAATATTTCGATCCAAAACCCATGCTCTTTTGCATCTCTGTCCAAGTTCCAATAAACAATTTGTGGCTTTCATTCATGCCACGTTTTTCTTTTAAACTTTAACTTTGCAAAGGTGTCACAATCTTTTCCATCTCCATATATATTGAGATTGTGATTTCTTTGAGTTCTCCGTGTGTCATAATTCATGCATGTGGTACATAATTACGGAGGATTGTTAGGGTTAATTACGTGTGAGTACGAAATGCTTACTTATAATTGTTGACCAGTTTGCGTTTACATGTCATTAACGTTAATATTTTCTAAAAAGATATTATCTCAGTTCTTCTAATTCATCTTTTTTCATCTCTAACAATTAAGAAATGCACACCAGTATTTTGTTTGTTGAAAGTTTTATTGATTTTATTGGATGATATTTCAAGTATGATTTTCATAAGTTCGAGTTCGATGCTTGTTTTGTATGTCACCAACAAGAGCAAAATGAACTTTTATCTCTCGTGAAGGAGTATCGAACTCGAACATATGGGGGACAAAAATGTAGCATCTTGGTTTCCACAACATTAGAGAAGGCAACGTAGCATTGAGTAATAGTAGCACAATTCTAATTAAGTAGGTAATTTGCAAGGTTAAATAAAAGATTACAAAGTTAGGAACGCGAGAGAGTGATACATGGAGGCAGAAAAGTTAGTGAAAGAAAAAGACAAAAGTGGAAGAGTGCAGAATAATAATAAAATATATAAAAGCAAAGAAAAATGAAAAGGAACAGTTGGGTGTCACGTGGGTTGGGCAGTGAACAACGTTGGGCCCATCACGTGGGCCCCTATACCAACCCATCATGTTCCAAGTTCCCAATCCATCCATACAAATGAGACAAAGCGCCAACGGTCACGCGCTCCGGCAACGTGTGGCTTTGAATTGGACGTAACAAAGAATGGAATATTCCAATCACGTCACGCTGACGTAGTACAGTCTCCAGTTGCCCATAGCTCCAAATGCCCAAACCGTGCAATTATATATGAATTGTTTTTGGTTTCATAAGATCTTAAGCAGAAATTATATTGTTAATCAAATCTATTAATTGTTGAACAGAGAAAATGATAGGATGAATTGAAGATGATGGACAACAATGCTTTAATTCAAAACGAAAAATGTTTGGAATTGTTGATTAAACACATACATCTACACATCATAAGTTATCGTTGATTAATTACTGAAAAATTATAAATAAAATGATACCATCTATTTGAGTTTCGTAATGTTTTCGATAATTGAGTTGAGAACAATATATTCTCGTCTCAATTTTACGTGTTGACAACTCAAGAACTATCTCACTTAACATTCCTTGATCGATTTGAATTGGTTATTTTGAGATTACAAAACAAAGAATTACAATGACGGTGTAGTTTGAAATTGAATAATGAACCTTGTTCGTGACATAGCTGGCTATTTAATCCCTATCCACTTCCTTTAAAGAACTTCTTGTCAGAGACTAGTGTTGTTGAACTTTCTTTCAATCAAAATCCAATTCATGATTGAAGAGATAATAAAATAAAAAGAATCAAAATTCATGATTGATGCGGAGACAGTTTGATGTTGCTTGAGTTGAAAGGCATCGTAGCCCCAAAGATATATATCAAACAAAAGAAGGGCTCTGTACATGCATACGTACTAACGTACATAATCTGTATGTACATACGGTGCTGAGCAGTGCATGAGCGTACGACACAACACTAACAGTAGAAGTAGCAGAAGTTATATAAACTCCAAAGACTACGTACCCCAAGATGATGACTGTAGATAAAAAGATAAGACGAAGAAACTGAATTTGCGGCGTTTTGTGAATCATATATATATATATATATATATCATGTTGTTGAATTAATATGCATATCTTTCATCGTCGTCATCACCATCATCATCTAGTAAGATTGATAGGAGAACAGTGACTTAGAAACTAAAATATAAGTACATCAAAATTCGAGCTTCTCAGAGGAGCCCAGTATCCACCATCCCCACAGACGTCTCTGACAAAAAATTTAGCCAAAAAAATCTTTTTATTTATTCTGTCTCTCTTTTTCTGAGTTCTCTGGTTAAAAAGAAAAGAAAATTTAGCAGTGAATAAAGTGAAAACCAATTATGGCACTGGATTTTCAATGGCCCACTCATAGTATTGGCAGGGCTGGTAGGTAGGTCGTCAATATATATATTATGGGCTCTTCTTACCACAATTCAGAAAATTACTGTTTACAGTAAGAAACTAATACCCTTTTCACCATTTCATCTACCTCTGTTCACTTCTCATTGATTTGTTCAAGAAAAATATATGATGTTTTTTCATTTTAATTATTTATTAAAAGGTGGTTGGTTTTTTCTAAATTTGGAAGAACAAAACTAAAGGGTGAGTAGTGAGAATTTAGGTGTCAACTGGTGTGAGAATCTGCCTATATGCCAGATTGGTGCCTACATTGCAATTCTTTTTTGTGCACCAGAAGGCTTTTTTTGTGAAAGCAAGTGTGGTTAGGTTGGTACATCTGGATATATACTAATGTGCTGGAAATTGTTTTACAAAAAACTCTATATAAAAAAGCATGCATGAGAAGCTAAGATTGAATGTTTTGTTTGGCAACTCAAGGGAAAGGGAAAGAAAAGACAGGGAAAGGGACTACAAGGTGCTTCTCATCCCATGTTGACATTATGAAATACTAGGAGGGAAAGGGAAAAGGGGACCTTATCTTTCTGAGGGAATGGCAACTACACAACTTTGTATCAGAACTTCTCCTAAGAAATCAACACATGCTTTCCCCATTATGAGCAAATGAAAGTGAAGCGTGGGACAAGGACATATTCTTACTCTAAACCAGCACAACCACTCTCCTTCCCATTGAAGTTTCACTTTCAAATTGCATGTTTAATTCGATTGATAATGTTTAGAAGTTGTAATTAACTGTTATAAATTATTAGATTGTGATCGTCCAAACCCTTGATCCAATGAAATTTTACGAAGTTTCATTTCATGGTTCTACAACTAAGGATAAGTTGATGACATAACATGCTAAACATATGATCAAAAAACGATAGCGGCATTTTATATTTTAATAAATATGACGCTTTTGTGGACTCAAATTCAATTAGGACCAAGAGGTTCTTCACTTAGGATTCTTGAACCCCTACCTAAGAAACAAAAACAAAGAGCCCTAGCTGGAATGATGAAATTAGCATGTGAGGTGTGGAATCTGATGGGCAGAAGAATATATATCAACCAGTCGGTCACACACACACTTTTTTGAAAAGGTCGAGCTACAGGCCGTCCTATAATCTAAATATGAAGCCATGATTAAGCTGTATTAGCAAATGTTGGTACAGCTCTCGACATGCTACTTTCAACCTACACTAATACCAAAACCCATTCCATGTGCTAATATCCTTTACAATATATATATATATATAATTGACTCATAGTCCTTGTATGATTGATTGTGGTGCCATGAATGAATCCTTATTTGTATTATTTGGTCTCTAATGTCCCCCACTCATGCCCTCATCCCACTTTTCCTGTCAAACTTTGTAACTATGTATACCGTGTCAACTACTCGTCTTAGTTTACTATCATTCTCGTACAAATGAAACGTTGCATATGTGCTAAAAGAAATATTATATTATTAAGTGATTAATTGAGATGGTACAAACAGCGGTTGTGATTAAAAATTGAAGAATATAGACTTGAGCAGTGAAATCCAGAAGAACTGTCACATTTCCCAGACTATATTCCAAAACTACACTGCAGAATCGTTTCTTGTTGCAAGGATATGTGACGGAAAAAAGGTACCCAGAAACCGCTCATTGGAACACGGTTTCTTTCCCAACTACGAATTTAATTTAGGATTTGAGAATTTTAAAGAAAACGTGGTCTTCCAAAAGTGGCATTTTCAAGATTTGGGTGAGAAACAATTATCATATAGTTTTGAGGAAACCTAGATATGATCAAGAAAGGTGAAAGGTGAAAGGAGGGTAAAAATTAAATTCTTAGAAAAATGGAACCGAAAGGTAGATGCAGAGATGAAAAATAAAAAAAGAATCAGTTTTGGAAACAGGGCAGTCATGAGTAAAAACTAACTACGGCTTCAATTTGTCACAGAGGCTGGCCATAATAAACTAAGCACAGAAAAACACAAATCAAATCACCACCAAATGGAATTTATATAAAGATTAGGTTGAGATTGGATCCATTTTGTCATTTTGGATGGCAGTTTATGCTAAAGCAATCTTGCATACCAAGGCTATACAAATCTTGGATCCACTTCTGAATGAAATGAATGCCGTAATCTGACTATAGTTATATAAATATATATATATATATTTGTATGTATGGACCACCATATGATTAGAAACCCGCAATGTCCTTAAGCATCATACTCTGTATTAAAAATTGGAAATGGCATTGTCAACTAATGACTGTTTGCCCAAACCAAAAGATGGTCCACAGAGCTCAACATAAGACAACTATTGGCATTCTTTTTCATTTTATTTTATTTATTATTGAGAATCAATGGTCAATGCAGAATTGCACATCTCACAGCCACTGTAAGTGCTAAAATATGGGAAACCTAAGGGTCTATGTTTCATTCATTTCAATCACTTTTCAACCCTCTTACAAGGCCTACAAGAAAGAACAACCACCCAATCCACTTTTTTTTATTTTTTTATTTTTATGTTTGAGGATAAAAAGGTGACGGAATTTTATTAAATCAATAGGAACAACAATACAAAAGATAAATTGTAAAGAGAGTCATCCAAATAACAAGGCAGACATGGGTAAAACTTCCCCAGTGACTTGAGCAAGCTGAAAAAACTGAAACGATTTGGAGACACTCACTCTCAAACTTCCCAATTCACTTGTTTTAAAACAGTTATTGACAAGACTTTTACCCCAAGAAACTCCAAAATCTGGCCTGGCCAGATAAAAGATTTGGTAAAAAGCACAAGGATTTGTATTTACATGTCATTATATACCATGATATAGTTATTATTATTGTTTTATATTATATAGTTTATATATAACAAGTTACCAACAAAAAAAGGTAAATACATGCAGCGGCAGCAGCAGCCTAACAAAATTCCACAGCTCATCTCTGTAGATAGATGAAAGTTCAAAGCAAGAAAGAAACTACACAGTAACACAGAGGGCACATGCAGATGCCGTAGTAGGCCAAGAACATATGGTAATTGAACATTTTTCAACCCATGTCCCTATTCTACCCTTGGCATTGCTATTTTTTTACATAACAGAGCAGGCATTTGGGTTTTCATCACTGAAGATCTGAGGTGGGTAGGCATACAACTCCATGGCATACCTTGGTGGGTAATAATAATATTCATTTTTCTTCATGAGCTCCACCACCTTGGTCTCTTCTGTGGCAGCTCCCCCTTCTGCAGCAGCAGCAGCAGCAGCAGCAGCAGGTGGAGGTTCATCACCTTTCTTCTCTTCTGGTTTTGCCTCTTCATCTTTACCTTTCTTATCTTTGTCACCTTCTTCACCACCTTTTTTCTCCTCTTTGGCCTCTTTGGCTTCTTCTTTGTCTTTCTTTTCTGGTTCTTGTTTCACAATGGAAGCATGCTTCCCAGTCCTTTTGCGCACATACTCTACTAGCTGGGGTGGATCAAACACACCCTTTACTGTCACTTCTGAGCTCTTTAGATCTGGTTCAGCAGATTCCACTCCTAAAAGAATTTACACCCAAAAAGAAAAAAAAAGCACAGAAAGATGAGATTTTTGAAGGACAAAGAAAGAGATGTTTGAAGATTTTCAACATAAATTATATTTGGGTTTGGTGGGATTTCGTCTTGAATTAATGGAATTGAATTGACTTTAATTGGCCCTGATTTATTGAAATCTAAAAAGGAATTTATTATTTAATTTAAGAAAAAGAATGTATTGACATTGAAACATTGGTCATGCTCATTGGTGAGAGAATAAACTTTTTTTTAAGAGATTCACAAAAAGAGAGTGTTATTTTTTTCTTTTCTCTCTCTCTTTTTTGGGAGGTTACAGATGCATTGCACAACTAATAAAAGTGCCGTTGATTGCCAACGCATTCATACTTCAATTTTGTTTTTTTGTTTTTGTTTTTAAATATTTTTAATGGAAGGTAAGTAGAATTGCATGAACCAAGAGGAAGAAATGGGATCAAATCAAAGAAAAGACCAACTTTTTTTTGTTTTTTTCTTTCTGGAGTTTCTGGAGAACAAAGGAAAACAAGGTTGAGCTTACCTTTCATTCTCAGAATGCGTTTCTTGATTTCTTGTGCACAAGCATCACAATGCATGTGAACCTTCAGCACCACTGTGATAACCACAGGCTGCAAAATACCAAAACAATTGAACCCAACAAATTAATAAGAACCAAATCAGCCAAGAAATTAAAAAATTTAAAGAAAAAAAAATATACTGAAAATGAAAAGGCTTGAGTGAACTGAGTACCTCTTCTTTCTTTTCCTCTGGCTTGGGCTGCTCTTTCTCTTCAGGCTTCTTCTCCTCAGCTGGTGGCTTTGGGATTGGAGAGAGAAGCTCAACCTGTCTATGACTCTTCCTCTGAACTCTCTCACGAACCTTAATTGGATCAGCCTTCTCACCCTTCACAACCACCTTGTGAGTCTTGCAATCTGTGCTCACATCTTCCACCCCTGAAATTAAAAAAAAAAACACACATTAATCTATCAACCCAATAACACTTAACATTAATACAAACAGAAAACAAACCAAATCTGAAAGGCCGAACCTTGAAAGCCTTTGAGACACCTCTTGACCTTGCGAGCACAGCCTTCACAATGCATATAAACTTGGAGCACAATTTCTTGAGGTGGCGGTGGCGGTGGAGGAGCAGCATCAGCCTCTTTGCCCTCCTCAGCCTTCTTCTCTTCCTTCTTTTCCTCAGCTTCAGGCTTTTTCTCTTCTTTCTTCTCTTCCTTCTTCTCCTCTGCCTCTGGCTTCTTCACCTCCTCTGGCTTTTTCTCCTCCATTTTCTTCTCCTCCTAAACAAACACCAACCCAGATACACAAATAAGCCCAAATAAACAGAAGATGCAAACTTTGAATGAAACAATCTTATTTTTAAAAAATACAAAATACAAAACAGTAAAGATTATAAGGTTGTAGGACCTCCCCCATTGGTTTAGTTTTGGTTTCTAGTTTTACTCTGATTTAGTTTTAAAACACTCTCTTTGTCCTGGGTGGAGCTCAGCTTTCTCTTTATGTGTGCAAGTGTAGAGAGAGAGAGAGAGAGAGAGAGAGAGAGAGAGAGAATGGGCTCTCTTTGTGTTGTGTATAAAACTTTCGAGTTTCCTGTATTTTTTTTTCTTCCTGCTATTTCATATTAAAACCCTGTTGAGAGCCATCAGATCTGAAGCCAAACCCCAACTCGGTTCTCTATGTCACTCTCTCTCATCTAAACCACACACCACCCCCCCATGACGTGGCATTTTTTAAGGGCCACGTGCTACGTAGGACGGGCTTTTCTGGAGATGATTATCATTTCCATGCTCTCTCAGCTTATTTGCTTTTGGCGCTTTTGGGGCATTTCTGGATTTTTCTTGCACTTGTTTCTGCTCCTGCATTGCTCTTGTTGCTTTCACAATCTTTCCTCTCTTGCCTAGTCATTTTGGCACCCCCTTCATGTGTTGGACTTGGAGTTATTAGAATGGTGGGATGAATTTCGTGGAGTGAGTGGGATTAAAAGAATTTTATTATATTTGGCTGCAATTACTTGCAAATCGCATGTATAAGTAAACTCAAATGTTTCGCTGATAAAGATTCGATTACGCAAGTAACGTCTGAATTTATAGTTCATTTTAATACTTATCCTGACACAACTTAACCACTCGTAAAACATGCACAAACTACTTAATAAATGTTACCTAGAAAAATTAAGTAAAATCAAATATAAACAAGTAAAATCACTTGTGCATTGTTGTTTCGCTTTTGTACCATACTTATTACTTTTATTTTTGATGCATTTTTATCAAACAGCTTGCCCCCTTACATACAAAATTTCATAAAAAATTGGCACCTTCATAGATAAATAATAAAATTGAGTGAGAGCAAGTGTCTTTCACTGGATCTTTAATAGATCCGCCAGTGAAGGCTCCTAATTCAAACAGTTGGCTCATTCTTCAACGGCTCTAGTAGTAGATTTTGGATATACATGTTAATTGTGAGTCAGACGATTGGTTGTTTCTGACAAATTTTCTAAATTTTATTTATCTAAATAAATAAATTATTAATTCCTGTAAAGAAGAATTGCAAAATTACAGCATTGTAATGATTTCACCTTGTTGACCCCGAAATATGATATGTACAACACTTGAGAGCAGTGGTCCACTTGGCAAAGCATGGTAGGCTACTAAATTTCTCACCCTCTACCTCTTAAATTTGCTCTTTATAACTTACCTGTGAATTTCTGAAGTTAGGAAAATAAAAAGCGCAAAACTTTGAAAACCCATAAGTGCAGTCTGTACGTATTCATTGGCCCGCTGAGATATGCAGCATTTCCATGGCAGACCAAGTTCTAGGCTTTACCATGTTCTTTCAATAGGCTATCACAATTCTAATCATGTCAAGAATGATCCAAACCACATGGTATAATAGATTGTGTTTGCATGTTTGGGGGAATCAAATTTAAGGAATTCTAAATCCATTTCTTGTAAAATGTTTATGAAAACTGCCGTTTTATGTTATTAAACTGTGAATTTTTATAATACGTTCGAATAAGAGTTGGTATAATTAAGAGCATCTCCAACAGTCTTTTCAAAGTCAAACTAAACTCTTCAAATTGTGGTTTGTTGATAACACGTGGCAACGATTTCCCATACCAACAAACAATGAGCCAGACAATGATTTCTCATACCAACAAACCATGAGCCAGACAACAATTTCTCATACCTAGACTTCCAAACGTGGAAAAACAATTGATTTCTCATTCCCAAGTCTCATTTCCCATGAACCAAACCTGGCCTAAGAGCATCTCTAACAGTAGTAGCAAACTAAACTATTCAAATTGAAGTTTGTTGACCTACATGACAATTTGAAAAGCTTTGTTTGCTACTTTAATAATTTATGCCCCAACATACTCTTCAATTTAATTAATGCAATGCTATGGAAAATAATGAAAACATGTGAAAATGTCTATATATTTATTGTTAGAAAAAAAAGAAGCATGTTTTTAATATTTTTAAAGTAGGTTTTATTTTTTCAAAGTAAAAGTAAATGTTAAATGTTTTGAAGAGCCAAAGTCAATTTACCAATCATGAAGAGAAAAAAAGATGTTGCAGTTTTGATGATTGAGTTTAAGAAGACTATTCGAGAGAGTTTTGATAATATGACTCATCAATTTTAACATTTCAAAGCTGTTGAAGATTTGTTGCAGATGCTCTAACATTGAAACCTCCTCCTCCTCATTAATTATTAGATAAGGGTTTCAGTTAAAGGCCAGGTCAAGAGGTGTCCTACACATATGATATATTGGCCCACCTATACAAAACGTGGCGCCCTATGAACCCAATAGCTTGGATCGAACCAATGCATGGCCGATCATGCAGAACTAGAGGCTTAAAAAGCAAACCTCTCTTCAATTAGCTAAGGCGTCTTCAGCATGAGTTAACCACCGACCTAAAAATTCACTAAAAAAAAAAGAAATGGAAAAGAAAATCCAAAACCCTACCATGTTTGTTTTGGTAGGTCGACCTGATTCTTTTTGTTTATGTATGCATGTATAGCTTTTGCTACAGTTTGTTGAGAAATAGTTGAATAGGGATTTCGAACTTAATTTCGATGTGACAGATGCAAATGAGAGTGAAAGTTGTGGAAAGATAGAGCCAGCTAGCTCCATCTCAGGTTCCAAACGAGGAAATTTAAATTGAAAACTGAACAATTTACAACTCATAGATTGCTTCGAAATTAACTTGATTTTATATCATCATTATAGAATGCTACAGTATTACGGCAATGAAATAGTATAACATTTGTTGTATACTCAATCCATTTGTCAAAAGAGATTGCTTATTTAATGCTCGCTTTTAAAATTTTGTCAAAAGAAAATAAAATTCAACCTGAAGAAAGGGACCGCATTTCTCGAAACAGATATTTAATTGTCATCATGAATCTTCTAATTAATATATATATAATATGACAAGTTAGCTAGCTAAGTATCAAATATGTTGCCTTCAGTATGACAAGGAAGGGTCTCAAACCTGACTTAAGCAGCATTAAGCTCTTGTGGGAAGGGAAAAAAGTCGATTGCTAATCCAGAAATTAGTCAGACGAAACACATCACTAAACCATTTTTTTAGTATAATCGGTTTTGGATAGAGAAGAATTAGAACGCGAGAATCCAAAATTTGGACAAATTTATGTTTGAAAACTGATTGGATTAGCCAAAATAGTTTCCAAATTGTGACTGATAATCAAATAACGTAGCAGGGGACGATCCAACATTTCAAAGGGTAGGCAATAATGTTGACTTGGAAGCCACAAAATGGGGATGGTGATGGGATATGCCGATCGATACGGGAATCATTTGGTGGTCATCAGATTTACAAGATAAGGATTTTGATGTGTAATTTAGTGCAAATGTGACATGACTCCGATTTGATATTGCATACTTTACTGCCTGCACAATGTGAATGCAGCTAGCTAGCTAGCTATTTTCTTTGTTAAGCTCTAACATTGGACGAAAATATGTTTCTATTAAAAATCTCAATGATTTTGTGGAAAGTCATTTTTGAACATATATATATATATATATATATAGAAATTCTCTGATGTTATTATTGTGCGATAATAACATACGGATATCTAGATAAAAGAATGACTATATGGGATATGACTTGTGTCATTCATGCAATCGTGATGAACAAACAGCAAAAAACCCTCCAATTGTATATAGAGAAGATCAAGTCACCTAATTAAACATATATATACGGGGTATGACTTGTGTCACAATGGATGGCCATTTCCATGTCTTTTTGGATAAGGAACATATAGACAGAGGGCCCATATTCCACATATATATCCACCACAATATCTCCATACCTATACCAGGGCTGGCATGCATCAACGTATATATATTCACAAAAATATGAGCAATATTTTTTCAATTCATGTAATAATTTTACTCGAGAGACACCTTTATATGATTTATTTTTCATTGTATTTCAATGATTCAAACCCGTGCTCGTTCAAGTTATTCGTAACAAATCATATCTACAATAACAACCAAATTATAAAACATTTAACCATTGATTTGGAGATAACAATCTTAGTGCTCTTTTCCTTTTCAATCACAATTAAAATGTATACGAAGGGCAGAGAGGGCCTACTCCTCTATCCAATACAGAAAACCACGTCACCATGTTCCCGTTGAAACGGGATTGTTTTCCCATGTGAGCTTGCCTCAAATAAGCACAGCATACGTCTTCAGTTGAAGGGTCTGCCACTTTCTCGCAAACAAATTCAATTATTTTTCCAATAGTTATTGTTGTTTGTTCTTTCATCTGAATGCCACGTGGGAATGACATGTCCCAAGCCTTGTTATCTTTTAGACACGTAGAAACAAAAGTAATCAATGTTCACCAAAATAATTCCACGTCACCAGAAACACTTTCGGGCATAGGACGATAGCATGCATGCATGTGCTTCTTTTAGTTCTTGAAACTTTACCCAATAGTATTATTACAAATTGACCCCCAAGAAATGGCACTGACCCACAATTAAACGACTCGTCGTTCTCATGAACAATACAAGTCCAGATCTAGAACCACCAGCTTGAAGTTGTTTTGGCGCCTTCTTCGATTATCTAAATTTGTAATAATATGCCCTCATATAGTTATTATATTTTCATCGTCATTTGTAAATTACACGTTTATTTGTCACATACGTATTTGTTAACAGAATACTTTATATTACATTAGCGTACGATTTATTCAAATCATATTAGTTATACTATGCATAGAGACTTATTAAAGTATATGTCACGGGCCAATGAAGGGTTACGTACCACAGTGGTTGTGGCCCTCTTCCTTTTTATGCTTGACACCCAGGAATCGAAATCTCAGAATTATCTTTACTTCCAATGTAACAAATATATATATATATATATGTATATGTAACTGTGTCTGAGAAAAGCCTAATATATGTATTTTTTTGTAAACAGGAAAAACGTAACCTAAAATATTCCATGCATGAATTTAGAGGGTCCACTTAACATGCACCCATCCATTGTTGTACAAAAGCTTTTTTTATGCCCATAAGCACAAACTGCTTTTGATTATTCAGAGAGGAAAGGGAATCAGATCAGATGTGACCCCTTCACGGTTCATCCATGCATGAACTGTCGATTAATTGTCAGCAAATCCTTGGAATATATAACAAACGTACGATGAAAGAAGATAATTTCTTGCCTAGTATTAGGATTTCTCTTGCCCTGAAAACTTATTAATCACCCTATTGATTTTTGTCTCGTTTATGTGATTTTATGTATGGGTTTGATCCGGGGAGTTGTTTTTTTTTTTTCCTCTCATTTTGTTGATTATTTTTAACAATATGATAAACACACTGACTTACTCAACTGATCTAATCCATATTTGCTTCAATTTTGTTATTGAATTTGACTCACATACGAGTCACAAAATGTTTCTCAGCGTCAGACAACAGCTCTAGCTGTTCTTGCCTTCGGGCCTGCCCAGTCTTGGTAGAGCCCACCATCTGTTCAGACTGAATTTAATAGCTGGAGAGTGTCTTTGGAGCCGAAGGGCCTTTTGCCCCGGCAAATCCAACCGGTGGAAATGCTCTTATTGCATTTCCGACTCATTGTATGGTCTCACAATGGGTTGCAAACTTTAATTTCTTGCTAGCTACGTGTTTGGGCCTTTGGCCTCCAACAAAAGAATAATGAGATGGAACAAACAACTGACTTTCGGGTGTTTTGATGTGCTTCACTGAAATAACTTACCCGCATGTAAATCTCAAAAAGCTCAATAGGTTTTCTATTTACATATACACATATATACTTCAAATCTCAATCTTTCTTTTAGTATATGATTAATTACCAGAACCTTGATTTTAATTTGCCTACACATGTGTATCTCAAGGAACTTCATCTGTTGAAATTAAGGAGGGGGTGCACTTTCCTTCTCTAACACAAAAAATAAATTAATAAAATTTGGGCATTTGTAATTCAAACCTGCCTTTTCTTTTGTTTATTAGTCTTTACTTAACCTCAAGTGAAGCAAACTTCACATTCTCAACACAATTATAAAACTAATGGGACTTCATTTATAGATCTTCATGTTACTGATATAGTACATATACTTCGAACTGATAAGTTTTTGCTTATCACACCCAAATTATTAATTAGCAGATCCCCTTAATCCTAGTCTCTTCTCCAATACGCGATTGTCACGTGTCAGCTCGAAACGTTAACCCTATCAGTTATAAGTTCTTATAAGTTTCCAACGGGGTCTAGCCCAGTGGAAAAAGGGATTTAACTTGCAGACTAGAGGTCTCAAGTTCAAACCCCCATAGCATCATAGTTTTGTGTGTGAGAGAAATTTCTTTCCTTTCCTCTCATTTAGCTTGTACAAAAGTTCTTATAACTTATGAACACGGGAAAATATATGTGCTCAAAAGAACCCAAAACGTGGAACAGCTAGCACGATTCTAAAACGCTCCTACCTCTGCAGCTAGTTGCAGAGTTTAATGTAACCTTCACTCATTTCATTCACCTTTTCCTCGTTACACACATAAATTAATACCAACCAAACCTTACGCTCCTCATACCTCTCTCCTCTTCCTCTCTCCCCAGCTATATATAAATTCCCCTCCATTAATAAAGTTCCAATCTATCAATCTCTCTCTCTCTTTCTCTCAAGCTCTCTAAAGATGGCTCAATTGCGTGATCTGAAAGATGAGCTTGACATTGTGATCCCAACAATCAGGAACCTTGATTTCTTGGAGATGTGGAGGCCTTTCTTTCAGCCCTACCACCTCATCATTGTCCAAGATGGTGACCCCTCCAACACCATTGGGGTCCCTGAGGGCTTTGACTACGAGCTCTACAACCGCAACGATGTGAACAGGATCCTAGGTCCCAAGGCCAGCTGCATATCTTTCAAAGACTCTGCATGCCGCTGCTTCGGTTTCTTGGTCTCCAAGAAGAAGTACATCTTCACCATCGACGACGATTGCTTTGTAAGCCTTTCCTGCTTTATGTTTCAGTTCGCACTTCAATAAATAATGTGTCGGTATACATGTAACTAACATACGTTACGTGATTCTAGCGAGTGCTCAATGTTCATGTATTGCATTAAAGTTTTTTTTTTGTTGTTGAGAAAAATTAAAGGTGGCCAAGGAGCCTAGTGGGAAAGAGATAAATGCTTTGGAACAACACATCAGGAACCTATTGACACCATCAACTCCATTGTTCTTCAACACACTCTATGACCCTTTTGCAAACGGGTCGGACTTTGTTCGCGGGTACCCATTTAGTTTAAGAGAAGGCCTGCCCACTGCTATTTCTCATGGGCTTTGGCTCAATATCCCTGACTATGATGCCCCAACTCAGCTAGTCAAGCCTCGTGAGCGCAACACCAGGTTACAAATTTACAATAATAACCCATGATCTTCTATATATCTATGCCTTGAAACACTGCCATTCCTTTTTTTATTTTTCATTTGGGTGTGCTTAAAATAATTTCGGATTGAGATTTTTTAGCTCATGTAGGCATGTGGATGCTGTGATGACAATCCCCAAAGGAACCCTTTTCCCAATGTGTGGGATGAACTTAGCTTTTGACAGGGAGCTGATAGGCCCAGCCATGTATTTTGGGCTCATGGGTGATGGCCAACCCATTGGCAGATACGATGATATGTGGGCTGGCTGGTGTGCCAAGGTAATTTTCCATATTATTTTATGAGATATTTAGTCATATACTCATTCTCAGCACTAAAATTATAAATAAACCCTACACCATTTAATTTCTATAAAAAAACAAAAAAAAACCCAAAAAATGACCAGCTAGCTATATTGAATTTAATTTTAATTATTAAATTACTTTAATGTCTTATTGAGTGTTTTGGGGTTGGATTTGTTTTAAGAAATCAATGACAATTTTGTAATTTAAAAAAAGTTAAAAGCCATTTTGTTATGTTGTCAATGAGCTTTGAGTGTGTTTCTAAAATCCATTTCATATAGGATGTTTTTATAATTTAGGCTCCTATATTGGGTATAGTAGTGAATCTCCATTATCTTATTCCCTATATTTTTACGATAATGCTAAGATACCAAACTTCCGTACCAAATATTTGAGTTTCAAATGACGTGTCACTTTAGAAGTCAATATTTTATGCATTTTAATAAACAAGCTAGGTATTATGGTTCAATGGACAAGGATGATAGGTTATGAAATTGGGGAAGCTTAAAAATGACACATATTTGGACGTATTATATTAGTTAATGATTTAAATCTACATGAGATGAGATGAGACCTCGGATAGTGACATATTTTTTTGTTTTTTCAGGTGATATGTGACCATTTGTTGCTAGGGGTGAAGACAGGGCTGCCTTACATATGGCACAGCAAGGCAAGTAACCCATTTGTAAATTTGAAGAAAGAGTACAAGGGCATATACTGGCAGGAAGACATCATTCCATTTTTCCAATCAATCGCGCTCCGAGAAGAGTGCACAAGTGTCCAAGATTGCTACATTGAGCTTGCCAACAAGGTTAAGGAAAGGCTTGGCCTTGTTGATCCTTACTTTGAGAAGCTTGGGGATGCCATGGTTACTTGGATTGAAGCCTGGAATGAGCTCAACCCACCACCACCAGCACAAACTGCAACTCTGGCTCATCCAAATGTTGCCATGAAAAACTAAGGCCACGAGCCCTCCTCTAAATTTAAAGCCAATTTGGCCCTTGCGTATGTAATATGTTATAATTTTCTCTTCCTTCTATTCTCTTAAGAATTTATGGATTTTTAGCTTTCTGTATTATTTATTGAATTTAAATTCTATCTACAATACAAGGTCGCTATACATAAGATGACTCTAGGTTGAGGGTGAGTGAGGTGTTTGATGAACAGAAACAGAATATTCATTTTCCTTGGTCACTTTGACAAAGTGTAAAAGATAATTATTTCATGTGACGGTAACGTCCTCAATTTCGTATACGTGCCGACACGAGTTTTCTTTACAGGTAGGATCTTCTCATTTGGAGCAGCCGCTGTCAATTTTTTCTTCGTAGCTAGTGAAATTGGACGTTTGGCCACTACAGCCGCCCACATTTTTCTACATGTTTCACATTTTCACAAGATTCATAAGCCGCCTTCATTGGTCCCTCGCAATAAATACGTGTGGTACACTTCTTAGTCATAATTCATATCCCTCATATTAGAGATGGAGCACAACCAAATACTTTTCCTGGCTTTACCAAAATCATCAGATTCAGCTTCTCCTAATCTTTCATCAAACCCATCAAATATTTCTCAAGTGTTTCCTCGTTTTCACTTTGACAGCGCAGGTCTAATGAAGAATGAAGCAAAAATTTATCAGCATTGTGGAACCTCTTATGGTTCAGTGGACAAGATGAAATCCAGCAAGAAAGAAGGTGGCAAAGAGACCAAGAAGCACAAATATGCATTTCAAACAAGGAGCCAGGTTGATATACTTGATGATGGGTACCGATGGCGAAAATACGGGCAAAAAACAGTTAAAAACAGTAAATTTCCTAGGTTAGTTCTGCTGGCTCTCATCAAATAATTTTCTTGTCAATTTGTGGTACTGATCTTTGATCTAATTTGGGTATGTTTGAACATCTTATCACAATAATCACATAGACTAAACCACCGTTATATCTATCTTTACATGCATGCCTTTGATAGAAAGCAAAAGGGTTCACTTATCAACTACTTAAACCTCGGAAAAAGAACCAACCACCCATTTGATAGAAGATCTTCATTGACTAGTAAACAATAGATATAGAAAAGCTCTTTGATCTGTCACCTGGAAGTTAGCATGATTCTCCTTTGATCTGTCTATGTTGAACTTCGTCAAATTTCTGGCTCGTTTGTCGAATCTATCACCTATAGCTACCTTTTACAGTTCTGATTTTATTTTGCAATGAATCTTCTGTGAAACACACAATGAACCAAGAGAGAAAAACCCAATAAAGACCAAGAAGTTTTGGATTCTTGTGATGAAGTTTTGATATATTGGTTCTCAGTTCAAGTGCTAAGAATGGGGATCAAAATGGAAGTTTTCTATTTCTAAATCAAACACTGTTAGAAAACTGCCAGCAATTAATTATTAGATTTGTAAAGTTTATACCTAAGATAGTCCTCTGAAAAAATGCACTAAAACACTTGATTGCTCATATCTGCTCTGTAACTTCATCTTCGTCTAGTTCCATGCTTCACCTAATGCTTGAAATTTCCTTCTGTTTCTGCAATGCCTTCGTCATCTTGCTCGTTCTAGTAAATTGGTTTTTTGACTATTTGATGCAGAAGCTACTATAGGTGCACGCATCAAGGGTGCATTGTCAAAAAGCAAGTCCAACGCCTTTCGAAAGATGAAGAGATTGTTGTGACGACTTATGAAGGAATCCATTCACATCCCACTGATGAAACTTCCGCAGAAAACTTTGACCAGATACTGAGACATTTACAAACATATAATGCCTAATAGAGCAGGCAATATTGCCACCATGTCACATAGGGTTGGAGGGTCTTCAAGGCAAATGGTTTTTGATGCTATGCTGTGCAAATTTGCTTGATATGCAAAATACAAGTCATGCTATCAGGCAACGATCTGCTAATCAAAATGGAAAGACAAATCTTATACGCTTGTCTTACATGCATCCTCTTTTGGATAGTTTCTAGAAAATTTTCTTTCCTCCTTGCTTTCATGTTTCTACATATGCTTTTTATTACTATTATAAGATAAATCTGCTGAGTCACTGCTTTGGAAAACTACCATTTTCTGGATTGTGAATATGAGTAAACATCTCTACACATATATAGATAGATAACACTCCAACCACCACTAAAGGGTTCTTTGTTCTTCAAAAAGATTATCAAAACTTCACTCATAAAATTGAGAAGGAAAAAAAGAAAAAGAAGATTGGTTCATCAAGCTCCACGGAGAAGAGGATGAAGCAAAAAAGCAATACCTAACCGAGATGAATGAGGCATATCATGTTGGGACTAGAACCACCTCATCTACATTTGGATATCCAGCAAAACCTCTGATAAAGAAAATTGCAAATACAAGTAAAGCAATGGCAAGCCAAGGCATGATCACAGCAGTGCACCTTCTTTCATTACCACCTTCATTTTTGTTATCAACCCTTTTCTCTTCCACACTCACCAATTTCATTCTTGCCTCTATCTCCACCTCTCTCTCCACATCCTCATCAGACAAAGAAGAAGATGAAGATGAAGAAGTTTTATAACAACCCTGAAAGCAAACTGCAATCTCTTTGCTCTTACCAGAGCCATCATCATCATCACCATCAGAATCATCAAAAGATACTGATCTCACCTCTCTCTCTTGCGCCAACCCGTTCCCACCACACCATATCCCTTCTGTTCCTCCAAAACCCATCTCTGTTTCACATTCCTCTGCCTCAAAAAGCCTCCTTCCCTTCAACTCACCACTCTCAATGGCTGCCCTTCTCTCTCTCCTAATCTCCTCCACCAAATCATTGGTCCTCACTCGCCATTCTCCTTGGGAAGGTGACAGTCCATGTTGAAGTGAAGACATGAGGTGCCTTGGAGAAGTGTCAAGGAGCTGATCAAGATTTTTCACCATGGTGAAACTTGATGAGTTGGTTGAATGCCTCCTCTTGGCTCTTGGGTTAGACTGTTTGTATGAATCCCAGTCTTGCTGCAAGTTCATGAACTGCTTCTGCAGTTTGGTCACACTTTCTTTTTCTTCTTCTACTTGGTGAGTTTTCATGGTAGGGCGCTCTTTTCCCTTTTGGATGTTCATGGTAGGGTCCCTGTGAAATTGTGATTTGCTTGTTTTTTGAATCTTTTTTATTGAATTTGAATGAAGGGTAATCTGTATCAGATAATTTGGTGGGTTAATTTTGATTTTCGAAGACAGTCAAAATGACTTGCACTTGGATAAGAAAGAACTACCCACGTTCTCATCATCATTTCTGTGGATTTTCATCCTCGGTGTAATTGGGATGAAGTAGGAGACTGTCCTATGATTCTGTGTATTAGGAATAATTAATCCGGGCCATTGAATCACTAATCAGATTTTATAGTAGCAAATTAGATAATTATAACCTTTGTTAAGCTACCCTACTGGTTTCTTTTTCTGTTCTTAGGATCCGATTTCTTTCTATTTTCTGTTTCTTTTTCTCTTTTTTGCTTTTACTTACTTTACTGATTAATCTAAAAAAGAGAGAATCCTTTTTACTGAAGAATTTAATGCTTTTTCCTTACCATTTTAAAAAAAATTTCTTTATTTCCTCCAATTTGGGAAATTCATCACAATCTCCCACTGAGAACCGTTTTTTATTATTTTAAAAAAACTACAACTAAAATTCGTCCACGATCGACATCATTTTTTTCTTCTTCTGATAATCATGATCCTTAAAAAATCATGTCCCAGAGAGAACTGATAATTACTATTACGTTCATTGAATTTAGGGCCGCAGTGCAGAGTCTATGCAGCTATAGTGACATCGTACTTTTCATCCCCTTTCCTTCTTGGACTTTATCAGACAAAATTGATTGCTCCCCCACCATCACCACCACCCATGACCTGATGACCACAAACAATACTTTTCCCCAAAGAAAGGTATAAGGCTACGCTCCCGTTGGGTGTTCGTGGACCAACCAATATGATGTCATATTTCGATTTAAACAAATGAATAAAAAGTTCAAGTTTTAGCCATGGTTTTGATTGAACTTGTTTAACACGTGACCATCCACTGGATGTTACAATTTATGATTCATTTGACAATACTGCAAAAGCTCAAGAAGCACAAAAGGAGAGGTAGAATTTTTTGAAGCTACACTACAAGCAAAGATTAGTATCCATGAAAAGGGGTCAACTCTCTTAAAAATCTATCACCAACAACCTGAAATCCCTATACGGCAGTTAGGACATCTCCTACTTTCCTAGCCCTTCGATCTATTTAAGTTTCCCTCTGAAAGACTGCTCAGCTTCAAGTCTTCCCTGATACGTCCTCTATTATGCCCTTTCCATCCATAGCATCGAAGAAGAAGAAATTCTTGAGAGGGTCTCCTTTGCCTGATATTGCCTTAATGACCTCCTGAGAAGTTTAATACCAAAACGTCAAGAAAATGTCAATATGTGGTAACTAGCATTTTCACTATAATTTTATTTTGACAAATAAACATTTCTTTATATACAATAAAGAAAATGGATAGGCAGCGCACCTGTCCGAGAATCCCCCCAATGATGGGACAAACTGGAGGAAATTCTCTTGTATCAGTCACCAGTCTTTCGAGGAGGACATTTGGGATATGAGATTCGTTCAATGACTGCAATTTTGTTACAATAGCAAGCTTAGGAAGATGCAGAACACAAAAACAGTAACAAGTTTTAAGTACACAAACAATAACAAGTTTTAAGTAGCATACCTGTGCCTCACAGAGCTCCTTTTTCAACTTCACAACAGCAGGAAGATCTGCAATTGATAATTCTCCAGGTTTACGTTGCTCAGCTTCTTCAAACCTTTCTATTACTGCAAGAAAGTGGGGATAATCCTGATCAATTTATTTTAACAATAAATGGATGGTAACTAATTCATACAAGATTTATAGAGTTTAAGGTTATAAATAGATGGTAACAATCAATTCATTCAAGGTGTAGTAGAATTACAGCACGACTATTAGACTAGAAAGAAAGCATCAATAAGCATTCTGGTGGTATGAAAATGATATGTACACCCTCACCCCTTTAGTAAAAGCATTAGCCTTCTCTTCGAGTTCCAATTTAATCCTCTTCTTCTTTACTAGTTTGGTGATTATAATTCTTCTTTTTTTTTAATGGCAATAGTTCATCACTTCTCATATAGCAAAGTATAGCTTTGACACATTCCTGGGAAGTACTCTCGTATCTCCTTTAGTAACGGCATTAGCTTTCTCATCTTCTTCTTTAATCTATTGCTAAATTTATTTTTAACTACTTCTTTCAAAACAAATTAAAATAACAACGAAAATAATTTACCACACCTCGCATAGCAAAGTATAGTTTTGAGAATTTCCTGGGAAGTGCTTTCCAAGGTACTGAAATTGATTCCTGTAATGTAAGATGCAAAACACACTTCATCATTAGTAAGTTAAACGTAAATGTGATCCATTACAACACAATTTATATATAAAAAAATTATAACTATATGAGAAAAAAAATATAGCAAAAAATAAATTCCATATGAGACCTCAGTGCAAAAGAAAAGACAGATGGTAGCCGTAAATGCTTGTTGTATGAAGAATGGTTTACCATATGAAAATATAATCTTGTGGTCTTAATTTGATCAAGGTGGTCTTATATTTAATTGTCACCCAGAAAAAGGCATAAACAAGCATCAGCAATTGGAAAAAGGTCTTGGGAGGGTTAGCATGAGAATGATCTGAAACCTAATACATCGTAAGGAAGAACAATGACAGACCAAGTCGTACCTCAAAACTTAGATAATGTAGTTCGCATTCGATTGCTTCCTCCCGTTTTTGCTGTTAAGAAAAACAAGAAAATCATTCATGCTCCTGTCATTACAGCATTTTTGCTGAAGATGCTTAAAGGCTATACTTCTCAATGTACAAGCAACCTAAAATTTCATAACCAGTCTAGTGTATGTGCAAACCAATAGCACTTCACTGAAAACCTTCTTACAGTTCTAGCAATGACGGTCATTAGTGCATCATCCATAAAATGAACAAAGAAACTGGTCAACTGAAAACAATGATATTAGAAAGAGTGCGAAATCAAATAAGATCTTCACCTTCGAGTATTTGTGGTGTTGCAGATCAACAAATATTTCACCACAAGAGTCTCTACAGTCAACTGTATAAAATGCCACACGCTTCGATAACTTTCGGCATTTTTCATTTATCAATTTCTGCAAAATAATGAGAAAGGAAATGGAACTCATCAAAAATGGATGTTTTAAAAGGTTAAAATTAAACATCAAAGAGGAAGGGTATGCACGGTACTTTAGTTGTGAAGGAGCAACAACTGACAACGACGACATCAAACTTACTGTAGAACTCTGCTCCGAAGCTTGACAAATCACCTGTGAGATCAAATGAGGTATATTCTTAGTTTCTTTCTTTTCTCACTTAACTTAGACCAGAAATTAGAAAGCATTGTTTAACTAGCCTGTCTTTAGTGCCATAAAATATTATAACCATCAACACCAGATTTGATATAGAAACTATGCAACTCAAAAATGATGTTAACTTAGTAGTAAAAATGGTGAACCAATAATATTGGAAATTAGTAGCACTAGAGGCCAGACCTTTTTCTACAGAAACACGAACCATCGGATTGAAATCTTTCAGAGAATCGCGACAAAGTTCAGTTAGAGTTTTCCCGGCACACACATTTTCATCAGAAGGTATCAGAAAGTTGGCAGAAAGCGCTTCTTCGGTCACAGCCCGATCATCAACCAGTGTCAAACTACCAACTCCGGCTAGTACAATATTCTTGCAAAACTACCCAAAGAAAAAGTGCAACAAGCGTGAACATGAATGCACCTTAAGATTCTAACACATGCTATCACCACCAATAAAAAAGAAAATAGATAAAGGTGTTGAATTTCGTTGAATTACCTCAGCAATAGTTCCAGTAATTCCACAGACTAGTATATGAGCTTTGCTCAGTCTAAAGCAAATAAAAAACAAATTGTTTAGCTCAAAACTAAAAACAAAACAAAACAACAAAATTAATTCATGAAATATATATTTTATAAAAATGCTCACTTTATATCTTGTGTATTTAACTTTATCGTCACATATGTGTACGTACCTTCTCTGGGCACCAGCGCCCCAAACCCTAATTTGGCGATCGTAAAGAGCAGTCTCCTGCTCAGTCAACTCCTCGCCGTCCATTCCTAACCGCAACCTGAAACCTTTGAAAATTAAAAAATTCACATTTCCAACTCGAAAAGTTTGAGTGTACTGCAAAACCCTAAAAAACAGTTACTTACACAATTGGTAGGGAAGGTGGAGCAAGAAAAACCCTAGATGAGCTGAGAATTTGAATTACTGAGAAAACAAACGGACAGAGACACAGGGGCTCAGCAATAAAATCTCCGGAATTGAATTTCAGGATTTTTTATTTTCGAGGCAATATTCGGAGTTTTTTCTTTTTATTTAGACCCAACCTGGATTGGGCCTTAAAATTCAGTCACAGATTGGGCCTCATTTCATACTATGTCTCTAATTGGGATGTATATGTTTCCCAAATATTTGGGTTCATATAGAATTACCCATAAAAAATAGGACTGAAATGCAAAAAGGTCTATCAAACTGGACCCGCCTAATTGTGGGAAACTAACTGTCCATGTCCAATTTGCACAGACTTTTTGCTGAGGCCCAAATAACTGACTCTTTTAACCAGAGCGGCGTATGGTCAGCATCATCAACTTGCCAAGAAAAATGCTAGAGCGTGCACACGACTGTTGCTTGTACAACTCATGCTCTGATAAGTTTTCATTTTAAATTTATCAAACTATCAAATATAATCTTATGACGGATCCTTTTGGGTGCTTATGCAACCTAACAATGGCTCAAAGGTGCGTTGACGTTCCTTGTGGTGTTCGGAGATTGCTGAGTGGCAGTGCCCTTCATCTTGGCGCTTTCGAACTCTTTGTTTTGTTTGATGTGAGATCTTGTTTGCATCCGATATTGTGAGGTTTTAAAGTGTTGTTAAATTTTGATTGATTTTAGTGTGTCGGGTGTGAGTTCCGTATATTCCAATAATTACGCATATTTTATAATTTAAATGAACTCGTAACATGATATTTTCGAACAATCTATTGTATGGTGATAGGTGAATAGGTGAATAGGTGAATAGGTGAATAGGTGAGGAGTTGGATCTTATCGAATGTGTAGAAAAATCAAACTGAAACTGCTGCCACGTAATGAATAAAAGTACTCACATTCACATGCTTCCCCCATAATGCACAACAGTGCTTTTTAGTCCCACTCACTCCTGCAGCAAATTTTTCAGATGAATCTATAATTTCACCATTGTTGGTTAAAATCATTAAATTTTTGGGTCACTGAATTTACACCTGCAAAATAATTAATGAGTTGCTTTGAGTTACTGAATTATTGGACAATAATTGTTGGGTTCTTGGCATATAGTTATTGTGGAGCAACTCATCATATGAGTAAATTATAATTATAGATACATAATTTGATTCTGACTCTGAAACAACTGATCATCCAAGACTATAATAAATCCACAATAATACAACATTACACACAATGGAGTGTTATTTATGGGTGGTGCACATAGCTCTAGTCATATGATCAAAGTTTGACTAGTCTTTTTTTTCTAAATGTGACCGAAAGCGAATGGTTCAACGTATCACTTATACGCTGACACGATATATTTGCATAATACAACGAGAAAAATCGCCATTACCATCACCATTACCACAAACTTAGTTTGGAATTGCCTCTTAAGTGAAGTCATTGTCAAAGTAAGGTAGCAATGACAACGGACGTGGCTCCATCATTGAACAATCATCCATCATTATAATTGCAGACGAATATGACGCGTAGGTCTTTGAATGGTATGAGCAACAAATAAACGATTGCAATCAACATTACATTAGCAACATACGAAAAAAGAATAAGAGTTTTTTTTCTTTTTCTTTGGGTAACCGTAGAAAATGGGATTATCTTCAATCAAATACTAATCTACAAGTCAATATAATTAAATTAAATTAAATTAGGATAAAATCCAAGTACAAATTAGAATATTTATGAGTCAAAATATTAGTATAAATGAGTCAATCGTGTTCGTGTGGAGATGGATGTACTTTGAGACGTAGGGAGGCTGACGACAAAAATCAATATGAGAATTGATGGTGCGATGGTGCCGACAAGGGAAAACTACACAATTTTTTTTAAATTTTTTTATTTATTTATTTAAATTTTATCAAAATTGGATTTCAGGGGATGGAGGAAGAGGTGGACAGGACAACACGTGGCAAATAATTAAACACCTTTTCTTCCACTGTGGGAAAACCTTTCCCTCTACTGACAGAGTTTGGTCCCACTGACATTCGCAATTACAGCTGCCACACTGACTTTTGGGTTGTTGCAGATTTAAAGGACTTGTCTAATGTCTCTCGTTTCTGTAGCATGACTCTTTTACCCTTCAATTATTACTCATATTACTACTCTTATTCATGAGCGAAATCATGAATAAGGAACGCCACGGATATGGAAAATAAACGAATCGATATATGATCAATACTCACTCAATGTATGTATGCATTGCATGCGATCCAATGATTGAGATTAAAATTCATTAATACATATAAGTGTTCAAAACACATGTTAGAATTAAAAATTTTAAAATTAGTCATGTCTAATTATTTTTAAAAGAGTCATTAATTTAAATTACAAGTTGTCTATTAATAAGTTGTATATATTACATTATATAATATAGGAGAGAGGTCCACACACACAAAAAAAAGAGGGCACGGGGGGCCTAGCCTAACCAATACGTAACATAAAATCCTTAATAAAGTTCTAATTTCCCAATCCTACATATACGTCAGCCATTCCTTTTAATTATAAAAAAAAACTTTTTCTTTTCATAAACTAGTACATCCCTTTCAAATTTATTTGATTTTTTCCCCTTCATATAAGTGATATTGGGGGAGGGAAAAATCAAACTTAGGACCTATGATGTATGAATAAATGCTCGTAACAACTTGAATTACAAGTTGCTTGTTATACTATGTGAAACATTCTTAATTAATGTATAAATGTTGGTTTGTGGGTGGATAAAATTTTGTAGTGATAAATTACCCGAACAAGTCTAAACCACTATTTTTTTATGCGAAAAAAAAGGTTACAAAGCAAAGTCTCTTAGACACGCATGTCTAAAGAAGTCAAAAAGTGTCACTATTGTATTTTATATACAAGTGTAAACTACTTGTTTATCTTTTTTTTCAAGGTTTTATAAAAGTAATTTTTGTCAAATAGTGTAACTATTGTATTTTGAACAAACACCATTTCTTGGCTTGAGCCCTCAAATCTTCAAGAATAATAGTCATTAGCGCATCTCTTCAAACCTACCTTCAACGTGTTTTCCACTCTACCAAAATATCATTTAAGATTTTTTTTTCTTTCTATATAATTTGAGCTAGAGTTCAAAATCGATAGCTTATTGCATACAAACCTTCTTATATTTCATTTCATAATGCTAAAAGAGATTTCAAATTCAAATATTTCCCTTCTCCCCGTTGTGTAAAATAAAATTTTATATAAAAAAAAAAAAAAAAAAAAAAAAAAAAAAAAAAAAATAACGGTATGCTACATATAATGTAAATGTAATAACAACTTCTTTTTATTTTTGAGAAAAATAAATACATAATTTAGATTAATAGAAATGCAGAAATAGGAGTTTGAAGGTGTTTGGTGTCTGACAGCGCCAACCTTCCCCTTCCTTTTTCTTCCTTGTATGGGCCTTCAACAAATCATTACATGCACGGCTCACGCGCTCTGCTCCCAAATACTCCCAAGACCAACAAAATTCCAGCTAAGTTTTTTGGTTATCACATGGATCATGGACCACAACTACCAAGTCTACAAAACCATGGACTATGGTTTATGGTCCATAAATAATCGCATACGAAAGCAGACCCTAATCCAAATTTACCAACTTCTACTTTTATTAATTAGTAAGGGTATTTCAATGGTATTTGTGTGTGTGTATTTTTCTCTCTTCCGTTTTCTAATTTTGACAACAACAAAAACTCAATCTACGTAAAATAAATTACATGAGGAGGATCATAATTCACGCAAAGATTGTGGAATACCCAAGCCTCAAAAACTCAAAATCAAAGTGATATTATGAGCACAACACGAATCTTATGTCACTAGCAAAGGGGAGAGAAAACCCAATTCATAAAATTGGTAAAGGCTTAATTTCCAACTAAGAAAGCAACAAAATTCAATTATTTGTGTGAGACATGATATCATTGACATGGCACATGCAAATGGAACAAAATTGTGAATAATATTTTGACATTGGCTTACGGCTAGTGGAGAGAGAGAGAGGTAAAGTAGTAATCTAGTCAATCAAATTGACCTTGGCCACTTGAAAAACATAATGCAGGTTTTGCTCCTAGATGGTATCTTCAACTTCTCTCTTCACCTTCTAACATGGAATCCCCTTCCTTTATTGCCCCTTCATTTATGGTTAAGAAGGCAAGCAATTATTAATCCAAGCTATTAGGGGCCCCATTGATTAACAAGCCTAGAGACAGACAGCCCAGCAAAAGGTCTGTACTAATAATTCTCAAATTTCAATTCAATTGAAAGCAAGCTTGGAATTTTACAGTTTTGGGCTCCAAGATGAAGAGGAAGGCTCACTCTCTCTATGAGGAGAGTGGGAGAGTGGGGGTACAAAACAAAGGGTTTGAAGTAAAAGGAACCCAAATGAAGGACATGCCATGAAATGTGAAACACAATGCCACATGGTTTGTCCTGAGCATCCATCCTTGTACTTCTTTTTCTTGGTTTGTAAAAGTCTGAAAGCTACAAACAAGCTGTCACTATTTTCCCTTCTCTCCTCCTCCTACTTACACATTTCAAACAAACCCTAAAATGGACAAAAAGAAATTTTTAAATAAAGGGGAAGTGAACTTGGCCCCCTTCATTTGCAGTTTCTTCCTTTTCTATAAGCATCTCTCTCTCACTTCACTAATAATATCTATGCTCCCTCATTTACATTATCCACTCTCTCTCTCTCTCTTCTCTCTCTCTCTCTCTCTGCAGCAGATACCTCCAATGGCATTTTGCTGACTGGTACAATAAGTGATCCTTCACCTCTTAAACCTACAACACCCAACTAATAATTTTTTTAGCTTTAGCTTTTTATTTTTTTTCCTTGACTACCCACTTTATTGGTTATTAATGGAATCCATGTCAGTGAATAAATGGCTGGAAAACCATTCTTCTTCTGCACCACTTATCTGTAAGTATTCTCTCACCTCTTCTTCTCTTTCTCTCTATTGTTTGTTTGTGTTTATTTATTTGTTTAATGGTCTAAAATAGTAATGTTTTTCATCTTATAGCTTCCCAATTTCTTGGAGAAACACTGCTTAGATATCATTAATTTATTAGAAAGAACAAAAGCCTGACTTTCTAGTTTGGGTTTCTATCTTCTATTTGGAGAAAACAAAGATTGCAATTCCCAGAGTTGCATTTCTTGCTTTGCTACTTTATATTTTCTTAGTTAAGTAGTTAATTTTGTTTAAGCTCCCGCATATAAATTGGTTGGGATTCTTGTATAATTTTTTGGTCAATTTGGGTTTCTGATACAGTATTTAAATTGGCATATTGCTGTTATGTCTGATAGAATAGATTAACCCTTTTGGAATTTGAGAGTGCACAAGCTGCATAGAGAAATTTGTTTCATCATTAAACCTCTGTTTATTTGGATTTCTGATGAAGTTATTTGGTGTTTTCATTCTTTAATAATGTTTATTGTGATGAACATTTGAAATGCATTCTTATTGAAGGTGATACAATTACAAATAGCAAGAGAGAAAAGCTTAATTGAGGGGGGTTGGAGGAGGGGGCCGGGGAGGAGAAGTAGAATAAACAAGCTTTAGAAGTAAGAGTTTTTATGGACTGGAACTTGAAAGCACCTTCTTGGGATTTGACTGAACTAGAACAAGAAACCTTTTCCAACTTAGGCACAGTTGATGGGTCTAGTAGCTTTGGAGATCATAGGACCATCAAAGGCAACTTTTCTGTTGATTTGAAGCTTGGTCAGTTGGGTGATTCAGGTAACAATGAGTTGGTGGATATGTTGAAGGAGGCTGGGGGTCCGAAAACTACATCATCGCCTTCTGGACCATCAAAGAGGTCAAGAGCAGCTTACAGTGGATCTCAGACAGTCTCATGCCTTGTTGATGGCTGCAATTCAGACCTTAGTGTTTGTAGAGATTACCATAGGCGCCATAAAGTCTGTGAGCTCCACTCTAAGACTCCTCAGGTCACAATTAACGGCCAAAAGCAACGATTCTGCCAGCAGTGCAGCAGGTATAAGATTTTACAGCAAGTGTTTCATGTAAGAGTAACATTGGTTGTTTTTCTTTCACTTGAATTTTGCTGTAGAATGTGGAGCACCTTAGTTATTGCAATGTTCTTGATCAAGTATTTCCTTATTTTGATTTTGCATTTTAATTTTACTTACACAGCGATTATCCCAAAATGTTGTCAACAGAAGTTGGTAGGTCATTTTCATCTCTCCAAGCATTCTGCTGCCTTGGTGAAGCATTTGCAGTGAATTGTAACTTTGATATGTATTTAGGATTTAGAAAGCGATCTTATTATATATGAGAGAAAGTCTTAGCTGGGTTGATTATACAGGAATTAGAATGTCTTACAGAAGGATGTTCATCTTTGTGATCCTTCTTTAAAGAGGTAGCGTACCACAATTCCAGAAGCCCTCTTAGATGTCCTCATGTCTCTGCAATAGGAATATGAGTTAACTTTCAAGTCTATCCGATATTTTGTTTATATTTTAGTAGACTTGCAAATGTGAACGAACAAGAATTCAACTGATATCGATTAGTTTCTTATATTCAAGATGACATCTATATATGTTAGTTTCAGATGAGTTATTCCTTCTGTTCTGAGCCATGATCTTGGAAAGATCAAGTTTCTCAAAATTCAGTCTTTTATGTAGGTTCCATTCGCTGGAGGAATTTGATGAAGGAAAGAGAAGCTGCAGGAAGCGTCTTGATGGACACAATCGTAGACGAAGGAAGCCCCAACCAGAACCCTTGTCACGTTCAGGAAGTTATTTGTCCAGTTACCAAGGTTAGCTGCAACCTTGTTTGTGGTGCACTTATCTATATCTTCGAAGCAGGCATGTGCATGCACTTGTGCACAGGCAGAGACAGATATGACTCATTCTTGCATCCGTACATAGAACTTTAGAAGTAATAGTATAGTATCCTCTGGAACTTTTTATTTGAACATATCCACTCAGCTGAGTGCTTCATCAACTATGTGTGGTAAATTTCCGCACTTGATGACCTAGTGGCCACTAAAGCAAATTCTGGTGGCCTATCCTTATAGCCTGGTATTTGACTTCAATAAGATCCTTCTCTTTAAATTTTTTTTTTTTATGGTTCTTCCAAAGTATTAATCTTATTGTCAAGTACTGCCTGCCTTTAGATGTCATTTGAACTGCAAATTTTTCTGCTTTTACTAACTGATCATAGATTAGTACAAACTTACATGAACTAAATTCTCAAGCAGACTGATGGGATTTCTTGAATTTGATGTCAACTCACAATCCAGTATATACTTATGCTTTTTCTTTAAAATAAAGCAGTTTGGATTTCTTGCATTAAATTAGATTTTCACTTCTTGCAGGTACACAATTGCTACCGTTCTCCAGTTCACTTGTGTACCCCTCCACCACGGTTGTGAACCCAACCTGGGCCGGAGTTGTCAAAGCTGAGGTTGATACCGGTCTTCATAACCAGCATCTCCAACTGCCATTGATAGATAAACAAAACATGTTTCTTGGGTCCTCAACCAGCACCAGCAGCACCTACAAGGGAGGAAAGCAATTCTCACTTTTCCAAAGCTCCCCACTGCACAACCAAACATCTCATCATGGAGCATCTGTCTGCCAGCCTCTTCTGAATACCATTTCATTCTCAGAAACTGGTGGTGGGGCAAAGAGCAAAATGTTTTGTGACAGGCTAACAACTCAAATCCACGATTCGGATTGTGCTCTCTCTCTTCTGTCATCACCACAGACACAGCAGACATCTGAAATAGGTTTGAGACACGTGGTGCAGCAGCCTAATTCAATATCTCTGATGCAACAACGATTAGGCCCCGGAAGCCTTCATGGGAACAACAGTGTAGAGCCCATGGATTCAGTTCTGGTCTCCAATGGAAGTGAAGCAAATGTTAATTGCCCCGGAATGTTTCACATAGGCTCTGATGGGTCTCTGGGGAACAATCAACAACATCAACATCAACATCATGCCCCTCAAACACTTCCCTTCCATTGGCAGTAGCAAAATGCAGGTTTCCTATACTGCTGCATAATTCATTTAGAACCTCTTTGTATGATTTTGCAGGGCCTTCTAGCCTTCCTGTAAACTAAAGGATACTATTTACATACTCTCCCAACTATGATTAATTATATTTGGCTCCTCATGAATCATGATGGATAACCGTTTTGGTCAACTCCTTATTTGCCTTTTCCATTCACCACATAGGAGTTTGACTCTTCGCTCCGTAGTTTCTCATGAAATTGTACTATGGTCAAAGAATATCAGTCAATTACTTACCAATCTGACCTGCAAAAGAACTGTGAATGTGTTTGACCATGTGGGGAAGCAAAAGCCGGCTTGCTCTGTACTCACTTGAGTGCCAATTTGTTTTTTGAGGGCTCTGCCAATTCCTGAGGGCATATTGAGTCTGAGGACATATTGAGTCTCTGCAAATTAAAATTTAAAATTCCCAGAAATAATATGTAGATGCAAAACTTCATAGCGAAACACCAAAATATGAAAATTCATAGGGTTCAGGAGCAAAAGCTCAAAATACAAAAAATTCATGAGTGAAACCTTAAGATTTAAAAGAAACTCAAAAACACGAGATATGGTTTAATTAGGTTATTCGAACATAATCAAAGAAGACTCGAGACGAGATATGGTAATAAATAGCATCAAAGATATAAAAATACTTGGGTGTCATCCTCACACCGCCACAAGGTATTACTAATCTATGTGTTATCATTAAAGTGGACAACATAAATGATATGTTGCAAACCCAAGGTATAGGACAAACAAATACACATGTTATAAAATTGGTAGCTCGGCTTGGACTGTATTGGTGTTGAGTCCAAGCCAATCCTTTTGAGTTCCACTCCTCTGGTTAGGACTTGTAAGATATAATATGTGGGATTGTTATTTAATTTAATAAGTCCAATCTCAACATTTATAAGTTCACCAAGCAGCGCTTAATACTCTTGTCCATTTCAATTGAAATATTTAAAAAAAACCGCAGTCAAGCCGACCGGCTATACTATTTAAAAATAAAAATAAAAATAAAATCTAGTATAGCCGCCCGGCGATACTATTTACTAAAAACAAAAGAGGACCCGCCCAGCACTTAGGTACCCGCGTGTCAAATTAGGTTTAGCCGCTAGGCTATACTATGTTTTAGAAACATTAATAAAACAACGCATAGCCGCGCGGCTATACTATGTGTTTGAAAATTTAAAAAAGAGTATAGCCTAGCGGCTATACGATATATATATTAAAAAAGACCCGCCTAGCGCTATGCGCCACGTGTCAAAACAGTAAAGCCGCACGGCTATACTATTTTAAAAAAAAATAGGAAACGAGTATAGCCGCACGGCTGTTCGAGTTTTAAAAAAACCGAGTGACATGAGTGTATTGGTAATACCGTATATTGATATAGGCCCACATATACGTACGGAAGAGATTAACAGTATATTGCATGTGTAAACTCTCCTTTCGTGGCTTAGCAACGTAAGAGAACTCTTCCAATTCGATACATACTATGCGTCCATTCTTACATTCATGTCGAAAAGGACAAAAGATTTTAAAACAACTCAAAAAACACCAGATACAATTTAATTAGGTTCTTGCAGCAGAATCAGTGAAGACAGATGCGGTAATAAATAACATTAAGGATATAAAAATACTCATGTGTCAGTGGCGGATCTAGGATAGGAAAGTCAATTGGGCGGAACTTACGTACTAAATTTGACGATTCAAGTGATTTTCATTAATAAGCAGAAAAAAATACATCTAGTCATTGGGGACATAATCAGTTTTACCCTCAAATACATCTATACATAAATAAAAACTTAACAACAAAAACAAAAACCACAAGTAATTTCAACAAAATCACAAAATTTTAAATCAATCCCTACGTAAATCCTAGAATACTCAATTTTAAATTAAAACTATAATTAAAGATATAGAAAAATTAGAGAATTACAAAATACATTTTGTTGTATAAAGTAGAGGAAAATATCCTGCCCAGCCAAGATAACAGGAAGATGCAACAAATAAAAGGGGAAAGAAGATGTTGCTGTCGTCAGATTGCCATAGAATAGATGAGATAAACAAGTTGATGTGATGTAGCCAAAGAGAAGAGAGAGAAGATATGGGACCACTTCCTCTTGGATGGGCAACATGTGTATTGGGTTAATTTTTATTTTTAAAATTTTCTTATAAATACATGTTTAGGATTGAATTTATTTATAAATTTGTATTAATTATATGGCATTGACCTAAAGTATGATATTAAAAAACAAATACATGTTTATAAGATTAGTGGATTGGTAAAAATAGTCACACCGAAAATATCTCCGGTAGAAAAATAAGCATTACATACACCTCACGTGAGCAATCTAAACCGTACATTGATATATGGCCCACATAAACGTACAACTGAGATTAACAGTACATCGCACCTGCGAACTTTCGTTTCGTAGCATAGCCTAGCACCAAAAAAGTAGTAAATTGAGAGAATTCAAATCCAATTTAATACTTTGGATTTAGGAAACTGTTTGATTGGATTGGATTGGATTGGATTGGATTTTCTCTGGCAGAGTAGACAAATGAAAATTTATGATTTTGCATGTAAAACAGCGTCGTTTTCTGCTACCTAACTCAGGAAGGTTCAAAAAATCAGATATAAAAAGGAGCTCCCACTCCTACCATCACAATAGAGCTGAGCTACTCGGAGCATTGTTACGTTCCGTTCTCATAACAAAGCAGAAGGAGGAGACGAGAAGACGACAATGGCTGCAAAACCTGACATGGTTGCAGAAGTGGAAATGACTGACGCAAAAGGAGTGTTTTCTCCGGCACACGACCACGTTTCAGTGAACATTCTGGCGAGACCACCCGCCGTTTCTTTCGCATCATCAGCTGCCTGTGTTGGCAAAACGTGGAACCAAAGCTGCAACAAAATTCTTTCTCGTCCCCACTTCTCTTCAGCTTTGTCTCTCAATCCGGACCTGCATGTAAGTCTTAAATAACTCTGTTTGCTTAACTCTCTGGATTTTGTTTCGTGTATGGTTCTTTTTTTTATTTTTTTATTTTTTGAAGGCTGCCTTAGATGAGGTTCTTGCTGACGCTTTCTCTAAGCCGCTTCGACCGGACTTCATTGTCGCATACATCGGCATAAATTTTAGCTTGGAAGAAACTCACCACCTTGTAAATGATCATTCTACCTCTGCTTAAATTTTTTGTTGTTTTTTTTTCTTTTTCTTTTGAGAGTGGTTGTTCTGCTGCAGATCACTGAGAAGGTAGGCCCTGGAATTCCGGTTATAACCAATAAGGCCAAGGGACTAATTGGCACTGATGTCCAAACTGATAAGCTCAGAGAGGTTTGTTCTTTAATTTCATGGACTTGTTTGAGTTAATAAAAAGACCATGTTGACTAAATAGAATATTTTGTGCAGGTGGTTTGGGGATCGACTGATGGTGATTCTGAGTGGAATGAGAACAATTCGAACCAAGGGATTGTTTTGTCTGTCGGATACATGCCCGGTTTGAAAGTCGATGTCATCCCACTCTTAAGGCCAAAGAATGTAAAGCTTTTGCTGCCTTTGCAATGCTATTAAGCTTTTAATTAGTGTTTCTCTTTTTATTACCATTTGTTGGTGTGAAGGAAAATTGCATGACTTGGAGATTCTTGCTAATCAGGAACAACAATTGACTATGGTTGACCACTTTCTGATGGAAATTATGGATTTCACCTGCGCTGCTTCAGGTTCTTTATCCCCATCTTGTATCATAATGTTTGGGGTAAGTTGGTCTTCCTCATCTGATCTTTTCTTTTGTTGGTTATACGTTCACAACAAGGCAGTTTCTTTTATTTCTTCTAATTGGGTTACTTCATGGTTGCTCATCTAGGATAAAAATGAGGATATGAATCCCATTCTTACCATCCTTGGTGAGTACTTTTTTCCTAAAATGAGTTGATAAGTATATATTACTTACTTATTAGCCTGATTTTCTAAGCTCATAGATTTTTATGTTTCCACAAACTTGTTTATGGATCTTATGGCTGATAACTTTCTGTATCTTGCAGATCAGGTCATGCCTGATGAGACAGCCATTGTTGGTGATGCAAGTGCCGCCTTTCTGTGCACTCGAATGGATGAAGCGGAAAATTACAATAAGGATGTGTTCTCTTTCGCCGCTGCTGCTCTCATTTTTGCGAGGGATCAATACAAGCCTGAAGGTATTTCCCTATGCAGAACTGTCCTATATTCTGCAACAAATTATGTCTGAACATAATCATAATTCATAGTAGTTTACCCTTTTTTGGTACTCTTCTATTGCTTATTTCTGTCATTCATGTGCTTCCCATTTTCTTGTTTCAAAGTTCTGTTTTTAATAACTCATCAACTTTGTGTCTTTCCTGGTATTGAATTTAATGAGCAGACATAGGGGAGACTGAGTTTCATGTCACAGTGTCGAACGGTATAATACCATTTGGTCCTCATCTCAAGACGGTTTCAGTTCTGGAGAAGCATTGTCTTTGTTCATGGGTTTCTGCCATAATGCTAGGATTCGAAAGTGTCGTTATCGATTGCTACGATGTTTTAATGGAACTGAAAAGCCAGGTGTGTCACTATAAATTCGTAATTGACTCACGAATAACATAGATATGCTCGAATATTATATTGTCAGACCATCAATTTAGCACCACAAATTAGAGTAAAAATCCCCCGAATTAGGGTTGAAATAGATTTAACTTCGTTATAAGAAAAATCTGTTGTGATGTAGATCAAAAAGCCTGATATGTACATTGGGGTCACACAAAGAAGAAACTACTCCATTTTGGAAAAACCACCAAGCTCCATAAGATCCTTGTCCTTTCATGAAGTTAAGGAGTAAGTCACAAACCCCTTTTCTACTTCTGTTTGCCTGAATTTCTTGTAGAAATATTCATATATCAATTGAAAAACAAAAAGGGACTAATTAGTGTTGGTTTTTATGGTTTGAACTTTGAACAGTGGAGAGGGAGACTTCATCCTTGTTGATGGCATTGGTATCAAACCTGGTGATATCTTCTTCTTCTACCATGCAGATGCTGAAAATGCCTTGATCACCATTGATCAAGCCTGTCGCAAACTTAAAACTTTGCGTGAAGATTATGAGAAAAACGGGCGAGAGGTGTTTGGAGGCTTCATCTTCTCCTGCGAAAATCGCGGTGTGTCGTTTTTCAAGAGGCCTGGAGTTGATAGCAAGCCATTTGCTATGAACTTTCCGGGAGTTCCAGTAGCTGGTATGTTTGGTAATGGTGGGGAGATTGGACGTGGTACTTTGCTTGGTGTTAAGAAAAATCTACGACGAAATGGTCCTCGCAGCTGTGTCCATGCCTACAGCTCTGTTTACTTGGCCATGTCATATGTTCCTCCTCCTGAGGCTCCAATGATCATAGATGAGTAGATGTTGCTCAATTTTTCTCCATGTGGATTAAATAAAGTTGGAGAATGGAAATAAAAGAGCTTCAAGATCTAGGGTTTCTTTTTTCATCTTCTTTTGTTGTTGTTTGGTTTTGGTAGGGATGTTGGCAGAAAGTTGGTGTTCTGTCTTGCCATCTCTTCCAATTGCGTTTATCATTTATGTACACTAGGTCTAGGCCAGGCAACTCCATTGTAGCTTCTATAGTTGTTCAAACTTGATCATGTGGAGGAAGTTAAATGAGAAGTGCTGGTAGTATTAGTATGTATCCAAATGAAAATTGATAATGGTAGTATCCTATGTGCATATGAAGCCCTTATCATCACCAAGTGTTTCCTGATAAAGCATTTGAAGGTTCTTCCTGAAGAAGTACATGTTAGCTGCTTCTTTAAAAAACACACCTTTTCAAATCATAGACACGGATGTGTGTTTAATTAACATATAAATTAATCTCAAAATATCTCTCTCAAACATAAGTTGGTTTAGGCTGGTTTTACAAAAGCTCAAAATCAAACCAAATCAAACTATATATGGTACGATTCAATTTTTAAACTGTTTGACTTTTTTTAATTAAAACCAAATCAAATTGATAATTACGGATTCATTAGGTCGGCCGGATTGATGCCCACCCCTAAACATAGCCTTTCAAAAATGAACTAACACGTCCTTGTTAGACATGAGGATACTTGACTATTAACTCAAAAGTAATGCTTGATGGACATCATTTTTAAATCACATTAACTAATTATATCATTAGAAGTTAGAACAATAATAATAGATATACAAACTCTTTTTTCAATTTTTTTTCAGTACAAGTAATTGGTGAAGGGAGTTTACACACAAATATTTATTGAGTGCTTGAGAGTTTCGGACTTCTGCCCATACAGTGGAAGTGGAAGATCTAAATCAATTGAGCTTTACCTCACTAACCTTTGCTTTATGATGGGAGAGAGTTGAGATATAAATTTAGTAATTGACAAATCGCTTGTTACATAACTTGCTTGACTAAAATGTGTTCCAAATTTTCCTGTGATTACTTATGTATATTTATATTATATGCTTAGAAAAAAAATATTTATTTTATTTTATAATCTTATATAGTATTTTTCTTGTTTTTATTTATACAGTGAGAATATTTTACCAGTAGTTCGTTCGATTTTTCCAACTAAAGGAAGAAGGGAAGATACAAACACGATAGCTGAAACCAACCAAAGCTTGAAACTTGCAATTGCTTGAGACTTGAGACTCTGAAAGTTGGCATCTTTACAGAACAAAGATGGACGAGGCATCGTCGTCGTCGTTGACGATCAAAAACAAAAAGGACATGAAACGGCCCCAAACGACGGCGGGGTTGTTATCGCCGATAAACGACGACCTTCTCCACAACATCCTCTCGCGCTTGCCCGCCTTATCCTTCGCATCGGCGGCGTGCGTTAGCAAATCCTGGAACCAAATCTGCAGTCGAATCCTCTCTCGCCCAAAACTCGCCTCTGCCCTCTCTCTCCACCCCTCGCCTAAGGTTTAGCCCCTGTTTGGTTTCCCAGAAAATCACGAGCACCCACATTTATCACACATTTTCTCTGCGTATATATGTATGTCAAGCTTTATTTTTGTGTCTTGGAATTGATAGGCTGCTGTGAAAGAGGTTATCGAGAAGGTTCTAGCTGAGCCGATACGACCTCATTTCGTTGTAGCTAATATTGGCAGTGGGTTTCGCTTGTATGGCATTTTCAAGCTTGTATGTGTTCTTGATCCTATGAACCTTAATTTACTTCATTATATATACACATATTTAATTTTTTTAAAAATCAAATTATGGATTTTTCTTGTGTTACTGTTTAATATTGTAGATATCAAAAAAATTGGGGTCCAACGTTCCGTTTATCATTTCTACTTCAAGCGGAATTATTGGAAGGGATGCTCTTACCCATGAATTCAAAGAGGTTTCATAGATAGTTGTGTATTTTGGGGTTCGCCTAGGTTTTGTTCATTACTTTGCAGCAAGTTTAACTCTTTACTAATTTTGGGTAAAATTTGGTTAATTAGGTTAAGTGGGGAGATGTTTGTGGTGATGGAAGTGATGAAAATTGCTCTATACCAGCAAAGGATGTGAACTACGGCATCCTTTTGACTGTTGGCTTTGTGCCGGGATTGAAAGTTGATGCTATCCCACTGTTAAGATCAACAAAGGTGCCAAATTCTACAATGAATCTGAAATGCTGATTTTTTTGAAAGTTCTACAGTGATGAATTTCAGATGTGGAAACTTGGGACATATAGTTTCGGTTGTTATTATCATTTGTGGAAATTTGTAGAATCTTTCAAGCTCTTTCTGCAGTAATGGATTTGTTGACGCATAAACGTTTACAATGACATCAGGAACCTCGAGAGGTCTTGCTTGATAAATTCATCATGGATATTAAAGATTACACAGCCTCTGTTTCAGGTTGCACCTTCCCTGTTGGAATTATGATGTTTGGAGTGAGTTTCTGTCCTCATACTTGATTGCCTATTCGTTCTTTTTTTCCTTGTTTTTTCCCTCTGTTAAAAATCAACTGCAGTTTTCCATTGTTGCATTGCTAATATTTGACATGATTGATGGTACAGGATGGGCTTATTAACATGAAACCAATAATTGATGCATTGGGTGAGTATCCTCACTGTGTAATCATATTATGTTTTTATATCTCCTTTAATTAGACTGTCTTTATGAGGAAAAACATAAAAGTAGTTTTATGCTTATAATTGAAAACTTTAACTGCTAAAAAAGAAATGGGGTTAGAAGAGAAATATGAAAAAGAACAGAAAAAAAAAACACTTTGTTTCATGGCTAGGAAATACAAGGAATGATTTGTTTAGCTTTTGAAACATGAGGGAGACAGGCCGATACTTTCAAATTTTTGTGTGTTGCAATAAAATTTTCTGGTGCAAGATCTTACTGGATCAACTTTTGTTGATTATATCTCAATATCTCATTTATTGCAGACTATTCTATGCCTATGGAAACGGTCATTGTGGGTGATGAGAGAGGTCGCTTTTTGTATAGAAGTGGGAATGAGTCTAGAAATGTCTGTGGGAGTGCAAAAAACTTTTCAGATGCTGTTGCTCTTATATTTGCCAGGGACAAAGACAAGCCATCTGGTAATGATTTAATTTCTTTATTTATACATTACTGTGCTCCTCATGTTGTTTCCAGTGTAGTTTCCTGTTCACATAGCTAACTTGTATGCCTTGACAAAATTTGAAGAAAGAAATCAAAGATATATATAATTTCTTGATAGATTGCTACCTTAGCCTTCGAAAATCTGAAGCCACTTCAGGTTGCAGTATATTTTGCAGCCCCCTTTGCCAATTTAGAACACAGCCAAATTTATTCAATTCTAAAGCATATTACTTATGCTTTTCATGTTTAATGCTTGCATACTTCAACAAAATGGGGTTTTGGTTTCAATCACAGTTTGTTTTCAAATTTTGGAACAGTGACTTTTCCGTTTTTTTAATGCATTGCTTTTTCCAAACTGTTTTTATTTTTATGAGTAAGTGTTTTTTTTTCTTCTTTTTTTGAACTTTCCAGATTGTATCTCACACGCCTCATTATGTGCTGATAAGGTTTCATAGATGCTTGCTTCTGAACTTTCCTAGTGACTTAGTTGTTTTCTTCTTCCTGTTTTCATGTGGAAACCTTGGCCCACCCCTTTGCTGTTACTCTAGTAATCGTGTAGTATATCTATGATTGCTCTCTTATTCTGTAAAGTTATTATATCAAACTGCCCAATGTGTTTCATTATCACTTATCTGGTCTGGTATAAATGAGAAGGTATGGGAGATATTCAATTCCAAATTGCATTGTCAAAAGGAGTGTCAACAGTAGGTCCCAGGCACAAGGCTGTTTCTGTTAAAGAGAACAACCGTGAGCATTCTACTTGGCTAACTGCTAGAAGGGAAGGACACCCAGAGATTCTTGATGGTCAACAACTTCTTAATGACATCAATGATGAGGTAAAAGAACACATTTAAAATTTCCAAGTGGTGCATGTTAAAAATCTGCAGAAAGTGCCAGTTGACTTTGAAGTATTGTTTTACGTTGGATTAGTGAATCCAAAAAATATTACAATAGAAGTTATTTAACATATATAGTAAATGTAAAACCTATTTTATGTAAGTATCAGACATTCTTACAAGTACTTTTCTTGTTTTTGAAATGTTTATGTGACAGTTAGAAGATTATGCTGATTCTTCTGATCTATACATTGGGGTTATAAAACGAAGAAATATCTCCATGGGATCAGAGAAGCCAAGAATGATTACGTCCTTAGAATTCCACGGAGTTGTAGGGTAATATTCAGAACTTTTCATCTTTAACTGGCTTGTATTGTCTTTTGCAACTTTTGATCTTGGACTCGGAATGGATTTCCTGCACAGTTCTGCATGGATAGTATACCAGCTCTCTTTTGAATTTCTATTATATTGATTTAAAACTTTTTTTGATAAATCTATTGATTTAAGTATTAACATGAGGCCTTTTCCACAGAGGAGATGATGAGTACCTTTATGTCAGTGGTGTTGGCATTAAAACTGCCGATTACTTCCATTTCTATCGTTCTGACCCCGAATCTGCATTATCTTCATGTAACAATGTCTCCTCAAGCCTTAAAAAGTTGAAGTCAGATGAAGATTCAAAACATCGTCGTCATATAAGTGAAGTATTTGGGGGTTTTATGTTCGCTTGTTGTGGCCGTGGTGAGTCATTCTTCGGACGCGTCAATGTTGATGGTTCTCCTTTCGTGGAGAACTTCCCTGGGGTTCCACTGGCAGGAATATTTTGCGGGGGAGAAATTGGACGTGGCCCTTCAAGGTTGACTGGGGAAGCACATAAAGATAGTGATGCCCGTTGCAATATGCATGTTTATAGCACCATTTATCTTGTACTATCATATACTCCAGTACCATTGGAACATTAGATGTTTCACGACTGTAATTTGGTTGCTTATGCTTTGACTCATTTTCCTTATTGTTCTTTATTTCTTTTAACCTTTACTTTAGTTGAACACAACTATTTATACACTTTGGTTGCACTGTTGATGATCAATGAACTATTTGTATGACCCCGAAATTAATTTGCATTTTGTGTTTTCTTTTCTGTGTAGCGCATTTTCATGCGATATATATACTATGTCATAAATGCAAAGTTAATTTTTCAAGCCGATCACTTTTTATTTGGACGTGTGCAATTTTTGGCCTAATGAATCAACTCAAAAACTTTTCTCACTTTTTTGGTATTAATAGAATAGAACCCACGCTTAGCCAATACTAGAAAAGTCTAACATCACCACTAGAGTGGTCTTTTCCTTTATTGGTGGCCTATAAAGGGAACTTTGAGGTTATTTATGGGTAACCTCAGAATGCGTACACACACACACACACACCCATTTTTGACATCCTTAGCTAAACAATGTGTTTGGAAAAACACTCACCCTACCAGTAGACTAATCTGTATTTGACTTAAACATGCACCCCTTTGATCCAATGATTACATCCCTTGAACTATTGTTATTGTATTCCTCTCTAATATACACTAGATTCATAAAATTGTCTGATGCTTCCATCCACGGGATATGATGTTTGCAATAATTATAATGATCTGAGTTTCGCTGAGGTCCCCGAGAAATGTCAACGAACATTTTAAGCAGTTCGGTTGGTCATTGTCAGTTGAGTACGTTGATGAGGTTGTCAAAGGCCGGTTGAGTATGTTGATGAGGTTGTTAGAGGCAAATGCATTGGGTTTTTGGATATTGTTAATTTACATTTCTGATAGTAGATTGGGACCGAATTTCTTGCAAAAAGATAGTGATACTCGTTGCACTTTGAATGTCTATAGCATTAGATATGTTGCATGTTGTTCCTCCTTTCAGGACGGATGTAGTTTTCGCTTGGCAATCACCGTTGTTTTCAAACCCTCCAAAACCCTTAAATTTTTTTGACAAACTCATCGATTTCTCGAACAAGATCCTCATCTACTTCCAACCAATTACATCCTTAGCCAAACAATGTTTTTTTTTTTGCTAAAAACACTCACACCCCTTTTATCCTATGATTACATCCCTTGAACTATTGTTATTGTATTCTTCTTTAATATACACTGGATTCATAAATTATAATTGTTTGATGTTTGCATCCACAGGGATAGGATGTTTGCCATTCTAACATACTGATTTTGTAATAATTATAATAATCTTATGGCTGATGATCTCTTGAGGCTCCTGAGAAATGTCAACGAGGATTTTAAGCAGCCTGGTTGGTCATTCTCGGTTGACTATGTTGATGAGGTGGTCATTTACATTTCCGATGGTAGATTGGGAATGTGTTTCTTGCATAAAGATAGTGATACTCGTTGCACTCTGCATGTCTATAGCACCATTTATCTTGTGATATCATAAACTCCCGCACCATTATAGCATTAGCTACGTTGTTTGATGCTCCTCCCTTCATGAAGGATGTAGGTTTCGCTTGGGGATCGCTCAATTGTAATTTGGTTGCTTATACTTAAACTCTTTATCCTTATTTCTCACATCCAACATCCAAGAAGTAGGTATCCTTCAGGAAAGATCGAAGAGAAGGAGAAGGGAATTGGTTAGCTCCCATTGAAAAAGTCTAACCCCTTCGGCTTGGTCAGCTTCTTGCTTGGATGCTTTAGTGGTGTGGAGTCTATTTTGGACCTTTACTTTAGTTGAACATAACTGCTTATACACTTTGGTTGCACAATTGGTGATCAACGAACATTGTGTCGTACATTTTCATGCTATATACATATAAATATATGCGAACGAGGGTTCAATATAGCTGCCAAGAACTTAATGCACTAAATATTTGCAATTGCAATACAAAAATATAGTAATTTCTATTACTAAAATAATAAATTAGGTGGAATCATATCTGAATGCAGGGTTCTATTTTAGGCATGTTAACATAAGAGGAGATGTATATATGTGGATGTATGTGTATACGTACATGTGCGTAGGATCATGTATAACACAGTTATCAGTATACAACAAAATTTGTAATAAATTGGAGCCCAAAAAGGAAAAAAAGAAGAAGAAGAAGAAGAAACTAGTTAGCACGAAATGGGATGAAGTGAAAATGCAACTGTGATATTGGCACGGCTCAATCAAATCAAAGGACCCAATACTTGGGAGATTTGATTTGATTGAGCCATTCCAACATCCCACATTTTTTAGCTAAACAAGAAGACAACTGATAAGGCAGGAAGGAAATCATAAATTTGATCACCTCCATTGCTTTATATCACTCTATCAAAAACCTTCTTCTTCTTCTTCTTCTTCATATGGTTTCCTCTTATACATATCGATGGCGAGTCAACGATGCATAGAAGAAAAAAAATGAACCAAAAAAAGAGGTGATGGATGTGGAGAAGCCATTGAACTAGAAGGTGCAAATGGGGAGACAGATATATAAAAGAAATGAAAGAAGAACGGAATTTATAAAGATGGGTTGCAAACAAATAGAAGCAGACAACGGTTGAGACGTCAAAATCTTTGTTTCATTTGGGAGAAGGGATTATATTTAATAAAATTTTCCATTTGGTCTTCCACAAATGCTTAGTGGTCTATGACATTGTCACAGTGAATGCACAAGAAAGATGCCTTAGTTGCAATTTCCTTCTAATTTCCAATTGTAGTGGTCATTACACAAACCTTTGCCATAATAGTTTTTTTTTTGTTTTGTTTTTTGTTTTTTAGGGGGTGGGGTTTTGTTTTGGTGTATTGGTGTTGTCACCCCCCATATTTTAGAAGGTTGAATCTTTTAAATTATTGTATTTTCAACCACACACAGGTAGATTGAACTGGCAAAACCATGAAATTAAAAGTAGCCAATATTGTATGGAATTCATTGCCGTCCAATTTAGAAGTTGCCAAATGAATGCTTAGGAGACTTGTTCATATGGTGATGATGGTGATCACAATAATAATATGTTCAAGTGAGGAACTTTTGAAGGTCTTATTTGGGTTGTTGACATCTAGGGTTTGTTTGTTTTTAATACATGTATTTAGTACGAAAATACAACCTCTAATCTAGTGTGAATAAATTATATTAGAATTAATTTATGTAATAATGCATGGTAATGGTGTGCTCATTATCTCCACTAAAAACAGGAGAAACAAACGTATGCATATTCGCCAAACACTGAATGACTCAAACCTAATTTTATCTTGTCCCATTTTTCTTCATGATTTAAGTGCATGTCTTTGAAAGGGAAATGAATATAGAAGCCCACTGAAAACGAAACCAGATATGACCCCAGCCTCTACAAGAAGAAACAAGCACTAGCTCCACCGTTTGCCCTTTGAAGATTTACAAATTTATTGTTTTTTATTTATTATTTATAAGATTTTCAATTTATTGACTGCCCAAGAGCCACATTGCCTACTTCAATTCACCAATCTGAAACTGAAGAATGTTGCTCTTGGCATTGCTTTCAAGGATATGGAATCAAATCCTGCTTTCACCCAAGTGGGGGAGTCTTCACCTCATTTGGGATCTTAAATTTGGGATTTATTTTATTTTGGGTGTAATTAGCATAAAATCAAACAAAAAACGTCAAAACAAATTATCGCCGGCAAAGAGGGAATTAACAGTCGGCAGCCGACAATTAGTGCTCTGGATTTCTGCAACCAACCAAAGAGAAAAGAAGTGATTAAGTAAATGTAAATAAAAAGTTCGATGAACTCTTTGTATTGTATGTTTGGGAGTGCTTGTGGAATGACTTAAAGCTATTTCTGACAACAAAAAACGTTCTAGCATAAACAAGAAACACTTAGATTTTTAATGAAAATAACGACTTTCTTCTAATAAAAGTGTTTCCCACAAAAGCAATTACGATTGAAAGTGCATCCTATACAAAATGTTCTCAAACAGACCTTATAAGATTAATCATATAATAGTGCAAGGATTTCCATGAAAAGTCGCTAAAGTTGGTGCTGTGGAATGCTAGACCAACCAGAAGGAAAGGAAGAGGAAGTGGTGAAGGTGGCTGGAATATTCCTCACCAAACCTAAGAATCTATAATCCAAGGCCATGCAGAGCAAATCTTATAACTTTTTTTTAGTGCCATGTGGGTATTATAAAGCTTAGGAAAACAGCAATGGTTTCTCATCTTTATATATAACATAAAACCTGCCAGCCACATCCACAGGCATTGAGCTTTAACAAATGATCAGAATTTCCTGATAAGTGCTGGCCCGGAACTACCGTAGGACCGCCGATTGTCAATTGATATTTGAAAACAATTTTGATCGAAATACAAGGTAGACACCCAAAAAAGAAAGCTCTGTCTCGGAGCTGCTTATTTCCTTACAAGGAAAGCCTCCAACTAAACAATACACAGAAACATGACAATGCAACTATCAAATAGAAATCCCCAAAGACTTCTTGAACTTTTCAACCTCCAAGTATACTGTGGAGTAAGGTAGGAATTCTTGGAAATATTCTTTGCTTAAATCATTTATTGCGACAGCAAGTTTGGGGATCTCCAAGGTCTCTTCATGCGTCAGGGTTCGGACAAACCTTGCTGGGTTTCCAGCCCAAAGTTCACCAGTTGGAATTCTTCTCCCTGGGGGAACGACAGATCCAGCTTCAAGGATAGCATGGGTCTCCACCAAGGAACCTTCCATGAGAATCGAATGCTGCCCAATAATGCATTCTGGCTCAATTGTACAGGACCGTAACAGACTGTATGCACCAATCGTCACAAACCTCTCAATGGATGTCTCTGCTGGAAGTCCTGAGATAAGTAAAGGGGCCACGCATTGTAAAACTCAGAAAAAATCCCACCATATCTAAAACTAGCGATTGCTCACTTGCATATTTTAGACATTTTCATTTAGAAACGTGCTAGTTGCTATGCATGTCAAGACAAAACATCAACTAGTAACAATGGAATATAAAGGAGTCGCTATCACGTTCTAGGATGGACTAACAAGCCATGTATTTTTAAGTTTCATCAAGTCTCCTTATTAGAAATATTGATATATGCTCCTTTTACGAAGCCAATGAAGAAGACGGATCAGATGATCATATTCAAAACAAGTTGATGAAATTAAGGTTGGTCTCTAGGTAGGACCAGGAACAATGTAGAGGTCTACCTGTGGAAAATCAGTCTAAAGCAGAAACCCAAGGGAGAAAACTAATTAAGGAAAAAATTCTCCAGGGTTATATGCCAAATATTAGAACTTGAAGGAGATTTCAAACTCTTGAATGAAGTGAACTTAAACCTAATTATAAGCTTGACAGTTCAAAAAGTTTAAAGCAAGAGATGTTACATGTATAACAGGTTCAGAAAAGGCCACTTCCACCCACCTGTTTTAAAACATTATATAAATCCAATTAATCATCATTACAACTTTCTCACTTATTATCATATAAAATATAATTTTCTCCACAAATGCTACTGACCTCATCCTCCAATATTTATTGGAACCTGCTGTTCCTCAAAGCAGAGAATTTCTAATCATATAGTGCCTGACACCCATGCCTAGCATATCAGTCTGCCCACAAATTTGGGCAATGGAAAATGGACAAAGGATAGCCTAAGAGACCCCATATTGGAATAGAAAATCCAAATGGCAGAGGCAATTGCACACTACCTCCTCCCCAACTTTGTTTTAAAAAACTCTTCTATTTCTTCATGCTCAAACCACACAAAAAATGGCCATCACATTACTTCCACAAAACAGTTGATTTCCCTCCACCAACAAAAGCACAATGATTCTCAAAGAACAATGAAATGTATAAAACCAGAATCACCCACAACGACTTTGCTTCCCATAAACAACATGTGTCATAGGCGCAATTAAGAAAAAGATGGTCAATACTCTTGGAAACCTTTTCACACATAATGCACCAATGGGGTGACACAGAGAATTAGGTCCTCTCCTTTGAATAATATCCCAAGTCCTACCATGAGCAATAATCCAAGTACAAACTTTCACCTCGCAAGGCACTCCTTCCCAGAAGGATTAAAACTGGGAAAAAGATAACTCATCAATCACTACTCAACAATGGTTGCATGGAAATAGACCTGAGGATTCAATTTCCCAATCTTCTATCCAATGTAAAAGATTGTAAAGAAAGAAACATTTATATCAATGAGAGACTAACGAAGAAATCTCCCTAACTTCCAAACCATTCAAATTCTACAAAAACAAAAATTCCACCTCCTTGGAAAAAAAGATACAGCAGACACATTGGCAGATTAGGAAACATTCCACACAAAGGAGAGTCTCCAATCCATTTATCCTTCCAATCTAACTCTTTCCAAATCCCCATGACTTGAAGATGAGGAAAGAAGGAAATAATGAAATGGTGAAATGTCTTTACAATGACATCAACTCGAACCTATAGCAAAACAATTTTAGAACCCCACTATTGACATATATATTTTCTTGTGAAGGATATGCCAAAGGGCTTCCCCCTTCCCCTTCTCTCTCCGCCACCACTTAACTAAAAGAGCAAGATTTATGATTTCAAATTGTCCACCCCACCTCCTATGACCTATTTTGCTTTATACAACTTCCCACCCAAACAGACGATGCCTTTTTTACTTCTCCAAAGCCCTCCCACAAAAAAAATTTCACTAGTTTCTGTTTCTCCATCCTCTAGTCATTGCTCAAATTCAAAAAGGAGATAAATATAAAATCACCAAGCCCCTCAAAGCTGACTGAGTGTAAGTCCAACCTTTAGATAAGTCCACTACTTTCCATCGTCCCCATCTTTTCTCCCTCACCGGAGCCCAAAAATTAATAGCTCGGGGACTACAGTACACCTAGTGGAAGACCCAAATTTACGACAAGATTCCAGTATTAACTTATCAATTTCAAGTTTTTTTTTTTCCACATTTTCAGCTAATCAGCCTCATCAGCCCAGCCCATACACAGAAACTATACTCAGTGTAGCAATTTAAAACTACATTCAGGTGTTAACTCGTTTCAAATCGAACAATTAACAGAACCTCAACCAAAATCACTATCTAAATAACAAATTAAGAAATTAATTGAAGGAAAAAGAAAAAACCGACGAAAACTAGGAAATTGGGGAACCTACCTGTAGGGGAAGACCAAGCAGCGTGAAGGACACAGCGTTCCTGAACATTGGAGCAGAAGCCGACGGTGATCTTGTTGAGATCACCGCGTAGGACCGACCCGGGCCAAACGGAGGCTCCGTCGTTGACCGTGACCTGTCCGGCCAAAACCACATTCGGTGCCACGTAGGCGTCGACGGCGATCTTCGGCAGCCACTGGCCTAGCGGAATTATCTTTCTCTGACCTCGGTAGTCCCATTTGACCCGATCCGGCGAGGGTGTTATGGCCGCGGCTTTTGATGCTTCAGCGGCGAAGGTGCGGTGGAGTGAGGTAGGCTGGGCTGAGCTGGAGAAGGAGGTTAGGGCTTTTCTGGAGATGCGAGCTAAGGCCGCCATTGGAGAGAAGCAGAGAAAGAGAGAGAGAGGTAGTTTGGGAGTGGAAGCTGGAAATGGAGGAGAGTGAGGTGGGAGAGTCGTTTGGTTTGGATGTGGGCTGGAGATTGTAATGTGTATAAATTGGGCTGAAGCCGGATAACTATTGTTTGGCCCAAAACCCCAACTATCATTGATTCAATTGATGTATATGTTCACAGTGTTTTTATTTGAACCACATTTACTTATTACATTGCATAATTTGTACTTCTTTGATAGATCAACGGCATAATTAATCTAGCTAACATGCATATATGTATTCCGCCAATTGATAAAGGGAGTGTTCTCCCTCCTTGCACCCGAGTTCGATCATCAATATTTTAGACTATTGTCTTGTAAAAAAATAATAATTAAAAAAAAACTCAAATGAGTGATAATTAATTATAGTCTTTTCTATTGTTCTCGTAATTTTGTATGTACAAGTCCTTGGCATGTGTATGTATGGATGTTATCGAAGTTCTTTTTAATTTAATAAGAAGTTTTTTGTTTCCTTCTTTTTATATATATTTTCTTTTCATTTGGGTAATTAGTTGATCATGATCGGTATTTGTACCATGTATCTTTTGGGTTCTTTCTGCACTACTTGTGCTTAGTACCTAACATAGACTTAATTTCTTTTGATAAAATAGTTCTTAATATAAGTCAATCTGCTTGAGGAATTTTACATATAATTATAAACAATACATCATATACCATAGCGTCCGCACGGTAATAAGACGTCCAGATGAAAAAAGAACTGCATATACCAAACTCCACACACGAGAAAAAAGAAAAAAAAGAAGAAAAAAAACATTAGAAACCCAAGCTGTAGGTACAAATAGGAAAATAGCTGAAGGCATTATTACGGCCTTTACAAATCAAGTACTTGGTGCGAGAGATCAGATATCTTGAAGAATCTTGAATCTCAAAATTCACTGTCACCACACCAGAATATAATTATTAGTTAAAATATGATCAAGCCGTTAGCTTATTGAGATAGTAAATAAGAAATTGTCACATAAGTTTATAACATCATCAACGAGTACCTTGGAAAGAATTGCATGTATGCATTTGGTCCCAAAATCCTCGAGCTTGCGTGATCAGCACAATGAAGCTCATGGAACTTACGTCAATTCACAAGACAAATCAGTTTGCGAGTTAAACTGAAATATCCAAACTATATACATATTTATATTATTTCGAAGTAATTTGTAAAAGCAACTCACTCTTTTTTGCAGATGACTGTTTTCTTCTTGCAATGCTTTATTCTGCATTTCATATACAAATATGAAAAATTAATTTTTATTCTTATGAACACGTATCAAGTGTTGAGAAGAGTGTTGAGCATACACCTTGGGTTAAAGTAGTGAGGAAAAATTCTCCCATGTAGTATTTAGCTAGGGTTAATTCTTAATTATAATTACCTCTCTTTTCAGCGAGCTGATGTTCTCAGAAACGACTCGTCCCTGCAAATTAATCACAAGTCACAGTCAAATTAATCTTTCTAATTGTACTCAACTTTTGATGATGATCATTAACTTATGACTTGAACAAATTAAACCAGAAGTTGGTGTGATTAATTAGTTAATCCTTAAACATACTATTTGAGAGCGGATGCGTTCAACCCCAGTTTTCAACTGCCGCTCGAGCTGTTTTAGCTCTTGCATGCCCAGCATATCAAGCTCTTCCCCAGCCAAGTTCCTGCGTACAAGTCATACATAATTCCATTTTAATGATAAATAAGGTTAAATTACTAAAACAACCATAATTAACACACGGCAAATTGATTTTTCGTGGGTGTAAAAACCTACTTCAGCCTCCTGTCCAAGTTGTCTATTGATCTCCTTAGCTCTTCATTTTCATTATTACTCCCAAACTGTGAACCAGACAGACAGGGATTATATTATAACTAAGTCATACATAACATAAGATGATTACAATTAGCTCACCTTCATGGGACACTAATTAATTAAAAAAATTAAGAAAGAGAATCCCAGAAAAAGAAGAGAAGTGTGTCCCGTGAAAATAGGACCCAGTGTTCTTATTTTGGTTTTTAATTTAAATTGTTTTAATATGAAAAAGGTTAATTTACTATATTATCCTTATTTAATGAAAAGTTTCGATGCTTAATAAATTCATTAACCATGATTAATTTTTTTAGTATTTTGAATGTTTTACCGTTCTCTATCTTTTTGCATTATATATAACCATACCTTCATGGTTGTGGCCTGTCTGAAGCTTGAGTTGTTTGATTCAGGCAGACTCACTTGATTTCTATACATGGCAATGGTCCTGTTTATGCTGCACCACAGATCAATAATCCTGGTTTTACTGCTAGTTGTTTATAATTAAACATGCACCAAAGTTCATTAAGCGGTAATTAAACGTGATGTGTTAATTAAAGATGGGGAAGACGAACTCATGGCTTGCAAATTGGTAGATCTTGCCAGAGGGAGACGAGATGATGAGTGCAACTTCGGCATCACATAGGAGGGAGAGCTCAAAAGCCTTCTTCAGAAGCCCATTCCGTCGTTTCGAGAAGGTCACCTGCCTGCTTGTTGGGTTTTCTATTCTCTTCAGCTCCACTTTCCCCCTCCCCATTTTACTATATCACACTTCAAATCTTATCACCCTTTCATACTATATCAATGTATATATATAGAGACATATGTTTAAGTAGAAGAATAAGCCATAGATGATTCTATTTACAAGGTTGGTTAGTTTAATTTGCTTTGACACGACGCCACTACTCAAATTGCCCTTTTGCAATCATCCCTCCTCTTTCATTATTATTTGTTTTTACTATGACCCCCTACCCTATGCATTCACTTTTAGTTACGTGAATTTTCAAAATGTTTCTGATTAAACCTAACCTAGCTAGCTAGTAGTTTGTGGGGTTTAAAATCTAGGTGCAAAGATTCCAACTCTAAACCTCAAACAAAGTGAAGACTGAATGACACTAGACCAAATGATGTTTGACACAAACTTCGACGTGGACATGAAATGTCAAAAATTAAAGGATAAAGTTGCTCCAACTGAATAGTCAAATCCTACATAGATTTTAAGGTTGGAAGAGATATGTCAAAAATAACATATCAAAAAGCTTGATATCAAATATTTTTTTAGTCTTAGACCCCTCTATCATGTACTCTATTTTTAAATTTTCTGCATCATATGAGCCATATTTACTTTTAAAAATATAATAAAATAAAATAATATTTGGTATTTTATGTGGAGTTAAATTTTTTCCGAAGTTTCAAATTGCCACATAAGCCATCAAATTCAAATTTAACATTTTTCATTTGACATCTCTATCAGAGATGCTGTTAAAAAACTATTTTGTTTGAATTAGCAGATTATTCCAATATTTGTTGACAATATTGGTATTGAGTCCCATGTCCCACAAAGGTGGAATATTCTACATGAAGAAACCATCTATACAAGTGAGTTTGAGTGTGATGTGTGCATTTAATATTATATATAATGATAGTTAATTAACACATCTATTATCACATGTTAATATGTCAATTAAAAGACAGATATAAACTTAGTCTAATTGACTAGAACAAATATGCTCCCTATTTTGTACTCGAGTTTAAACTCCCTTCCACATAATTTAAAATAGAACATCTTTTGTATAAATCATGTCAAACTAAAGAAGTGCCATTACTTTACGCAAGAGATGCCATCTGATTAGCCAATATGAAACATGCATTTGCATATATGCCATGTCGGTTATACTCCAATATAAATTGCATGTTGCGATAAAGGGCAATCAGCAGTTGACACGTAAAACTTAGAACTCAAAAAAGAGGAGAAGGGGTGGGACGTACATGGGTTGCAAAATCAAACCCATCAATGGCTTTCTGAATAAGTAAAAGATAAAAATTTGTTGGAAAGGTCAAAAGAAAAAAAGTTTTTGTTGGGACTTACAAGAAAATGTAGTGAGTGACAAACAAAGCGTCAAATCATGGCTTATCTTGAAGGGGTTTCATGTAGACATGTTAGGTCAAGATTGGAGCTATATGCCTCCATGGTGGTCACCTCACCATGATGTTGATGGATTCAAACCTAGGACATTACCACTTACACTGTGGGAATTTTCGAGCTTAAGTAGTGTATAAGTTCTCTCTTCTCTTGTAAATTTATGAAAATTCGATGTTCTTTGAGACACTTGAAACACACAAAAGGGGGATTTTGAATGGCTTTCAGATATAATGTTTTGGTTTCTTATATGCAAAGGCGGAGCCATATTTAAACTAGGGTGAGTTCTAGCCTAGTACAAATATTCTAAAACAATAGCAATTTAATCTTAAATTTTAAGACGTTGATCGTGTTTAGTAGAAATTAGCTTCTTAAATTTCAGGAAAAATTAGTCCGTTTCACCTTTAGAAGCTCCTTAAATTGAAAAAATTTAAATTATAGCATACCCTTATAACAATCTTTTACTTCATTCTTATTCATACATACGAGAGTTCACACTTTAATGAAAAGAAAAGCAAAAAAGATTATGAAAAAACAATAGGCTCTCACAATAGTAGTCTATTATTGTATACGAGTTTCACTTTGTATCTAAATGGAAAATACTTCGCTCCTTACATGTTAGCTTACAAGGAGTTTTTACATATAAATCATAATTATTTGACACGTACTTGAGAACTTAGGTTACAAGCAAGATTCTATGTTTATTATGCTTGATTCATACGAGTTTTTCTAGATACGTATCCACTCATTCTTGTTCAAAGTTAGTTGCAGGGGCTCCTAAATGTAATTAGACTCCAACTAGAATTGAACCGAAAGCGAAAACATTTGCAAATTCTCTCGTGAATATCATTCACTTTTCTCTTAAATTACTCATCTAGGATTGGTTACAACACATGATGTGATTTAAGAGAAAAATGGCAACACAGTTTCCTTTCAATGTCTCCTGTTCAGCAAACCAGCAATCAAATCTAAAAACTTTAAAATTAAATCGAACATGGTGTTACATCTTTAAAAGTATACGCATTTTTATTGATTGGGCTAAGCTCAAAGTTGAAACACGCGTTCGTCAAGATTTGATAACTTTCTTCTAAGTGAGGGGGGGTCGGATATCGTGGGCAATGACATGTGGTGTGGGTCTAGATTATCATTACCTAACCCAATTACTCCACTTTCTTAGGCTCTTCATTTTCTATTTCCTTGTATTGTATGGTTCATTAAAAACTCTTTTTCTTTAAAAGTTGGCAATAGTTAGTCCAGTTGGACAAGACTCTGTACTCGCCTCTTTACTCAGTTGGACAAGACTATGTACTCGCCTTTTTACTCAAATAGTTAGTCCAGTTGAACAAGACAGTGTACTCGCGCTTTACTCAAATTTGATGTTGGACAAGACAATGTACTCGCCTCTTTACTCAAATTTGATTTTCCTGTTCAAACTATCTGTCGTTTTAATAAAACTTTAGGGTTGCATTTACTTATATTATTTATTTTTATGCAAATGATATTGAAAAGAGGAAATCAAACCTAACCTCAAGTCTCTTAACCAATTGGGCTTGAGCTACATGGCCCTTGCGGGGTACATTTATTTACGTGGGCCGACTTCATTCGTGGAGAGTGTGTAATGGAAAATGATACAGGTGACCCAAATTCTTTCTGGCAAACACCAATAATTTCCAGCCCACAAAAAAGCCCAAAAGCATGACCTAAATTCATAGAATGTAGGCAATAATTTCCACATCAAAGAGGGAATTGTGCCAAAATATGACAATAGGTGAACTTCATTGCCATCCATTTCATTGGATTGATTGAGGCACCCATTTCATTAGATGTGGGTAATCCCCCCAGTAAATACCTAATTAGGAATCCATTAAAATTCAGGAGCTGCTAAACCATTAAAACTTGCATCAAAATCCCAATACCGCTGCTCCTGCTAGGTTTAAACCAAAGGGAATTCCACTACCAAACAAAGCTTCATGATTTAAAGTAAAAGCAATACCAAATTTTGCAGTAGATTTATAATACACAAAGTAATTAAACATGATAAGAAATTAAATGTCAGATGAAAGCAAACTCTAAACTCAACTGAAATACAATATAATTAATCAGCCAGCATAGATGTGAACACCGATGGCAATGAGGAAGATGGTGATGAGGCCAAAGTAGATGATGGCATGAACCACAATAGAAGCGCCACTGGTCTGCATGTTCCCAAACTCCACCACTCTTCCCTTTCCCGGTATCTGAAACAAAAGCCCCGGTGTCAATACCACAAACAGAACCACTGCTATCACCACAGGACCCCAATCTGCCATTTTTCTCTGCCAAACCTAAACTAGATGAAAACCAAGAAGAAGAAAATACTAGATGGGTTTCGAAGAAGAAGAAGATCTGAGAAGGGCAAGTGGGGTTTTGGAAATTTGAAGAGATTTGAGGTTGGGAACATAAATGAATGGACAGGTGCCTCGGTATCATGTGTTTCTCTCGTGACAAGAGGGCGAGCGCGACCGGGCTGAGGCTAATACGTGTCAGGATCTTGTTTATTTGGTTTCGACGGCTGTGATCTTCTTGGATAGGATGATGAGGATGGAAATTTCATATTTGCTTTTCAGTTTTTCGGCTTTTGGGTTTGTTTCGAATTGGGTCTTTAGGTCCAAGCGTAAGCCGTGTCGGTATGGATTACAAGATAGGCCCAAAAATAATTTTAAAATCGTGTATAGCCGAGCGGCTATACTATTTATAAAAAAAAACAAAAGAGGACAGCCCAGCGATTTGGAGCCCACGTGTCAAAAAGCGTATCGCCGCGCGGCTATACTATTCATGAAAAAAAAACCAAAGAGTACCCACCCAGCGATTAGGAGCCTATGTGTCAAAATACGTATAGTCGTGCGGCTATACTATTTTTTATTAAAAAACCAGGTATCGCCGTTCGGCTATACTATATATATATTAAAAAAAGGACCACCTAGGCGCCGCATGTTAAAAACAGTAACGCCGCCCGGCTATACTATTGTAAAACAAATTAGGAAAAGACTGATGGCAATGAGGAAGATGGTGATGAGGCCAAAGTAGATGAATCCGATGGCATGAACCACGATAGAAGCGCCACTCGTCTGCATGTTCCCAAACTCCACCACCCTCCCCTTTCCCGGTATCTGAAACAAAATCCCGGTGTCAATACCACAAACAGCACCACAGGACCTCAATCTGCCATTTTTCTCTGCAAAACCTAAACTAGAAGAAAACGAAGAAGAAAATACTAGATGGATTTGGAAAAAGAAGAAGAAGAAGAAGATCTGAGAAGGGCAAGTGGGGTTTTGGAAATTTGAAGAGATCTGAGGTTGGGATATCATGTGTTTTTTCTCGTGACGAGGGCAAGCGCAACTGTGCTGAGGCTAATACGTGTCAGGATCTTGTTTATTTGGTTTCGACGGCTGTGATCTTCTTGGATAGGATGATGAGGATGGAAATTTCAAATTTGTTTTTGGGCTTTTGGGTTTGTTTCGAATTGGGTCTTCGGCTGTGATCTTCTTGCATATGCCGTGACAGTTAGGATTACAACATAGGCCGAAAAATAATAATAAAATCGATTATAGCCGTGCGGCTATACTATTTATAAAAAACAAAAGAGTACAGCCCAGCGATTAGCTCACGTGTCAAAATACGTATAGCCGGTCGGCCATACTATTTTTTTAGAAACATTACTAAAACCGAGTATAGCCGACCGGCGATACTATGCCTGATAAAAAATGTACACCAGGTATAGCCGCACGGTTATACTATTTATATATATTTAAAAAAAGGATCTCCTAGCGACTAGGCGCCAAGTATAAAAAGGTAAAGCCGGGCGGCGATTCTATTTGAAAATTAAAACAAATTAGGAAAAAACCGAGTATAACCGCCCGACTATACGATAAAAAACAAAGGAGGACCTCCCAGCGATTAGGCGCCCACGTGTCAAGATAAATATAGTCGCTCGACTATGCTATTTTTTATATAAATAAAAATAAAAAAAACCTTGTATAACCGGCGGGTATACTATTGATATATATGTTAAAAAAGGACCAGCCTACGCTTTGGTGCCACATGTCAAAAATGTAAAGCCGTCCGGCTATACTAGTTCCAAAAGCTCCTCTCTCATTTTCTTATTCTCACAGCTCCTCTCTCATTTTCTGCTTTTAATCCTCTGGATCTCTGTCAAGTACTCTAGCTAGAGGTATTTTTTAATTTTTTTTTAAAATTTGTACTTATTAATTTGTTATATTTATTCATAAAAAGTACCAATCTAGTCAGAAATTTATCAACAAAAATACAATAAGAAAAATGTAAAATAATTTTTCAGTAATCATATGATGTTAATTAATACAAGAACAATTAGAACCCACTTCATGGGGTCACTCAAAAAAAAAATTACAAAACAAAACCCATTTCATGTGGTATGGTAGAGGGACCAATACGGGAAAAAAAAACCCCAATAAATATATGACAAGAAAACATTGAAGAAGAAAAATACACAGAAAATTACAAAAATCTTATCCAAACTGCAAGGTGCTAAGTTCGATCAGCCAGTGTGGATGTGGATGCCAAAAGCCAATATGAGGATGGTGAAAATGCCAAAGAAAATGAGTGTGTGGACAAGAATGGCCTTGCCATTTGTGGTGAAGCTTCCAAACTCGACATGCCGGGTGTTTCCTGGTATTGAAACAGAAGACCAGGAGACAGCAGTATGAACAACATCAACCCAAGCAGAACGGGTGCCCAGTCCACCATTTTCTTCTCTGCTTTCTTTCTATAATTGATATATTTTTGTAATTCATCAATGGACAATCCAACCCACAAGGCGCAAAACAGTTTTATACAACACATTTGAAAGAAAAAAGTGGATTCTTAGGAACTATTTTAGCTCAAAGAATGCTTGCTTTAAAGTGTTGTGTAAGCCTTTAACTCTCTTTTCTTCTGGCCCCAATATTTTTTATTAATTTTTTTTTCATGGTGTGATTTGATTTCAGGTCCAACATGAAAGGTTGCACCATATAGTGTAGCATCCAAACTCCAAAGCCTCCAAGGTAACTGCGCATCTGCTGTTTCCTTTATATATTTCACTGCTACTTCTGGAGGGGAACTTGTAGATTCTAAAGCACACTAGGGCAAAATTCTCACGCAATATGCCTCTATTTTTCTTTTATCTAAAGAAATGCATCCATTGATGCCTTACATAAACCTTACTACTAGGATTTAGCATATTGATCATCATATCATATTATGCTGGGAAATCCAAAGTATTTAAGCGCAAAGTTTACATTTTCTATACCTTGAAAAGTCCTTTTTAAATTAATGGAAATGAAGGGATTCGAACTTGAAAATTTGAGAAGTATGAACTAAAAGCTATAAACGATATAAAAAGTTATTCTATAGCTCAATTAGTTGAGGTATTTCACCTCCACCCCATGTGGGTAGAGTTCGAAACCCCAACTCACCAAGTGAATATTTATGTGTAAATTCCCGTCACCCAATCGCTTGTACTAAAAAAAAACCTTACACTATTTGAGACATTCTATTAAAAAATTAATAGTTATTTGCTACAATGAGTTGTCTTATAAGAGTAATCCAACTGTTCTAAAAGAGAAAAATATATATTTTTGTATTGTAAAGAATATGACAGATAACATAATAAAAATTAATATTTTTAAAACATAAATAAAATTTACACTACAAATTAAGTAAGCTAGTTACTAAAATCTGGAATTTATATGATTAGATTAAGATAAATAGTTGCATTATGGGTTTTGACCATGCGGGAGTTGACTATGTTAGTATATGATTTGAACTTTGAAGCGTGACAACATTGTAAGCCAAAAATAGAGATATATATATATATATATATATTTTGGCATTTTCCAGGACCCCTCCTAATTTCATATGAAATGACCAGACTGCACCCATACTAGAGATGCCAGAGAGATAAGACAAGGCTAAAACCGTAAGTTTATAACTTATTTCTGACCTTAATTAGAATCTTACAGCATAAAATATTTGGGAGGCCTTAAAAAAGCGCCAGTAAATTTGGAGGTAATTTGAAAACTTCTGTTAGAAAAACGTTGACGTGCACGGTTTTGATTGGCCCACTATCTCATTGTCCCATTTTGTAGGGTATTTCTCTCTCCGAGTCTCATTCACTCTCGCCGGTCGGTGTATTTTCCCGGAAAATTCCGATTTTCTGACCAGATTCCCGACCGCGAGTGTTTCATTTTGCCAGAGATTTTTCAAACCCTTCAATCTTGACCGCCTCCAATCCAATCCAATCCAATCCAATCCAATTTCTTGTAGCTCCATTTCCCGGGCCATGGCAATGGCTAAGCTGTGATTTCTTGTCGAGGTTTTCTGATTTCCGATTCTGAAGGCGTCTTTCTTTTCTGTTTATTGAGGAGAAAAATAAGGGCTGCATAAGAAGTCCGGTGAGTTTCTGTCTCCGTTTGGTTTCCGAGAAAAATAATACGTTGAATGCGATATTTTCCTTATTTCTTTATTTCGAAAGCTCGTAAACGATGAGCCTCAGAATCAACTGTGCAGGAACTTCTATTTTGGGCAGGCCTTCAATTTGGAAATGAAATTCGTCCAATATTTTCATATTTTGAACAATAATTATTTAGATTTTATAATGCGATAGTGATTTTTTGCTGCAGGATAATAAATTGGTGTTTGATTAAAGGCGACGATGGCTAGTCAGGGCGGTTCTTCTAGAAGAAGTCTGTCATTGACGAACACATCGTTGCAGGACAAGAAGAAATCCTCTGACGGTATTAACGGAGGCCCTGAATCAGCCCGTAAATCTTTTTCGGCTTCTCGTTCTATGTGCGTATTCAAATTTTTTCAGATAAATTTTTCATTGAAATGAATGTTTTCTGTAAATAATTGAGCTTTTGTTGAATTGAATTGCGTGAAGAAGAAACCCACCCATGATTTTGTTTTTGACTGATTTTGTGATAATTTTCATTTTCGTTGTGTTATAGTCGCGTTTGTGTTATTGTAAAGCAGTGAAACAGTAAAATATGTAGTGGTTGTAGGACATAGAAGTTGGGTATTGAGAATGAATCAGTTTTTGTTGGAAAAGGTGCTTTGTTGGAAATAGGCTTGCTCAATTTAAAGTTTGTGCATTGGAATCCTAGTAACAAAAATCTCTTCTCTGCTTGCATTGGGGCAGGGGGCTAACTGGAGAGCGTACAGTAAAACGCCTGAGGCTATCAAAGGCTCTGACAGTACCTGAAAATACCAGTATTCAAGAAGCGTGTCGTCGAATGGCTGCTCGTAGAGTTGATGCTTTGTTGTTAACTGACTCTAATGCATTGCTCTGTGGAATACTTACGGACAAGGTATGACTTTGAATTCAGTGTGACATTTGCCAAGAAAATGCCGTTCACAGAAAAACTTCAAAAAGCACTTGTTTGGTATGTTTTGATGGATTTTGTTGGCGTACTGTTTTCTGATGTATCTATTTGTTTCTGTGGTTGCAGGATATAGCAACAAGAGTAATTTCTCGTGAGCTTAATCTCGAGGATACGCTTGTTTCTAAAGTTATGACAAGGAACCCGATATTTGTTCTTTCTGACACTCTCGCTGTTGAAGCCCTTCAAAAAATGGTGCAAGGTTAGTAATAAATTAGAGGCAAATTTTCTTCTTGACATACTCTCTGTTAGTGGCTTGCCCTTGCTATATGTTGCTGATTTCTGCATTTACAGGAAAATTCAGACATTTGCCTGTTGTTGAGAATGGAGAGGTCATTGCTTTACTTGATATAGCAAAGTGCTTATATGATGCTATTGCTCGAATGGAAAGGGCAGCTGAAAAGGGAAAGGCTATTGCTGCTGCTGTGGAAGGTGTTGAAAAACATTGGGGCACATCTACTTCTGGTTAGTAGACATTTATTCTTTTCTTTTCTATTTTTTATTTTATCATATTCTTTAATATTTTTGCAGCTTTTAGGAATAACTTCCTTCTGTAGATTTATGTAATGGAGAGTAGTCAGTTTCCTCATAAACCATAGATTAACTTTATGTTTTTTATTTGAGATTCAGGTTCCAATACATTCGTTGAGACACTTCGGGAGCGGTTGTTTAGGCCATCCTTGTCCACAATTATTCCGGAAAGTTCAAAGTAGGTAATATTTTTAGGTCTGTTATTTTATGTGGCCAGATGTTGAAGATATTACAAGTTTTCATTTAACAGATAGATATGTCTTTCAGGGTTTTAACAGTTTCGCCAACAGATACTGTTTTGATGACAACAAAGAAGATGCAGGAGATGCGAGTAAGCTCTGCTGTTGTGACAGTTGATAACAAGCCACGAGGAATTCTTACGTGAGTTTCTTGTCTTCTGTTTCTTTAAGTAAAAAAAATTACACTTTACCTTTTTTCTCAATAATGTTATCCTTTCTTGTCACTATCATCACTGTATCGTTTTATAGATAAAATGAATTGTGATTTGTGCTTTTGATTCTTGTCAGTTCAAAAGATATCTTGATGCGGGTAATAGCACAAAATCTTTCTCCGAAGGCCACTCTTGTAGAGAAGGTACATGTCTCTATCCGTTTGGAAATTTTGGTCTTTGGACCATCCTGAGGAAAACTGTAAATCAATCCCTCTGTCCTTGTCTTATCTGGCCAGAAGTTGTAATATCTGCTGATTCCAAGGAACACTTCATTTTATGCTTATGTAAGTGAAGGAATATAAATTATTCACATATCTCAGCTTTCTTTTGAATTGATTAATAGGTCATGACTCAAAATCCAGAATGTGCCACAGTTGATACACCAATTGTTGATGCGCTGCATACAATGCATGACGGAAAATTTTTGCACCTTCCCGTAGTAGACAGAGGTAAAATCATGATATAGTAAAAGTTTTTTTGTTTTTTTAAGTAACAGAAGATTTTTAGTTTCTGATGATTATGGATGACCATATACAGATGGAACTGTGGTTGCTGTTGTTGATGTAATTCATATCACTCATGCTGCTGTAGCTACTGTAAGTCATGTCTTTACCTACTGTTAATTATTGTGATTTATGTCAATCTTGCATTAATCTTTCTAGGATAAGAGGAATATATCCACTTTTTCATGCTTTCAGCATTACTTGATGAACCAATCTGTAGTTCTTACATATATGCATGGAATAAGGGTTTAACATTATTTATGTGTCACGAAACATCATTCTCATTTTGCTGTCCTTGCTTGACTTGTTTACTAATGACTTGATTTTCACAATTCTGAACTATCCTAGTGGGGAAAACTTGGGCTTCACTTTCTTTGGCTGTTTTGGATCCTTGGCATCTAGAACAAACATATCATCTCTGCAGTTCTCTTTTCTTTGGCTGTTTAATACTTTTTCCCCCCCTGGGGCAAAGAAGAAATTGTAAACATAATTTTCTTTGCTAACCAGGTCGGAAATACTGCTGGAGTCAGCAATGAGGCCGCAAGCTCTTTGATGCAAAAGTTTTGGGATTCTGCCATGGCCTTGGGTCCACATGAGGAAGATGAGGATTCTCGAAGGTTATATATTTATCTGTTTATATTCATATGTTATTGAAATTAACATGAAGGTTCAATTTATTTTATTTTATTTATGCTTATATGTATTTATGCATCTTTATTGTCATCTCAGTGAAGGGTCATTGAAGTTGGCTTCTGACGGAGCAGAGACAGGGAGATCGCTTCCCTTTCCATCGGCAAATTTTCCTAATACGTTTGCTTTCAAACTTCAAGATAAGAGGGGTCGAATGCATAGATTTACTTGCAGTATGCTTCTTGTTCCAGTTACCTATCAAATTACTGTGTGTGTATTGAAACAAACAACGTTTTTTAGGCTTTTAATTCAGATTTCCTGGTTGAGCCACCTAATCTAGGATATATTTCACATTCAACAAGAACAATTTGGCTAACATTAGCTCTTGACTGGGGTTTCTCTGTTATGGCTTTCTCTTCAGATATTCAGAGTTTGACAGAACTTATAACCTCCATTGTTCAGAGAATGGGAGATGACATTGACCGCAACAACCTTCCTCAAATTTTGGTATTTCTAATATAGCAATTTACATGTTTTTTGAGTCTGACTCTAGAGTTCTATCTTCCTAATCTTCTTTTAATTGGTGGAAAATTTTGTAGTATGAAGATGAAGACCGTGATAAAGTTATCTTGGCATCAGATAATGATCTTGTAGCGGCTGTGGAACATGCAAAGCAAGTTGGTTGGAAGGTATGATTATCTGTCTGGTGTTGCTTGGTGCTTAGAGAAGAGAAAATATAGTGAAGTATGCAACTGAATTAGGTCTTAGTTTCTGTTATCGATTTTCCTGTGAAGTCTGACGTAGAAGTGATCAAATCTGCAGGGTTTGAGACTGCATTTGGATTATTCAGGAACACGCGGTCGCCGAAGGGGTTCAGCTGGAGGAAGTATGGATTATGCTTATGCAGATTCTGCATGGTCATCAGCATACAGTACCGTTGCAGCTGGGGCTGCTCTTGTTGCCGGATTAGGCGTTTTAGCGTACTTGAAGAGATCTGGCAACTGATACTATTTCTGTTTGAAGAAGCCTAGAGCGATTTTCCAAGAGCTCAATGGAATTGGCTGGGAGGGCATAACTTGTGCTTCATACGTCCTTTTATAGAAACTATACCACATACACAAGTGAAATTCAATTCTTCGTTTTCTAATTATTGCTGAATTACATGCTTGATTGTCTCTGATGCGTACTCACGCCACTTCATGAACTTGTGTAAAAATTAAACGCTGCCACCTGAAATGTACAAGTTCTTGAATTCGGAGGATTTGGATTGATTTTGTCGTATCGAACAAGTGGTATGTTATGTTGTTAGAGTGTCAAAACATTGACGGTGTATTCATACAGATCCCATTTGATCTATAATCGTGATTGTGCTTCTAAGTTTTGAATGTTTTTCAACACAAAATTGAAAACTCAACTAGTTCTACGTAAATTTTGTATCTCAAAGTGGACATGAACTGAAAATAAGTTACACAGCCAATGCCATTCTTCTTTTTTTTTATGTCTCATCTTCCATCACAGTAGCGGGACTCTGAGAGAAGCCAAAAAAAAGTAGTGGGACTGTGAGAGAAGCAAAAGTGGCTTAGTGGATGATAACCACAAAAGGTCCACAACTACCTGACACATGGTGTCAATCTGGCCCGTCCGTCTTGGAGCTGCATTCTTTATTTTCTTGGTCGGCTCTTGGGCCCACCTGGCCCAAAATCCTCTAATTTTTGTTACTTTTTTGGTTTTTAATGGTGGAAAATTTTGACTTTATATATGCTCTTTTTGTTTGGTTATTTCTCTTTATGTGGACCCCCTTAAAACATGGCCATCGTTCTAATGATCGATCCACATGAATTTGGCAGATTTTTAAAAGGATAGCTTGAAGTCACACATTCACATGGCAATGTACATATTATATGATATTGCCTATTGCCTGCACTCTCCAAAGCGAGAAAAGAGAGAGAGAATAAAAAGAGCCCTATTGTATTTGACATCAAATCTCACATCATCTTTATATTGCAAGATATGTGGCATGATTCGCATGCATAGCATTATCAGAATAATTTAGCCTATTTTTGGCATTGGCATCACAAACTTTTGTCTAGTGGAATTGGCATCTCCCTCGCCCACGGACTGTTCCCCCAAATTCTTCAAAACTGCTATTTTCAGTGGTATTTGTAAATTTAATTTTCGGACGGATCGGATCAGAATATGAAATTTTGCAACTTACGTCGATTTCGATAATTAGTGACATAATTTAATTTGCTTGCTGTTGACAGTTTTGCGTCGATTTTGATATTTAGTGACATAATTTAATTTGCTTGCTGTTGACAGTTAAAGTTATATCAAATTAATTGATAGCAAAAAATGATCAAATTAAGAAACCCCCAATGAAAAACCAGAAGAAGAAGAAAGGCCACAGGATATTCTCAAATATTTCAGTCAAACCCTTTGACATTCTTTGCTTCTTATTCTGCTATTCATACTAGCTGTTGTACATACAGCGAGTGGGTGGTTCCTTGCCATCATGCAATCACTTCTGCAAGGTTAACAGAATTTGCGAAAGAGATGGATTTTGGAAAACCATCTTTCCATGTTTAACACAAATTCTATATAAACAGAGAGTAATTATCACATTCACCTTTCCTTTTGTTGCCTTTTGCTTTTTTCTTTTCTTTCCAAAAGAAACAAAGCATCACCGAGGGCCTATTGCACCAGTACAAAACCAGAAGCTTCTTCTCATCTGTTCTTGCTCTTGTACTCTGTACCCAAAAATCCATTGCCCTTGTATCTCTATCTCACTCTCTCTTTAAATAAAAATATCTAGCAGAGATGCAGTAATTATTTATTCAGATTCTCTTCCACATACTCATTGTTTCCTTCATTAGCCGGACAGACCCATTTAGCTAAGGAACCTCTCTCTCTCTCTCTCTCTCTCTCTGTTAGCAAACAAAGACATGGGAGGTTCAAAGTCCAGACCTTTACTATGGCCACCTTCATTTTCCTCCGTTTTCTTGCTGTTTCTCACTCTGTCATGGACTTCCCAACCAACCCATTTGTGTTTAGCCCAGCAGCAGCAGCAACCCATCAAAACCATTGTGGTTTTGGTCATGGAAAACAGGTCCTTTGATCATATGCTTGGGTGGATGAAGAAAGCCATTAATCCAGCAATCAATGGTGTCACAGGCAAGGAATGCAACCCTGTTTCAACCAAAAATGCAGACCCAAAATCCATTTGCTTCTCAGACGATGCTGAGTTTGTGGATCCGGATCCGGGTCACTCATTTGAAGCAGTGGAGCAACAGGTATTTGGGTCTAGTTCCCTTCCTTCAATGACTGGTTTTGTAGAGCAAGCATTATCAATGTCCCTAAATCTCTCTGAGACAGTCATGAAAGGCTTTAGGCCTGAATCTGTGCCTGTTTATGCGGCTTTAGTGCGTGAATTTGCTGTATTTGATAGGTGGTTTTCTTCAATTCCTGGCCCAACACAACCCAATAGGCTTTTTGTGTATTCTGCAACTTCTCATGGCTCAACATGCCATGTTAAGAAGCAATTGGCTTCAGGGTATCCGCAAAAAACCATATTTGATTCGGTTCACGAGAATGACATGAACTTTGGTGTTTACTTTCAAAACATACCCACCACTATGTTCTATAGAAATATGAGGAAACTGAAGTACATTTCTAAGTTTCATCAGTATGATTTGAAGTTTAAGAAAGATGCCAGGAAGGGGAAGCTCCCAAGTTTAACTGTGATTGAGCCGGCCTATTTTGATCTAACGGGAATGCCTGCAAATGATGATCACCCTTCTCATGATGTTGCCAATGGGCAAAAACTAATTAAGGAGGTCTATGAGACACTGAGAGCAAGTCCTCAGTGGAATGAGACCCTTTTGGTCATCACCTATGATGAACATGGTGGATTTTTTGATCATGTCAAGACTCCTTATGTTAATGTTCCTAACCCAGATGGGAACAGTGGCCCTGCTCCATATTTCTTCAAGTTTGATCGGCTTGGGGTTCGTGTACCGACAATTATGGTCTCTCCATGGATTAAGAAAGGGACTGGTAAGCTCAAATTCTCATTATTTGGCCTGCCTTAGCTGTAATTTTAGATGTTAGCCTTCAATAATTGATGTGATATTGGTCCACTTACCTGTTCTACCGGATCTGTCTGGTATCTTTTGATTTCTTTCTGTCTCTGAGTATCCAAATTAAATTGGATTAGTTGGTTGAATTTCTTGATTCAAAATGTTGTGCATATTGTGTCTGTGGATCTAGTAGAAGTAGAATTTGGTGGGTTGGTTATTGTATTGGGGTCAACCCATATTGCCACATCTGCATATTGTTGAGCATCTGAAATGCGTAAAGTAGAATCAATCAAGGGTTTCTGTTTCACTTCTTTATTGCACTGATGTTTACTTGGTTTTGCAGTAATGAGTGGTCCGCAAGGACCTACACCAAACTCTGAGTTTGAGCATTCTTCAATCCCTGCCACCATAAAGAAGATGTTCAACCTCTCCTCTAACTTCTTAACTCACAGAGATGCATGGGCCGGCACATTTGAGCATGTTGTTGGGCAATTGACTTCTCCCAGGACTGACTGCCCAGGTATCTATCTATCTATCTATCTATCAATCTATCTAGAATCTGAATTAATCAAATTTATGCAGTGTTCATGACAAAAATTATTTAGAGATCCATTAGAAAGTAACAGGGTTAGAAGAGAATTGATTAGAAACATGAAAAGTTGATCCCTTTAAGTAGAACAAAAGAAAAAACGAAGAAAAATGAAGATACACATTTGTCACTGTGGAGCCCCATGCATCATCTTTATTTTCCAACTTATTGAGGTTGTCAATGGAAGAAAGCTGAACCTGTCTCCTACTGAATTCCTGTAGAGACCTTGCCAGATGTGGTGCCTTTGAGGAGCACAGAGGCGAAAGAAGATGCCGGTTTATCCGAGTTTCAGGGCGAGGTAGTCCAATTAGCCGGTGTACTTAATGGTGACCACTTCTTGAGCAGCTTCCCTGATGAAATGAGCAAGAAGATGAGTGTGAAGCAAGCTCACGGGTACGTAAAAGGTGCTGTTTCAAGGTTCATTAGAGCAAGCAAAGAGGCCATCAAATTGGGAGCAGACCAGTCAGCAATTGTAGATATGAGATCCTCCCTCACAACAAGGTCCTCGATTAAAAATTAATTCATCCTCCTTGGGTCACTCTTCTATACATGCATCTCTATGAAACGTTAGGAGATTGTTATAATGATTGTGTTCGATTGCTTGTTCTTCTATGCATCTCTATGAACCGTTGTCTATATTTTTCTACCACATCACTTGAAACAAGTGTCTTTCTTTCTTAATAGAAAATTAGGAGGTAGTCATGGGCTCAAACCTCTTTGGGCACCCTTCATGTTCGCTTGTGTAATTGTAAAATATGTAGTTGCGTTACCCCTTGAACATTTTACTTTCAGAAGAATCAAGGCAGTCAACAAGTTCAAATTTAATGCTCTTGGCATTGCTTTCAAGGATCCTGCTTTGACCAAAGTGAGGGGCTGAGTCCTCACCTCATTTGGGTTTCGTTTTTTGGGTGTATTTAGCATTAAATCAAACAAAAAACAAACTTCACGAGTTAGAAACTCAGCCTAAAGCAGAAACCCACAAATGAAGAAAAAAGATGCTCCAAGGTTATATGGTAAATGTTACAACTTGAAGGAATTCCAAATTCTTGATGAAGAAATGAAGTAAACTACTTACACCCAAGTATAAGCCATGTTACATGAATAACAGGTTCACAAAAGGCCGCCTCCAGATACACACACCCGCCTGTTTTCCAACTAATCAACACCACAACATTCTTACTTGGAGAGAAAGAGCAAGAGAAAACCAAGCATGCCTCAGATACAACAGATTACATAAGAGACCACAACCGCCCATTATCAATATGAAACCAGAGTTAATTTAGTACTTGACGAAGCAGAAAACCAAATATTAATTGCATATGTAAGTAGGGTAGGAAACAGAGATGGGCAAGAAGAGCTAACAAAATACTAACAAATGAGAATGAGAAGATTCCATCTACTTGATGAAATTACTGGTATAGCCAATCGGCTACACTAGTTTTTTAAATAAATAGTATAGCCGCACGGCTATAATCGGCTTTAAATCTTTTTTAAGCACTATTCCCGATATACCCGATTTTTTTAAGCGCTATAAATAAATTGTATAGCCGCCCTGCTATACCCGATTTAAATTTTTTATTTATTTAAAAAAAAGTATAGCCGGTCGGCTTTACCGTGATATTTTGTTTTAATTTTTTTGAAATAAACAGGGCTGAACCGACAGCTAAAAGTATGAATATACATGTAATTAACGTCAAACGCATACAACGACCTGAAGCAAGAAGCCTGCCTCCGTTTGGGAATTAAAGCCTTGTTATTACTCCATATAAGTACATTAAGAATCAGCTTACTCCCCTAAGTGAAATTATCCGAACCTGCTGTCCTCACAAAGCAGAGAATTTCTATATTATGGAGACACCCTTTGTTCTAAATCATGGAGAGAAAGACTAAGAGAAAACCAAGCATGCCTTAGATACAACAGATTACATGAGAGACCACAACCACTCATGAACAACGTGAAACCAGAGCCAATTTAGGACTTGATGAAGCAAAAACCATCTGGAAACTTCCAAATGCATGTATAAATTAACATGAAGTTGTTTGCAAAAGATCCCATCTATATATTCAGTGACATAATATAATATTGGGCTATCCAAAGCTTTTGAATTTTCAAAATTCACATTCCTTTTACAACAACGAGGTGCCAGTTCGCCCAAAATAGACTCTTTCACGATGCCCGGCAGCTAATCTTCCATCTTCCTCTCGGATTTTAATTCTGGCTGCCTCACATCTATTCCATGCCTGGCTTCTTTCTGCAAAACTCAATTATAGTACAAGAAATTAGACTCAAAGTATAAAAAAAAACTTATAGTCATGACCAAAATTGAGTCTCTTGATTCATGATCATTAAATAAACAAAAAGATTTCATGTAAACACATTTCTTTCACCTTTGCCATTGTCCTACGTTTTGCCTTAGAAAAACTCTCATCCAGAATGGTTTCTTCTTGTTTTGGCAGATTCACACACTCTTATCTTCTATAGGTTCATAATCGCCACAATCACTGAGTCATAATAATGAGAAACCTTGTTACATACAAAATGTAACAGAATTCCAACGCACAAATTAATAATGTTATTGATGAAAACACAATAAGAAACGTGTAGGAAACTTACGTCATGAAGCATAAAACAAGATCGAAATATGCAGCGCACTCTAGATCCACAGAATGAACAGTTGAATTTATGGTTTTGATCATATATCTTTCTCCCTCTCCAACAACAATTTGAAATGTGGTGATACAAAGATATTCAGCCTTGTCAAAGCAACGACCAGTCTTGACATGGAAAAAGTCATGGTTTCCCAAATGAACCAAATACTCACTCTCCATATCAAATGGCAATGGTGGACGCACAATCTCTAGGTCTTGCAATATAAACAATTGGCTTAAGGAATATACAATACTACCGTGTCCATCCTAAAGGAGAATGCTATAAACTCATTCATTCGTAAGGAATATATAGTCTTGCCTACAACCACAGCCCTCCTTTGGAAAGGAGCATAATCAACAGAAGTGTCAACTTCCACCTGCTTCCATTGATTTCTACTAATGTGAAAAGCAAGGACATGACAATTCTCTTTTTCCCCGCCACACAATGAAAACAAAATAATGCCATAACAAACGGTATAACCAGTTATAAACGTAGGATTATAAAATTGATAAGAAGGCAGTTCCTCCCAGACGTTCTTATCAGGATCATATCTCTCTAATGAGGGGTCAGTAATAGAGTTGAAGGATGATCGGATTGCAAGACAATACAGCTTGTCATACGCAGATACAACATTCTGTATTGATTTATAGGCTCGGGGAAGAGGAAAAGATGAACATCTTGACATAGTCTTCGTGTCAATAATATATCCACCGCTTTGTGCAAGGATGTATAATTTGGAGCGGTTGAAAATATGTGCAGCCTCCATGCGAATAATTTCATACTCCTCACCCTCATAGAACCTGTCAACAAGTCCAATTACTGGGGGTTCATGAGTGACTCCTCCTCCATGTTTGAATTTCACTCCATAGATTGCATTACTTGGTTCTTCAATCCCAAAATAAGACGTAATTAAATATACAGATCTAATAGCCCCCTGATTTACTGTCATTGATGCATGCTCCGAATCTATGGGCAAGCTGGACAGAGAAGAGAGGTATATACAACAGGTCAAGTTAAGCTTTTCAAACACCTACCAAACTAGCTAAAGAGAATTAATGAATGAAGCAAAGGTGAAAGCAGCCAGCTAGTAGAAGCTGCTTACTATTTATTTCAAGCAAGTATCTTTGAATAAGTAAACATGCATGCTGCAACTAGAGAAAACTGAAGCAAAATTTGAAAAAGAAAAACATCAACAATTTTACAGAGAAAAGAAGATGAAATCCAGTAAGCCAAGCACTGACCTTGGGTAAGGATTAACGGCCTTATGCACCGTGGGTTGTAGTGAGCGAATCTGCTCCAACATTGATTTTGTCAAATCGACCAGTTGGGCTAGAGATTTCTCCATCTTCGATATGTTGCCCAGTTGCCCAGAGATTTATCTATCTCCGTTCTGTCGTACAGTTCGCGCATATATTTCTTGATCAAATATATATTGCGGCCGACCTCACTTTGGCGTGAATCCACCAACATCCAGGCATGGTCCTCAACATCTTGACCGGAGGTGAGCAGAGCGGCGGCGGCAGAAGGTTGAGATGTATTCCGATCATCCCCCATTATTCCTGATGATAGGACCTTTGCTATTATTAAAATGCTAAATTGAGGCGCAAGGGAATAGGGTTTCGGCAGAAGGGAGTTTGGTTTAGGGTTTGGGTATGATATGAAAGTTTCGAACTCTTGGAAAAATTCCAATTTTTTTTAAAAAAACCTGTTGGAAAATTCTAACTCTAGAGGCTGCTATCTTATTCCGCACGCATTATATTGTTATGCTAGCCCGTGCAGAATAAATTCGATTTGTTTTTGGATTTTAAACTAGCCCCTCATCCTGTGCCAATTGGATTCTTTCTTTAATTTTTTATTTATTTTAGAATTAAAAAAGATAATGGATAGTTGTGTTCCATAAAAATAGAACCTATTATCTGATTTGTTTTAAATTTTAAATTTTTTTAATATAAAAGGTGTGAATTTACCATTTATCCTCATTTAATTAATAATTTCAATTCTTAATGTTCGCATTAACAAGAAAATGTCATTGGTTAATCCAAACATTAATCCAAAAATTAAGAATTGAAATTGTTAATTAAATGAGGATAATATGGTAAATTTACACATTTTCATGTTTAAAAAATAAAAAATAAAAACAAAATTAGATTATAGGTCCTATTTTTAAAGAACACAACTACTCATTATTATTTTTAATTCTAAAATAAAATAAAATAAAATAAACCAATTGGCATACGCGTGAGGGTTTGTGCGTGCCAATGAGCTAGTATTAATTAATAAGCATGGGCATTTCTTGGTATTTTTAAAGTTTTCACCAAACTATGCCTCGAACTTTATATATATAGATAAAAAGGTAAAAGCATAAAAATAGCGAAAATGGCGAAAAAAGGAAAGAAACCTAGATTAGGGTTCCTAGATAAAAATAAGTAAAACATGGAAGAGTAATTGTATAAATTTTATGTATACATCACGTCTAGGCCAAGTCAAACTATAACTTCTAATTCTATTTACAGTAAGAAAATATAAATAAAAAAAGAAACAAATTATAATCAATAAGGGAATCTTGGTGTGCAAGGCAACTGACACCAACACTAGATGAAAACTGAGTCGTGAATTTTGATGTCATGTTTTGGGTTCTGTTGTAGTCTTTGGTTGGTTTAGAAAATTATAGGGAAAATAGGAGATGTTCATGCTGCAGTTTTGGACTTGGCGAAACTTTTTTTTCTTCGTGCGTTTTCTTGGCTTCCAAACAAACAGATATTTGGAAGAAAATAATAATAATAAGCAAAAAAAATTAAATTCGTCGACAGCAGGGTTCGAACCTGCGCGGGCGAAGCCCAACAGATTTCAAGTCTGTCTCCTTAACCACTCGGACATATCGACTTCTTGTCTGTATATTTCATCTACACAATATTTAACCGTTACGGAAACAAAACGACATCAAGCTTCTCATATTGACATATATATTAACACAGCGAACGACAATATGCATATGTGGTGGTCATTTGCACGACTAAACGGCAATGTTCTGATGAATTTGCAGGCTAAACACTGCGTTTAGAGAGAGAGAGAGAGAGAGAGTGAACCAGAGTGAGAGGATAACAAGAGCTTAACCAACATGAGTTTGATGGTTGGTCATCTTCTACCTCCAACTTCCAAACACTCATTCACTAAAACCTCTCATTGCCTTCAAAACCCAAAAGCTAGTTTGCAAAGTTCAGCCCCAAAGCCCACAATCTTACCCAGTCTACTCTCTTTGGCTCTCTCTGTAACACTAAGCTCACCTTTTCCTGTTTTAGCAATCCCTTCTCTCAACCCCCAGTCCAATTTAGTCCCTCCCCCCACCACTCCATTCTCTCAATCCAAGAATTTGCAGACTGGGCTGGAAAATGGGTACACTTTCTTCAACTCACTGTTTCTTTAACTGGGTTTTCTCCCTTTGCTACGTACAAAGTGTCAAAATTAGAATCCTTCAAGGAGTTTTGGATTAAATTAGTTAATTGGTTTGTACTGAATCCAATTCTCTTTAATGGGTTCTTTCTATTTCTGCTAATTTACATCCATGTTGTGTTGAAAAGAATGTATTTGTTGGAAGGCATGGAGAAATTAGAGGTTTTTTCTTCCTGTGCCTTGTGCAATGTGCTTTGCTCTGTTTGCTCAGTATGACCTGTGTGTGTGTCCCTTCAATTTGCAGAAAAATCAGACCTTGCCCATCGATAAATCCAGGCTGTGTGTCAACAAATCCAAGGTCATCATCGTTTGCATTTCCATTGACGATTCCTGCAAATTCTTCAGACAATGCAATTCAGGTTTAGAGAGAATCAATGCATCCACTCTCATGAACAATTTGAATTGAACTTTTACTTTTCTCATGATCCGAGACTTGCTTGGTTATGAACTTTCTGCATTCACTTGTTTGCATCTTGAGTTAACTAGTTTTAATCTTCTTCTTTTTTTGGTCCAAATGTAGTTTTAAGCTTTACAAAATGCTTAAAGTCACTTTCTTTTTATTTTAATGAAATTATGCAGAGGTTGGAAGAAGCAATCTTGGAAACTCAAAAGAATGCAAAAATTCAAATCTTGCAAGATACCCCTGATGGTAAGTAGATTGATTGAACACATGCATAACAAATTGAATCTGGCCCATGAACTTGATCTCAAGTAGTAAAACAGAATGTTGCCAAGATGCTTATTAATTTAAGTGAAGAGGAACTTGGTACGTCAAGGCCTTTTTTCATTGGGCTAGACCCTATTGGCGAATCATTAATTAAATTTAAACCAAGTTTTAGTGAGACATTACTGATAATGAAAACAATCCCAGGAGGCCAATATCTACAAGCTGAGTTTGATGGAGGGTTTGGCCGAGATGTGCTGGAGTTTCTGGTGAAAGGAGACTTGGTTTCTTACAGGTGCATGGCCACAAAAGTAACCTACTTGTACCCTTTCACTACTGCTTTGGGGAATTCAAAGGGACAAGAAGAAAGGATGAAGAAAATCACTGACCAGTTGGGTTGGTATGCTCCAAGTTTCGAAGCCATGGACTAAAAGTTTTTTCTTCATCTGCTCATCTCTGAAAAGAAAGAACAAAGTTGATATTATTGACAAGAAATTTGTTTGATTTGTGAATAATTTGTTCGTGCTTCTTGTTTTCTGAATCTTATGATCAGCTTGTTTCTTAAGTGCCAGATAAATTACATGTGACATAGAAGGGAAGGCTCTTTTGCACGTTCAGTAGTCAGACGACGACGTATGATCTCTTCTACGTATCTATAATGGTTGATGTGTGACAGCTCAACAAATCAGTCCACATTTTATAAAAGCTCAACAACTTATGTAGGTAGGTGTGTTGCATCTGGTTCCTGCGTGTTGAAATTGAACTGTTCTTCTTTTCAATTTGTCGGCTATGCATGTCATGTCACGTGTTGATCAAACGAAACTAATACCATTTCAGGAGAAATTTAGGAGTGAGATATTAATTAACTTAACTGAACTTTTTTATAAACTAGTCGATTATTAGTTGGCATTTTCACTCACTTTGTTCACTCTTTTTAATCACGTTTCAACATTTTGTTTTATACAAACGATAATGATGGAGGGAATTCGAACACATAATATCTCAGGTGCAAGAATAACTAGTCTTAACTATTTGACTTATGAAACCTCTTCCTATAACGTTACATTTACGTAACATCAATTAGACAAAATTGAATATTCCTACTCGAGTTATGCATGCATATGGCTTACTTTTTGGGTGGGCATTGGTTTGTATGTTTCACATGAGTGGGCATTGGTTTGTATGTTTCACATGGGTTGACCTATTCTATGTGGGTATTTTTCAATTTTGAAAATTCTGGGGTAGGCAGCAGCCTACCTTGCCCTAGGTGTAGGACCGCCTCTAGAGGGGATTTGAACACATGATATCTCCAATGCAATAATAACTAATCTTTACTACTTGAGCTACAAAATCTCTTCCTTTCACGTCACATTTATGTAACATCAATTAGACAAGATCGAATATTCCTATTTCCAGATCTATTTGTGATGAGCTATTCTCTCGACGTGGCATTAGTATAAAAAATAATAGATTGATTAAGGAGTGTAACAAATTCTTTCCATATCGACAATTAATATGGTTGCATGTTATTCGTGGCAATAAATAAAAGAAAACGAAGGTTAAAGCACCACATGCTGCCAGTTGTAAATTGCATTGTTTTTCTTCTCTCTCCTCCAACATCTATCAGTCGTGTACTTCATAAAAACCGAGGGGGAACTCTATAGTGATGGATCATCTTACCCTACAATCCTATTACAAGACTTCGAATCTTTGCCTGGATTCAATCCCCTGAAAAGACGGACCACCGATGGTCTTTTCTCTTTTGTTTGTTTAAAAACTGTTCTTTTCATTTTTCTGTTTGGTTTAAGTTGTTGAATTTGGATTTTCTGTCACTCTCTGGTCCCAACTGCATGCCCTCTAAATTGGACAATTTCTCCACTTGCCCTTTTGTGTAATATCATTTTTGATACGAGTGATGGTTTAAATGAATGTAAACTAATCTAATTTACAAAGAGAAGAACTCAAATTTGGGTGTAAGACAAGCTCACTGTGCTGACTAATGAGTAAAGCTTACATGTAACATGTTTTATATACCTTTATCCTTATCTCTCTCATCACAAGATGAGTTACGTAATGAAAGAGATAAAAAAAAAAGTATATGAAACATGGAATATGAAAAAGAAAAAAAAAATCTAATTCAAGTTATGTTGTTCTTGACATCATATTATTCATTGTTGTATGACTCACGGTTGTAAAACCAAAAATGCAAATCCCAGAAGAGGCCAAATGATAAGCAGCCAAAGATAAGTCAGATGGATTTTTTTTGTGTGTACGCAAGTTTGATGGATTTGAGATGTAAACATCATTATGGTACGTTTCTAAAAATAATATAAATACGTGAAAATAACATTTTATATACAAGTGCGTGTGTGTGTGTGTCTCTCCATCTGTATAAAAGAAATCTAGAAATCAGCCGCCAAGGTCAACAATAACAATGATGGTCTTCGTAAACTAGTGGCTGAAAAACAATCACGCCTCCTATGATTGATTTCCAAAAAACTTTAAAAGAATTTATAACATCAGGGTCACACTCACAAACCACCGTTCTTAATTTTGTTGTCACTCAAAAAAATAATCACCACTCCTTTTTTTTTGGCATGCAAAAGACTTGAACCTAAATTAAGAAAGTTCAGAAATTGAAACTCTTCAAACATTTTTGTCTTGAGCAGTCAAAAACTTTTAACCCCATTTACATATCAGTTGTTGTTCTTTTCATTCTACATATTATATAATGGTAGTTATATTGACCGATGGTGAGGCTAGGATTAATTTACCGCCATGTTGATCGAAAATATCACACAGCTGGATATTTATATTTATGTCAAGCTTAGGCAGACAAAAAACCTATCATTCACAACAAAGTTTCAAAGTGATCATTAGAGATCTCGATTTCCAATCAAATAGTGTGATGCAGTAGACTTTGCTGTCTTTGATCATCATCATCATCATCAGCCACTGATTTCATCAAAACACAAAGATGGTTCAGTTTCATGGGAAATTGAAGGCTCTCTTCAACAGCAGATGGCTTGTGTTTGTGTGTGCAATGTGGATTCAGTCATTTGCAGGAATTGGGTACTTGTTTGGGAGCATATCTCCAGTGATCAAGAGCACCATGGGGTACAACCAGAGGCAGGTGGCCATTCTTGGTGTGGCCAAGGACTGGGGTGACGCTGTTGGGTTTGTGGCAGGAAGCTTGTCTGAGGTTATGCCCACTTGGGGGCTTCTGTCCATTGGGGCAGCTCTCAATTTTCTTGGCTATGGCTTCCTTTGGCTTATAGTCTCTCAAAGATTGCCTGCTTTTCCTTTGTGGGTGGTGAGTTCAAACTTCAATCAAGTCTCATCTGATCATCAAGTCTTCTTTTGGATCTGGTACACAGATAGATTGCTCTCTCTCTCTCTCTCTCTCTTTCTGTCAGGACTTGAATTTCATTGTTATAACTTATATATCCATTGGAATCCCTATCTAAATTCACAATAGTAGGACAAATTAGATATATCTTTAGTTCATATATACCTAGTTAATATCACATATACATGCCTTTCCCCCATACCTTAAACCAAATATTCTTTCAAGATTTTGTTCAATACCCTTTTGGTTATTGGTTGAAATATCAGATTTGGAAATGATAGAAGCGTTGACTAATTTGAAATTTCCTATTGGAAAGGAAAGAGGAGCTATAAGGTGCTGAATTCTTAGTATATTTTTCAAATGGAAAAGAGTTGCCATTGTCTTTCTTAATATTGTTTTTCTTGACAGAACAGTCATACATTCTATTGATGTCCAAGCTGAATTGGGACATGTGAAAATCTGACTGAAATCTCTTCTTTTTGTTCATTGCTATTTCAACAGAGTTCAGAAATACTTCTACATTTCTTTGTGAGCAGAATTGTTATTGAAGTTTGTTTTTTTATGTGCAGCTTTGCATCTGTATATTTGTGGGAACAAACGGAGAGACCTTCTTCAACACAGCAGCATTGATTTCATGTGTGCAAAACTTTCCCAAAAGCCGGGGTCCTGTTGTGGGGATCCTAAAAGGATATGCCGGGTTGAGTGGTGCAATCATTACTCAGATTTATGCAATGATCAATTCCCCAAATGAATCATCATTGCTTTTCATGATTGCAGTTGGCCCATCTATGGTAGTCATTGCTCTGATGTTCATTGTTAGGCCTGTGGGAGGTCACAGACAAGTCAGGCCAGCTGATAATTCAAGTTTCCTATTTACTTATAGTGTTTGCCTTGTCCTGGCAGCTTATTTATTGGGAGTTTTGATTCTTGAGGATGTGCTTAACTTGAGTCAATCTTTGATCACATTGTTTGCAGTCATTTTGATCATTCTCATATTACTTCCAATCATAATCCCTATCATATTAGTTTTCTTCTCCGAACCAACACCTTCGGCGCAGGAGAGCCTTCTCCTTGAGGCTCAGAGAGAAGAAGATGGCAAATCTGAGCAGGACAAAACTGAGGTGATTCTTAGTGAGGTGGAAGATGAGAAGAGTCCAGAAGTAGATTCACTTCCAGCATCAGAGAGACAAAAACGAATTGCTCAGCTGCAGGCTAAACTGTTCCAAGCAGCTGCAGATGGAGCAGTGAGGGTCAAGAGGAGAAAAGGCCCTCGTAGAGGAGAGGATTTCACATTAATGCAGGCATTGATAAAGGCAGATTTCTGGCTTATATTTGTTTCCCTTTTACTGGCTGCCGGATCTGGTTTGACAATTATTGATAATTTGGGTCAGATAACTCAGTCACTTGGGTATACCGATTCAAGTATATATGTCTCCATGATCAGCATTTGGAACTTTCTTGGACGTGTTGGTGGCGGCTACTTCTCTGAGATTATAGTAAGGTGAAACCAGATATAACTTAAAATCATAAACTCCAGTATTTTTTCTCTCTAAAATTTTGGCGCATGAAGGTTTACCAGTTCTAATGTTCAATATGTTTGTTATTTTACCAGAGACTTCGCCTATCCTAGACCAGTGGCTATGGCCGTAGTTCAGGTCATCATGGCAATCGGGCTCTTCTACTATGCTTTGGGGTTGCCAGGGCAAATATATGTGACAACTGTGTTGGTAGGGCTAGGGTATGGTGCTCACTGGGCAGTTTTGCCAGCTGCAGCTTCAGAGCTATTTGGCTTGAAAAGTTTTGGGGCCCTATATAATTTTCTTACAATGGCAAATCCTGCTGGTTCTCTTATCTTCTCAGAAGTGATTGCTAGTGGTATATACGACCACTACGCGAAGGAACAAGCTGCACTCAGACACCGAGACTTGGCTTCAATGCTTATAAAACCCCTCAGAGATGATGACTCACTCAGTTGTGTTGGCACTGTATGCTATTCCATTACTTGTGGAATACTCTCAGGACTTTGCATTGTTGCAGCTGCATTGAGTTTAGTTGTTGTTTACCGGACTAGGAGGGTTTATACGCAACTCTATGGATCGCGCGGTTGAGCTGTGAAAGCAAAGGGGAAGTGGATATCTACTGTCAGCAGAATGAGTCTGAAAGGTCTTTCATCTCTATGATATATGACCGGAGTCTTTCTGAGGGTAAGAGAGTCTGAGGCAAACATTTCTGCTGCACCTATATTATCACAAAAGTGAGAACCAGCCATCTAGTACATCTAAATTATTATGCCAGTTTATTATAAATCCAATCCTCTGTCGGCATTCTTCCGTAAAACCGAAACGAAATTCTTTACAGGGTCTTGGGATGGTCCTGTAGTTTTCCCAAATTTATTTTTCCTATTACAACAGAAGAGCAATGCCAAAGATCTGCAGGATTTACCATCCGACGGATTACTTTATGCCAGTACATCAGGTTTTTTTATTCATGCTTTGTGCTTAGAAATTACATTTCAATGAGAAATGAGTAATGGTTCAACTCCTTTATATATAGATGTAGACAATACAGCTGCATAAATTGAATCAACCTGAACAGCTTGAAAAACTGAAATTCTGAAAGAGCAGCCAAGACATTTCCAAAGACAAGAATGAAAAAGCACTTGATGTATGATTCTTATCAAAATGGAGGAACATAATGGTAAATAAGCCTTCATCCTAAGAACAGAGGAAGTCCACTAGAATGTGATATGGGATTCTGTGATCGAAATCAGACAGTATCATGTTATAATATTCAGCATCTGTAATAACATTGTCCATATCATTAACCTATCACTTAAATACTTGTCAATTTAAAAAACCTTTACTTTGTAGTTGAAAATTACAAAAGGAAAGACTAATCCTTCAATATTTATCGGAACCTGCTGTTCCTCACAAAGCAGCAAATTTCTATATCATGGGGACACCCTTTGTTCTAAATCATGGAGAGAGGCTAAAAGAGAAGCAAGCATGCCGTAGCTACAACAGATTTCATACAACAACGACTCTCTCACGATGCCTAGCTCTTCATCTTCCTGACGGATTTCAATTATAGCGCCCTGGCAGCTATTCCACACCCAGCTTCTTTCTGCAAAAGCCGATTATATTACAAGAAATTAGATTCAAAGGCCAAAAAAAACACTTATAGACACGAAAAAAAAATGAGTCTCTTGATTCATGGTCATTAAATAAACAAAAACATTTCATTTAAACACATTTCACCCTTGCCATTCTCCTACGGTTCACCATAGAAAAACTCTCATCCATACTGGTTTCTTCTTCTTTAGGTTCATAATCATCGCACCCACTGAGTCATAATAATGAGAAACCTTGTTACATACAAAACATAACAGAACTCTAATGCACAAATTAATGTTATTGATGAAAACACAAGAAACGTGAAGGAAACTTATGGCACAAAGCAGGAAACAAGATTGAACCATTCACTGGGCTGTATATCCACAGAACGAACAGTAGAATGTATGGTCTTGATCATAAGACTCCTCCTTCTCCAACAACAATTCGAAACATGGTGATACAAATTTACTGAGAGAAGTGTACGGCCAGTCTTGACATGGAAAAAGTCATTGTTCACCAAATCAACCAAATAGTCTGTCTCATAATCCTCATATGGCAATGGTGGACGCACTCCAGGCCTTCCAATACAAACAGTCGGCTTAGGAAATATACAATACTACCGTCATCACCTTTGTACATCTTAAAGCCGAATGCTATAAACTCCTCCCCATGTACGGAATAGATTTTCTCGCCTACAACCACGGCCCTCCCTTGGAAAGGAGCATAATAAACAGAAATGTCAACTTCCACTGGCTTCCATTGGTTTCTACTTATGTGAAATGCAACGACATCGAAATTCTGTCCTCTCGAGGCACACAATGAAAACAAAATAACCCCATAACAAATGGCATAACCAATTAGATCCATATAGGTGTCATAATCATTATAATTAGTAGAAGCTTGCTTACTATTTCAAGCAAGAATCTTTGAATAATTAAACATGCATGCAGCAACTAGAGAAAACTTGAGGAAAATTTGACATAGAAAAACATGCACAATTTTGCAGAGAAAAGATGATGAAATCTACTAAACCATGCACTGACCTTGGGTAAGGATTATCTGCCTGTTGGATTTGCACCGACATTGATTGTATTAAGCGAAGCTGCTCCGACATTGAACGCATCAAATCGACAAGTTGCATTTGCTGGGCGGAAAGCACGGCAAGAGAATTATTCATCACCGATATCTTGCCCACGTCGCTCGGAGGTATCTCCATCTCTATTCTCTCGCACAGTTGGCGCCTAGATTTCTCGACCTCCTGTACATCGTGCAGGACCTCATGGTTGCTTGAAGTGAACGTTTCGATGAAACGGGATAAGTTAACATTTCGATCCAAGGGGAGAGCGTAGGGGAGCAAATCGGTGGAGGCAGAAGGTTGAGATTTATTCCAATCCCCCATTATACCGGATGCTATCAAATTGCAAACTTTAGGCACAAAGGGACGGATCCACATAGTGGGCTGTCTGGGCTACAGCCCATACGAATATTTTTTTGTATTTGTACTACCATATAGTATTCTTAAGAAAAAAAAAACTTAATGGAGATAGCCCATCCCAAAGCTGCGAGAAGAACAGAGAGATGGAGCAGACGGAGAGAGAAGAAAGAAAAGAAGAAGAGAGGAAGAAGGAAAAAGAACAAAGAAAGAAGGAGAGGGAGAGATTAAAAAAGAGAGAGACGAGAAAATATAATAAAAAAGAGAGGGGGGGAGATATGTGTTGGGATGAGATGTGTTTTTATTTTGTTAGGTGCACTGCCCCACAAAATGGGATGTTTTTATTTGATTATTACTTTGTTTTTTAACTTCAATTCCTTATAAATATCTTCTTCTTTTTTCTTTCTTTGTTTCCCTTCAATCCCTTCCAAATATTTCAACAATATTTTCTCTATTTCAAATGTCGTATAATGACAAATGAGAGAGAAATTTTGTAAAAGAAGCTAAAATGGACAAAATTGCCCTTATTTATTTTTGGATTTCCTAAAAGATCCTTTACATTTGCATGTCTTTGATTTGAAAGTTGAGAGGTTTTTTTGTCTTTTTTGAAAAAGCTTTGGCTTTTTCCAAAAGTAAAAGTTTTTTTGTTGCTAAAACCTAAATTTACTTAATTAGAAAAAGTTATAATTACGAATAAAAAAAACTAAAAAATGCTTATATAAAATAAAAATATAACAAACTAGGGCTTATGATTTACCCAAAAAAAAAATTTAGCCACCTATGTGGGTTACCTCTAGTTTTTAGTTCCTAAAATCTATTGTCCAAGCCTAAAAACCTACAAAAACCAACCAAAATCCATAAAATTCACAAAATTTTCTTAATACATTTGTACTTAAGGTAAATTTAGCTCACCTGATTTGCAATTCCTGGACCCGTCCCTGTTAGGATTTGGGGATAGGGATGCTGCGGCAGAAGGGACATTGGCTTAGGGTTTGGGTATGATATCAAAGTTTCGAATGGAATGAACGAAAGAAAGGGTAGAAATCAGAGAGTGTTAGGGAAAGGTTCACTCAATATTCAAATCTAAATGTTAGAAGAACTGGGTATTTATAGGGGCTTTGCTTGCTATTAAAATGCTAACTTGTGGCACAAGGAATTTAGGGTTTGGGGATGGGGATTTGGGTAACAATTAGAATATAAGGGCTTGTTTGGTATTCAACTTGAATCCAAATTTTTAAACTCAAAAACAGAATTTGAGTCTAAAACAAAACAAAACAAAAAACATGTTTGGTAGCCCTATTTTTAAAAACTCAAACTCAAGAACAACTAAAAAACACCCCCAATTATTAAAACAAAAATATATCTTTTTTTTTTTTTTTTTTAGTTCTCAAATTTTTAAGATTTGAAAACAGTTTTCAAGTTGCATACCAAACAAGTTTTTGAATCTTAAAAATAGATTTAAGAACTCCTTGTTTTTAAGAAAAATAAAAGTTTTTGAGTTCCTTATTTAAAAAGGATACCAAACGCCCCTAAACAAATAACATAATAACATAACACGAAAATATATTCTATATAAATAATAAAAAAAAGATAATGCTGATTTGCATTGGTGATAGAGTCCTGCATAGGAGCAGCAAGAAGGCCCAGGGCTAGTATCTTGAAATTAAATATATTCCATATGTATAGGCCCATATTCAAACTATGATGATACCCAACTTTGCCTCCTCTAGGCCTATACCTTATTGAAGGGTTTTAAAGTGTTGGTGCTTATAAACCATGAAAGGAAACCACTCCCCTTCAATGTGGACTACGTGAAAGTGTATTTTCCTATGCAAACTCTAACAACCATTCCTAATGTTCAATGTGTTTGCTATGTTACCAGAGACTTCGCCTATCCTAGACCACTGGCTATGGCTGTGGTTCAGGTCATCATGGCAATCAGGCTCTTCTATTATGCTGTGGGGTTGCCAGGGCAAATATATGTGACAACTGTGTTGATAGGGCTAGGGTATGGTGCTCACTGGGCAATTTTGCCAGCTGCAGCTTCAGAGCTATTTGGCTTGAAAAGTTTTGGGGCCTGTATAATTTTCTTACAATGGCAAATCCTGCTGGTTCTCTTATCTGCTAGTGGTATATACGACCACTACGCAAAGGAACAAGCTGCATTCAGACACCATGACTCGGCTTCAATGCTTATAAAACCCCTCAGGGATGATGACTCACTCAGTTGTGTCGGCTCTGTATGCTATTCCCATTACTTGTGGAATACTCTCAGGACTTTGCATTGTTGCAGCTGCATTGAGTTTAATTGTTGTTTACTGGACTAGGAGGGTTTATACGAAACTCTATGGATCGCGCGGTTGAGCTGTGAAAGCAAAGGGCAAGTGGATATCTCCTGTCAGCAGAATGAGTCTGAAAGGTTTTTCATCCCTATGATATATGGCTGGAGTCTTTCTGAGGGTAAGAGAGTCTGAGGCAAACATTTCTGCTACACCTATTATCACAAAAGCTGCTAACCAGCCATCTAGTACATCTAAATTATTATGCCAACATGAACAGCTTTGATGTTTACCCATAACTTCTGTTAAGAGTTTCATTTTTGTCCAACCAAAGAAAAAGCTGTTATTACGTCAACATGAACAGCTTGAGCTTGAAAAAGCTGAAATTCTGAAAGAGCTGCCAAGACATTTCCAAGACAAGAATGCCAAAGCACTTTGTGTATAATTCAGAATTCTTATCGAAACGGAGGAAGAAACATAATGGTAACTAAGCCTTCATCATAAGAACAGAGGAAGTGCACTAGAATGTGAAATGGAATTCTGTGATCGACATCAGATAATAATATCATGTTATTCAGCATCTGTAATAACATTGTCCATATTATTAACTTGTCACTTAAATCCCAGTCAATTTTAAATTCTTTAGTTTGTATTTGTAACTCAAAATTACAAAATGAAAGACAATTTCTCTCTTTCACACACACACCAAATCCATATTTTAGACTTCACGTCCTTCTCGTTGTATTGATATGATTGATTCTCCCCTCGTACCTTCGTAGTTCTCTTAAAAACAATAGTTATTACTTTACACACATACAAAAACAAGAAACCAATGTAATCATTATCTGTGATTTCCTCATTTGGGTTGGTCTAATAAGGCAATTAGTTCCTACATATCTTTGACAAGTTTTGTTACTTGACCATGAATGGGATTTTCTTGGTCAAATGAAATGTCTTAGAATATGGGAAGAATCTAAATACATGCGTATCTAGTCAGGACCTGAGGTGGTATGCATCAGCTTATGTTCGTATAATTCTCCTTACTTGTAATGGTGCTGTTGCTGTTGCCAAAAATGAATAAAATAAAACAAAATTACAAGGAATGTAATATCCATCCATATTTTCAAAAAGAAACCCTACTATGACTTCAACAATAAAAGTTAAATTGAAAAGGAAAAAACTAGTCAGTTATTATTTCTTTTTTAATCAATGGGGAGAAATGATTTGAATTTAGACATCTTTCAATGGTGGAAAGAAATATCACTAATTAAGAACTTGCTGGTAACTTTTCATCGTATTTACAAACTTACGTGAGATGCTAACGTGTTGTGTCCCTAGATGAGACTCATTTGTTATTCATTTAGTATTAGTACCGTTGTGTGTAACTTCATTAACTTTTACAAGCATTTAGTCTTTTAAAAATTATTAAAATTTTAATTGTATATACCCGTCTTAGCTATCGACTAATGTACTTTAAGAGCTTATTCTAGAATAGATACACCATGCAATTTTTGAAACGATTAGAATGTGACCAAAAGGAACATTGTGAAATAAAATACCTAACAAAATAAAATAAATTGAGGTAAAAATATGGCAAACCAAAAATTAAATCTTGGTATTATCTAATCAAAATTTCCATGTTTAGGGAAAAGTAATTATGGATGGAAATGTAGCAACCCTGTAAAGCAGAATAAGATTGACCATGGTTAGGGTTTTAACCATAGGCCGAAAAATGGTTAGGTGTCATGATTAACAAAAAAAAAAAAAATATATATATATATATATATATGTGTGTGTGTGTGGATATATAAATATTATATTGTCATGCAAACTCCTCTGGAATTGAAAGAAATTCACCAAAAAAGAAAAGAAAAAAAGAAAAAAAAACCCCGGAAATTGAGATTGTTTAAGTTTTGATCAGGGCAATCGGGGCAAACATAAGAATTTTGTTGGGAATTCATCAATGGCGTCTCTGCGATACGAATATTTGAAATGGGTAAATTTCATACCTCTTTTATATATCTGTTTCTTTATGGTTTTCACTGTGCCCTGTATGGAATATTATTTTCCTTGTCGTTGCTTCCGTTAGATTTTCAGTAATGCTATAGACTTTCTAGGGTTTTAACCAAAACTACTGAAATTGGGCAGGTTGAATGTGTAATTTGAACTATCATTGGTAGCTAATTCTGATTGTTTGCATGTCTCTATGAGATTGTGGGTTTGTCTATTCTATCAGATTTTAGTCAATTTAAGAACTGTATATATGTTTTTGTTCTTAATTCTCCAAATTTGGAGAATTGGTTTTTCTGTTTTGGATTGTTTATTTATTTGAAGTGTATGATAACTGAGATTCTACTTCTAAGAGAATTGTCCTCTGGTTTCTGAGAAACCGTGAGGAAGGAGAAGTTGGAATTCAACATTATCCTTACACCCTGCGATCTGTTCTTCGTTTTGCCAGCATTTTCAGGAACAAAACTGGCATTGTGTTTTTTTCCTTCTTTTTTCAAAACTAGCTATTGTTGATGGTATCATGGTCTGTGTGATTAGTGTATGAATGTGAAATGTGGCTGGCATTGCAATCAGGTTAACCTCAATTTAGTTTTGTCTATCCATCCAGTGCTTATTTTGGAAGTTGGGTGCTTTAACTTGTTAAATTTCAAGGATTCTTGATTTCCCGCGTATTTCGGTTGATTGAATTAGTATTCTAGATTCGAAGGTGTTAAAGATTCTGTAACCGATGTTTCGGAGGAAGTAGCTCTTTTTTACTATGTTTGTAGTTGTGTCTTTGATTAATCATGGCCATATTGCTCAACCAATCCTCGCCATCTTTATTTAATATCTTAAATAAATTGGTTTCCTTATTGTGGTTTTTCTGTTTTCCGGTTGCAGCTTCCACAATCGAAAGTAACTTCTTAATGATGCGCGAAAATATCGGGTGTTAGATAAGAAGTAATACCTTGATTGACTCTTGTCCATAACGTGGCGGCCTGTTGTTAAAAAGAAGAAAAAAGGAAATAACGTGGACAGATACAGAGAGTTGCCAACATTGTGAAAATGGAATGTAATAAAGACGAGGCCCTTAAGGCGAAAGCGGTTGCTGAGTTGAAGGCTGGACAGATTGATTTCCCTGGGGCTAAAAGGTTTGCTTTAAAGGCCCAAAACTTGTATCCAGAGCTTGATGGTATTTCTCAATTTTTAGCCACTCTTGATGTCTACATCTCTGCTGAGAAGAGAGCAAATGGGGAGATTGATTGGTACAAGGTCCTCGGTGTGGAACCTTTGGCTGATGAGGACACAATCCGAAAACAATACAGGAAACTGGCTCTCATTCTTCACCCAGATAAAAATAAATCTGTAGGCGCAGATGGTGCTTTCAAAATTGTAAAAGAAGCCTGGAGTTTGTTGTCGAATAAAGCCCAGAGAATTCTTTATGACCAGAAGCTGAACTTCAATTATATGCACGAAAGAGCTCCAGATGGGAATTCATCCGTGGCAACTAATCAGAATGGTTTCCATAATTTCTCCAACTATAATCATTTAAATGCAAGGATGAGGAGTGCTACTCATACCAAGCCTTTTCGAACTCCGTATCCACAAAAACCTACATTTTGGACCGTGTGTAATAGTTGCAAGATGCATTTTGAGTATCTTAGAGCTTTTCTCAATCACAATCTTTATTGTCACAACTGCCATCGGCGCTTTTTAGCCTATGAGACACCACCCCCATCCATAAGTGAAAATGGTTCATCCACTTCATGGACTTCCTACATTCAGCAACAGAATTCTAGTCTGCGCAACAGGACCAAGAATTCATATGCTCCGGGAAGGACACAGACTGCAACCACAAATGTGAAATTAGAAGGAATTTCTGGTGTTGACACTTCAAAGAAAACTTTTCAGGCAGGTATTTTCTTCAAGTCAAATGTTGAAAGTGTGCAGTTACCAGCTTCCAGTGCTGGTCAAGCTGCACGTGACGTGCAGCCAGCATTTGGGCAATTGAAGAGAGGGCATGAAGAGGCATTTCCACACAAGGAGGCCCATAATAGGAAAAATCTTGCTTTTAAGAAAGCAGATGCTGCCTTAGCTACTGGGTTTCCGGGTGTTTTTTCCAGTTCTGTGCCCAACAAAGACAGGACTAAAAAGAAAAGGCATCTGAACAGGCAAGAGATGCCAACTCAAGTAGGAGTGGAAACTGGAGGAGTTGCTATTAAAAGTGTATTTGGACCTAACAAGGGTATTGCTGTTATGGAAAGGTCTGATGTAGCCGGAAAGCATAGAATTAATTGCACAAGGGAGCTATCACAGCAACAAATGAGAAGTATGTTGATGGAAGTGGCTAAGAAAGAAATTCACAAGAAGCTTAATGTATGGAATGAGGCTGCTACACCAAAGACTTCATTTATACCAAAAACTGCAGATAATAACGAGGTGAAGGAGAAGGAAAAGGAAGAAGCTGCTATGCATGGTGTAGAAACTGACGTGACAGGATGTAGGGTATTTGTGGATGCCAAGAATGTAACGCATGGCAAAAGGCCTTCCCTTGCCAATTCTGGTGTTGACTCTGATGTGGAGGAACATAATACAGTGTCAATGACTGTTCCGGATCCTGATTTTCACGATTTTGACAAGGATCGCACAGAGAAGTCATTTGGTAGCAATCAGGTTTGGGCTGTGTACGATGAAGATGATGGCATGCCTCGTTATTATGCTATGGTTCACAGTGTGATATCTTTGAAACCATTCAGACTTCGGATTAGTTGGCTTAATTCCAAAAGCAATAGCGAACTTGCTCCACTAAATTGGATTGCTTGTGGTTTCCCTAAGACTAGCGGGGAACTCCGAATAGGGAAGCATGAAGTCTATAGGCATCTTCCTTCTTTCTCACACAAGGTTAGGTGGACAAAAGGCACAAGAGGAGCAGTTCGCATATATCCAGCAAAGGGAGATGTCTGGGCTTTATATAGGAACTGGTCCCCTGATTGGAATGAACATACCCCAGATGAAGTGATACACAAATATGACATGGTGCAAGTGCTTGAAGATTACAATGAGGAGCGAGGTGTGAGCATTGTCCCGCTGGATAAAGTAGCTGGTTTTAAAACAGTGTTCCGCCAACATTTGCATCGAAGTAAAACCAGGACAATTCCAAGAGAAGAAATGTTTCGCTTCTCTCACCAGGTCCCTTCTGTCTTGCTCACTGGTCATGAAGGTCCTAATGCTCCCAAGGACTGCTTGGAGCTTGATCCTGCTGCTACTCCTTTGGAACTGCTTCAGGTGAAATCAGAAGCATATGAGGATGAAATGGAGGAGATAGCTGAAACATGTAATGGAGAAGATCCACTGGGATGGTTGAAAAGCACCAAGGAAGAGGCTCTGGCGGAGAATGGAAAAATAACAATAGAAACAGGTTTGGTAGATGATCCTGAGAAAAAAGATGTGGCAGACATGATGAAGAGGGAAGAGGAATCCCGAGGAGCAAAGTTGCTAGTATATTGTCGGAGACGTTTCAGGAAAGGAAAAATGGAGGCTGCTAAGTGATTGCAGCTTTAGTGGACTTGTCGTAAATAGAAGGAATCAACGATTTCTTTTGTTTTATGTCGTTTACTCTGTGGCACTGGAAGTAGCAAAGATCATTTGAGAAGAAGAAGGCTTGCAATCTCTTCCACCCGTTGAATTGAAAGTCCATCCTCTTTTCCTGCATCTTCTTTGCCAATTAGGCAGGGCAGTTATCATGAGTCACAATACTGAGGTACAGCAGTTTTTGTTCACTTTTGTTTGTGTCGATGGATCCACAGTTTTGTTCAAAGGCATGCAATGCCCTTGAGACCAGTTTCAGCTGTATTTGTGACTTGAGCCACAGTTTAGGAGGTTTTTGTTTTCAAAGTTTTAATACCCCAGGAAGGGCTAATCTTTTGCAGCTGGTCAAATTTGCAGACCTAGGAGCTGCTTGACTTTTTTTGTTATACCTCATAATGCTTTACAGGGTTCGGTATCTGTTATTTCAAAAAGAAAATGAAAATTGAATGACAGTTTCAACTTTGATAATCTGTCTACTACGTGGCCAATACTTGTTATTTCCTCATCATGCTTACTCTTCGTTGTCATTGCCGTGTTAAGTCCATTAATTTTTTTTTTATCATACTCTTGATCTTCAGTCAATGTTTTAGTTTACATATACAATCTGCCATGTATCAAAAGTAAAGCATTTCACATTCACTATAGAGGGATTTTGAAATCCTTAATTGTGTTTTTTTTATCTTGTGTATTTTACCTGTACTGTCCATAGGTAAACAATGGTAAAAACTGAATTTCAGAGGTTTCCATGTTAAATAATCCGTGGTTCTAAAGGAGAAAAATTTTCCTAGCACGGGTACATTGTAACCTTTCTCTCTGTCTCGATCATTAGCCAGTCAAATGAGGGGTGAGATAGAGCAAAATATTTTCTTGCTCTTCATTCAACCTGTCAATTGAGTGAGATAGAGAAAAAAGTACATTGCTGCTGTGACACCAATTTTCTATCCCTGGCTGGCATGAAGCAGTAGGGATGTTCCTCATTCTTATTATATTATATATGGAGGGACATTCTCATTTTTGTTATATTATAATAAGCAGCATTGTTTAATATATTCTATAAAGTAAGGGACAACAGGCATCAGTCAAGTCAACAACATTTGGGTATAGGCTTAAAGCCTATAATTCTAAATATGGGTAATTGAGTGGCTTAGGTGCCATCAAGTAAAAAATGTGTTTGCTTTAGTTCATTGACTTATAGATCTATTTTTTAATAGACGACACACATAATTGTGCAGGTTCTATTTTGATTCCTGGTTGCCTCAAACTGTAATTGGTGCCATGCAAAGTAGACTTCGGTTAAAGAAAGGGATTTAACTTTTTTACTTAAAAAATGTGAGACAAATCTAGAATTTGAATTTCCACTCACACCTATAGACGATGAAATGAAAGTATGAAACTTACAAAATATATGTATTTTGGTTGTTTCTTACTCTCATTCATGATGCTCTTATGAACGGACACGACGTGTTCGAAATGATATGAGATTTACAAAATATCTGTATTTTGGTTTTTTCTTTCTCCCATGAATATGGTACTCTTATAAACAACTGCGACGTGTTCATTTCTCACACGAATATTAGGGAAATTCTCATGCATGGAAGATCTCGTAGAAGTAATGCAACGCCTATATGAACGACATTCGTATTGCATTCATTCGTCATACACAAATATTTCTTTAATTTTTATAATGTGAGAGGCACTTCACGTAATCATGTACTTTTGAAGATAATTAACGGAAAATGCAAGCCATTATATTTTCCTTCTTCGTTCATATAATTCGTCTTGCGTTTTAACTATATTCGTTCCATATGTGTACCGCGTAACATCCTAATAGCAACTTATTTTAATAATTTTCAGGTAACCTATAATTATATTGGTTAACCTATTCTCTTATATCAAGGTGGTGCAAGCCTATTCGAAGACAAAAAAAGGCCCAATAAAAAAGAATCTGCAAGGCTGTATTGTATCACATCCCTGTCTTCCTGTCTTTCTCTCTCACTCTCTCTCTATCTCGCGATCCCCTCATATCCATCTCCAACCCTTGAAATCCCACCACAAAAATCCCTGAAAATCAAATCTCAACACATCCCTCTGATCAAATCAAACCCCCTTCCTTCCCACTCACCCCAAAAACCAAAACCAAAACCAAAACCAAAACTCACAAACACCCATTTGGCTATTCTTCCTCATCAGCCCACCCCATCAAAAGCTCAAGCCACACCCACCAATGGACACCAACCCCAACACCACCTCCACCACCACCACCACCCCCAACCCCACCCAGCAACAACAGCAAGCTCAACCCTCCTACCCACCAACCCAATCTTCAGTCCCTGCCCCTCCATTTCATCATCTCCTCCAGCAGCAGCAGCAGCAGCTGCAGATGTTCTGGAACTACCAGCGCCACGACATTGAACAAGTCAACGACTTTAAGAATCACCAGCTCCCATTGGCTCGCATCAAGAAGATCATGAAGGCGGATGAGGACGTCCGCATGATATCGGCCGAGGCCCCCGTTCTCTTCGCCAAGGCCTGCGAGCTCTTCATCCTCGAGCTCACAATCCGCTCTTGGCTCCACGCCGAGGAGAACAAGCGACGAACTTTGCAGAAAAACGACATTGCCGCCGCGATTACCAGGACCGACATATTCGATTTCTTGGTGGATATTGTGCCCCGAGACGAGATCAAGGACGAGGCGGTGGGGCTCGGGGGGATGGTGGGGGCCACGGCAAGTGGTGTCCCGTACTACTATCCGCCGATGGGTCAGCCGGCTGGTGGGCCCGGGGGGATGATGATTGGGAGGCCGGCGGTGGACCCCGCTGCAGTTTATGGAGTGCAGCCGCCGTCTCAGGCGTGGCAGTCGGTGTGGCAGACAGCGGCGGATGATGGGTCGTATGGGAGTGGTGGCAGCAGTGGACAGGGCAACCTTGACGGTCAAAGGTAATGTATGTGTCTATCAAAATGTGTGTTCTTAATGGTATGATTTGATTATTCTTGATGCGGGTATTGCTGGTTTGTTTAATTGAGATTTCTGTGAGTTTAGTTATTGGGTTTGTGGCAATTTGATGCTTCTCTGATAAATTACCTTCTTGTAGGTGGTTTTTTGTTCTTATTAGGCTGATTAGGTAAAATGTGGACCTTCATTTGTGATATTTGAATCCAATGGTTTCTTTCTCAAATAGTGCTAATGGAATTCGTTTCAAGGAGCTAAAGTTTATAGCTTTTGGGGACATAAATGATGTTCATTCCCAAGGAGGCATTATGGCTTTTGAATCTGTAAACTTGAAATATTTCTGTTTCTCTTGCACCTGCTTGTGAGTTTTCATTGTTTATAGTGTGGGCCGCCTCGGTGCTTCCTGCACTCAAGGAAAATGGAAATCCTAGATGCATGCAAAAATCTGGATATTAATTTCAGGGGCAATTTCATTAGGGTAAAAGGAAGCCACTTTTGTTTATTATGTTATTGAAATTGATCAACGTGAAACTTGACTCAGCCTTTTGCATCCAACTCTTACAAGCCAAGTGTATTACTGTGCTTTTATGGAATTCAATCGCATGGTGGTTTATACGTATGCTTGTCTGGGGAAGAGAAGATCAAGGTGATTCCACTTGGTCTTCACATAACGCGAATTAGTTTAATTGATTTTAGGGCTGTGATTTATAGTTTTCGTGGGAGAATGCACCAAGAGATTTCATGGTTGTGACTTGAAACTGCTTGTGTTTAACACGATCAGCTGCTGGTAGCATGGACCTGTTTGTATTGTTAGTAGAAATTGATTCCCATGGGAGCCGTGAAGTTTTCTTTTGTTCTCTGCATCCCCCCTAGGTGAAGAGGGTTTTTGAATTTTCTTGTTGTGGCACGTGGCACATATTTATAATACTCTTGTTTGTAGAATTCATTTCATGTTTTCTTTTTATCAATCAACTTAGAGGAGCACTTTGCAGGGCAAAAAATTGACACTAAACCGTTTTGTGTTTCCATGATGAATTAACTTTATCTTCCAAATGGAGTGCTTTTTTTGTTTGATGTATTTAAAGTAAGTATGCATTAAAATGCTTGTATTTCGATGCGATGGTTAAAAATGCTAGTTCAATTGTGACAAGCTTAATTTTGGCAACTCTTCTGGGATTTTGTTGTGAAATTTCCTTAGCTGTATTAGAAGTATGATGCTGCAAAGGGAATTTAATTCCTTGGGTGCTTTAGTAAAGGTGACCTTACTAATTGAATGTATATTATTGAACTTTTAGTAGTATGCCTAAGTTGTAACTCCAAATGGTTACTAATACCAAATTGTTTTTTTCCCAATTTTTCTATGTAGTTAAAGAGATTAATTTGCTGATGACATGCTGCGTGGCGCGAAGGAAAGATATTGAGCTTTGCAGATGATTTTTGATTGCTTGAATTAATTTTTTTTTTCTTATGAGGATGACTTAGACCTGTTAAGACTATTGATCGAGAGCAGCTGGAAAATCACTGCTGTGTTTAATATTGAATGTGCAGTCTTTATAATTTAGGTCCTTGTGTTGCTAACTGGAATGATTGTGGTCATTTCATATTAATCAAACCTGTTAGTTTTTGGTACGTTCTGTGATTTCTGTTCCTCTTTTCTTTTTTCCCTCTTCTTTCTTTTGGTTGCTTATGGAACTTCTGAATGTTGGTGCTCTTAATCGTCACTAATGACCAAACCCTCTCTGATAAACAGGGATTTTGAGTCACAAGTGTCACCAAGTTTTAGAAAACCAAGGCCTTAAACTATATAATACATGTGGGAATATTAGTTCTTTTTTTTTTCACAGCCAGCCATCTGTCTAAATATAATAATTTTTTATCTTTTCTACACTATTTTAATATTTCTTTTTGGAATTGTTTAGAACTATGAAAATATGATGAAATACTTTTCCTTTATTAGAATGGAAGGGAATCAGAATCTTGATTTGGCTTAATCCGAATTCAACTTTCCACTCATTCTCACCAGTAGCATTAGGGCTACTCTGCTCTGTCATTCCATTGATATATGGGCAAATAATTTTTAAAATCAAAATTTTTTGTAAGATAAAACTGAAATAAATTCATAAAAATACACATACAAATGACAAAATGGGTTTTTCCTTGTCCCACAACTTTGGTATTCTTCCAAGTGGTCTTGTGTGTGAGAGTTTTCCCCCCTTCTCTTCTTAAGAGCAACTCCACCTATTTGCCCTTGGCCATGACAAGGGGGGAGCTAGGGCAGTCACTATTCTCATGAATAGTAGTTGCCCTTGCAAATAGTATTTTCCGTTTTCACCAATTGCCATGGCAAAGGGCAATTACTATTCATTTTTTTATTTTTTTCACAACTTTTTTTACCTCAATAATTAATTTGGATAATATTTTCTAATAAGATTTTCGGGTTCCTACGTGTCAATACTATTCATATATCATAATCGGATAAAATTTTCAATTTCAAATTTCAGATAAATTAAAAATAAATAAAAAAAGGCTGGTATTTATAGAAAAAAAAATTCATTAATTTTTGGGTATTTTTTTTAAAAAATTTCAGAATTTTTTTTACAGTATTTTATTGCAAAAAAATTGGTTGTTGTTGGATTGGAGGAAAAAATCAGATTGGAGAGCCCTGACGACGCCACGTGGCAACAGAAAAAAAAATCAAATCAAATTAGTGGGCTGATGTCAGCACCAACCTGAGTTTTGGACCTCCGGCTGAACTGGCCTTCAGACCAGCCCGAGTTGCATGGGACCCACTCCAACCCTTGCTTAGGCTCACCGCTAGAAACCAATTTTTGCCAAAAACTCCCCCAGCCCGAGGCAAAGGGGCCTCGGTGGAACTGCTCTAAGAGCAACTCCACCTATTTGCCCTTAGTCATGGCAAGGGGGGAGTTAGGGCAGCCACTATTCATGTGAATAGTGGTTGCCCTTGTAAATAGTATTTTGTGTTTCCACCCGTTGATATTGCTAAGGGCAATTACTATTCATTTTTTTGTTTTTTTCACAAATTTTTTACCTCAATAATTAATTTGGATAATATTTTTGGATAAGATTTCCGGGTTCCTACGTGTCAAGACTATTCATAATCGGATAAAATTTCCGGATAAGATTTTTGAGTTCAAATTTCGGATGAATTTCAAAATTCAAATTTCATATAAATTTTTGGGTTCACGCAAATTTCTAATATAAAACATGAAAAATACAAATACATAAAAGATATGCCAACTAATTTAATGGTTTTCATCATTTAACCAATCCGTGTTGCTAGGCCCATCATCCTGGAAAAGTCTTCTTCTCATAACATCCCTTCATTCTAGCTTCCAAAATTGTTTTGTTTCAGGGGACATATGGCTTGTATCCATCGCCATGGTTTCCCGATCCGTCTTGTACTCATCTTTTTTGCGCAAATACTTCATTTCTCGTGCATACTCGTCTTGAATCTTCATCTCGTTACTTTGGCGTTTCTCCTCCATTTCAATTCTTATGGCGTTCTGCCTTGCAATTTCCTCCAAAAACTTTGAATTATTATTGCTCGAATTACCCGCTTTCTTTGCCTTCGCAGCCTTTTGGCCAATGGGCATCGGCTCCTTTTCGATGGGTGAGTCTTGACTCGTAGGGGAATCGATAGATGAATCCGATGTCATTGAATCACGGAGTGGCGTCCCATTTAACATAACCTCGGGACCCGTGGGAATAATTATGAAGCGTTTGCAATATTTCACTACCTCCCAACATTCATGATGGTTGAAACTTTTTTGGACACCCCCGGTTGCATCGAACCACATCTGTGCTTGAATAATCTATTTAACAAAAAAATGGAAATGCAAGAAATATTTAAAATATATTGGATATGCAAGTAACAAAAAAATAATAATGGAAATGCAATTAACCTTACAAATAAATTGGAAGTGCAAGAAATATTAAGAAACAATTGGAAATGCAAGAAATATTAACAACATATTGAAAATGCAAGAAATATTAACAAAATATTTCAAATGCAAGATATATTAACAAAATATTTCAAATGCAAGAAATATTAACAAAATATTTAAAATGCAATAAATATTAATAAAATATATATATTAGGACATTAAATTTAATAAAACGAAAATTACAAAATACTTACCTCATTAGTACTATTTTCCCCGCTTCTATAGTTGTGCATCGCTTTTGCCAATGCATCTCTCCATTTTCCCAACTCTTTATTGAGAATTTTCCACCTACTAGACAATGCCATTTCCGTACGAGTCAACCCTGGAATTTTTTTCACAAAATTCGGCATGAATTTTTTTCCACATATGAAAAAATTTCATCTCTTTGCCTGACACGGGACAATGACAAACTTGGAGCCAAGCCTCACACAAGGAAACATCTTCCATGGTGCTCCACACCCCTCTGGTTTCGATAGAAGAAGCCATAAAAATATGAAATAAAAATACAAGGTGAAAGAGAGGAAAATGTTGAGTAAATAGTGAATAATAGTAGAAGTAGAATAAAATGTATGAGGATTGGTGTTGAAAGTGAAGGGTATTGATAGGTATTTATAGAAGAAAAAAAATCAGAATTTTTTAGTATTTTTTTAAAAAAATTCGATTTTTTTTTCATAATTTTATTGCAAAAAAAATGTCAGCCATTGGATTGGATTCGGAGAAGCAGATTGGAGCGCTGGGGGCGTGACACGTGGCTTCTACCCATTGGAGCCTGCGCAAGGCAATGCACGCGCCAACGATAAAAAAAATTTAAACCGAGCGATGACGTCACCAACACGCGGGCTCAACCTCGGGTTGAACTGGACTTCGGGCCAGCCCGACTTCATGGGACCCACTCCCAACCCAGGCTTGGGCTCATCGCTAGAAACCGATTTTTGCTTTTTTTTCCCCCACTTCCACAGTTCGCTAGAAACCTTCCTCTGCAGCAACTGATGATGTTGAACAGGGGGTGGGTAGAAATAGTGAGAGAATTAAGAAGAGTCACTGCAATCTTGGAATCGCTTTCCACTTCCACAGTTCGAAACCCAGAGTCCCAAGCTAGGGAGAGTCCCCAAAAAATAGCCCACAATTCAACCTCAAGGACAGAGCCAATACCCAAATTCACATAATAGCCCTTAAGCCAAGCACCAGTTGCATCTCTTAACACACTAGCAACGCCAATTTGACCAGTAGTGTTATTCCTACTACCATCAGAGTTAATCTTACAGCCTCCAAGACTGGGACGATTCCAGGACAGCTGTGTCAAAGTTTGATTAGAGATTCCTGTAATTGGTTTGTTGGTCGAATACCACTCTTCAGCATACTGGCAGATAATTTGTCTTGGTTCAACATGCATAGTAAAGTTTTGGTCAAACACCCCTTTGCATCTCCATTTCCAAATAAACCAAAGAGATAATGTAAAAATTAGGTGTCAAGGCAAAGTATGATTTACCTTCCTTTTACTCTTCAAATTTCGCAGAATCCAATCATCAAAGTCAAGAGAGCCAAGGTCCCCAAAATCAACACCAATGCCATTCCAAGCAGCAATAGAAATAGGGCAGTCTTTGAACAGGTGCTCAATTGTTTCCATAAGAGCAGCACATCTAGGACAGTTAGGGATTTGAGTGAGGCCTCTTCTCTGTCTTTGCACATTAGTAAGTAACTTCTTATGACAGAAAATCTAGAGGAAGGTTTTAGTATTGGGAGGGAGGTGCAACTGCCAAATAAACTCCCAAGCTCACTTAAACGTGGGTTCATCAAGAAAGAACGTGCTGTAAGCAATTTTTATAGAAAAGTCACCATTAGGAGTGAGCCACCAAATACTTTTGTCTACTCCACTGCCAGGGAAACCAGCATGGATGCTAAGAATAATCTGGATAATACTATCAAGGAGACATTCCCTTAAGCAATTTAGATCCCAGTTTCCATTTTCTAAAAAGTCACTTACATTCAACTGGAGCATATCTTCAGTCAGCTCAGTGAGAGCATGCTGCTGGAGAGGGCCACAACTAAGCCAGTTATCTGTCCAGAACCTCAAGTTCTCCCCAGAACCCACTCTCCACTTGATGCCTTTAGAAAGAGTTGGAAGTCCCATATAAGACTCCCCTCCAAGCACTTGAACAACAAGGGAATAGAGAAGCCTTAGCAGTTAAGATGTCATTCTGTTTTAAATATTTTGCTTTAAAGACCTCAGCCCATAGCCCTTGCTCTTATTGAAGGAGTCTCCAACCAGATTTAGCCAAAAGCGCTTGGTTCATCCAAGCCATTTTCTTAATTCGCAAGCCACCAACAACCTTGGGTTTGCAGAAGGTTTCCCAGTTCACTAAATGAATAGTAGCTTTATCAGCAGTGTGCCCCCAAAGAAAGTTTCTATTCAACTGATCAAGCCTATCACAGACAGATATAGGCAACTTGACAGTTTGCATGGTATACAGAAGAATAGCAGCAGTCACAGATTGAAGAAGGGAGATCCTAGCAGCCATAGATAGGGTGTGGTGTTTCCAAGAAGCTAACCTTTTCTGAACTTTAACAATGACCTCTTGATAAGTTGTTTTGTCAACTCTAGTGTGGATAAGAGGAACACCAAGGTACTTTGAGCTGTCAGGAGAACCACTTATGGTAGCAATAGAGTTAGCCAAGTCGGAGCAAATGTTTGGGGAGACACAGATCCTAGATTTATCAAAGCTAACTTTTTGGCCAGAGAGATGACAGAATTCATCCAAACAAAGCTTCATTAGCTGGGCTTGATGAATAAAGGCTTCCCCAAAAAGGATAAGGTCATCTGCAAAAACAGAGGTGGGAAATGTTTGGACCTCCTTGACAAATAGTTATTTTTTGAAGTAGGGAAATTTGAGATGACCAAATGGGTTGAAGAATGCCTAAACGTTGACAAAAATAAATAAATTCCTCTCGTCAGGTTTTTCTTCTTCTTTTGGTCTGTGAAAAATCCGCCTGTTAGTTAAAAGTCCTAACGCGCCCAACTACTCGTTTCCTTTCTCATACACCTCTCTCTCTCTCTCTCTCTCGCTCTGTTTCTCAATTTGGCCTTTAGAGAAAATGGAAGCCATAGACTCAGTCGTCGATCCTCTCAGAGTGTTCGCAAAGGAAAGCACTCGACTGGTGAAGAGGTGCCACAAGCCTGACCGCAAAGGTAACCAGTTAAGAATCTACATATGACATTCGGATCTGTGTTTTCTGGATCAAATTTTAACAAAAATTGGGGATTTTAATTCTCTAATTTATGTGTACTTAATGGTTGATTTCGGTGCAGAGTTCACGAAGGTGGCGATTCGTACAGCCATCGGGTTCGTAGCAATGGGACTCGTTGGGTTTTTCGTGAAGCTGGTCTTCATCCCCATCAACAACATCATCGTCGGCTCTGTTTAGGTATTCATTCAATTACATCTCAATTTCCGTCTGATCAATGCAATTAAGTTTAAATTTAGTGGCTTTAATTTGCATGCTTGTGGTTTGGTTGAGAATTTAGCTGAGTTTACTTTGTTGATATTGCTGTATAAGATCTAGAAGTTGGATACGAAAAACAGAACAGCCTACTCAGATATTATAAATCTAATCACACTTGTTATCCCACTAACTTCAATTTTTTTCTCTTTTCTTAGTTACATGTTTAGTGGGTTTATTGATTTGTGTAATTTTGCTGATTGTCGTTAGATGGAGAAATGATGGAGTGGTACTGGACCACTGCGTTTATAGAGTGGTACTGTACCATTACGTCAGCCGGTGATACTCCCACTCCTTAGATGATGGGGTTTTTTCAGACAGATTTTCTAGGTTAATATGGTGTAATTTGGGATTGATATATTTTATTTGTCCAATCTAGTTTCAGGTCATGCTTAAGGTTCTGAGTTGACTAGATCATGGAGGCAGGCAGCAACTTGTACTCAAAGAGAAAGCAATAGTATTTTAGTTTACTTCTCATTTGGTTGGGCTCTTCTTTGCCTTAGTTCTGTAAAATTATGATGCTTCTTTTTGCCTAACCATATGTAAAACTGTGATACATCAACTTGTTTAGTTTTCCATAATTGAGACCTCATTCCCTCATCCATATGCCGCTTTTAACCAAAGTTTTATTTGTTCTTTTGAAAAAACATTCAACAATATAACCCCGAAACGAGGCAACCCCGTTCCCTGACCGACCTCTTTTCTAGCTTTCCGACCAGGGTTTAATGTTCGAATTTGATGGGCTGGGTCAAGAGCACCAAATTTGATCCCCTTGAGCTTCATTTTTGTGACTACTTTTCCAAATTGAGGGGCACATTTGATTCATTGGATGTTTCCTATATCTTATGGGGAGTTTAATTATATAATATAGTTCCCTAAAGATTGCTGCCCCAAAAGGATTGAAAAACAGCAAATCATTTGGCATGCAAAAACCTTATGCATCAAAATGTCTACTAGCCATCAAAACCAGCAATCAAACGGGAAATATTATATACCTAACAAAAAAGGTCAAATGATTGAAGCTTGAAAGTGGCCCAGCAACCACACATTAGCTAACCTCCTTCAACTTCACTCATAACTACCAAACAATCCAACAGTCAAAGTTTAGTTTATTTTTTTCTTTTAAAAAAATAATTTTCTTTATAAAGTTGTAAAGAAATTATTGGAACACCAACCCTTTATTGTTGTTATTCTTTTTCTTAGGTAAGCAAATAGCAGATCGATCTCGGAATGCAATATTTCATTAGGTAACAAACACACACCTGGATATAAGAAAAGCAACGCTTGGAACAAAAGCAAAGCCTTCCTTCTTCCTCACTCAAGAAGATACAACCAAGTAGACTTTCAGCATAACAGCTTATATTATCAAGAGCCCCACCACATATCCCTACACTGAGGATATGATAGTGGCTGGCTGTGGAGGTCCTGAAAGCAAAGAGAAACACCAAAAAATGCCCCCAGAAGTGCCTCATTGTCGCTCTCCTGTAACTCCTCAAGTTCGATTCTCTTCCCCGGTGTCACCTAAGGCACCACTAGATCAACCTTATCAGCACAAGCACTGCAGAGGATCTAAAAACATGAACTTTAGCAGAAAGAAACTCATCCCTTTCCTTGTTTTGATCCTTTCAATCATTTCTGTACTCAGACTTCTTAGAATTGCATTAACAACTTCATCTTCTTCCCCTCCATTTCCTGCCTTGACTGCCTTGCCTCCTACTGCTCTTGGAGATGCATGTTCTCCTCTCTCCACATGCTCCAAGTTTCCATCAGAAAAAAAGGTGCCTGCCAATGTCACCGGCCTCAGGGAAAAGGAATACCACCTTCTGTCAAATCTCATTTCGCAGAAAGCTCCCTGCAACCTCCTCATTTTCGGGATTGATCCTCAGTATGTATCTCTCTCATCAATCAATGCAGGTGGCACCACCATCTTTCTAGAGGACGATCACAACAAGATAAACACACTGAAGACTAATTCCAACACCACCAGAGTCTACCAGGTGGACTACCAGATACCTGCAAAAGAGGCTTACAAACTGCTCAAGCATGCAAGGGAAAACCCAGATTGTGCACCTAGCTCGAAACTCCAACTATCCAAATGTCAACTTGCATTGAAAAACTTACCACAAGAAGTTTATGAGCTTAAATGGGATGTGGTGGTGGTGGACGGACCAAGCAGCAGTACACCAGACGAACCAGGTAGGATGGCAGCAATCTATACTGCTAGTATGATGGCAAGAAATGGGAAAATTACAGATGTGGTAGTGCATGATGTAGATCGAACGATTGAGAAGTGGTTTTCCTGGGAGTTTCTGTGTGATGAGAACTTAGTTTCTTCGAAAGGGAGATTATGGAACTTTAGGATCACAGGCCAATCAAACTCTACAAATTTTTGCCCTGCCAAAACCATTACGATAGAGTAATATAATAGCTTATATTATTACTATTATTTTATTTTTCCCCCATGAGGTGTAAGTAGAAAGAACAAGCTCCTTTCATTATTGATAGTTTCAACAGAGCAATGGTGAAAGTAGGAAAACCGGATGCCATACAGTTCTTCCTGAACCAGCTCAACATGGCAGACAGAAAAACAGTTATTTCAAATTGTGAGATTGCAGCCATAAAAATATAGGAGCTCTTTTTCTTTCTCCTGGGGTACAGAGTCCTTGTAAAAAATATTCCCATCACTTGTTCCTCTTTATTTTCTTTGTAAATAAGAATCATTATTTGCGGGCGAATATCCAGTGCCTAACAATGTCATTTCTTTTTTCTTTTTCTTTTTCTTTTTAGGTCGAAATGTCTCAATTCTATTAATGGTGTCATAGTCATAGCTGACATAGTTTTTGCAGTTAAAGAAATTCCAGACTATTGACACAGTGTTTCAACATGAAATAATTATTGAAGGATCTAACCATTGATGTCACCAAAAGAAGACCTCATTTGCCACATGCATAACATATGGGGATAAAGTTTCAAGTTGAATATATTTGATGGAGAAAAATTCAAGTTGAATACATTTGAGTGCCATGATCATTTGAACTTACAACTCTATTTTGTACACCAGCCTAAAAACTGATCATCCAATTTTGGGCAGAGTTTCACGTGTTTGCTTCCTGCCTTCCTTCAAAATTCCAGCTCAACTGTCATCAGAGCTATCATCAACTTGCATAACCATCATGGCACAATCATTCACTCTCATTTGTTCGCTGCATGAAGAGGGACACAATAAAAAATGCCTAAGCCTTGGTAATTCTTGAAATGTGTCTGCATAAGTTTTATGGATTTTATTTACAAAAACAATAAAATGAAAGCCTCACATCAGTTTGCTGCATGGTCTAGTGAAATTCAAACGGGACTGTCATAGCATCCGTGTATTGAGAACCATGCGTGTTGTATCACAACATTAAATAAAGATATTTTTCCATCTATCATAACTAGCTTTAAAAATCTTGAAATCTACAACAAACTGACATAGTAAGAGGGAACATGGAACTCACCATCCGTTTGCTGACATAAGGCTGTATCTTAATTGGCATCTCAAATTCACTTTCAACCTTAGGTAATTTTTGTTTCTCCAACTCAAATTCTTTTCTGGACTCTTTTCGGCTACCAGATTGCCACACTCTACCAAAATTAGGGAGCCAATTAGCATCACAGTCACTCTTGACAATCTCCCCTCTTTTCTCCATCTCCATCTCCCTCTTTCTTCTTTCTGCCCAAGCTGCTCCCACTCGTTTTGGGTTCAATTTCTTGGACTTCCCCGACTTATTTGATGGAGAGATACGGGTACCTGAAGCTGGTTTCAGTGGAACAGTAAACTGAATTTCTTCATCTGCTTCAAGCCAAGGAGGAGGTGCCCCAGAATGCACATTTCCACTAGCCTCTTTAGAACCCGTGGAAGATATTTGTGTGAGATTCTGAAAACCTGAAGAAAAGAACCTTAAATGAGGATGCACAGCTATAATAAATAAATCATAACTCTATCAACCTCCTGCGCTAAGCCAATGAGTCGATACAGATGTATATAAATTTTTCTGCAATTCCTAAGAACAGATGGCTCACGTCTCAAATGACGTATACATTTGGCATCAGTATGATCAGCTTAATAGGAGCATAGAGAATAAGAACATCAAAAAAACTGAAGGTTAATACCCGGAGAACTGCTCAGTCCTTTTGTCATTCTTTCATGCTGATACACCTCGCTCATCTACATGAAACGAATTACATATTTGGAATTTTCCAATGTTATAGCCAACCATATAAGTACAACCACAAGAAACGGATGCTTTTAGTGAAGAGTGTATATGACCAAACTTACCCTTTCATTACTGAAATAACCATCAGCTGAGCAGTTTCTACCATTAGAAATAAAAGAATGTTGGGTACTGCTGCTAACTGAGTCATGATGTAAGCAGACAGCAGAAATCATAAAACTAGCATAAGCCTTTTAACTACAGGGGAGCAACTTCTATGAAATACAAACCAAATGGATACAAATATCATATAAACAGAACATGCATACCGGTTAAACCTTTTGAATTTATGGAATATGTACCAGAACATGTTTCCCCGTGTAAAGAAGAGGTAGCCACGTCTTGAGGAAAGCAGCCAACATTTGTAACTTGAGGGGGTCCTGAATGGGATACCTGATGCTCATTTGTATGATATAGTAAAGGCATAACACCATTTGAAAAACTTGAATTACTATTATTTTCAAAAGTATCTATAATTCCATATTTCAGTTCATTATGGATATCATTTGAAGGTCCAAACGTTGGTCCTCGAGATTTTTCTCCACAGGGCACAGCTTCATTCTTCAATGATTTGCACTTCTTCTCCCACTGCAGCCACAAAGGGATAATAACCATACGTTTAATGACTCGACTCTAAAAACTGACTTGAATTTCTGTTTACTCTCTTCTTTGGAACTATAAGATTCATTATTCTACCATCTTTCTTCAGCAAATCACATGAAAACACAAATCCACAGAATTCTACAATCTTTCTGTTTACTCCCACTGCCTCATATGACATAAATGATGAATGAAACTGAAAGCATATATACTATATAAACATACCATAGCAAGGTCATCTTCCGATATTCTAAATGTATCAAGGCGATCCATTCCTCCACCATATTTCCACAAAAAATGCTTCAAATTCTTCAGATGTTCCGCACTTGCAAGGTGATTAATTGCATTACCACTGATAATCAAGAACACCAACAAAGTGTAAGGCCAAAGTCATTTATATCACAAGGCACGATTTGGTAGCTCTAAATAATACAAATTGCACAGCAATTCTCCACATGTTCCATTATTTTCCTCTGTTTTCTCAGCAAACAAACAGAAGTCGAAAAGCTAATTGAAGCATGGCGATAGAAATCTTACCAAGCGAAGGAGCTATCTAGGTCGTCAATGTCGGTGTCGCAGAAGACGCACCAGAGGCGATTGCGAGAGGCGAGTTCGGGGCGGAGAGGGGTAGGGTTTTTGAGAAAGAAGCGGACGTCGGAGAGCTTGTCCTGGAACCGAGAGAGGAAGGTAGAGAGGGACTTGGTATGGCTCGGTATGTACTTGTGGCTCGGGCCTTGGTCGTGATTCAGCTTGCAAACCACGCAGTACTCGAATTCGTACCTCTTCTTCTTCTTCTTCTCCGGCATCTTTCGATTGGTTTTGTTTTAGGGTTAGGGTACCTGTGATCGTCCCTCCCTCTATTTGTTTGGAATTTGGAGGCAAACGTATAACAGCCGGTACACCTGCTTTTGCGTTTTCTCTTTTTGTTCCAAACGATCTCAGCAAATCTTGCAACAGTGAAGCCGTGATAGAAAACGCTATCTGGAGTAACGGGTCCGTAATTTGTTCCTGTTTTTTTTTTGGTCCAACTGTTTAAAGGCTTAACTGTGACTTCACTTATAGACCCAAAAAAAATTCACTAAACAAAGCTTGAAGCTTAAAGCTTATATGATAAATGAGACTTCTTAAATGTTCATCGTGAAATAACAAAACGTACTAACATGTTATCGACAATATCGATGCACTTCGGTCCTTTGTGACAAAGAATTCCTGTTCAGATTAATGCCAAACTTTTAAAGCTCAAGAGCTGTCACACACTTTGCTGTAGAATATTAACTAGTGCATCGATTGGTCTGCGCAACTTCAAGTAAAATTTCCAGCTTATTGCTGTAAAACACATTGTCCCATCAAATTGCTTTTGACTGCATCCTTCTGTTACTGCCTGGTAAGAAAATTTTCAGATTTCTCTGGTAGGGTATATAAACAGTCCCGTTCAGATGCTATGGTTTGTGATTCACATTTCCACATAGTGTGACTGCAACAATTTGAACCCCACCATCACCACATGATCATCTCAAAACTTTCCCCACCTTCAAAAGTTAGCTGCCTTTTTTCTTGATTGGTCTCTGGAGATGACTTGACTGAACACTCTTGTTGAATTCAATGTATATTTCTCTTTTGTTAACCTATTGTTTTTGGAAAACTCACACTCACAGATTTATCTCTGTATATTTATGCCACAAATCCTAGAAGCCAACTGAAATGAAATGGAAATGCTGCATGTGACTATGAACTCCACCCTATCTTGTCTCCTCTTAGTTGCAAAAAGTGTACCTCCAAACCACACCCTGCCAAATCTTTTGCAAACTCTCAGTTAAATAAATGATGGTTGGTTCTGAATTTGATTTTGATTCACTTCTGCACATCGTAAATAAGAAAAAACAGTCAATTCTGTGCACCATGATATACTGCACGATCTGTGTAACTCAGTACAAAAATTATCACTTGTACGAATGTGAAGTCCATTTTGTTCTGATAAGTGCCCTATTTGCTCATCTGTGGGAAATCGGTAAAAGATTTCTTTGTCGTAAACAAGAAACTCTTACTCGATGCGTTTTAACAGTCGAGTTAGTCGTCCACGCACGCATATAATACGCAATTGACAAACGTTGATGTGTGTTGAGTCTCTTTCGAACTCTACACTAATTAAAAAAAATTGTCGTGTCGTGGGTGTGGTGGCTACAAAATCCTCCATAGAACAGTAATGGGATAAGAGTAAGTTTGTTTTAGGGTTGTGATTTAACATATCATACTGCACAGAAATAAGAGAGGGCATCAAGAGACCATCATATGTGGACAATATGAAAAGACAAATGTTAAGGTTATGTCATAATGGCCAGTTTGATGGTTCAACAAGCATCATGCCCTACATCTTTTATCCTTGTTCTTCAAATTTCTCAAAGAATTGATGGCCCTGGTATTTGGTAGTATTTGGTATTTCCTTGATGGTACTGCAGATAAGAGATCCAAGACAAGGCATCACCCATAATGTAGGTGGTCATTTGTCAGAGTACCTCAAAATAATATCATCAAATGTTAACTATTACATGATGTATTAAATCAATTAGGCTCCACCATGGCCATGGTAGGCATTTCTTTTTTGTTAACTTATGCCCTGAAGATGAGAGCCATGAACTTCCATCATTGGTATCCAACTTTGCAGCACAGAGCATCTCATGATAACAACTGTTGGGTTCCTATAGGACAAGTACATTCAATTCTTTAATTAGTATCTTTCTTTGCATTTTGATCCTTTTCACAAGAGTAAATATAGAAACCAGCAAAGGAAATTTTTTTTAAAGGGATGATAATGAAACCACTAGCACTAGGACATGCTCATACCCACAAATGAAAAGACTGTTTTAGGTTCTTCACTGCAAACAGAACTTTATCCCAGAGGAATCTTTTTTCATTCTTCTTTTTTTTTTACTTCAAGGGACAAACAGTGAACAAGTGAAAGGAAAAAAATCTTACTTGTAACAGGGATTTCACTTTTTTGCTATCCATGGTCAATAACATAATGACATGTATAAAAGTTATCCAACGTGTCATTATGTTATTGATTTGGGATAGCAAAAAGTGTTATCTCAGTTGTATGAGAGTTTCTCAGTGAAAAAGTAGGGTAGTGATGGTATAATTGTCTTTGTGAAATTATGTTTGGATATAGAGATACGCAAACCCAAATGGTTAAGAAGTGCAAAAGGGTTGTGTTCTGTCAGATCCTAGATCAGATTCTTCGCTTAAGAAGATTCTGAAAACCAAATAAAGGATCAGACTTGAAATAATTAGCCAAATCTAGATTACCCCTTTTTTTTCTTCTTCTTTTTTTTTCTTCCCATGCCTTCCTTGCACTTTTCAGAACCACCAAATTTTGAGACTTTGTGATTCTTTGTGCCCACTAAAATGGGTCTAGGTAGCTCTTGCTCTCTCACCTCATCAAGAATCAAAAGCCAGTGCATTATTGTAGGCACCTGTTGATATATAAATATATATATTTATATTTATACATGTCTTTGGCTGATTAAATTGTATTTGTTGAAGTTGCTGACAGATGAAGCTGAGCTTTTGGTATTGAAGAAGCTTTTAGTGAGAGAGGTCATGATCTTCCTATCCAAAAATTGTTTCTTTTTGTGTTGGATCGGAGACAAGGGTAGTGGGTGTTTGGTTTCATGAACAAAAGTTAAGAAGTTTAAAACAAGTGGATGTCCAGCTACAATGTCTTGTTGCTGGTGAAATTGGTTGCCTTTTTGTTCTGATTCATTTGCCTTTCTATATCGACATCAAGGTTCTGAACTTGACCCTTTTTACGTCAGATTTGACCATGCCATAACCCCAAAGCTGTCTTCACTGGGGTTTTCTATAGAGGTTAAGAAATTTGTAATCTTTGCACACTTAGCCTAAATCCAGGGACTTGGGGTACGCCATGCATTTTCTACTACCTCTCCACGCTTCCTTCCCTGTTTACAATGGCATCCGCACGGTAATAACAGACGTCTGCATAGGAGAAGAACTGTATGTATAGTGCTCTTTGTTTAATAATTATTGCTCATAAAGTCCTGAGTTGTAACTTGTACTCTCAATGTGTCATATATTATTCTACCAAAACCCAAAACCCAACACGCTAACTTCTTGTTGTATATGCTCAGAAACTGCTACTAAGTCCATGACTGAATATGCTCAGAAATAATCACAGAGCTAGCATACTTTCTCTTTGCTCTGAATTCCATGCAATCTTGCCTAATCTTGTGTCATAATGGCTCTGTGAAATGCAATTAGCTTAAAATTCTAATTAATGTTCCTGCACATATGATTAATTTATTATTATCAATGAGTCAACACACCAGAAGACTTGTTGCCAAGCCAACTGAAAGCTATATTAGACCATCACAAGCATGATTTGATTCTGATGATCAATCTGGGATTTTTGGGGCCTCATGTTTATAACCTGCAAGTTGTCTACGCAAAATACAAAATTGAGATTCAAGCTTGACAGAGTTGGAAGACAAACAGAAACATGCATAAGCTAAATTTAGCGGCAGCATATGTACTCTTTTGGTTTGAGTCTCCCAGATAAACCAAGCAGAAGCTCATTACATATTCATATCACACAGATCACAAATTAAGTTCAAATCTCATGCCACACATTTTATTATATCCATCAAATATATTTCATTATTTTCATTGTGTTTTTGATGGAGGAAGAATCTCATCAGCAATCCAATACTCAAGTATGAGGAATGAAATACACAAAAATCTTGTTCGAATCCGCGAACCAAACGGACCCTTTTTCAAGGCCTAAACCTTTGTCTGCAAGATTGGCAAGTGATCTCCATGCACGTAGAGTCCATCTGAAGCATTGCCTTCTCCTTCATTCTCTCAGCTTTCTCCACTTCTTCTCTAGCCCTCTCCCACATGTGCCTTGCACGTGTGAACTCTGACTGAGCCAATTCCATCTCTCTCCTTGTCAGCTCCCTCACTCTCTCTGCATAGGCCTTTTCCATTGCAGCCAATCTGATTTGCTCAGCTGCTTGCCATTTCAAGGCCTCCACACAACCAGCTGTCTTGGGCTTGAAGACATCAAAATCACAGACTGGTTTTGACACAACACAACGATCTGAGGAAGAAGCTGCCCTTATTGGCCTCACACTGATTGACAGTTGCAGGTCAAGGGAATTAGGCCCTTCCAATAATGCATCCTGCACCGCTGCCTTCGATGACCGGTGATATCTTATCGATGAATCCGACGGTCGAGATGTCCTCTGTGATGAAGAAGAGGTCATCAGGTGAGGAGAAGGAAGCAGCTGCAACTCCTTTTGATCATCTCCTTCCATTGGATATTTTTTTTTTTTTAAAGGAAGCAAATAAAAGGCTTGATGAGTACAGAGGAAGTGACTAAGGTGGTGTGCTGACCGAGGCAATAGCTTGTGTGAGATGCCAAAAAACTTTGTGGCTACATATATACAACTCAAACATGCCCAAATTACCATTGTACCCTTGTATAGTGCTAATTCTAAAATAAATTGGAATAATTCGGGGATTATTTAAAGGGTCAATGAAACTAAGAAAGGTAATCTAGAAAATCAAAAAAACCAATCTAGGGAGTAGTTGAAGGAATTGACCAATCAAGGGAAATAACCAAACGAATAAATAAATGTCAAAGTAACAAGCAAAACATGATGATTGACAATAGAGATAATTGAGGACATATAATTCCTGAATATTTCCTATGTTACAAAACAAATTTTGACTATAATTTATTTATCGTACCAATTCATAATATACTAGATTCTGATTGACAATCTAATAACATAACACATCAATATATGGTAAGTCGGCGTTATTCTAAACCATGACTTAATGCAAAAAGACTTGCCTCCTCCTTAAGGGTAAGGGTATTTTGGTAAAATCAGATTGGAAGATTTCAACACTGTCCGTTTAAAGGATAGCCGAAGGCTAGGAAAAATAACGGATCACGTTATTGGGCTATGAGTGGCCTTTTTGGTGTTCGTGTGGACTCTTTTTCCCCTTTTCTCATAATTAAATTTCTTTGACTTTTTCTTTTTTTGGGAGATGAGGATGAAAGGGTGCGTAATAATTACAGTCGCACGTGCGCTGGGGGGTTTTTTTGCTTATGTTCTGGGCTTCTATTTTTTTTTATATAAAAAATTTGGGCATGGATTTTAGCTTTATGGTAGGCCTAAGGTTGTCGGCCCTCTTGTACGAAAAAGCGACCCACTTTTCTATCTCAGCAGCAGCTCACGCCTCAGGGCAGATTGGCACGTGGGAGGGGCACACACACACCCAAATGAAAGTGTGGGGCTGACCATGATTGGCTCTCTGACTCTGCCACTTGGACCGTCCGATCACTGGTCCCATCTCGCTCACCTTTCTTCATCTAACATCATGTGATTGATTGGGAGGCTCATCAGATAATTTTGGGCTTGTAGTTGAGCAAACAAAACTTGCTCCCTGCTGCTCTCTATTCTACTATATATCATTTTGGATATTTTCCTTTGTTCTTTTATGTAATAGTTGGATTGGCTCAGACCGTGCTCTCAAGTGGTCCTGAGTTCAAGCGTCCATGATATTCGTGTTTGTAAGTTTTCTCTTCCACTTCCTGACAATATATATATAATAAAACTTCGTTATATTGTTTTTTGGTTTTATTTTGAGTTTTTCGTAGTGTTTGTATTTCTATCGTTTTCTTATTGTCAAGAAAATATAATAGCAAAACAAAGACAGAAAAAAAAAGTAAAATGAATGTTGAGAGTGGGATTTGAACCCACGCCCTTTCTATTTCTATTGTTTTCTTATTGTCAAGAAAATATAATAGCAAAACAAAGACAGAAAAAAAAAGTAAAATGAATGTTGAGAGTGGGATTTGAACCCACGCCCTTTCGGACCAGAACCTTAATCTGGCGCCTTAGACCAACTCGGCCATCTCAACTTGATTGCTCTAATCTACAAAACCTGTATACTTATCATAAAAGATTAACGATACCATTTGCCAACTATTACACCAAAGCTATTTTTAGCACGTAATTGTACTACAACATACCGTTTGAAGGAGACAAAAGGATGATCACAAACGTTTGCTACCAAAGAAATTCTTCCAATAAGTAAAAGAAAAAAATGAACAAATATGTCAATGGCGGAGCCACAAATTGCATAAGTTGACACATATAAAATGACAATACAACTTTTTTTAAATAGGAAAAAGAGGATACAAGTTAGGAGTCTTCAAAAGTTAATTGAAATCGATCAATCAAATAATCTAGTTCAATCTACCAATTTAATTGAGTGTTACCTATTGAATTTGGAAATTGAAAACCAATTTAAGTGAATCGATTTATGTGTTTTCATGGATAAAAATCGGCTAAAACAAACTAATTAAATCTTTATTTTTCTAAAAAATTTGGGTGTGTTGATACTTCATGTGGAAGAGTATTCTCTCAAATAATGCTTGCTGGTAAGTAAACATTTTTTTTGCTTACGCATGTAAATCGGATCAAGGATATCATAGTCCCACCAAGGAAAGGCCTCAAAAACTTAGGTTGTTGGTATCTCTTTGTCTCTAAGATGCTGCCATAAAAATTGTGTGGAAAGATTTTACTTTAAAGGAAAAAGTTGTAGGTTTTTGGGTGGGCAAGGTGCATGTGAAAGTTCGGGAATTGGGGAAGGCTTTAAGGGTGTGTGTGTGCCCCTAATCTATATTATCAGCTTTTTTGATCTGCCCAAATAATCCCACCTCATTTGAGGTAGTGATGGAGGTCACTCAACTTTAGGACAATGATTTATTTATCATGGTCTCCAACTAAGACCTTCATCAATTTTCTTCTTTTGGGTTTCCTCCTCCTCACCCCTATCATGTATATCAACCATAAAGTTGTCCTAGGGGAGATAATGGCGATTTAAAGTCTTCCTTTGGAGGTCCTACATTTGAACAAGTCACAAGTAACAACGATAGGTAGTCTCTCGAACTCAAATGTACACACACATGATTAATTTACACTATAATTGAGAAGTTAAAAGTATTTATCCTTGTGGTTTTTACTAAGATTAGTTGTATGTGCACACACGAACGACAATCAGAATTCATCCGCACACGTAGCACAACTCTTACCACTATATCCGAGATCTCTAATCGAATCCCTCTTCTCCGAATATCGAAAATTTTCACATCACTTTTGTACCTTCCTTATTGAAGAATTTCTGTTATATGGGCTGATAGATTGGGCTTAAGTTTAGCCCACCAAAAGGAAAGGACCATTGGATTGGGCTTTATTTCTAAACAAAATTCCTTTCTCCAAAATAATAATAATAATAATAATAAACACACAAACTTACCAATTCTCCATCCAATTTTCCCGCTATTTCTTCTATCACCTTAGCTCGAAGCTGGAAATTTTATCGGGAAAGTGACAGTGCAGTGCCTCCAAAGCTTCTCCCTTTTCAGCTCAATGAACTCTCGCGAGCTCGCTCTGGTCTCCACGGCCACTGTTTTCGGTGCCTTGGCCTCTGCGCTCGCTTGCTGCTTCTTACTTTCAAACCCTAAAAAGCAGTCTCCCAAGCTTGATTCGTCTGAAAACGGCGCCGTCCCCAGGAAATACTCTTCTCAGAGCCCATTTGACCCCTCAAAACGGAAAGGGTTAGTGTAAAAAATGCCAATTGTTTATAAAGCCCTTTCATTTTGCTCAGATTGTTCTGTTTCAGTACCAGATACAGTAGCAATTAGTGACCACATTGTACAAAAATGTTTACTCTTCAGTTATACTGTTACCCTAATATTGGTTTTGTTTCATTTTTGGATTTTATTTTTTGGTTTTGATTTCAGATATTTGTCCTGGGATGATTATTTCATGGCAATTGCATTTTTATCAGCTGAAAGATCCAAAGACCCTAACAGGCAGGTCATATTCTCTGCTCTTTTTTGGGATGTGTGCTGATTGAATTTGTAAGTAAATGAGGATAAGATAATTCTTGTGAGTGGCAACAATGACGGGTGTTGTGAATTGCTTTAATTTGTGTTTGATAGGAACTTGGTGAGTTAGAACTGACATTGATTGGCGGTGTATAGGTTGGAGCATGCTTGGTGAGTGAAAATGGGATAATTCTAGGTGAGGATGAGATTATTTGAAAGGAATTCTACATGGAATTGTTGATTACTTCACATTGTAACGTTCAGAGGTCATATGGTTCTTATTTTGTGGTTTACATTGTCTATGTTTTTTATGATCATTGAATTTTTCCACATTTAGCTCTCTTTGACTTCCAGGGTAATTTCTCTTTCTTCAGGAATTGGGTATAATGGGTTCCCAAGAGGTTGTTCGGATGACAAGCTTCCTTGGGCAAAGGTTTGTAGATGCTATTTGATAAAAATTTGAAGGGAAAAAAAGTGATTATTGGATCATACGGTAAGCATTAATTAGTGAATCTTTCTTTTCTTATTCAGAAATCCAGAACTGGGGATCCTTTGGAGACAAAGTATCCGTAAGCTTTTGTGCTTTCTTAAATTCCATTCCTGATTTGTGGTCTGCTGTTTATCGTAAGAATGAAATCTGAAATTATGTTGAAGTTGGCATTTAATGTCTGTCTTCTTTCTAGTGCTCTAATCAAATTGATTCTTTCCACAGCCATCACATCATATCCTATGATTGTGCTTCATTGATATACTGATTTATCCTTTATGCCGATTTATAGAATTCTATCCGGAACTCTGGTGGTTGCTTATAATCTTTCTAACCTTTTGCAGTTATGTTTGTCATGCTGAAGTCAATGCTATCCTAAACACCAACCATGCTTCTGCTGCTGGACAGGTTTGTTACACTTCCAAAGTCTCATTTACTATGAATGTATTATGTCAATCTGCTGGCCCAGTTAAACCATAGCTACCCAAGGCCTAGTAGTGTTGTGTGAATTCAACTAAATTGTTGTGCTTGACCAACTTGACCAACTTGACCAACTTGACCAAAGACCATCATGGGGCACTTGTTGGGATTGAGATGTTTAGAAGCTTCGTATATAAACTCAAGTTCTAAGATGGAATCTCAAGTTTTAAATAATTGTTGGCAATTTTTCCCGGTTACTTTGTTAATTTTTCCCGCTGTGACTGAAGGTACTGAAGGAATGTTTATTCTCTATTTCTTTGCAGAGGCTTTATGTCACCATGTTCCCCTGCAACGAGTGTGCCAAAATAATCATTCAGGTTTGTTACTATGTGTTCTTGTGGTTATATTTTACAGTATATATGAATATTGCTTGCCCTTGCTTGTTTCCATCCTTCCACCTCCCTGCCCTGCACGTCCCTCCCCTAGCCCCCCCCCCCCAACCCCTGAAAGTAATAGAAATATCCAAAATTTTGCTCGTTAGTAATGGATTTGTAAAGAGATTGTAATCCCATTTTTTGTTATTTCTTTTAAACTACATTTTGTGTATTCAGTTAGGCACATTGCCATTTTCTAACCTGGTATTTTTTTCTTCTTACACCTTCTTTCTTGCAGTCAGGAGTCTCTGAAGTTATATATTTTGTGGAAAAGCAGTTAAATAATCCAGATGTTGCCTACATTGCTTCTCACAAACTACTTTCATTGGCTGGTGTGAAAGTATGTATTGTTCATTTGTTGAACTGTTCTCTCATCTCCCAAATTCAATTGATTTTGCTTAAGCTTTCCTGAAGCCTCAAGAATTAGCCACTAGGCTTGTAATCTATTGAGCTTCACATTTTCTTGTTTAAATGAGCAGTCCCATAGCTTCGCTAATGCATTACCTTTACAATGCTAACATGCGTATGCAGGTGTGTTTGTCCATATACACATGCTGTGTGAAAAATTGTTATCCAATTGAGTGAACCTGCAAAGAATTGCTTGAACTTTCTCTTTTACGCTATACAAAAGCCCCGATACCTTAACAGATATCTGTATTTTCCGTCTTATTTGCAGGTCAGGAAACATCAACCACGTATGAACCAAATTTTGATCAATTTTGAGGAGCCCTAGGGTTTGATTCTTATTTTATACAAAGCCTGATTCATCGTTTGTATCGTCTGTTACGATAAACTGATCAAACCGAGTTTGTTGCTCATAACAACTTTCCCCTGGTCGTGTATGCATCTAGTATTAGGCTGTTGTCTCTTGAGTCATGTAATATTTCCCCCTTGTAAACTCTGGTCTGATTGCTGTAAGCTCTAAATTATGAATGTTTGACCGTTGGCATGGAAGAGAAGATACTGGATTCTATGAATTCGCACGACACCAAGAAACCCTATTGTTATCTTCTGAGAGAGAGAGAGAGAGAGAGAGATAGAGAGGTGTAAGCTCTAAATTACAAATTGCACGACACCAAGAAACTTCTGATTGAAAATGAGTCTGATTTAGTCATTGTTGCCATGTGCAATTTGTACACCCATACACGATACAATGAGACTCATTTTCAAATGGTATTTGTAATTTCTTTCAATTCTACTAGAAAATATTACACTCCACCCGTCTGAAAAAAAAATATATGTTTGAATAAAAGTGGGAGATTTACAAAATTATTATAATAACCATGCATTTCAAATGCCTTAACATAAAAGGTTTGACGATACCAATTTTTCTCTTTGGTTGGTTCATGATGATGAAATTGAATTGAAGAGTGTTCGAAGACTTCTCTTGGGTTGGTTGGCCCACGATGAAAGCGAAATTGAAAGGAATTAGCAGTTCCGTATTGTATAGCTTTCAACCGTATCAACCCGCAGAGGCATACGCAATACGTGCAGTATAGTGCCTCCTACGTCTATAAATTGAAATGAGTAAGTACTACAAGTCTTCAACCCGACCCGCAATGCCATATTATTTGCTAAATGCTTGTGAGTGATTTCTGACCGTGCATGTAAATGTGTCTCTCTTTCAATAAAATCAACATACATCAATAGTTGCAAATTAGTCCGTCTTTACATGACTAAATGTAGCATTTAGTCACCTCCTTCCTTGCTTAGGATGTTGGTTTCTTTGGCTTTGGGAAGTGTTTTCCCGGGTATGTTCTTGGATTCTTAGTGTTTTGGAGGTTTCATTTTTTAATGAGTTAAAGAGTTTTTTATGGTCGATTTATGTAGTGCTAGGGATTTTTATGTAGTTTTTGTATTTGTTTTGGTGTGCTTGTAGTTCTTTCACTCATTATTAGTTATGGTGGCGATGTCTCGGTCTTCATGGAGGCAACGGCAACAACACTTTGGCATTTGGTGGTGTTTCTAAATTTGGTTGGCTCTGCTTTATGCCAATTTTAGACTCTGACTTTATGTCAATTTTGGACTCTGACTTTATATGTTTGAGTTTTATTTCTAGTGGATTTATTATTGTATTTGTTTGGATTCATTTTTATGAATTTCACTCTCATGTAATTGACATTGCCTTTCTATTAATGAAACTTGATTCCAACCAAAAAAATGTAGCATTTAATCTTAAGATATAATGATATACGGTGGAAACTATTTATTCCATTAACGAAAACGGGGAAAACTCAAAAGAAAAGAAGAGAAAATGACGGGAAATGCACAAGTGGGCAAACAGACCCATCGCCATAGCTTTCTGCAGTATTGAAGAGGGAGAATCAATTTATTCCTTAATTAAATGCATTATTGCGACTTGCGACTTAATAACCATCCGCCATCACTAAAACTTGTCACACCAACAATTATTATTGCCATTGTCTATATAGACTTATAGTACCCACAGGACTACGTGCTCGTTTGGTGTTGCTTATTTGTGGTGATAAGTGATTTTTAAATAATTTTGAAAAGCCCAATCTGTTTAGTAAATTATGAGAAAATCACTTATTGTTAAAAATTGATGTGAGAGAGTTATTATAAGAGAAAGCAGCTAATGAGGTACTTTCATTTTCTGAGATGCATAGGTTTAATGATTATGCGGCAATCATTTTTTGATTATGCATAAAATCAATACTAACAACACTTTTAACAAAAATTTTACCAAACATCAAACTGTTTTCTTTCACAACTGATTTCTTTCACAACAAATCTGACAACGATTATTTTCACAACAAATCTAACAGCAATTATTTTCACAGCATAGCAATGCCAAACTGTCCCTACGAATTATTTGATTTGGAGTTTGGACACAAACGCTCTGTTTGGTTTAAAAAATGGATTTGAATGGAAATCACTTCTCATGTCATTTTTCAAAGGATAGGAAATGAAAGATTCATTTCTCACGTTTGGGAATGTTAGGAAAGTAACCAGGAGATATTATTTTATTTCATTTTCCATGTTTGTTTTGAGTATGAATGGAAAACAAAGTTGGTATAATTTTCCAATTATATCTATATTAAATCAAATAAAAAAGAATGTATTTAATGATATATTGTAATTCTAAATTGTTAATGGGAACAAAATGTGTATTTAATGTTGGCTTATTTTCCCAAACTTTCCCATGATAAGCAAAAACAAAACCCAAGTTAGGAGGAGGGCTTCACTTTCTCCCTATTTTCTCATGTATTATGCAACAATTTCCTATAATTGGACTTACCAAACATGGGAAAACAATTTATTTCCAGTCCCCAAACCTCCTTTTCCATGAACTAAACATGGCCTAAACTCATTTACACCGTCAAAAAGAGAGAGAGAGAGAGAGAGAGAGAGAGAGAGAGAGAAACCACACATTTACAAGTTTAAAGCACAAGATTATTATCATTATTATATACACAAAGATCATATTTCTTATACCCTATGCACGAATTGATTCCCCCGGACCAAGAAGACAATTTAGGCTAATACTAAAGTATAGGACAAAATTAACAAAAGTATGGAAATCTAATCAATCTTATTAGGTATAATTCTTTAAGATTGCAAACTAAAAATAATATAAATTAGACAAACAAACACAAATTACAGGTGCGATCCCTGTTTTTAGCATGTTTAATACCAACTTTCCAAGTCATGCATGCATGATTTTTGGGGTTCGAAATTTGTAAATACGAATTTGCCCCAATCCAAACCTACTTGACATTATAACAAAAGGCCCCAGCATAAATATTAATTCATATCTAAAGGTAAATATTGCCCCTTCTGTTCTGTATATCGTACATCTGTAATTTGCCAAAAGAAAAAAGAGGAAAACCAAGCGCACCCAAATTAATTAAATTTCTCTCTTTTTTCTTGTCCTTTTTTTATTATTAATAATTAATATTCATTATCCAACGGCCACATTCTCACCATCTCCACCCTCCACCAGTCCCCCTAACTCACCATCAACACCCAGCCACCGTTCGATCGGCTTACACTTGACTTTGTGCCTCAGCTTCCAATCAAGAGCTTGACACCCACGTGAGCAATAATTCACCGTACCACAAACCGAGCACCTCCTAAACTCGTGCGGCCTCGTCTCGGGCCTCCCGCACCCCACGTGCGAGCACAGTGTCATCCCCTGCCCCGAAATCGCCCGACCCGACCCGAACCACTCTTTCAAAAACCGGTTCGCCGGGTGGAGCTCCGGGGCCGGAACGTTACAACCGAAGTCACTCAGCAGCGGGCAGCTGACCAGCCCCGTGAGGCACGAGTACAAGTGCTGGTAGTGGTGGGACCGCCACGTGGCGGAGCGTAAAACGGACGCGAGCTCCCGGGCGTTGGCCTGGACTAGCAAGCGGCGTCCCTCGGTGACGTTTTGCTTGACTCCGTAACCGTCCTGGAGGCAATGGCCGAGTTCTCGAAGCGCGTCTACGTGGCCGAGCGAGGCGGCTCGAGCGCAGAGAGCTACGCCGGCTCGCAGGTCCTTCTCCTTCTTGGAGCCCCCGCTGCCGTTGAACTGAACCACGGCGAGCGAGTACAGCGCCGGAGCGTAAGATCTCATCGCGGCTTTCGCCATGAGTGAAGCTCCACTCCCTCGGTTTTGCAAACAGTAAAATCGGATCTGTAGCAACAAAAACGTGAATTTATTTTCCACAAACTTTAAAAAAATCAGAGAAAATTAAATAAATTGAAATTAGTTCAAGAGACTGACCATCCCGAGAGTGTAGCAAGCTTCGATGTTACCGGCGCTCACGCACTGTTTGAGAAAACGGTGAGCCGAATCGGACCAGTTCTTGGCTCTGATAGCAAATGCTTTGGGACCGGCTTTGGATAATACCAGAGAGTGAAGCCCCAAGCGATTCAATCTTTTACACCTATTTGTTTTTTTCCAAAAATATAAATAAAAAATTAACTACAATACCAAAAGTCATGGAAGAACCACCACAAGGAGCGGAGGAAACAAAAGAAGTGCTTACGTGATGAGGATGTTGATGAGATCGGACGGTGAAGAGGCGGAGGAGCTGAGCTTGCAGAGGATGAAGACGACGAGATCGTCCGGTAAGCCGTCGAAGAAATCTGACTTGGCAGTGGTTCTTCGCGAGCTTCTGAGCTTTTTTCTTTGCAGCGTCATCATCGTCATGTGTAGCTTGCCTTATCTTCTTCTTCTTCGTCAGATTCGTCTCATATTCCAAGCTCTGTGTGAGCGTTGTGGTTTGTTTGGAATTTCTCGGGTCGGGTATGGGAGAGAGTCTGCAAATGGTTTTGGCTGTTTCTCTTTATCAGCGTCGTGATAAAAGACGAAACCAATGGCTTCGGGACGAACTTATATACAAGGGGAATGAGGGAGACCAAAAGACAAGCCATTGTGTGGAGCCCACTAGATTGATGAAGAAAATTAGTTAATTCAGTAAAATAAAATTAATTAATTTTATTCTGACTTGAAAGAAAATTAGTTTTGATTAATTTTAGTGGGAAATAAATTGGATGCTCTGATTTTAGCGGGTTTTGCGGTTCAGGCTTTGGTGAGAGACCAAACGACTGGTCAAAATACTCATCGTGGACACTGAGCTAGCTAGGCCAGCAGGAGCAGGCCCAGTACACTGTGTAGTTCAGCCGAACTGATAAAGTTTTTTTTTTTTCTTTTCTCGAGCAATATTTTTTATATTAAACCTGAATTTGTTTTAATTCTCATTGGTGTTATTGGACAATTTTAAATTTTTACTTCCATCTCTTTATGAAAAATTATCATGAGTTTGAATTAAAAGGTTATAAATTAGTTTGTGTAAATCTAACTTTAATGTGGGATAAGACAATGTCGAAGCGTATATCTTTTTATACAAGTAATATTGGGAGAAACGATTTTTTCACACACATTGTCAAGGTGCTATGGAGGTTTAAACATGAGATAACTGGTATACAAGTCAAAGTTATTTTCCACTGGCCTATATTGACGTTGAAGCGTTTGAAAAATGCTAGTTTTTGAAATTGTTTTTTACTCATGATGCGTTACATGTTTTCTTGTCAAATGTCATAGATACATGAATTTAAAGAAACTTCGATAAATTATAAATTAACGATTTATCTCATTATAACTTGTGTAAGTATGAAATGAGCTCATGATTTGCACATGCGTTACATTTTCTCGCAATTCATATTTCCTGCTAAGATTCAAGAGGCAAATTTACTCATGTAATCAAACCATGAACGACTCAAATCAAAAGCTAATGTTGAAAAATTGTTAGGTTTGCCTAACTATTTTAATGACACGTCATGTCATTTAAATTGGATTTTTAGTTTTGGTAGTTACAGCATTTTCCTTATTTTCCTTATTTTGGAATTGTGCATGGTTAGACTCAAACTACGAGGATGGCCAAAACGCACAAAATTTATAGATGAACCATTTTAGTTTTTTAGTCAAGAAGATGAAGTGCTATTTCACACTTGGAGCATCGATAACGCTGGTTTTACAGCTATCTTGTATCAAATAACCTAGAAGCTTCTGAGCACAGTAAATAATTTGAATATGATTAAGCTCAGCAGAAAAATACATTGATTAGCATATTATCTCTCTTGTAGTTTAGACTATCCATTGTACTAAATAAAAAAAATTAAAAAAATGTATACACACCAACCCACTAAGCTAATCTTTAACCATTATTATCTTCCTATTTAAGACACATAAACAGAATTAAGCATGATTTGGTAACTATGGGTGCCAAAGTTATAATACTATGTACCCTTTCTCTTTTCTTTTCTTTTTTCCTCTCAAAAGGAGAGAGAGTGCAAGGGCCGAGAATCAAATTCTTAACGCGAGTGTTATAAGTCTCAATTATTACTACTTTTTCTTAAAAAATACAAGTTGATAACATATGTTCTTAGTAAAAAGTCTTTTTTTTATTTAAAGCGTGTTACTTAAGGAGATAACAGTAATTTAGACTTTAAAACCCATCAATGAAAAGGAGAAGAAAAAAAAAGGCAAAATATTATGCCGGTAAATCCCTGGGATCAATCGCATGAAAAACATGGTGCCTAATGTGTCACTTTTAATTTATTTTTAGGCCGTCACAATGAGTGACGGAAAAGCCAAACCTTCATCCTAGTCTTATGGAGCTGTAATTTCATCACGTTCTTCAACTTAATCTCTATCATAAAATTGGGTAAGACATTACAATTTTCATGCAAGTATTGTTTTTTTTTGTTTTTTTTTGTTTTTTTTTTGGGTGTTTGTAAAATATATGTATAGTTGTCACAATTATATGATGCCTCCTTTACCCATCTATTCAATATTGCATTTTCATAGCATTGCGCATGATGGTGCAAGTTGAGGAGCTGTGAGAGTTTTGCAAACCAAGTTAAGATGGATATTTGTGTGTGGGGACACAAATAAAAAATAATTAAATAATTAAAAAATCCCAACTCCTATAATTGGGATATGGAAATATGGATTTGGATAAGGCTTGAAGATGTGGAGTTGTTGGAACACAAATCTTGTCCATTCTACATAGTTTGGTAGAAAATGAGTGATGCATTGCTGCTAAGCCTGCCATATGCCACAAGCATGCACCTTTCAAAAATTAACAATTCCCCCTTCTTCATTTTTTTAATAAATAATTATCCTTTTGGTGTTCAAATTGAAAAACCGTTCATTAGCTCAATGTTTTTTTAGGATATTTTTAATTGAGATGGGCAATAATATACTAAATTCATACACACTACACGGATGCTATAGGACTCGATTTCAAAACTTTGTCTGGGGAAGTAATCACTCCAAACTACTATATTAGTGAGTCATTTGTTTCTTTAGCTCGATCTTAAACTAGACCCGAAGAAGCTAAAACATCAAAATCAAAGGTTGAATAAAAATATCCGTGCATGATGTAAAGCATTCGCAATGTGCGTGTTGTGTTGTTTTTGGTCCAAGAAAAATAACAATATAGATAAATATATACTAATTTGGAAAGGGAGGCTAATTTGCATGTTCACACACTTGGCTTTACCGATTGGATCTTTGCCTATTAAGCTAGCAGCCAGCCATCAATTCAAGCTTTTTTAAGGTTGGTGCGAGTGTGACTTTAGACTTTAGTTGATTACAAATGGCTAATGCTAAATACTTGAAAATAATTAGAACCAGTGAGTCGGCTGCATCTGCATCATTACTGAAGCCTCGTGAAGAACTACTTCATCTTTTAGTTACGCTAACTGACAACTTTTTTAATATCAAATTTAATTTGTATTACCGACAAAAATTGCGTCCACATCTTTTATGGGTTTGCTCAATAATTTAAGGTTATATTTGGTGATTAGGATTGCATTTGAATTAAGATGGATCATTGGTTGGATTGAAAAGGATAAGTACTATAAATTTATCGCGGCTCTCAAGTCTTTTAGTTTAAGAGTAATGCTATTTAGGCACACAAAATTGACTACTTTAATTGACCACCTTATGTGACAACTGATGTATATATTTCACGTGGCTTAAATGTAGCAAACTATGTTTTCGTTTTTTCCTTTGTAAATTAAGTAATTTATATTTTCGACTTTCCTTCTTCTTTGTTGTATCCCTTTGGCTGCCCTTCTCTTCCCTTTTAGCCTTTGCTCATCCTCCTGCGATATTTATGACAACTCTACCTCCAAAAAGAAAACCAATTCTTTGATTCAACAAACCCAACTCTACAAATCAACTAATCAAGAAAATCCAAATTAATTCTAAAAAATATAAATGCCTATTTCACTAGCTATTTAGAAAATCCGAATTGATTTTGAGATCTCATATTCTCTGGTCATGTGTATAAGAATTAAAAAGAATTTTAAGGCTTTGGTGTGTAGCTAGAAATGGGGTATTAGCTTTTCAATCAAATGGGCAGTCTGGTGAAGGATCGAAGCCGAACAATTCCCAAAATATGAACTATTTTTATTTTAAAAATGAATGTTATTCCAAGATGGATTGATGCAATTTGTCGGATTTCTCGTGCGGCTTGGAGATGTGGCAAGCAGTGTGCTAGTGTTGCTGGAGGAAGGGAGTGTTGGGTAGAGAACGAACCCGCAGTCGCAGCATGCTACAGCGTACAGATTCGGGTTAATTATATTTAATTTAATTTTGTTGTTTTTAAGGATTATTAAAAAAACAAGAAAATAAAAGTAGAATCCACATGACAATATTTATTAATTGACATGGCATGACCACATCAACTGCCACATAAGGTGATCAGCTAATGTGGTCAATCGTGTGTGTCTAAATAGCATTACTCTTTTTGAGTATATTAAGCTAATTCAATTTTGTTACTTATTCTACCCATCGAAAGAGGACAAATATTAGTCTATACCTTAAAGAGATGGTGAACATGTTGATCTAATCTAACAATTACAGTTGTATTGCAATATGAATTTGTATTATTGAATTTGCTATATATATATTATATTTACTGATTCACACATACGAGATTCATGTTGAAACCCATTTACCGGGTCTTAAATTTATAAGAAAAAAGATTAGCTATACGCATTGTTAAAATACGACTGTGTGATGCAAATTAATAATTTTATTAATATAAGTTAGAACCAGGGACGAACCTAGCAAGGAACTAATCTGGGCTATAGGCTAGGCGACTTTTCTTGTCTTTCAACTCAAAATTACATTTAGCCCACCTATGCAAACTAGAAGGTTGACTTGCAAATCTTTGCAAAGGATAGAAAGAGCGTAAACATAATAATTTTTTTCCCAATTAGTGTGAAATTAATGTTAGCAGATATTCGAAACTATTTTTTTCTTTTTGAAAACATTGGAAACTTTACCTTGGATTAACATGTTCTACATCAATTCTGAGTTGATAAACACGTGGTCAAGTATTTTTAGATTTGTTGGAAAACCATTCATATCACTTGCTTTCCTTTTCTTTAGGCCATAGCTAAAAGAATTACTTCCATTTCATTTTGTCATAAGAGTTCCTATGAGAAAATTAGTCAAAGACTTTTATTGTCATGAAATAGAGAAAACTTTGATAATAATACTGGTGTTCTTGCTTATATGAATAATATCGATCAGTGAGATTTAATGAATTAATTAGTTGCTGACAAATTGTCTTTTATATATATATTATTTAATAGGTTATACCTTTATAATGTCAGGTCAATATAAAAAACCTAAGAGATATATAAAAAATTCTTTGGAATTTTTTTGTTGTCAATGAAATTTACTAGTATCTTTGAGTTTTTTGTCTTCTTAGTAAGTTTGTACATCAGGTAAATTTAACCCACTCCATTTTGAAATCATGGAACTGCCCATGGTTAGAATTTAGAAGTCAGCTCAGTTAGAACTTATTGTTTTCCCCATACAATTATTAGAAAATGGCAAACTTTAAGTTGTTCATCATCCATGCGGAGGCGGTGTAATTATATACGTGGTTGCGTTGCGTGATGCATAAACATCTTATATAATCTTCGTCTTCTGGAGCAAGTTATCTCAATCAGACTTAATACCTCATTTGAGTCTCTAAGCACACACACTAATTATAAGTTATAAATATAAATAATTAACAACGTTACTACTGGAGCAATAAATATAATGTGAATGATTAGTATAATATTCGTCCTCTCCGCAGCCGAGAAGAACATAATGACAGCCCACGTTTCGAAAGAGACAGACATACCCATAATTCACTTTTTTTTTATAAAAAAATTAGGAGAGGTAATTAGCCATAATAACAAGCAAAGTTTGCATCATCAGATCAGGGGGGTTATTTTCAGATAACTTCTAGGTCTGGTGGTCGGTCAATATCTCTTGTTTTATATTCACATGATTGTTTTCTTAATTACTTGGATATAGATGAGCAAGTAAATGATGCAAATTTATGCTCAGTCATAGATTTCGCTTATTGACCTCGCAACTTAGGAGGCTGAAAATGACTGATGTAAAGTGCTTCATATCTGAATTAACTTTTGTGGTGTAATACCAAAAGAAAAAAGAAAAAAGTGCTTATGACTTATGAGAGAGCGAGAGAGAGAGAGAGAGAGAGAGAGAGAGAGAGAGACATACCACCCTTCCAAAAGCAGCTTAGAAGAATGCATGTAGAAGTGATTATAACTCTTTGAGGCGCATAATCACAACAGCAAGTGCTTCTTCTTCTCACATGCATGCTTTTGGAATGAGAAAACTTAAAAAGAGGCAAAAGGGTCAAGACCCAATGAGTGATTTAAAGTTTTTGAACCCAAAATCATATCCTAAACAATGCTCATTGTTGAAGAATTCCCAAATCTAACCAAACAACTTTTTGCGTTTGGTGCAATGTGATAGACATGAATCAACACCTTGAAGCATGTTAGAAGTCCATTTATGCTCCACTTTTATGTGCCAATAATTTCCTCTACTAAAGAAGAATATATGCGACCCCATGCTCATGAGAGCATTGAGGCTTCATTACTTAATTGGCATTCATTGTTGTAATGATATGCATGGTGTGTTGTTTGCTTTTCTTCTCTTCTCTTCTCTTGCCCCAGTATCCCGATGCCAAAAGCTCGACTACCACAATTCAACATGACATAAAATGTGCGTGATATCGATCAATATAGTGATGCCTAAGGTTGATTTTTAGGCCATCAGAAAATGTGGCTCATATCAATTTGTTGTGAAACACCTTGTTCCTTTTTGTGCACGCTAAGGTCACATACCAATACGGACCATGATGTTCTACGCTATCGGTTTTATTATGAGCTTTACTGTTGCTATTGCAGCTACAAGGGTTACATGCCTGAGAAGTGACAGCAGCTTGCTTGTCTATTTTTTCGGTCAAATCCATAAAGTTCACAATGAAAAAGCCTGTAATTTATACACCATATATGATATGCACAAGCTTGAATCCACAAGTTTGGTGGGGCTTGATAGTGAAGGGAGTTTTGGATCGGGCAATTCATCATAATCAAAATAATAAAAGATACATCTGAATCTTAAACTGAATAGACACATTAATTAGTTTTTGCAAGTTTTTAGTCAACAATGAAAGAAAATTGAACCCTTAATTTATAAGTCATTCCAATATTAATTCGCCTTCCCCACTTGAGCTAACCCAATTTTTCTATGATTTAGATTAGCCCAATTTCATGTACATGTAAAGCATTTTTCCTTGATTCAATTCACCAAAGAATATATTCCTACTTCCCCATCCAATTCCGGTGGGCAGAAATGGTCCAATATTCTAGGCAGTGGATAAAATTCAAACGCTTTGTAAATATATATATGCATGATGGGACACCACAATCTTCATGAATTGTTCAAGGCATCATCGTATATAAATCAATCTATATAGAGATCCCTTGCAGATTGAGTTTTAACCCCAAAAGCAATCTACTAGAATAGTACAAACCAATGCATTTCTTCCTAGATGCATTAACAATCCAATGACTGCCCTACCTCATACAAACACAAACAATCAAACAATTATATTTCTCAATAAGTATAGTTTAGGCACGAACCATTAATTAATCCCACAAATATATCAAAAACCGCCGAGAAAACATCACCTTATATCATCCTTATCGTTAACTAATAACATGTGATTAAAATCAAATACATTACTGAAAACTTAAAAGTGTGTGGAAATGTATAAGACATTTTAGACCCGCTAACATGGAAATTCAATTATTTTTTTGGGGTCAAAAGCATGATTCAAGGTTGACAAAAAATGAGTGGTGGCTGGTGCGTGGCGTATCAAACTCTATTTTATTATATTCCCTCTGAAATTTCGCTCCGGGAAACAATTTTTGTGCTTTCCACATAATATGACAAGGAAGTTGAAATATTTTCTTTCACCCTGGGCTCCACCTTTTGCATTTATTTATTTATTCACATTTTTAATAGCTCTCACACACTTGTCTATTGGGCTATCAAACCATCCACCAGGCCCCATGAAAATTGGGCCTCAATGAGGCCCAATAAAAAAGAAAGTGATTTATTCATGCCATCACACACGCATATATTTTTTTTGTCATTCATTAAAGAGAGGGAGTATTATATTGGGTTGTCTCAAGATTGTCTCTTATGTGAATTGAATCCATATACACTTAGGAGGGAGGGGGAGAGTTTGACCCAATTTTCCACTGTAGTGCCAGCCCATGTGCGTGACACACTTAGACATAGGAAAGTCCAGTTGGTCAAGGCAGTGAACCCGTCTCCTTACACCTAAGTTTGAGCCCTCTTCCCGTAGATTAGATTAATCTAAAGTAATCACTTGTATCAAAATAGCCATCCTACACTTGGAGGCATTCTATAGTAAGGACCTTATGTATGGCCCTTAGGTGAGATCCTATTTCTTAATTGTTGGATCAGGCTAACCATAAGGTCCTTACTATAGAATGACTCCATGCACTTGTTTATTGTGCTATTCCAAACGATCCTTCAGGCCCAATTTTATTGGGCCTCAACTCCCAAGGAAAAGAAAAGTAGCAAGTTGGTTGTTGGTCCACTCTCAGTCTCAGTGTAGCTCTCTAGGCTGTAGCAATGCGGCAACAGTGAGAGCTGCCTCCAATTTGGCAGAAAAAGATCCACAACGGTAAAGTGCTAGTAAACGCTCGCAAGAAAGGTAGCGATTCTAGCGAAGCGAATTTAAGAACCTTTTTTTTCTTCCATAAATTAATTATCAAAACACAGAGATTCAGCTGCGGCTTCGATCGAGAGAGAGAGAGAGGCAATGGAGGTGGAACTGAAGGAGATGCTTAACGACCTCGAATCTCTGAAGAGATCGCTAACTGATCCTTCTCATCATGCTCCAATCGATCAGGTATGTCTCAATTCTGTTTTATTTGAGATCTAGCAGAGAAATTGAGTTTTAGTTTGGAGTTTACTGGCTTTGATCGGACTACTTGATTTGGCCTGAATTGGATCAATTTCGGAATTCTATTTATGGTTGATTATTGTACTGCTATGTTTTAGTATTTTACGATGCCTATTGTGCTAAGGAAAATTTTGGCCTAATCCATAAATTTGAATTGGTTTTTATTCACTTAGTTATTTATTGTTTGCATGCTTGTATATGTTTATTCTTTTGGTGCTTGTGTTTGTTGCCTGAGAAAATTAAGATAAAGAAACTAGGATATTCAATTATATGTACTTAGTTTGATGTTTTCTTTATGAAAAATAAGCAAATTATTGTTTGATATCGGGAAATGAAGTTCGAAGTGGCGGAATACTGATAAGTTTAGTAAAAGCTTTCTAAATTTTTCTTGTAGAACTGACTTTTTTTTTCTTTCTTAATGAATTTTTTTTGATCTGTAGCTACAATTGCGTGTAGAACGCCTTACTAGTCTTGCAAGTTCTGGACCTGTTCGACGTTCGAAAGTAAAGGTATTTTTCTTTTGTAATTCTGTCGTTTCTCTATTCTCATTGTGTTATGTATGCTTTTAGGTGAAGATTGTTTGTTCATGCATTTTACATGTTATGCTGACAGGATATGAGTGCCGAGGTGGTAGATAGCAATCCCTACAGTAGGCTTATGGCACTTCAGAGGATGGGTATTGTGGAAAACTATGAAAGAATACGGGACTTCTCAGTTGCCATTGTTGTCTGTATTTATCTCCTCTTTCAATGTTCCTTTTGTTATTGTAGATTTGTTCTTGCCACTGACTTGTAGTGATGTCCTATTTGTTTTTTTTTGCAGGGAGTAGGTGGTGTAGGAAGCGTAGCAGCTGAAATGCTAACAAGATGTGGTATTGGTCGCCTTTTGTTGTATGATTATGACAAAGTAGAGTTAGCTAACATGAATAGGTTATTCTTTCGACCAGAGCAGGTATTCATACTTGTTATTCTCATCCGTCATTCTTTCTTTTTGAAAATTTTTCTTTACTAGTTTTGTCTCAACCAAGTCATTTAATGCTTCAAAGATTAGATGCTACAGCTTTTAGATTGAACCAAAGTTCTTATTTCTTGCTGTTGTGTTGTGACTTTAATCCAATTTTTTACATACCAGACATCATTTTATTTTCCAAGTTTTCATGGTTATACAATTTATAAATTTTCATTCAAATGTGATCTGTTTTCCTTTTCAGAGCGGTATGACAAAAACAGATGCTGCTGTACAGACCCTTTCAGACATAAATCCTGATGTTGTGCTTGAGGTAAGCATTTCTCAGGATTTTTCTCTTATCTAACTTATATATTTGATGGTTCCATCTTAGTGCCCATATTTTGTAATCATGCTGAACAATTTCTTTGTTCTTAGAGCTATACACTGAACATCACAACAGTGCAAGGTTTTGATACCTTTATGTCCAGTTTAAAAGATAAATCATTCCGCCCAAATAAAGAAGGCAGTGGAGTGGACCTTGTGTTAAGCTGTGTTGATAATTATGAAGCAAGAATGGCTGTTAATCAGGTATGAGGTTATAATTATGTTCTCTTCCTTTCTTCTGCTTCCAAGAAAACTATTGTAATTTTTTTTTTCTTTTTCTGACTGTTATACAGGCTTGCAATGAACTGAATCAGACATGGATGGAGTCTGGTAAGCAAAATACTTCCTGCATTTGTATTACCCTAAGTGTAATATTAATTAAAAGACACACTGTGGGTTACATGCATTGAAATGCTGATTGGGTGAGATGAGATCTAATCAGGACCTAAGTGAAGGACACACATCTTGTCAGATCAGATATAAATGGCTAAAGTTCACGGTGGATGAGATGCGTGCATCTCAGCCGTATACTCTTTTGTATGTGTATTAGTATTATGTATGTATGAGTCATATGGTCAAGCATAACCGCATTTTTTAGACATACAACTTTATTCTGCATGAGTTTTTCTTAATCAAAGAAGCATACATGGTATATCGTGAAAATCGTTGTGGTTGTTATCCAATCAATATTTACGGCCTAGTGCATGTCATATAGAAAACACATATACTTTTTCTTTTATATGCAATACATGTATACTTTACAAGGAAACTCACTTGAAGAACATAAACATTCAGGTGTGTCTGAGGATGCTGTTTCAGGCCATATTCAGTTGCTGATTCCTGGTGAAACTGCCTGTTTTGCATGTGCACCACCTTTGGTATGATTTTTTGTTTGTTTGTTTGAATTTTAATGATGTTGGAGGATTCTCAGTGAGGAATATGAAACGTGAAGACTTGAAGATTGATTTTTATTTCTTCTTGTATATCTCTTTCCTAGGTTGTAGCATCTGGAGTGGATGAACGTACACTTAAGCGGGAAGGGGTTTGTGCTGCATCTTTACCTACTACTATGGTAAAATATCTCTCCCAATCTCTTGGTGGCTCTCCCTTTCTGGGAATTTTATTATTCAGACTTGCTAGTGTTTGTGTCTTACTGGTAGTTTGGTTGAAATCCATGTAAAGACCACAGGAATCTGGATGTTGGTACTTATTATTTAAAAGAGAAAGAAAGGAAAAGAAAAAAACTTGTCATTGTCATCGAATTCAAATGAAGATGATGCTTGGCTTAGTTACTCTGTAGTATTCAGGCTGTGGAGACAATCTATAGTTGGTTGATTGATACGTCAATATTTGATTTGGTATGGATGTTATTCGTATAGCAACTAAATTTGATTTTATTTTTTAGGGAGTTGTTGCTGGGCTTCTAGTCCAAAATACACTAAAATACTTGCTGAACTTCGGAAACGTCTCCCCATACTTGGTAAGTCGTATGTTATATTCTCTCTCATCCTGCTTTTACTTGGCAGAACATCTCAAGGGATTTAGTAATATGTTAAGGTTTAGCATTAAATTATTTCTTCATTGCAGCATGCTGATCAGCCCGAATTTGGTGTGCTTGATTGCAGGGATATAATTCTCTTAAAGACTTCTTCCCAACCATGGAAATGAAGCCAAACCCTCAGTGTTCAAATTTTGCTTGTCTAGAACGGCAGGTAAAGAAACAAAGATCCAGCACTCGTGCACCCAAACTGGATCTAATGATTTTTAGACATTCTGTTAGTTGGTTTGGCATTGATGCTGAAGACCGTATTTACTGTGCAGAAAGAATTCTTGCTTGTAAAGCCAGCTAGGGATGCTGCACTTAAAGCAAAGATGGAAGCTGAAGCATCATCATCAGTTACAGAATGTCCACTTCATCTTGATAATGAATGGGAAAATAAGGTACTCAAATTATACAGTTACACTAATGCCAAAAAAAAAAAAAAAAAAAAAAAGGGCAGGGCGGGACATTGGGGATATTTTCTCACTTGCATGTAAAAAGAATGACGTGCATTTGAGAGGAATAGTTTCATGGAAATGAAAGCATACCTATGGCAATCAAACTGTGCCATAGGTCATAAAATGAATAACATGCATTTTGTCATTTGATTTGTGTTGTTTTTGCAGTGTCGTTGATGATAGCGAGCCGGATAGGATAGAGGCCAAAAGTGCAGGTAACTTATCCTCTAATGTTTCAAGTTCTTAGCAATTAGATGGATTCCTCTGGAAAATCTCGCCTGTCACTTCTTTTCTCATCGATTTCTGTCTTTTGGTCCCAGATGCTCTGCCGGAAGGTCTTGTTCGCGAGCTTCCCAATGCAGATGAGTTCCCAAAATCGCCTACTGAAGCTGCGGATGCTACTATTGATGACCTAGAAGATCTCCGGAAGCAACTCGAGGCCCTCAATTCTTAAATGATCATATATTTTTTTATTTGTGGCCCCCTTCGAAATTGATCTGTAGCTTCGTTGTTTCCAACTTTATAGCCGCGCCCTGAAGTGAGGGTGTACATGAGGTGGATAATACTAATCTCCATACATGCAAGACACAGTTTTCTGAGTGTTACAGTATCTGGGAATTTTGGTTTAATTCTCAAATTTATACACCTTGCAATTTAAACTCTTAAAAAATTGTGGTCTTACATTTTCCAATATTTTTACATTTTTCAATTTATACACAAAAGTACAGTTCGATAAATTATCTTCTTGAGATGTGTCATGTGCCGAATGCTCCATGCAAATTGGCAGAAAAAATAGAAAGAAAATAAAAAGGAGAATGGTGTTTTGTCAAAAAAGAAAAAGAAAAAGAAAAAGAGCAAGATAAATAAAATATATATATATTTTAATTTAAAAATTTATATAGAAGGAAAAAAGAAGAAGAAGAAATTGCATCGTCTACGTGGCGTCTTCCATCGCGCGCAAACCCTACATTGCAAGCGGCTTGGCCGCTTCAGAAATCGAAAAGAACGAAACCTCCCTCAGAACTCCGACTACGCCGCTTCACGCAGTTTGAACTCAGTTCCAAGCTTCCCTCAAAAACTTGTTTTCAGTATTTTCCATTTGATCATTTGAAACCGTTGATTTCCTCCTCTGCAAATTACCAGAAAAGTTAATATAACAAGCGAAAATGGCTGCTGTTGAAGAAATAGTAGAGAAAGAGAAAGCTCCCGAAGCGAAAAAAGAAGAAGAGGAAGAAGAAGAAGAAGTGGAAGAAGATGAAGATGAGGAGCTTTGGACATCGGACTCGGACGTCGGAGATGCATTGGACTATTTGGACTCGAGGGACGATGACAGAGGAGTCGACGGTGGTTTCACAATCAATTCTAGGCGTCCCAATGCCCATGGAGGCCTTCACTCTCGCCCTAATTCCTCAACCCTTCAGCCTCTCTCTAATCGCAACCAGAAGTTCACTACCCACATCCGAGCTTCACCTTTGGAGGTACAATTTTGAGAATTTAAAAGTGAATTTCAATTGCTTTTGTTGTTGCTGCTGTAGGGTAATTGAATGCTAAACTTCTTAGCTGAGATGAGCTTTTACATTGTTTGGTTCGAATTCCGCTTATTGTTGAAGTTTTTCAGCCTAGAACTGTTAATTTGCTTGTAAAGTTACTTTTTTGAAGCTGGTTTTGCGGTGTAGGAGTGGGAAGGCAGGTTGAATGTTGGCATGTCCAACTCCGTGACAACTGCCATTCGTGGAAGTGTTCGAGATACGGCCATTGGCAGAAAGAGAACTACTGAGAAAGCGGACCGTGCCACTGTTGAGCAGGTGAAAAACAACTTTTTTAATTCATGGGTTTTCTTTAATCATTCCAACCATGTATTTTAGCTCATTAGTTTCACTGATTGCGTGTTTTCACCAGGCCATCGATCCTAGAACTCGGATGGTTTTATTCAAAATGTTGAATAGTGGTACATTTCATGATATCAATGGCTGCATTTCTACCGGGAAAGAAGTACGTGTTGAGTTACTATTATTTTAACCCCTTGACCGGTACCTGATTTTTGCGCTTGTGGGTTCTCATCATGGAATTATTCTTTCTTCTTGAACAGGCAAATGTTTATCATGCAACAAAATCTGATGGCCAGGAAATGGCGATCAAAATATACAAAACATCTATTCTGATTTTTAAGTAAGTCTTCTGTGACACTTTTAGCTTATTCCAATGACAAATTTGACAGTTTAGCAACTTTAGACCGTTATTACGTCAAACACTATAAAAATGAGAAATTTCATTTGGGCATAGCAATCTATAATGCTCATCGCTTACCGTATCCTGAAATTAAACTTTCTTTGCCTCATCATGCATTCCTGTATTGATGTTTCTTGTGATTTTTCTTCTAATATTCTCTAAATTTTCCTCCTAAAATGTTGTCTTTTTATCTTGGATATTTAAGATTGCCAAGTTGACCGTGCAATCATAGAGCATTTTAGAGAAAAATGTTTTGCAGTTTCAAGGACTATTCAGTTTGCGTGCTGGGTTTTCCAAATATGTGTTTATATTAATAGCTTTATAATATATCTTACTTGTTTGCCGTTCAAACACCTTTAGGGATAGAGATAGATATGTACAAGGAGACTACCGATTCAGACATGGATACTGCAAGAACAATCCTAGGAAAATGGTCAGGACATGGGCTGAGAAAGAAATGAGGAATCTGAAAAGGTAAGACGAACAACATCTTTAATGTGAGTACCTTTAATTCTTTGGTCAGTAGCCGCACAAATTCAACCTAGTGCAGATCTGCATATCAGTAATCAACCCCCTCTCTGTCTCTGTCTGTCTGTCTGTCTCTGTCTCTGTCTCTGTCTGTCTCTCTGTCTCTCTCTCTCTAGCAAGTACATACATGGACAACGGTTTTCAGCTTAAACTTATGAAATTTCTGTTAAGTCCTAATAAATTAAAATGCCCCGAGTCAATAATCTTATTATCAAGCTGGTTTTGTTCTGCTAATTGATGTAAGATGGTTTATGAAAATGCAGGCTGAGGGAGGACGGAATTAGGTGCCCGGCTATAGTTTCTTTAAAGCTTCATGTTCTGGTTATGGAATTCATAGGTATGTTCTCCTACTTTTAATGAACATATATTCTGACAGAATTGACAATACCACTTGATTTGTTCATATAAAAAATGAGAGGATAAGATCAACTTGTTTGGCTATTAACTTCTTACTTGTGAGTTGTGACCGTGCATAATCTACCTTCACCTTCTTCTTCTTCTTCCTTTTTTTGTTTTTCCAGTAACAGTATTTGCTAGTTAGAGTAACCTTGGTTCATGTATTCTATTACAGGGAAGTCAGGTTGGGCAGCACCTCGTCTGAAGGATGCAGCATTATCGCTAGACAAGCTACGAGAAGGTTATATTGAGGTGCACACAAATCCTTGGTGACATAATTTTTTGTGATAGTAATTAATTACAATAACAGACCCTATTGGCTAAGATAGTTCTGTTGGGACAGATGTAACTGGCCTTGAAAGCTCTCTGGTAGTTTAATTTGTTGCTAGTCTTAGTGAGGCTCCTTGTGGAAGTCCAGCCCACTTGAAGACAAACTTTTGGATCCGTTTCTGAATTGTATACACGTGATTTTATAATTTGGATGGATCAGGTTGGAGGAGCCAGAATAGTGGTCATTGGGAATAGCGTAGTTTTATAACATGTTGAATTCTTGCTTGCTGGTCTATAGATTATTATCGAGAAAGCGTTTATATGAATTTATTTTAGGCTTGAAAACGTTGTGTATTTGATATATTGTTTTTGTTACTGGAGTGATGTCGTAGTGATTCTCTGCCAGATGATTATTGCTATGCGAATGATGTATCAGAAGTCCAAACTGGTGCACGGAGACCTTAGTGAATACAACATACTTTACTTTGAGGTGAGTTGCAATAAACCACTTTGAAGTTTGAACTCCTTGGACGCGATAGCATGTGATGTTAATATGTATTCCCTTCCTCTTTGGCAGGGCCACTTGTACATTATCGACGTTTCTCAATCAGTTGAACTGGACCACCCTCATGCCCTTGATTTCCTACGTGAAGATTGTGTCCATGTATCTGTAAGTTCTTTGTACCCAAGTGACTTTCTTTAGATCTGTTTCCATTGTTTATGAAAAGTACAAGTAATGCATTCAGTGGTATGGGCTTATCAAGCATTTTGTTGTCCACAGGATTTCTTTAAAAAGAATGGTGTAGCTGTTATGACAATTCGAGAGCTCTTTGATTTTATAGTTGATCCATCTATTGCTGATGATGCGGTGGACAGTTATCTGGATATGGTTTGGTTCCTTCCTTTTTGGTCTCAAATATGAAAGAACTTAGGTTCCCATAAAGAAATAAGTAAATAACTAAAGAACTTAATAAGATCTCTGTTTGACTGTGTTTGACTTCAGGTACAACAAAAAGTTATTGCAAGAGGAGATATGACTGCAGAGGATGAAATTGCAGACTCTGTATTTGTGCAGGTGATGACAATGTAACTGTGTTTATTGACTTGCTTTGACTGACATCCGGTATTTGCGTGCCAAAATTTGTGTGGTATTCATTTGCTTTTCTTTTCTTCTTTCCAGTCATACATTCCAAAGACATTAGACAGCGTGAAGAATGTCGAGGAGGATGTAATACGGTTAACTAGTGGCGGGGACACTGGAGACATGTACTATAAAACTATTACAGGACTGAAGCAGGCTCTCCCCGAATGCCAATCAGCTCCATCTGAGAAGGAGCAGCAACAGGACGCTAATGCTGTAGCAAAGTCCTCTGTCGATCCAGTTGGTCATTCTGAAAATCCCGAGACTGAATCTGACTCCGATAGGGATGACGAAGACTCAAGCGACTCGGAAGGCCGGAGTTCCTCATCCGAGACCAAGGCACAGGATCCTCTTGATAAGAAAGCTGCTAGAAAAGAGAACAAGAAGAAAGTCAAGGAAGAGAAGAGGGAAGCTCGGAAAACTAAAGTGCCAAAGGCGTTAAAGAAAAGAAAGAAAAAGATGGCCAAAGCCCACAAGACCAGATAGCTGCTTGGGATTAACTTTAGAGCAATGGATGCAAGCTATTGTAGAAAGCATTCCAGAAAAGTTTTGTTAGACATTAATTTAAAAGAAAATTGCATTATTTTGTCTAAGAATTACAACTTGTACTTTGATATATGAGAAATATAAAGGGGCGTTTGGTATCCTATTCAAATAGGAAACTCAAAAACTTTGATTTTTCTTAAAAATAAGGAGTTGTTAAATCTATTTTTAAGATTCAAAAACTTGTTTGGTATGCAACTTGAAAACTGTTTTCAAATCTTAAAAATTTGAGAACTGGTGGGTTGTTAGAAAAAAAAACTAAAAAAACAGATATTTTTTGTTTTTAATAATTGAGGTCTTTTTTAATTGTTCTTGAGTTTGAGTTTTTAAAAATAGGGCTACTAAGTTATTTTTTTTTTTTTTTTTTTTTTTTTTTTTTTTTTTGATTGGACGGAGCTCAATCAACTCAAAAATATTTTGTTTGAGTTTAAGTTATTTATGTTGGATTCAAGTTGAATTGACCAAACAGGTCATAAAGCTTTCTTTTTGTGCTTGCATGTTATCATGGTGCAACATAAATAAATAAGTAAAGGGAAAAAAAGTAGATAAATTTAAATACGAGGAAAAACCAAGACGAAGAAAATATTATTAGCAAAAGGAAATTAATAAGAAAAAAATATAACAGTAAGTGAAACTAAACGTCACAGTTTCGTCTTACCAAACAAAACATCTGAAAAACAACGTCGTTTATATCGCCGTTTCTAATTGCATACAGAGTTACAGAAAGCTGCGAAAATCGCAGCAATGTCAGCTTCTGCTTAGAATAAAAACTATTCTTCTTCTTTTTCTTCTCCTACGCGGGACGCAAAATGTCAAACTCCGCAGAGCAAACCCTAGCAATAGTAGCAGCAGCAACCGAAGGAGAAGAAGCGGAACAGCGAGTTTCTGATAATGACAACACCAGCGAGCAATCCCAAGAATGGGAGACCATGGCTCGAGCTTGGCTCTGCTCGTTCCCCGAGGCCAAAGCTGTGTCCATGGACGAGGTCGAAGCCTGGATCGACTCCAACTTTGACTTCATCCCCGAAGGCATCAAATCCATGCCTCGTCCTGACCTCTGTCAGCGCCTTATTTCCATTCAGAATTGCATGAGACTCCCCAATCAGGTCCTCATTCTTTAATTCTGTTTTAATTTTGGTAATTCTTAGGTTTCAACCATTTTCCTTTTCTTTTTTTTTCCTTTTTTTTTGGGTTAAAGGTGGAACCTTTGTGTAACTAAGCTAACTGGGATTAAAAAGATGAAATTTTGGGGGCAATAACTTCATGTACTGTAAATTATAAGGAAGTGAACATAGTGGTTTGCTTAAGGTTGTAGGTGGGTTCTGGAAATTAACAAGACAGTTGAGGTTGTGGGTAGAATTTAAATTATCTATCATTTGGGAAGTAAACCATTAAGGTTTGGATTGAAAGTGTCATTTAATTTGAATTTTGTTTTCAGTTTTAGGTTGATGCTATTTTCATATAATGCATTAGTTCTGACATGATTTCTATAATATTAAATGGCAGGAAGAGAAGGAAGAAAACCAAGGTGATATCCCACATGCTCGATTCCAACGAACCGATCAATGGAGACCGGTTTATATTTGGTTGGAATCTTTGGATAAAGATGAGGTGGTTAAGTCCAAAGATATATCTGACTGGCTAACTGAGAATCCAGATATACAAGAACAGTTGTGCTCTAGGCATTCTCGGTATCATTTGATGCATTACATCAAGAAGTGCCATATGAAGATACTAAAGAGGCGGGAAAAGAAGAAGGTATTGAATACTTCTTGTTTTAGCTCAATTAGCCTAGAAATTTTCAAGCGTCTGTCTGAAGATGCAGATGCTTCCTCAATTTGGACCACATCAGTAAGATTTTGTATTTTTTTATTGTCTCAGAAGCTTTTCTTCCTTGTAACTGTGGCCTAAAAGTTCATTATCTCTGTTAAACTTGGGTACCATTGGCTTCATTCATTATTGTTGATGTCTTACTTGACGATCTTGGGAAGCATTATGTAGTTGATACATCAACTATAAGCTTCAAGTTGGTGGATGCTGTGTGTCTCTTTATGCTAGATAAATAAATTACATAAGTTGTTCTTGTTGAACAGGGTGTCCAGCAGCCTGACACACCAGCCCCTCTAAAGGTTCACAAAGACGTGTTGATGAAACAGCCTGCTCAGCTGCCATGTAAGGACCATCTATAGAGCTATGCTTTATAATTTAGGGGATATTTGAATTCCATTCTAAATGGAATGACCGGTGTGCTTTTGCCGTTTTGGCCATTCTCTAGTTTGGCTGCATTATAGAGAATGGAGCCATCACCTAAAATAAACAAAAATAAAATAAGATTGAATTCCAGGAAGTTTTGAGACTGATAACTGTTTTAAGGAACAGAATACACTCAATTTGAAGGCTATAATATAAGTAGCCATATGGACTATTTTAACTGCTGTGTAACATGTTGCATTTTTTCTTCTTAATTTTGTCTTTTGACACAATTCTGTTGGTTCAACCTGCTTCCCAGCTCCACTCTCTGTTTGCAATTCATTGATCAATGTACCAAAAGATAGTGATGTATATTTGACAAAACGAAAGGAAGCACTTCAGAAATACGAGATGTAAGTCAACAATTGATGTATTGTGTCATTTTATGCTCCAGATTTGCTTACTAATTAGGTTCACGTGGTTTCAGCTTAGCGGAGTTGGAGAAGCTGCTTGCCCCCACCTTTTTAAAACGTGAAGATGGGAACAAATGAAGGGATTTTGAAACACCGAACTTGTGCCTGTCCTGCATGCATGTTCGTGATTCTGTAATGTAGCAGCTGCTTTGCTGATTGGTTATAAGTTGTCTTTTAACTGATCCAAATTATATTTCTCTTTAGGAAAAGCCAGAGCTTCTATCTTTAAAGCAAGCTTTGCATAAGCTGAGTTTTAAACTAATTTCCTTGTAATCTTACCAGTACTTCTCCTAGATAAGTGAATCATTAACCTTTATAGACACTGACTTTCAATTTCGTCGATGGAAGCGTTTTGAACCGTTTCTGTTAAACCATGAGACACGCGAGAGGCTAAGAAGTATGAACGTGAAACAAAATTGGTGTGTCAGCATATTACAAACTATGCTTTGGTCAATCTATCTATTCAAATGAATGGACTAAGCATACTGAGATATGCCTTGGTTGTTATACAAAAACAGCATATGTCAGGTCATTCGGCTATCTTGTACTGCAAGATTATAAGAATACTTAATTAGCAATGACGTTATCTGGAAATTTTATAATTCTAATTTGTAGTTAAAATTTTTGCGTTACCCTAAACAATAAGAAATAGGAGGGAAAGGATCTTTGAAGGCAAATACAAATGCATTGGAAGATCACCACAAATACAATATTGGGAACCTTGCTTATGTATTTGAGCGCTCTCACATGACACTGCCTTAACAAGAAAGTCAACAGCAAGGCGGCATCTCTCAAGTCAGTAGAACGAGAATTTTCAATTGTAAATAAGACATAATGGCATCAATATATTACGCAAGTAGCCGGTCAAAGGTTGACAATTCAGCAAAGACTGGAAGAAGAAAAAAATTATCAAAGAGTTAGAGACAAATTTGGTTGGCCTGCTATAAGACATGGCTGAGACATCAATGCTAAACATTGGGGTTTATTCATTTTGGACACAGATTATGAGCGTTTCAAAACCACAGATGGAGGAGGGCTTCAGCTTCTTGTCCCTGAAAGTTGTGTTGCTATTGGTTCTCTTAGTGCAGCTTACAGTTGCTGACAGTCACCATAAGCATGCTGGTGATGGGGTGCAGCCACTGTCCAAGATTCAAATCCACAGAGCCGTTTACGAGCTTCACGAAAATGCTTCCGTCAAAGCATACCCTGTCCTTCTTGGCACCAAGGTAATCACCAACCTGCTTCTCTTCACCATTAGCCAGAATATTTTGTTGCTTTGGATGAAACGGGATTTTGGCTGAAAAATATAAGATGGTGTATGTTTCAATTTATGTGCAGGGGGAAGATTCTCAGTGGGTAACTGTTGAAGTGGCAAGTCCTAAGCCTTCTGAAGATGATTGGTTGGCAGTATTTTCTCCTGCAAATTTCAAGTAATGTTCATCTTGGTAACTCTTAATTGTTTCATATAGGGCCACCATTTTGCATATCACTGATGTTTGCTGCATAATCTTTTATGGCAGCTCATCGACCTGTCCATCTACCGACGATAGGCAGAAGACTCCAAATATATGCTCAGCTCCAATAAAGGTTTGTGTTATTGCAATATACTTCTCTCTTGGAATTTGATAAAATTATAGCTCTTAATATATATGCTCTAACCAACCATTGTCGTACTGAGATCTTGTTGCTCTCATTTCAGTACAGATTTGCCAATGATTCCAATGCTGATTATGTGACGACAGGCGAAGCATCTCTAAAATTTCAATTGATCAATCAACGAGCAGATTTTTCGTTTGCGTTATTCTCAGGCGGGCTGTTTAGTGTGTGTTCATGTCCCTTCTCTTTCAGCTTGCTTCCTATAATATTTAAATATCACTGTTTTAAAATTTCAGCTAATTGGGTGCTTATGGAAACACTAAGGGCACTACAAGTGCTGTCAATCTAAATATGTTTTCGTGAAATGCAGCCAAAACTGTTGGCAGTTTCTAATGCTGTAAGTTTCGTGAATCCGAACGCACCCCTTTACCCACGTCTTGCTCAAGGGAAGTACTGGGATGAAGTAAGTTTATGTTATTATGATTCAGTACTTTTCTTTTTCATGGAGTTGTGGATGTGGATTCCCAAGCCTGAGACAGAATCTCTATATGCCTTCTATATGTGAAACCAAGTTTCTAAAAAGTTTTCTTACAATCTTTTGCAGATGACAGTAACCTGGACAAGCGGCTACAACATTATTGAAGCTGTACCTTTTGTTGAGTGGGGTCTTAAGGGAGAAGCTCAAATTCAATCTCCCGCAGGAACATTGACCTTTCATCGAGAGAGCATGTGTGGTATGGATCCTATTATCAATTTAATTTGAACAGCAAGGCCAACTGAATCAATTCTGAACTATGAACTTGGAATATTGTCACATACATTCCAGATAAATAAATGTAACAGGGTTCTTGTAATTTGCAGCTCCACCAGCTCGAACAGTAGGTTGGCGTGATCCTGGTTTCTTCCACACAAGTTTTCTAAAAAATTTGTGGCCAAATTCATTGTATGCATCTTGAACTTTAGGTTTTAAATTTTAAAATGAACTATAAAGAAGATCATGGCAGATAGTTGTTTTGTTCTTGAGGCTGTTCTGGTGACTGTCTTATTTAGGTACACATACAAGCTTGGTCACAGGTTATCTAATGGTTCCAATATCTGGAGCAAGTCCTACCATTTCAAGTCATCACCATATCCAGGACAGGACTCATTACAGCGTGTCGTTATATTCGGTGACATGGGAAAGGTAAGATCAAGCAAATGAGAACTATATATGAAAATTATACCGATTCACACATGTCACGCATTGCTGCGTAATGTTTAATTTGTACAAATAATTGCTGGGATGTTTATATTTGTACCGAAAATTTCAGGCTGAGCGTGATGGTTCGAATGAATACAATGCCTACCAGCCGGGTTCACTAAATACCACAGATCAACTGATCAAGGACTTGGATAAAATTGACATAGTTTTTCACATAGGAGACATTGCCTATGCCAATGGATACATCTCACAGTGGGACCAGTTTACATCGCAGGTGGAGCCTATTGCATCAGTTGTGCCATATATGATTGCAAGGTTTGCAGATGCTTGCTTTTATCCATACTGATCTGCATGTGTATACTAGTGTTTGATGTATGATTTCACATTTTCTTCTCATAAAAACTTACATGAAGTGTTCCAACAGTGGAAATCATGAACGAGATGTACCAGGGACCGGATCCTTCTATGACGGTAATGATTCTGGTGGCGAATGTGGTGTGCTAGCTGAGACTATGTTTTATGTTCCAGCTGAAAACAGAGCTAAGTTCTGGTAGATATCAATGCTTCTATGAACTTGGCTAATTTAGCAAATTTTGGAAAAATAACATGTTAAGTTCGATATATATACATATATATACTAATCCCCTTATGAAAATCATATTGTGATTGTTCCTTCCTTACAGGTATTCAACAGATTATGGTATGTTCCACTTCTGTATAGCTGACAGTGAGCATGATTGGAGGGAAGGCTCTGAGCAGTACAAATTCATTGAGAAATGCCTTGCATCTGCAGACAGGCAGAAACAGCCATGGCTGATATTCGTCGCTCACCGTGTTCTTGGTTATACATCCTCTTCCTGGCGAGATGGCTCATTTGGTGAGCCCATGGGAAGGGAAAGCTTGCAAAAGCTTTGGCAAAAGTACAAGGTGGACATTGCATTTTTTGGCCATGTCCATAACTACGAAAGAACATGCCCCATTTACCAGGTATGGAAAGATCATAGTATTACTATTTACTGAGACATTTCACTATGTTCCACACGAGTTTAAATAATTTTCTCAGTTACTATTCTGATGACCCAATATTTCGTCATCAACGTCGATATGTTGCAGAATCAGTGTGTAAATACAGAAAAATCGCATTATTCGGGAACCGTCAATGGAACAATCCATGTTGTTGTTGGTGGAGGAGGCAGCCACTTAACAGATTCTGGTCCAGTGCAGACAACTTGGAGCCTCTTCAGAGATTCTGACTTTGGCTTTGTAAAACTTACGGCATTTAACCACTCGTCGCTTCTCTTGGAGTACAAGAAAAGCAGTGATGGGAAGGTCTATGATTCCTTCACAATCTCAAGGGACTACAGGGATGTCTTGGCATGCGTTCATGATGGCTGTGAACCAACAACTTTAGCTACATGATCGATCAATTTATGCGTTCTTGACAGGAAATTGGCTTTAATTACAATTGTATAATACAAAATATAAATCTTCTCAAATTATTTCTAAATGGACCTTATTACAAAAATGTCTTGTTCTTGTCACTCCTCCATAATGCCCATCTTATCATTCTGCATTATAAAGGAAGAGCTTGTGTTTCCGTTGTAAACTAAAACTACAATGAATATTTACATCTCTATGTATTATGCAAAATGCTCTTATGGTTAAATTTTCAAATACACCTTTTGACCTTGATGAGATTGTCATTTGAGGGGAATTATAGTGTTGTAAGGCAATACAACAACGTGGTATAACTTGTTCATGTGTTATAATATAAGTGGATATTTATGGATACTACTCATATTACAACATGTGTACAAGCTATACCATGTGAATGTACTCCAATACCATTCTATAATTTCTCGTCATTTGAAGGCTGTGTCGGAAGTAGAACATCATGTCCAAATGGAAAATAGTTTCATGTATCTCCTTCCACCGGTTACAGTCCTCCTACAGCCGAAGTGACTTAAGCTGTTTTTGACTTCTAACACCCAAATAAAAAACACTTCCAAATGATACTTCTCTTGAGAGTAAAAAAGAACCAGGTTTATTTATTTATAATTTTATCAGGCTTGGGTCAGAAATTGGTAATTATGTTTATATATATAAATTTTTTACCACAGTCGTGAGTATTTTCTCACATTACTTTTAATTTCAAGGACAGAGTATGTGTTAACCTACTGAAGAGGATAATCCTATTCCTATAGAATATGCTGTGATCAAATTTATCCTAACCACGTGCTTTGCACAGACAATATTCTTTTGGTCACATTTGCATCAAAAAATATTATCCACATGAAGATATCAGTATCTCGAATTCACAATTTAAAAAGAATATATCTGAAATTCAAACTTTATATATAGTTTTGGTATATTGAAGGGCTCAATAACCAAATTGTATATTTAAGGGTTTAGAAGAGGCCTCAAGTTTAATTTTTCCTTTGTCTCTAAATATGATATGCGTTACCTGTACGATTTCATATTCCATCTCTTTAATCTCTTTAATCTCTTTTTCAAGTATTAAAGTAGATGATGATTAAGATAGAGAATGACAATCGCATAAAGTTTTTCGCCTCAACATTCCCGAATTGTTTTATCTTTTAACCACATTTGTGAGTATGACTTTTAATTTCAAGGGCAGAAGCCTCCCTAACCAAAATCATTAGTGGTCATTGCGCTTAAACAGCTCATCCTAAGTCAAATTTATCCTAATCACGTGCTTTTGCACTGACATTTGCATTAAAAAAATTTATCCATATGAAGATATCACGAATTCATAATTCAAAAGAATATATCTGAAATAAATAATAAAATCATGCAAATCGTGTGACCCTTAAATTATGTTTCTTTCAATCGCGATTTGTCGCCCAATAAGAAAAGAAACGATAAGATATTTGGATATGCGAATCTCGAAGATTGGGCTTTGACCCAAATAATTACTATGTCGGGCAATAAGCTCTCGCTTGTCACGTGTACGAAAACGTGGGCCCATATTCATTTATTCATGTAGGCCCCATATTCTTTATTTTTATTTTTATTCCTAGTATTCTTTTCCTTCTCTGTGAAACAGCTTTTGCCAAAGCATCAAAACTAATTATAGCAAAAGATGTTAAAGAACAAAATTGATTGAATAATTCTTAATTAAATAACTTGCTAATTCTATGATTTAATCATTGTAGATGAATTGAAAAGAAGTGTGGGGAGGAGAAAATGTGTGGAATAAGAAATTTGGGGGAATGTATGTATGGATGTATGTATTTCTTTTTTTTTTTTTTTTTTTTTTTTTTTTTTTTTTTTTTTTTTTTTTTTTTTTTACTACTCATGAGGGAAGATTTTATTAATTATCAATGGAAAAAAAGAGGGGACTTGGCGCCTTACCCGATTACAAACATCAAAAATCAAAGTGTCGTGAGTAATACCTGTGAACGTAAAACTAAAGTTACTCAACCCATATATTGTGGTCTTTTACCAAGGTTTTTTTCTTCTTTAGCGATACATTGCGTTGGGGAGGGGGCACTTTTCATGCGGATTCAAACGGGTGACCAAGGGGAGAATGGGGAGCGACCTCACCACTGAGGTAAAGTGAGCATTTTTGGTCACCACATTAACTATAGGTGTATTCTCTCTTTCATTTGTTCCATCCTTTAAAAATGATGATGAGCATACACCTTTAAGATATAAAAACCCTCGGGTCTAACAGGGGTTCTTATATTATATCTTCAATGGTACTGCCAATCTTTGAAAGATCATCACAAATAATAAAAATAAGTCCTCAATTTTCACATGGTTGTTGAGAAATTACACAGCATGGCAACCGAGTGGGCCACATGTTTTGAAATAACCATAACAAAAGTATGAAACTTGTTAGACCGCAAGAAATGAATACTGAAAGAGTGATTAGACATTTTAATTGCTAAAAACGCAAGAAATGAAGAAGTAAACACGTTCATGCCATTATTAAACTAATGGTACCGTCCAAAAAAAGAATTTTAAAAGAAAAAAAATGATATTAAAATGATAATAATTCATGGTAGACCGAGCAAAAGCCATCTTTCCAGCAAAGACTGAGAAAGAGTGATTAGACACTCTGAATCCTCTGTTGGGTTGGCCTGCAATGAAATTATATATAAATGGAGCTAAGGCTTCAGTATGGCCATTCCAAAACCAGAGATGGAGAGGTTCAGCTTATTGTCCCTGAAAGCTGCACTGATATTGGTTTTCTTAGTGCATTTCACAGTAGCTCATAATGTCAAGAGGCACGGAGGGGCAGGTGATGGGGTGCAGCCACTGTCCAAGATTCAAATCCACAAAACCATCGATGCGACTCACGAAAATGCATCCGTCCGCGCATACCCTGTCCTCCTCGGCACCACAGTAAGATCAACTATTTCTTGAGTATCGCTATTTGTACCACATTTATTGTTCACCAACTTACTAACCACTTTCTCTAATACAAAGTTTTATTGTTAATAATTTTGGCTCACTTCTGTGTGCAGGGGAAAGAATATGAATGGGTAACTGTGAATGTTGTTAGTCCTAATCCTTCTTCAGATGATTGGTTGGGAGTCTTTTCTCCAGCAAAATTCAAGTAAAGTCCACTTTTGTAACTCTGATATGAAGTTCTTTTTGGAAAAATACTATGATATGAAGTTCATAGCTGCTTTCCCGAGTTAATCGTTTTATTAATCCCTAAATTTAGATCCAATTTGCATTTGAGTTCCTCAATTTCCAAAATGGTTCCCGTGCTTCTTTAACTTCAGTTTCTTTAAGACAAATAATCTTGCCGTCAATTTTGTAATGCATGGACAAAATGGTATTTTTTGTATCAAAATTGATTAAAATATGAATAAAAAATTAAAATTAAACTCTCTCTCTTCCCCTCTATCCTGATTTCTCTACTCCCTCCAAACTTTTTTTTTTGGTTGGTTTTTTATTGTATTTTTTATTTTAAGATATGATTTTTATTCATTTTTTTTTTTTGTTTTAATATAAAAATATCATTTTGCCTTTGCATTTAACATAAAAAGTTAACAAAATTGACGACATGACCATTTGTCCAAACGAAACTAAAGTTAAAGGACCAAGGGAACCATTTTGGAAATTGAAGTACTTAAATGCAAATCGGGTCAAAATTCATGGACTAATAAAACGATTAACCCATGCTTTCCCCTTTGCGTATATACTGTGCTGAGTCAACTTACAGAGGCTTAGTTTCAGCCGTTGGATACTTAGTACTTTATGGGGTTGAGATTAAATGTCATTTCAGTTCAATAGTCCAGTATTATGAACCGTTGGATGAACATAACTCATTTCATATGCTTGGGTTTGCTGGGTTTGTAGATCTGGGCCTCTGTTTGTGTGTTTCTACTTTTGTTTATGGTTTTGGGCCTCGCTGGCTATGGATCAAGGTAAGTTTCCGCTCTTGTTACAAAAGAAAAGATAAAAGCCACACCTCTCTCTCACTGTTTTTTTTCTGGTCGAGAGGAGATGGGGAAGTATTATTTTGGGGTTGGGAGGAGAAATTCAAGATTATCTCCTACGTGAATTGAATCCGGGTGCATTGGTGAAAGGAGGAGAGTTTGTCCCACTGTGGTGCCACACCTCTCACCCTTTGACAGAGAAAACAAATGTTGATGCCTTTCCACTTTCTATTCTTTTGGCCTTTTAATTCCATACTTTTTTTCTTTCTTTTGGTTTGTTTAATGTTTTGTTGGTCCATTTCGTAACAATAAGCATTTGGATCCAATATATGATTCTCTAATAGACTTTTCAAATCAAAGTTGCAGTAAGTTTTTTTTTTTTGATTTCAAAGAAAAGCTTATAGATTAATTAAAAAAGTGAATCTGTTGTGGCAGCGCATCGACCTGTCCATACACTGAAGACTATTATGAGCCATATCTATGCTCAGCTCCTATAAAGGTATTTGTGTATGTTGTGTTACATGGCTTGTTGCAATATATGCTCTAACCATTGTCCTGCTGAACTCAAATCTTGTTGTTCTCGTTACTTGCAGTACAAGTATGCCAATTATTCCAATGCTAATTATAACAAGACAGGCAAAACCATTTTGAAATTCCGATTGATCAACCAACGGGCAGATTTTGCATTTGCATTGTTCTCCGGTGGCCTGTCAAGCGTGAGTCTCCATGTCCATGTCTCCTCTGTTTCAGATAATCTGCTGCTTGAAACAGTATTTTATATCACCTGTGTTTCAAATCTTCATATCCTGATAAAAGTTCGTGTAATGCAGCCAAAATTGGTGGCAATTTCTAATGCTATAGTTTTTGCAAATCCGAAGGCACCTCTTTACCCTCGTCTTGCTCTAGCCAAGAACTGGGATGAAGTAAGTTTTTGTGTTAATTATGATTTATAAGTACTCTTCTTTCATGCCTTCAAAGTTTCTTGTATGAAATGTTATCCCAAATAAGCAAACCAAGTTTCTAAAAAGTGTTGTTTTACTCTTTTGCAGATGACAGTAACATGGACAAGCGGCTATGACATTAGCGAAGCTGTACCTTTTGTTGAGTGGGGTCTCAAGGGAGAAGCTCAAGTTCGATCTCCAGCAGGAACATTGACGTTTCCTCGAGGAAGCATGTGTGGTATGGATCGTATGATCAAAATCCAATTTGAACAGAAATGCCAATTGAGTCTATTTGTAATGAACTTCTTCTTGTGATTTGCAGCTGAGCCAGCACGAACAGTTGGTTGGCGCGATCCTGGTTTCTTCCACACAAGTTTTTTAAAGAATTTGTGGCCTAACTCAAAGTATGCAGGTTGAAAATTATTACATTGCATTCTTGTCTTACAAGGAACTATGATGATCAGGAGAGAAGAGACAGCTGTACTGTCCTTAAGGCTTTAGCACTGATTGATTGTTTATGATTGTTTATGTAGGTACACTTACAAGCTTGGTCATAGGTTATACAATGGTTCCTATATCTGGAGCAAATCCTATGCTTTTACAGCACCACCATATCCAGGGCAGAACTCGTTACAGCGCATTATTGTGTTTGGTGACATGGGAAAGGTAACATAAAATAAAATGAAAACTATCAAAGCTTGGTGCAGAATGTTGAAGAACCAAGAAAATTTTGCCTTATGTGACAATTAATTTCTAAAGATTTAGTTGCCTAGATGCATACAACAGAGAATTTACTTTTCCCCAACAAAAATTTCAGGCTGAACGTGATGGTTCGAATGAATACGCTGATTATCAGCCAGGCTCACTCAACACCACAGATTCACTAATCAAGGACCTAGACAACTTTGACATAGTTTTCCACATAGGAGATATGCCCTATGCCAATGGATACTTGTCACAGTGGGATCAGTTCACATCGCAGGTGGAGCCTATTGCATCAGCTGTGCCGTACATGGTTGCAAGGTTTGCATGCTTCTTCTTTTTTATCCTTAGTGCTCTGCGTATATACTTGTGCTCAATGTATAAGCTGTTCACATTTTCCTCTGAAATTTATATGATTTGCTCCAACAGTGGCAACCACGAACGAGATACACCAAACACCGGCGGCTTCTATGACACTAATGATTCGGGTGGTGAATGTGGAGTGCCAGCTGAAACTATGTTTTTTGTTCCTGCTGATAACAGGGCTAAGTTCTGGTAAATAACATGAATGATTCTGTGACTTATTATTATGACTGGTTAGAGAAAAGAAAAATCTTAGAGAAAGTTAAAGTTGGTTAACCAAATACTTTGCAAACAGGAAATATTTACAAACCAAATGTGTCTATCTAAGCTTATTTGAGTATACTAATTATATTCTAAATCAACACAACAAATTACATATACCAATCATCCAATAAGTTGGCTAGTTAGCATGTAACACTGTAATTTGTTCTTTTCAGGTATCAAGCAGATTATGGCATGTTCCACTTCTGTATAGCTGACACTGAGCATGACTGGAGGGAAGGTTCTGAGCAGTACAAATTTATTGAGAAATGCCTAGCAGCAGCTGACAGGAACAAACAGCCTTGGCTGATATTCGCGGGTCATCGTGTTCTTGGCTATTCCTCTAACTCTTGGTATGGCGAGGAGGGTTCATTTGAAGAGCCTATGGGAAGAGATGATATGCAAAAGCTTTGGCAAAGGTACAAGGTGGACATTGCATTTTATGGCCATGTCCATAACTATGAAAGAATATGCCCCATTTATCAGGTATGCAAAAACATAATAGCATTTGAAGAGCTCTTAGACTTCCGGTTTAAATCGTCTGCTGTTTACTAATCTGATCCTTCATCATTGATTTCTATGTGTTGCAGAACCAATGTGTAAATTCAGAACTATCCCATTATTCAGGAACTGTGAATGGAACAATTCATGTTGTTGTTGGTGGAGGAGGCAGCCACTTATCAAAGTTCAGTACACTCAAGACAGTTTGGAGCGTTTACCAGGATCTTGACTTTGGCTATACAAAACTCACAGCATTTAACCACTCTTATCTTCTCTTTGAGTACATGAAGAGCAGTGATGGGAAGGTCTACGATTCCTTCACTATCTCAAGGGACTACAGGGATGTGTTGGCCTGTGTTCATGATGGCTGTGAACCGACCACTTTGGCTACATGATTTTGGGTGGGTAGACGTCTCTTTATCTGAGGGCTGAATAACGATCTGGTTGTTCTGATGATTAACAATGGCTTTCGTGAGAATATGAGGCCTTGAGTTTGGCCTTACTCATTTTAGGCTTGCCCTATCGTGTAAGGGTCTTTGTGAAAGGCTTTTTGAACCCTTTTTTGGTTTTTTTCTCTTTTTTCCATAGGTTGAGGAAGTGTCATCTCACTTTCTTTTCCTTTTCTGATCAAGCATTGTATGCATGTCTGACGAGAAAATTGGCATTTAATTATTGAAGCTGTTAAGTTGTAGACAGAACAAGCCATGACCGGTGAGCTTTCTGGTTTTCTGTATCAATGAATAAACTCCTAATTTCTTGATATTGCCTTTGCTTCTAGTTCTTTCATTCTTTTATTTATGTATTTATATGTAAGCGATATTGGGGAGGGAGATTTCTCACTTACACTATCAAGGTGCCATAAGAGTTCGAACGTGAGACCTTTAGTCTTTGATTCGTAAGTGTTGTTTAAAGGGACAGTTCTAGTACAAGTATAACTGACCAATTGTTGGGTTTAATTAAATTTGGTGGAAGCTAAGCTAGAGATAAGAGTACATGCTTATGATTGGTCCAAGCACTTCAAATTCCAGTAGAATAGTACTTTAAATTGGATTAATTCTTAGCTTGACACTTCCGTACCACCAATAAGTCTCAATAATGCCTTTTTTTTTGGGGTTCAACAATAACTCTCAATACTGTTAGGTCCAGGAAAAGGCTAAAAGGGTCACTACAATGTATAAATGCTACATGTTCAAGGTATGGACTAGCAAGCAAGCACCAATCAAAAGATGGTTTGATATAAAAATGTAGTTGCAACGTGGATATTTTCATTGACACATATTTTGGAAACTGCTTAGATTTTTATTTTCTTGTTTTGGTCAATGAAAACAGTTACTTGAATCTGATTTTATGTTCAAATGTGTTGATGGGAAATTTAAGGAATTGGTCCATATTATGAACCCAAAATTACCAACATCCAAAATGGTCATCTAAAAACATGGTAAATTTTGTGCATGCAAGGAGAGAATCCATTCAAGCTTAAACAGTTGGAGACACATGCACTAGTCTAATACAGAGACCAACAGATAGGCTCTTCCTCTTTCTCTGCTCATTTTGGGAGAGAGAGACTGAGAGAGTCACTTGTGGTTTCTTCTTAAAATCCAAGCTGATTTCTCTCTCTGTTTCTCTCCCTCTCCAATCCTTCTCGCATTCAACCTCCAATTTTATCTCCCAATTGATAAAGGATAATACTGGGAATTAGAGGAAAAGATAAAGAGTGAAACTTGGATATTCTGGGACTGTAATTGGTACCAAAGTTGGTTCGTTATCCGATCTTCTGATACTTATAGGGTTTCTTGAATTTTACGCATTGCGTTCAAAACCCACCTCAGAAAATGGAACAAAGCTTTCGACTTTTCACGATTTTTCTGATTTTGGGCTTAACCAACTTGGGCTCAGCTTGTGCTAATATCGGTGGTTTTGGGGAACAGCCACTCTCCAAGATTGCCATTGAGAAAGCCACTCTCAACCTCCATGACTCGGCCTCCGTTAAAGCCTTTCCTCCTGTTATCGGCTTACAGGTAACAACTTCTGTTTACTATTTTCATTCAATGGCGCCAACAAGCATCTATTAAGTTATTCACTGTTAAGTTTATATGCTATTTTATAACATAATGAATGGGGCTTTTGTGTGTGGTTTAAGTTCATCGATTTGTTTATACAAGTAGGAAGTGAATGGCACTTTAGAACAAAAGATTGAGACATGTCGCCAGTGGGGTATAGCTCAGTTGGTTGAGCCCTTCCACCTCCACCCATGTAGCCAGATGTTCGAAATCCCAGGCACCAAATGAATGTTTGTGTAAACCCCCCCTCCCCCAATCGCTTGTACTAAAAAAAAAGAATGAGACATGTCAAAAATATGAAGTAAAGTGGATAGCTCAATCTGCAGAACAAGGCATGGCTACTAGATTATGCAGTAAAGTGGATAGTTGATCTTACTTTTATTATCATTTAATTTTAAATTTGATTAATATGTCATTGATAGACATTAAGACCAACACTTATGGTGTCCAATTTCTTACCCCAAAAATTTATACTGATAGCTGGTCGCTACTGTAGTAATTTGATTGAATAGTAAGTCTTTAACTTTGTGGATGTAATGTGTTGGTAACTGTTGGCTGAGTGGGTGCTGACTTTTTAAAGTACATGAATTTCTGCACTGAGTTCAAGTTTTGACTTCATATAATCTGTGTGTGTTATTTTATTCATGGAGTTAAAGTGTTGATGATTTGTTTTAATTCGTATGATTACAGGGTGAGGATACCCAATGGGTAACTGTGGCTCTTGAGTACCCTAATCCTGCTGCAGATGATTGGGTTGGAGTTTTTTCTCCTGCAAAATTCAAGTAATGTACATGACCAAATGATCATATAACCTGTTTTACCACAACTGTCTAGCTATTGATTCAACGTAGTACACATTAGTCGGAGGTGCTAGAGGGACTGAATCTTCTGTGCAAAAATGTCATCATCAACCATTAGTTTACCAAAACCATGTCCACTGATAACTGCAGACTGTAGAAAATCTTTGTTTCTTTATTTGAAATTCAAGTAATAATGTTTTGCTATGACAGCTCAGCAACGTGCCCACCAGTAGATGATCCCGAAGAACAAAAACCCTATATATGCTCTGCCCCTATAAAGGTTTGTGGTTGTAGTTTCTAACTTTGTAAAAACGAAATTAAAGTAACATATGAAACGATTTCATTTGGACTTGTCTAACCTTTGTGATATATTACCTGTGTTTCAGTACAAGTATGCAAAAGACTCCAATCCAGATTATACAAAGATTGGCAAAGCTTCTTTGAAGTTTCTGCTTATAAATCAGCGTGCAGATTTCTCATTCGCATTATTTTCAGGCGGGTTGTCAAATGTACAAGCATGATTCTTTCTTCCGCTCCTATGCTTCCTCATATTCTATCTCTTAGTTAAAGAATTAATGTATATTTTTTCTTATTGCATTCATCTTTGTCACCTTGGACCTTCGTACATTTGACCTCTCATTATTTTTCCTAATTAATCAACTTTTATGATTTAATGATTTTAAATGTGATTGACCCAATACTTGAATTTTGCAGCCAAAGCTGGTGGCAGTTTCAAACTTTATATCATTTGCCAATCCTAAAGCACCTGTATATCCACGTCTTGCTCAAGGGAAGTCTTGGAATGAAGTAAGTTTATCTTAATTGTTGATTCGCTTTGTGCTATTTTGATGGACATTGGGTTATTGAGTTCTTGAACATTCGGAATCCACATTTTCACCAATTATGTTAAACTTCTTTCTAAGTCTTGACCTTGGGTTATCTGATGCTAATTTGTTTTAATAAACATCCTAGAATTTGAAAGGTTATGTTATGGTCCATGCATCTTCTGGCTTGCTATAAGCTGATATTAAGGTATTTCTATTTTTCTTTTCTTTTATATATTTTGCAGATGACAGTAACTTGGACGAGTGGCTACGACATAAATGAAGCTATTCCATTTGTTGAGTGGGGTATAAAGGGGGAACTTCGAATGCGAGCCCCAGCTGGAACATTGACATTTGATCGTAGCAGCATGTGTGGTATGATTCATTTTTTCTATTTGTGATACCACCACGTTGCATGATCTACTGAGACTTTCTATTTTGATAATGAAATGATTTCACAGTGATGGGATATTGAGGGCTGTTTAGGCCATGTTGCGTACTGAGGTTTTTCTCTTCTTTACCTTTAGGTTCACCTGCTAGGACTGTTGGGTGGCGCGATCCTGGTTTCATACATACAAGTTTCCTGAAGAATTTGTGGCCAAACGTTGTGTATGCATATAAGGATTTATATCCCTTTTTGTTTTTGTGTTTTTGTTTATGAGTTTTGTTAAGTATTGATGATATCTTCTTACTGTTATGATGGTTTTTCAGGTACATCTACAGGATGGGCCATCGTTTAGTTGATGGTTCGTTTATTTGGAGCAAGTTCTTCTCATTCAGATCATCTCCATATCCTGGACAGGACTCCTTACAGCGTGTCATAATATTCGGTGACATGGGGAAGGTACTTTTAATTGTAGTTTTTATTTGCAGATGTCTTTTACTGTTTACATGAGTGGAAGATCCAAGCAGAAAAAGATTTTGAACGATGCCATTTACCAGTTACATAGAAACTTCCATTTGTGAGGTTGCTTGACAACCATTGCTAGGGGTTTTAGGCATAAGTTCCAGCCTTTCTCTACAATGTCATGTGATTAAATGTTATAAAAGGAGTTAGATTACGTTGAGGTTTTGGTATGTGATACATGTTTGCACCTGCATCTTTCAGGGCGAGCGTGATGGTTCAAATGAGTACAGTAATTACCAGCCTGGTGCACTGAACACTACCGATCAAATCATCAGGGATTTGAACAACATTGACATTGTTTTTCATATAGGAGATCTATCATATGCAAATGGGTACATCTCACAGTGGGACCAATTCACATCACAGGTGGAACCCATTGCATCAACTGTGCCATATATGGTTGGCAGGTTTGTGGAATGGTCCTTACATATTTCTGTCAGTTATATAATTATAAATTAGATTTCAGAAATTCCTTTATGATCTCAGTTGAATGAATATTTTTCTTTGATTCCTGCAGTGGTAATCATGAACGTGATTGGCCTGATTCAGGGTCCTTTTATGACCAAAACGATTCAGGTGGAGAATGCGGTGTGCTGGCTGAGACCATGTTCTATGTTCCAGCTGAGAACCGAGCAAAGTTTTGGTAAATTGCATGACTGCATTTCTAGTAATTTAAAGTATTTATACTATGAAGGGTGTGAGACCTGATACACCACATCATTTCAATCCGTTTTTATCAACTGCTTTCTTTGCTTTTCTCTGCAGAGCAGTGTCTTTGTTCTTAAGCTTGTGTGCCACATATTCTAATGAAAATTCTATGAATGTACATACAGGTATTCAACTGATTATGGGATGTTCCGCTTCTGTGTAGCTGACACTGAACATGACTGGAGGGAGGGATCTGAGCAGTACAAGTTCATCGAGAATTGCCTTGCATCTGTGGATAGACAAAAGCAACCTTGGTTGATCTTTTTAGCTCATCGGGTGCTGGGCTATTCCTCCAACTGGTGGTATGGGCAGGAGGGCTCATTTGAAGAGCCAATGGGAAGGGAAAGCTTGCAGAAACTTTGGCAGAAGTACAAGGTAGACATTGCATTTTATGGCCACGTCCACAACTATGAAAGGTCGTGCCCCATCTACCAGGTATCAAATTGTTTAGCCACTTCTAAGTTTAGCTTGAAAATCTTCAGTTCCGGTCTCAATACAAAGTTTTCCAATGACTTCGATTTCATTTCTTTAATCTTTTCGTTGTAGAACCAATGCGTAACGTCAGAAAAATCGCACTTTTCCGGCACATTCAAAGGGACAATCCATGTTGTTGTTGGAGGGGCTGGGAGCCATTTATCTGACTTCAGCCAAGTGAAGCCTAATTGGAGTATATACAGAGATTATGACTACGGATTTGTGAAATTGACCGCATTCAATCACACATCTCTCCTCTTTGAGTACAAGAAAAGCAGCGACAGTAGTGTCCATGATTCCTTCACCATATCAAGGGACTACACAGATGTATTGGCTTGTGTACATGACAGTTGCGAACCAACCACCGCTGCGTCCTAGAATTATAACATTATCTTCAAATTCTTTTCTATTTCATTTGGCAGCTATATATAATGTAATATATGATGCTTGCTTGCTTGTTAGTTCAACTTTGTTGACTATTAGATGTGTTACAAGAGGAATGCAATTATCAATTGGGGTATTATCAAGCCATCAAATCTGAAATAATAAATTTGACCCCGTGTTTCATTTCAACTTTCATTCATGGCACATTCATCTATTCTAGGGGTTCGAACCTTGGTACGAGGTGATGAGCTTACTATCCTAGCCAACTGGTCTAACACACACTCATTTACGGGTATAAGGAAAAAAAATGATTTATTTCAATTCTTAACTTCCCCGCATTTACTAAACAAATAAGGAATCAGAAATACACGTCTCACCATAAAATCAATAATCACTTTCCAATTCCTTATTCCCCAGTCCTAAGTTCCCATAACATGTCTTGAGAACTTCTATACATTGATGATCATCCCACATCATTACGTAGCTCGCATACAGATATTCTTGTTCTCCCATATCAACGGTCTAATTTAAGAGTACAAATAAATTAGAGTAGGCATAAATCAAACCCTACACTCAAGCCATGCAGCTTGCCAATGCAAGTTTTAAAAGCCTTTTGGAGCATATAAACATCACCACGGTGATTACAGGCAATGCGTCTGCGGTATGCTCTGCCTACCTTTACTATCAGAATTATCAACTTATCATCAACCAACCATATCAACGTCAGGTCTGTTTCCTTCATCATCTGGTGTGTTGATTGATGCTACCAAATCATCAATTTTCAGGGGGGACCCCCGAACCATATTCTGAAACATGACCTGCAAGGTTATATTCCAAAGAGATTATCAGTATCAGAAAAGATTATAATAAAATTTTACTGGGCTAATCTTAACATCAAGAAAGAGTGAATTCCACGAGACATTTTTCTACAAACCTTGGAGTAACTATCTGCAAAAGCACGTGCTCGGTTTGACTTTCCAAGGTAATGTAAATCAGCCTTCTCAAGCTTCCCATCCACAACACTCAATCCTCCATCACCAATAGCAAAACGAAGAAGATTTCCAGAATGCAACCCTGACTGAAAATAAAATGAAAAGTTAAAATACAAAGGCGAATAACATCATAGAATGAAGAAAAATAGGAAAAATGCTAAATGTCCTGGCTACCTCTTCACAGAGTTGCAAAGAACCCAGAGGTACCAGCCAGTCAGTTTGTCTGGTCAAGCCCCAAAATGGTTTTACTAGTGGCCTGAGATAGAGCCACACTTTCATCGGAAAACCAAGGGCAACGGCTAATTTGCCATGGTCGTGGCTTTTGAGCATGGGGTTGGTTGGGGAGAGAAAAGAAGAGGGAAAAAATGCTACCATGCAAAAGCTAAGAGAAATTTTTGTTTTCAGTGACAGAACACTAAAATTTGTAATGACTGCAAAAGTAGCACCACTCCCTTAAAAAGTCGTACCACACTTTTAAGCACTACTTGTACTTACTGGGTGCAGATATCCATGTCAATTAGTTGATGTAAAAAATTTCTAGTTTGAAAATTAACTATAAAGCAAACCTTTTGTATGAAGTCCAAATCTAAGCAACTAAATACAACTGGGGGATCATCTGAGGTAGTCACTTTTCCATCATCTTGCAGCTCCAAAACTACCTGATCATATGGAATGAGAGGGAGAGAGAGGGAATGTCTGTGTGTGTCAGCCAATCACAATATATATCTAAGTTGTAATGGAAAATACGTAACATATGTAATGAAAAATACCTGTTGATGGCTTGGAACCTGTCCTTTATTATCTGTGTCGATAACATACTGACTACAGTTCTCATCCTTCCAAACTAATGCCAGTGGTGTATTTCCTGGTTGATAATGAGCATGCCTAGCGAAAAAAAAAATTTAACATAAATCATATGCTAAAGAAGGTTCCAATGGTATAAATCTGAGAACAATGACAGTGAGTCCTCAAACTATCATCTGACCCGACAAGCACAGATGTAGTGATTCACAGTGACAACATAGGGCATATTTCACAGCTCCAACCAACAGATAACCAAGAATCATATATCACCGCTATCAACACTCTCATATCAACAAATTTCAAGTAGTATCAGGAAATGGGCTTACTTGTTATAAAATAAAAGACCATCTTTTACATAAGGTACCCCTCCAGCATATGCAGCATGTAGACCAGACTGATCACAAGTATGTACAGGAACCAAGCTGAACCTATACTTATGATAATGGGAGGGAGGCTCACAAGCCCCCGTCTCAGCCAGCTTAGAATTCAACCAAAAGAACCTAAACTCAGCCGTACAATCATACAAGGAGTAGCCTCTCCAGCACACCATGTCGATTACATAGTAAGTCTGGTCCATCTGCATTCATTTCACAACCAGCTTGACAAATTAACAAACACTTAGAGCGCAATGCAAACAAGTAAACAATCAAATCAAACTTGAATGATAATTGAATTACTTACCTCGTGAAATATACAGTCTAGGATTGAATATGATTGAGCAGAACCCGACCCGTCTCTGGTCCTGGCACCATTGGGTAGAGCAGACGGGAAACGGTGGAGGACGGTGCCGTTTCGTTGCCTACTGATTGTCGTTCCGTCCGATGAAACAACGAAGCATCTCTTCCCAGATGGTCTTGCAAACACATACCTACACTTACCCAAACCCAAAATTACTTATAAAAAAAAGAGAGTAAAATTATTAGAAAATATAAACAAATTTTGACGGTGAAAAGTGAACCAGTCGTGGGGCAAGCGATGAGGGACGTCGATCATCCACTCGGGGAGCATGAGCTGTCTGGCGAACCACTTCCGCGCCTCTGTGCCTCTGAGCTTGGAAGCGTTGCGAAGATCGAATTCGAAGTCGGAGTCGGATTCTTTGGACGATGATCCGAGTTCGAGTTCGAGTTCGGGTTCGGGTTCGGAGGGCTGTTCATGTTCGGGCGGGAGGGAGAGTAGGGTGGAGGCTAGGCGGCGGGCCTGGAGCTGTGCGTCGCGCCGGCCTTGCTCTTGGCGCTTCAACGAGAGCTCTCGGCGCCTCTGCTGGTCTGAGATCGCCGGCCTCTTGTACGCGCGGCGGAGATCGTGCGGCGCCATTTTTGTTGTCGTCTGAAAATTGAATTTTAAGGAGTTGGCGTCCTTTTAACTTTTGATAAACGGTAACGGTGCCTCCAAGCGAATAATAGAAGTACAGGGGCTCAAATGCATTATTAGTATAAGCTTTTAACTCAAAACGGCACAGGTCACGTCGTTTGGTGCTTGTCTTCTCTTCAATCAGAAAGAAGTGGAAGCAAATCCCTGCAGAGAGTCACTGGACCTTTTGCTAAGCCCGCCATTTTCTGAAGTTGAGAAGCTAAGGCATCGATTTCTGAGCTTGACAAGCCATGGAGCAGACGCTGTGGAGCCATTTACCGCTATTGGTTAGGTCCAATTCGAAAGATTCGGTTGAGTACATTCTTCAGGCTCTTTGGAGGACCCGGAAAACCGGTCTGGACCCGGCCGACCGAGACATTATCCGAGATATGCTCCAGCTCCAGAACGAATCGGACCTCGACCCGGTACACTTCTCTCACTCTCACTCTCAATCTCTTGTGTTTTGAATTTCGAATTTCTATGAATTTAGCGCTTTTTATTGGGAATTTGTTGCTGAATTTCATTTGAAGGAATTTTTAAATGTCTGGGTTTTTTTTGGGGGGGGGCAGCTTTTTGTATGCCTTCGCATGTTGATTCGCAGATGCGTTTACGATAACATCGGGAGAGATGAGATTCAGAAGCTGTTTCCCAGTGAGGTCTTACCTGAGTTACAGAGACTGTTGACGCTTTTGTTGCAGAAGTTTCAACGAGAATGGCGGCAAGATGTACTCAAGGACCAGGTTAGAGATATGAACTTTAAGATTTTCCTGCGTTTGTACGTAAACTCATTGATTTACTGGGGGTAGGAAATTAGGCTAATGACATGCTGTATATGTAAACTCAATGATGTAAATAGGGTGCTTTGCCACGGTTAAAGACAATGACATGGGACATGGCGAATTCGGATGCAGAATTCGCCGACCCCGTGGCTGTTATCAACTTGAAGGTACTGGAAAACCAACATAACTTCTTGTGAATGTGGTGTTATTAGTGTATGTGGTGAAAAGATGTCATTTTTATTTGCTTATTGGTCATAACTTATAACTGCTCTCTGTAGCTCCTAAATGATTCACAGTCTCGCTCAAAAGAATCGGAAGTGAAGTTTGAACTAGCTAACGATACTCTAGAAGCAATGCTGAATTCCATGTATAGCATAAGAGACCAGTTGTCAAACGTGGTAAGCATTATGTTTGCAGTTTTCCTTCTTCATTCAGTTTCATGTAGTACAGAAAGCAAATATTTTTCTCTTAGCTTTTTGGGGAATCTTATTGTGCCTTCTCATCTCCTTCTCAGGGTGAGGCATCAAATGACTATTTATCTCAAGATGCAAATATGTTGTAGATAACCCATATCCCCTGGATACAATGGTATGGCTTGGCTCAAATATTTCTTGTGATACCATTTTCGTGACTAAACCTTGCCAGATTAATTGAAAGATGTAAAACTTTTTCTTTTTTTGTGTTGTTTCTGTTGGGGGTTCCAATCTAGCAGTAGCATCTGTGACTCGAGGTTTTTACTTCACCGTGCCCCAAACTTCAGAGAGGGATTGGTGGTTAGTCAGGATTTTAAAAGCATTTAAAACTCAAGAGTTTCTCTCCCAGATGAAGCTTTCTTCCTTCCGTTCGTTATAGTTCAAGAAAAATGCTGTCGAAAGGCATATCATGGTTTATAGAATCCTGGTAGTGAACCACAAAAGCATGTCAGATTTGGCTTATGGAGTTACTCCACCTGCCATTTTTGTTGTCTTAAAAACCTTAATAACTGAATATTTTTTGGAAAAACAGTACCTTGGACAGTAGAGCTGTGCTTTGAAGATTGCTAGTTTAGCTTCTCACTGTTGTTATTGCTGTGATGCAGATTGAGATAAATGGAACTTGTAAGGAGCTTATTTTTTCCCTTGCTTTACGCCGGTGCAGTTGGTAAAAATGATATCTTTATTTGCTATATTTTTTACACACAAAATGTTCAAATGACCCATAGATAAGTGTCCCTTTTTCATTTCCTAGATGTTTCCCAGTGCAGTGTTTGATACAACTTTCAAGTGACGAGAAGTTCTTCGAAGAATCCTTTTGTGGTTGTCTAAAGTTCGATGTCATCCTATTTGTGTCTGCCATGTAAAAAGTTGTCAAAATTGACTTGTTTGAACTTTCAATGGCATGCCTTTTGGACGCGAAAATTGTACGTTATGCTTTGTCTGATCCGATGCAATTCACTTTTGTCTGGAGCTTATTGATTTCCAGGAAAACCTCCCTGATTGATTCTTGGTAACCTTTACGGCAGGTTCTAAATGATATGGCTGAAAGAAACATCATTTTATTATCACAAAATGACAATAAACAAAAAGAATAAATCATTGTTAATTTCTTTCTCTAATGTCATTTACTTTAATTAGTAAAGTTAATATCTCAATCAGGCCTCTAATTTGTCACCTCTGAAACTTGTGGTTGATGGTTTTAGACTTTTTAGTCACGACCCGTGCAGTCTTGGTCCAAGCTTCTTTTTTCCAAGTTTGGCGCTGGTTCCGCGTGAAACTGGAACCATGGCTGCACCCGCACCCATCAAACCGCATCTCTAAGAAAGAAAAATTACCACATCAACATTTTGTAGTATTATTAAATAGTGGAGTTATAAAAATATCTCATAATTGAGGGATAGATTAGGAAATTAAGCTACAAAGTCCTACATCCATAATTAGAGAAACACTTATATGAAACGGGAATGACACTATTTTGATATTCCTAGCCAGTCACGATACACATGGTTTATAAAATAATGCGTTAAAAAGATTTGAGGAATCAAATTCTAAACTTTCTGATTACTTCTAAACAAAGCATGGATTTGGGTTTTGGATTTATGAATTGGAAATCTAACGTGTTAGGTGAGGTAGTTTATTTTTATTTATTTATTATAATCCATGGAAGAAATTTAAAATAAGAAAAATAGAATTGGGGTTCTTCTAGTATTTTTTGGGTCAACTAATTGGAGTTGTAATGCTGTTGACAACTACAAAAGTCACATTCATGATCCAAAGTTCAGCCTTCGACGAATAGATGGGGTTCTTCTAGTAATTTTTTGGGTCAACACATTAATAATGTTTTCTTTTCTTTATTCTCCGTCAGAAAAATAAATCAATTTATTATTTATCTATTTTCAGGAGAAGAATTAAATTCAATAACTTTACAATTTTATGCCCCTGAAATGATTTAATTTGAAAATTCAATCTTATCCAAACTAATTTGAGACAATAAAAAAGAAATATAATCCAATTGAGGTTGTCTCTTTTAACTTTGATCCAATTATTCATAAAGTTACTAAGAACGGATAAAATAAAGTCATTTCATTTTTTCAACATTTGGTTTTTTTTTTTTTTTTTTTTTTTTTTTTTTTTTTTTTTTTTTTTGGTTGGGGGGACTTTCTCTTGTTTCAGTATTTTCTTTTTTTTTGGAGTTGTTATTAACACTATAAAAAAAGTCAACATGCACTCATTGAAGTATAATTTATTAAGTTTAAACGTGTATTGTTTGACAAGTCTTTATAATTTTATTCGAAAATATTTTTACTTACTACTTTAACTCAACGTGTATTATCATTATCATTCTCAACAATTGACACGTGTTCATAGGTCTAATCATAGTTAAGTTTTTACTTTATATTTATGGAACCGTAGTTATACCCATAAATACGTGTCAAATGTTTAGAATGATAGTGTAGTGAGGCTACACTTTGGATTAGAATGATGAGCAAAAATGCTCTCATTTTATTCAAAATGAGTGTTTAAAAGCATACACTCTTATTGATTTTGAATTAGATATCGTGTTTCTTAAAATAATAATAAAAAAACCAAAGTAAGTAGCTCTTGAATTGCATCATCAGCCAAAAAAGGAAAACCTAAATTTTTTTCATTTTTGTGCAATATACATGTGAATGGGGAGAAATTAGGTTGTTATTATAACCATTTTATGGTGTGAATGCGTTATATTTTAATGAAGAAACATTCATGGCACGTTATTTAAAAATGACATTATTCTTTAAAAATTCCTATTATCGTGCAAACCAAAAAGAAAGTATATAGGTTGGATAGTGGGCCCCAGCCCATTTGACCCAATCAAAAATGGGTAAAGAAAGAAACTAAACCGCACGTTAGCATCAGTGCACAGCACCGCAGCCGATCCATTCAAGCACTCCAAGTTCGATAAGGAGGAGTTTCCCGTAAGTCACTCTCCTGTTTCCTGTTCTTTTCTTTTTCCTTGTCCAAAAACCAGCACAACGTAAAGCAGCCGGCCAAAGCAAACAGAGAGTTTGGTCATTTCAGTTGCAGACTGGGGAAAAGAGAGACGAACTGCCCTAAACCCATAGCCAAACACCCCCAAAATCACCAACTCCGCCGTCACCGAATGATCTCCGCCTCCCCTAATTCCAGTTTTGCCAAATCCAAATCCTAATAGGTGCTCCCTTATCCCCACTCCCAAACAACACCTCATCTCCAGCCTAACCCTAGAACCCAAACTCCTCCCAAATGACCACCACGACCACGAGCATAGGGGGTGGCGGCGAGGACCGGGTCCTCGCCACGGCTCAGCAGATCGTCAAGAGCCTCAACACCCCCAAGGAGGTGCGCGAGGACATGCTCTTGATCTTCTCTAGCTTCGATAACCGCTTATCCAACATCACCGATTTGATCAACGGCGAGGATTCGAAGGCCGAAAACGACCGATTCGAGGCCGCCGAGAAGGTGATTTTCCGGTGGGAGTCGAATTCCGAAGCTCACAGAAACTCGGTTCCTTGGGAGGAGTCGCCGGACGAGTCTGGCGAGTATTTATCGGCCGTCGATGAGATCCTCACTCTCATGGAGGGGCTTTCGGTCCGGTCCGATAACGAACTCGTGGACCGGGCCGAAAACGCGCTCCAAATCGCTATGTCCCGGCTCGAGGACGAGTTCCGCCACATTCTGATCCGAAAAACAGTCCCGCTCGACTCAGAGCGGCTTTACGGCTCGATCCGCAGGGTCTCACTGTCGTTCGCGTCAAACGACGGAGAAATCGACGAAGAATTCGAGAGTTTCGGCGAGGAGGACCGAGACGCCGGCCGGTTCCACGAGCGCGGGGGCAGCCTCGGCGATACAGACGTGGATTTAATACATCCCGATGCCGTCGTCGAGCTGAAGGAGATCGCCGAGCGTATGATCCGGTCTGGTTACGAAAAGGAGTGTATTCAGGTGTATAGCAGTGTCAGGCGTGACGCTTTGGACGAGTGTTTAGTGATTCTTGGGGTTGAGAAGCTGAGCATTGAGGAGGTTCAGAAGATTGAGTGGAAGTCTTTGGATGAGAAAATGAAGAAGTGGATACAAGCTGTGAAAATCGGCGTTAGGGTTTTGCTAACCGGAGAAAGGAGGCTTTGTGATCAGATTTTTGAGGGGACTGATGAGACTAGGGAGATTTGCTTCAATGAGACTGCTAAAGGGTGTATTATGCAGCTGTTGAATTTTGGACAGGCGGTAGCCATTGGTCGAAGGTCGCCGGAGAAGTTGTTTCGGATACTTGACATGTATGATGCCATGGCCGATGTGTTGCCGGACTTGCAGCAAATGGTGACTGATGAATATGTGGTTATTGAGGCCAGGGGAGTGTTGGATGAGCTTGGTGATGCAGCCAAAGGGACCTTTGCAGAGTTTGAGAATGCGGTTCAGAGCGAGGCCAGTAAGAAACCAATGCTAAGCGGTGAGATTCATCCGCTTACTCGGTATGTCATGAACTATGTTAGATTGTTGGTTGATTATAGTCATACTCTCAACTCGCTTTTGGATACTGGTGAAGAAGAGTTACAAAGGTTGCAAGGGTTGCCAAATGATGATTTGGGTATAGAAAGCATGTCCCCGATAGGCCATAGGTTGTTGTTGTTGATTTCGAATTTGGAGTCCAATCTTGAGGAGAAGTCTAGGGTTTATGATGATGGCGCAATGCAGTGTGTGTTTTTGATGAATAACATTCTGTACATAGTGCAGAAAGTGAAGGATTCTGAGATTAGAAAGCTCTTGGGAGATCAATGGGTTCGCAAGCGCCGTGGCCAGGTACGCCAGTATGCTACTGGATATCTTAGAGCTGCTTGGAGTAAGGCCTTGTCTTGTTTGAAAGATGAAGGAATTGGTGGGAGCACGAGTAATGCTTCAAAGATGGCTTTGAAGGAGAGGTTTAAGAATTTCAATGCAAACTTTGAAGAAATCTATAGGATCCAGACAGCTTGGAAGGTCCCCGATGCTCAACTTCGGGAGGAGCTTCGGATATCTATTTCAGAGAAGGTGATTCCGGCTTACAGATCGTTTATGGGGAGGTTTGGGAGTCAGCTAGAGAGTGGAAGGCATGCTGGGAAGTATATAAAGTATACAGCAGATGATTTGGAAGGCTATGTGTTGGATTTGTTTGAGGGGACTCCAGGTGTTCTGCACCATCTGAGAAGAAAAAGTACATAGAATACAGGTAAACCCTTTGCTTTTATCAAGGACTAGTTGGAAGTTGGAACAGAGTTCTAATGTTGAAAAAGAAAAAAAAAGAATGTAGCTTGATGATGATACCTATTTATTCTGCTGGTGTTAATGTTATAAACACAGGTTTTTGTGAAAGCTATTTTCCAACCCCTCCTATCTTTTGCTGTAATGATTTTTGTACATGTTTTTATAGACTTCAGTTTTTTGTATGCTTGGATTTTTTTCATGGTTCATGTATTTGATTGCCATGATTGCCAGCGACATTTGTATGTTATCTGCGTGCGGAAGAAGAACTAAAACCGTCACTGTAAAACATTAAATTTGATATACACAAAGATTCAGAAACATGTATCATTACAGTTTTAAATTTATTTTCCCCTCTAAACATGAGTGACAATTGCTTGTGCATGAACTGAGAAATTGCTCGAGGGTTTGAATGGTTTTCTACCAAGTTATCAATCTTTCAAACCCTTTTTACTTTTAAGAAAAAAATTAACAAACAGAAGGGTTTTTTTGGGGCAATAATTAACTTTGGTATTGCAATTTCCTCATCTTTTAATGAGTTTTTGGAATTGTATGGATCCACTGTTAGGAATTAGGTATCACGTAATTCACTTATAAATTTCCAAGATTGATACTTGACGCTGTGGCAAGAGTAGCAATTTCCTTGCTGCTGAATTAGCATACCCTTCTAGCTCATCTAATTTTCTTTGAGAAATGATGAACTTATTTACAGGATCATTGAAGCCATCGCTGGATGAAGTGGAAGTTTTTGAGAATGTGTGTTAAGAAATCGACTATCGATTGTTTGCGCAGACAATGACAGTTTACAATCTAGGGTTAGCAAATTGGTGAAAGGTCAGATGCAATGATAACCAAGATGTCAATGATTTTTCTCTGTAGGGAAATGATTCGATTCAAGCTTAGGTAGACACCGACAAAAAGACAGCCAAGAAGAGAGAGAAAAATTACAAATTTAGTGCAAATGGCCATTTTTGCTGTTAGTGTTCAGTGGCAACTGCTTGTGTGATGGCAAATTTTCCCATCTTGGTTTTCATGTAGCATGAAGTTGGAAACATTGCTGGTTTTTGGATTTTGCTCTATTTGGCTTCTGCAAGGCATTATTTCATCTGTAGTGTAGAGTGAGTTTTCAGTTTTCTAGTATCAAAGGGCAAAGGAGAGAATTAAAAATAAACACTGGAAAAAAAATGCATTAAAAAAATGTTTCTAGTAGTCTTCCGTGTCCTTAAAAATGCTCTATTACCACTGAGCTAGGGATCCGTTGGCGTATTCGCCTGTTTCAATCTCTAATTTGTTGCACATGACAGAAAACCCTCTATTGAACCACTTGATATGTCTTGACGTTTGCAAGCACAATGAAGATGGAAACGACACACATGGGACGTAACATGATGTTTCAGAGGGTAGAGTGTCCATCCATTCAAATTCAATCAATTATTTGGCTTAGGTGGATGATGAGAGAGATGGCTCGATAGCAAAAGTCCTACAGGAAACAAAAACAACACCGTTTTCAATTCCCAACTGATTGGAACAGTGAACCCCACTTGCTATGTTGCAAGTGCAAACAACAAACGTGCCATGTCCGAGAGAAGGAACTATCATGGGTATAGCAAACACTAATTATTATACATAGTGGAATGTGATTGAGACATACCCGTTTATCTCCATGGACCTGAAATTGGCGGCTTCTAATAGCGTTTAATATATCAGCACTTAAAAAGCCTTGGTGTTTAGTTTGTGTTTATGCGTCCATGCAACATTGAGAGAAGTTTCAACTTTTATTTCTAGGCAATACAAGAGAAGTTGGGCTTCTTGCTTGGAAACATAGACAAAAGTCCAAACTCGGCTGATTCGTTTTCATACCAGAAAGTTGCGAACTGCGAGCCAGCAGTGACAATGGCATATCTCAGCACTAGGCACTCGATTATTAGATTGTTACTGCAAAAAAGCTCTCTTGGAGGAGAGCTTGTGGATACAACATTTATACAGAAAGCTAAACCCTGTCAAACCGAAGAAAAACTAATTACAAGCAAGGGGCAAAACAAAACAATACAAGATAGAGTTACTCATTTGGTTTTGTGGAAAGGTCAGAAGTGTTGTTCTTGATGACTTCTTCTCTTAAACTCTGCTGTTTTGGGGGAGCGGCAGAACACCATCGAAAAAGTCGCCGAAGTAGCCACGGGGCTCATGAACTAGCCTTGAGATGATGTCCCTGAGTGTAATGACTCCTTCCAGATTCCCATCATCATCCACAACATATACCCTGTGGATCTTCTCGGAATCCAGCATCAGAATTAGGTCTTTGATTGTGTGATCCTTTTTGCACGTAACCATGGTACTCAACATCGGGTAGACTTCATGATGCGTCTCTAGATACTTTTCAACAGCCGTCAGGAAGTTCTTTGCCGTGATCGATCTGTCATAAAATGTCAAATAAATGATCCCGGCATACATAGCAACTAAACTTCTTTATGAATAATTCTGAACACATTTTCGCTACGAACCTGTAGTCATGGTAAATTTCTGGTGCAGTAAGCAAGAACTGAACATCTCTTAAGCTTATATTACCTACTGCCCTGCTACCACCCTTTTCAATCACAGGTACCCCTCCAACCCTCTTCTTCCTCATCAGCTTAAATGCTTGCAGAACCGGTTCATCCTCATATACCTGCACCAGAACATTAAAGCATTTAAAGAAATGACAAGAAGTAAACATGCTAACAGGAAGTGATCGTGTTTGAAAGAGAGAATTCTAATGAATCATCAAAAACTTCTGGAAACATAGAGAGGCTAGAAGAAGCAACTGTCTAATACAACAACTTCAACTTCTCGAGGGTTATTGTTCTCTTGTGCACCCAGCCTTACTAAATTCTCTGACTATTTAAATTATCTGGGAAGACCAAATGCTGCAAGCGTAAAAAGTATGCACCTTGACAATGTGATCGGCAGTCATCATGGGAAGACCGAGTTCGGATAGTTTCTTGGTTCCCCAGCTCTCAAACCACTGAAGTCCGGCACATTCAGCCAACATGTGAATCACCGCAGATTGTGTGATGACATTATCAATCTTTCCATCACCCAAATCAACCACAGGAACGCTCTTCATCTTGTACTTGGAAAGTAGCAAAAGCATGGTGAGAAAGGAATTGGATGTTTGCAAAGCAAGAAATGGAGCCCAGCGGAAGGAACCAGAGATATCTCGAACCTGTAAGCTCAAACGTTAATACATATCTTGGGAATTGGGAATGAAAGTAAGGCTTATGCTACTGAGGCTGATGTTTATGCCAATAGTATGACCTGTGTATTCTTGTAAAACTCAGAAGAGGTCAAAGCCTCAAAGAAACTTCCTGCAGTTGTTGCAGCAAAGTCAGAGCCCAATTCCAATCCTGCAATATCAAGACCTTTTAGTCCATTAGCTGCTGCGGCAATTGCGGTTGCACTCGATGGACTGGTCGGCGTCCTCGGAGATGGAGGTTCTGACTGTCAAGATTAACATAAACATCATGTTTTCAACTTGTCAAATATGACTTTGTGGGCACATGAGAAAAGAAAATGCATTTATAGTGACAGGAGCAAATGTTTCAATGCAGGAGCTTCGAACCACAAGCTAACCTGATGCAGAATCCACACAACAATCCCGGCAAACTCAACGATACCGATGTATCTGTCGATCCAGCTAGCATCCTCAGGCGCATCGACATCCACCACTGGTGCACTAAGAATTTTGTGTTGGGACAGGATTTTAACAGCTTCAGCTAAACTGGTGTCTGACTTTATCTCAATCACTGAATACAACAAACGTTTAAAATGTTAATAATCCAATAAACATTAGATACACACAATCAATCATAGTTGTTATGAGGCAAACAAAAAGGTTTTTAATTTCCAATCCTCAATACAATAATTCAGATTTTCCAGAACCTTCATCAAATTCCAACAGAAAATGATTTGTCCTACTTTTCTTTATTAATTATTTGTTTTCTTCTTCTAATTACATTCATAATCATCAAATTCTTATTAACTAATCATTTGTTCATCACCATATGCACATATAACAAAAAATTTAACATGATCCACTTTCTATAAATGTTATCTGCCAAGAAAACGTTACCCAACAAGCATATGCATAAATCAATCAAACCCAAATGTGAAAATCTATGTATGTATGCATGTATGTATTGTAATTTTGTATATGTATGTATGTATGTATGTATGTAAAGATGGTACCTTGATTAGGAGGAGCAGGAGGGAAGGCAGAGACAGGGACGCTCTCAAAGCAAGCATTGAGCTTTTCAGTTGGACTTAGCTGTGGCTCTTGCACGTCCCACAAATCCTCTACTTGCATCCCAAGCTTTGCCTCTGGGCTCCGAGGGCTCTCACTCTCCCCCATCGTCGTCGTCGCCGGCACACCCATTTTTTTTCTCAACGAACACAAATTACAATTTTCTTTCTCTTTCTCTCTTTCTCTCTCTCTAGAACTCTCTCTCTCTGTTACTGAGAATCAGACACACAGACAATATTTAACTACGAAAACTGAAAGCCACGCCAAATACGTCCAAACTAACCAAATATCGTACCCATCACTCTTCTCATCGCGCAAAATAAATCAGGAGCGTCGGATTAAACACTTTTAGTGAGAGGGAGTGTTTTGGGACACGTGGAGGGCTGTGATGATGAGATTGCATAGTTCGTGATTGACTCGGGCTTCAATAAACGAGGTGCTGGCTTTGGTAATGTATATCCCATTCGCTTGATTGTTTTAGGGAAAGTTCTTATCCGGTTTTCAATGCTGGCCACACTGGTGGGCGACTCTACCTTACGCCGTAGCGCACTTTGCGCACCTGGGTTTGAGGACAAACTGGTGACGTGGACGTTATGCGGGACACGTGGTTGCTGTTTACATGAGTGTAGCTTTTTTGTTGACCGTTGACGGCTACTAGGTGATGAGTGGGCGAGCGTTGACGTACTTGACTCGTACGGATCTATTGGGCCTTGTACGGTTTTTGGGTAAATTTTGGATAGGGCTAAACCGCTAGTACGGATCTATTGGGCCGTGACTCATACAGTCAGGCTTTGAGCTGGCCCAACTTGACTCGTTGATGACCCAGGCCTTCGTTCCGGGTCATCACAGCCCTAGCCTTTTTTTCTTTTTCTTTTTTTGGAACAGCCCTAGCCATTGTGCAGTTCAATTTTTCTATAACACGGGATTGTACCGCACATCAATGGTAAAAACAAATAAAAATTAACTAGCTATTAGTCTAGTGATATTTTTCATTTCAACCCAGCATTATAAGTCGGAATACAATGATAAACCACAACACACTGAATAATAAAATGGTACAAAACAGCCCTCAACATTGTAATTCAATTCTTGTTTTTCAAAAAGGAACATTACAATTGATCCATTTTCACAATTCTAATTTCTTAAAATATATACATGTGACTGAATTATTGATCATATTTATATATCTATTTTTCGAGTTAAAAATTTAGGCCCTATTTGGTATCCTATTTTAAAAAGTAAATTAAAAAATTATGGTTCTTTTTTAAAACATAAGTTTTCAAATAATGATTTTAAGATCTAAAAATTTGTTTGATATTTAACTTCAAACTATTTTTAAGAGGTTTTTGTGACTTTAGACTTAAAATCTATTGTTAAGGTTTATAAAATTAAATCCAAGTAGGATACCAAAAAGCCCTTAAAAACCCTTATGAGTTATTTTTCCTCCCAAGATGTACCGCCAAATTACTACAAGGGCGGGCCCCACTCCCGAATATAGCGAAACTGAGTGAGTACGGTCACGAATCTAAGTCTTAAAGCGCACACACGCGGCCAAGACTGTCACAGACTCACAAACCAGTTTGATTTGACTCCCTCCCTCGCTTTACCTTTGTGAATAGTTACCGAGGCTTCTTCACCCGCCATGGAGGGCTCCTCTTCTCAGCCCTCTGATTCAAATCAGACGGCTTCTGGCGCTTTTAAGTTCCTCCAGAACCTTCCCTCTCGCGGCCTCCTCTCCTCCACCTTCCTCTCATCAAATCCGGTGACCCTCTCGTTTCCTTTCCTTTTTTCTCGCTTTTTTTTTTTGTTGGGTTGCCGATATATTGTGGGAAAGTGTTGAATTCATCGGTTTGTGATTTTACAGATAGGGTTTGGTGGCAGTTAACATGGTTTTGATGTAAACCGAGACTGAAAATGAGCATTTGGGTTATAGTTTTGTTAGGGTTTTACACTTGTTAGGAATTGAATTCAAAAATATAGACTTCAATTTTGATTTTCTTTTTTATCGATTTTTAAAGGTTGGTTTGGGTTCAGATGAATTGTATAATTTGTATTTGCATTTTTATGTAGTCGATTGTGAGTAAACTTGGTGTAATTTTATAATTCAGGAACAAAAATAGTGGCTTGTACTTGAATTAGTCATTGGGTTTTAAATTTTACATGGGGAAGTAGATTTAAGTTGACCCTTTTTATTGCATATGTGGAAAAATTGTATTTTGATTTGGGAAATGTGCCAATTCGCCTGTTGTATACATGGTACAACTTTTGATTCAAATTGCATCAATGCACATTGTATGTGGTTGTGCGAGCATGGATCATGTATATATCATTATACATGTGACTACTTTTGATTCAAATTGCATCAATGCACATTGTATGTGGTTGTGCGAGCATGGATCATGTATATATCATTATACATGTGACTGCTTCATTTTTTTTCTCAATTACATCATAGTCTGTTTCTTTTCCGTAGAATGGAGAGCATTATAGGTAGGCTGGGTTAGCTACTACTGATAACAATAACTTACCAATGCCGGAAGTAGTATTAAAAATTTGAAAGTTATAGGTGGTTGTTATAATTTTCTGTATCTAGCTTTGCTCTCTAATATGAGAAGTCAGTTCGATCAAGCCTGTGTTTCAAGAAACAAATTCTCTGTGATGCATTTCTTATTGTGTTTCACTCATTTGGATACCGACAAGCCACAAGTGCTTTTAGAAATTAATGAATGATTTGAGCATATATGTGGACAAATGATCTTCTTGTCTGCTTCATTTCTGTTCTTTTGCTTAATTATGAAAAGCTTTTGCAGGGTGGGATGCGCGTGTATGTTTGTGTCCGTGACACATCACCCCCAGGTTTACATGTGCCTTTAAGTTTTTGAAAATTCATTTATTTTGCTCCAAAACAATAAATGCGAGACTAGCACTCTATATTCAGTTTATTCCACTTTTGACCTGACAACTTGCTCTTGTTTGTCCAGAGGATCAACATATACAGACAAACCAACAAAACATATTGATTAGATCACTTACGCTTAAGAAACAGAAGGGAGAATCCAGTTCAAAGGATGTGAAGGGTGCAGGTGCAGCTGAAGGTTCTAGGAAGAGGTATGACTTCCTTTTCCTTTTGGGATGAATGATGTATGGATTTTCTTGACAAGATCCACTTCTGTGTTTGTGTTCCAATGACCAAATTATTGTGAGGGTTTAGTTGTAGGCTTCAGGTCATAGACTGTTGTTACTAGACAATGTCTGTTACCAACTTACCATTCCTTCTTTTATAGTTTTTTTATTACTCATATGTGTATTTATCATTGTATTCAGTCTTAACTGGACCTGGTAAAGAAGATTGTGCGCAGTCTCATTTACCTTCTATCTTTTATCATTTAGGGTTGCTGAAAGAGTTTTGGAGAGCAGAACTTCAGCTAAGAGAGCCGCTAGTCAAAGTAGTTCTCGACAAGGTAAGTTTCTATAATTTTTATATTGCAGTGGCTATTGCACAAACAGCACTCATTTGTAAGTGTATTGGTGTGATGGTCCCTTGAAGTCTATATTTAATGCTTCAACTTTAATGTTTCTATTTGCTGGTGACCAAATAAAAAACTTTAATGTGTCTTGTTCATAATTTTATTATCTTGTAAAGCCCTAACCTTGAAATTTTATCAAGTTTATTGCTTGTGAACGGTGGGAATTTATCATATGGGAATTTATGGCCAATTGCATGGTTGTATGGTTTCATCGTGGTTTGAGATGATGACTAATCAAACTGATTGTTGTGGAGCAGGGATTTTTATTTTAATGCAATTCTTGTACAGTTTTGACTCCAAAGGTTCTGCCGTCTTATTACTTGTTCTGTGCACAATGTGAAATCATAATACTGATTGAATTTTGGTTGCTTGTGTTGACATCTTTGATTTAGTTATTGCATTCTATAGATGGAGTTGTATCTGTAATTTCTATGTAAAGTGGGTCGAGCTGTTCATTCTTCATTGGAGGACCCTATGATTCTTAAATTGAAGCGCTTTTTTCTTATTATCTGTTGGACATGCTTAATTATTTTGAATTTCCCACAAAATGAATGATATTTATTAATCTTATTTGAGTTTGTAATTGCTGTAACATGCAGAGGGATCAGGCAGCAGTCAAGCATCTAGTAGGGACTTCCAGGGGTTAACTGTAGAGAGGCTCCGTGCCCTTCTGAAGGCTAAAGGTCTTTCTTTAAAGGGAAAGAAGGCAAGTATCAAGACAATCTAATCTCAACTCCTATGTATATACTTAAAGGACCTATTTATATATGAACCAAATTGGGTTGTTTATGGTGTGTGGACCATTGGCAATTCAGATACGATAGCTTTATTATTTTTGTTTTAGTTGTTATTAGCAGAGACAAAACCTTCATCTGACTTTATTCATCCATGAAATAATGCTTGCAGGATGAGTTGATTGCACGACTGAAAAGCTCTAGTTGATCGTAGTTCAGACAGTGGGATATCAATTTCTGTTTTCTGTATGTGTACTCTTCTAGGGGAAGGAAAGTGGTTTGCTTTTATATATATATATAATTTATATTTGTAACTTAGGAATGATGTAAGCTGGAATTATCGATCATTTAAAATGACAATGACAAGCTTAGAGACTGAGAAATGCATTTTGTATCATCATGTTCTATAAATTTTTTGGTCAGGACATCGTGTTCTATAAATTACATTTGGCTTATTTTATAACATAACTTCCCAATATAATGAACTGCATACATGTTCTTATTCATTAGAAGTTAAAACAGTAACTGGTGTGGAATTCATCTTTTCAGTCAGTGGTGAAAGCTAGAGATGCTTTGCTTCCTTCAGGGGCTGCATGGGAATTGGGGGAGTTTTTAGCAACGAATCTGGCTATGGTGTCAAGCTGCTGCTAATGAAAATGTTGAAGCATTTTGCCAAAATCTTGAGAAAGGAGTGTGCTCAGCAGTTTAGAGGGTGTAAATAAAAGCACTAAAAAAGAAATAAGAGAGAGCAGAGAGGACAAATTTTGTGAGATACGCAATCTAGCCCTATGGGCCCAGAGCCCATAACCCAAACTAGTTGACAAGATGCAATTGGTCCCAGAACGGAGTAGTTGCAAACAAACTGTATTATCACAATAGGGTTATATATACAAGGGGTCCAGAAAGCTTCTCTTTACAAATATGGACTTAAATATACATAAAACTATAATATAAAAGAATACATAAAACTATGCTTCAAAGTTACAGTACTCCCAACTTGTCGTCACTTACCTAGATGGATTCAATTCAAACTTTCCTCAAACCCAAAAAATAAAAAGAAAGACCACGGGGGGAGGGGGAGAGGGAGAGAAGAATCGACATTTTGTCTTTATTAGTATTATCACATTGCCGTGAGCTAAATCGAACTCGAGTGTAGAAGAGTAGATACTCTGTGAAAACTAAGCGACTTAATTCACATTTGCAATGTGTGAAAAAGTTGTGAGTGAGCCGTTAATTTACATAAAACTTATCAAACCATGTGCATCAATGATTGGTGTTTCGCATCTTGGACGGTGCAGCAGCACACTGCAGAGGTCCCTTTATATTTGAACTGGTTCACTATCATTTCTGATCAGAGAATTTGACTTATGGGAAGCTCCAAGTTGTAAACATGGTTTCGATTTTTTAAACTAAGTCTAAGTGGACCCTACTTGAGGCTTGTCCTCATTCGGGAAACGGGCGCCGTATTGATGATATTGAAGGAAAATGATTGGATGCTGTCACGCTATTACTTGATGATTGGTCACTTTTATTGTCATGAAGAGAAGATAAGAGAAGAGAAGAGAAGAGAGGAGGCTGACAAATGTGTCGATATCTTTACCCACAAAGAGGAACAGCTTCAAAGCTAGTTTCCTACCAAACAAAATGAAGAGCTGGCTCACACATGACCATATGCCCTATTATTATATCCCAAATCGGTTGAAGAGTTTAGTTTTTTTATTACGTATTATTGGAGATGCTCACTGAATTTTAATTTCTAATGACTATGTATAAAGTTATAATAGATTTTAACTGGACGGTGTGTATTACTCAAATAATTTGAGATAGACAAGTCCCGCCTCAAATGGTCGTGATCTTATATTACCCATTAATTATTTGGTAGTTGTCGGTTGATTCTTTTTTCTCTTGTGTCGGCTTCAAATAAGAACCTTGATTATGAGCCGTTTTAAAAATATCTGAATTTGAAGGTCATCATTCTTAATTCAAATACAAGTTTGGCTTGGACCTGGAAAATCTTTGTTGATGTTGTCTTATTACCTAATGGTATATGTGATGCTGAGAAAGTAAACCAAATAAGATAAGGCACGTCTGAAATGAACGGTTGCTAATAGTTCTCCAAGTGCTAGTTCCACTTGGGGAAACAAAAACGTGCCTAATAATTTCCACGTGGGTTTTTTTAAAATATATTTCGGCAGAGAATAAAGCCACGTTTAATAATAGGTAGCCCAGTTGTTTTTTTATTTTCTTCTTCTTCTTCTTCTTTTCCATTTGAATTGATACTTTATACGAAGTCAAAACTCAGAATTTCATGGAGAATTTCGAGTCTGTGTATGAAAGGTGGAGACTCAAAATCTTTGAGACTACTTTGAATATTGATTTGATGATATTATAGTAAAGTAAATACCAAAGCTGTGATTACCATATTAATTATTGTGTAGCACGTCCTTTGCTAATTTAATTACTCAAATTAAGGTCAAACTCTGGTGATTACTATAAGTATATCTCACAGCCAATGCTATGAAGAGCTTCTACATATCATATATGCATGGTCATTCACTGCCCCCACCTCCAAAAATCAACTCTATAAAATTACGAAATTCATGTAATTCTTGTACGTATTTCAGATTCTCTGTTCACTTTTCTATATTACTCTTTACATCACAATCATCAAAAAACTTCATAATTATGATAAACTATTGAGTTCCGAACCTCTACATTTGAAGAGCATACCTGAGTCTTGAAAATATTTTTACTTTTTTCGTCATATTCTTCGTACGATCATATCAACTAATACATGAGACATCTAATACTATATATTTCTTTGTGTATTTTACTATTAGAGTACGTACACAGGTGTGAAAACCATTGGGTTTTTAAAATGGTCATATTGAAATAGGCTCTTACAATTTGAAAACCTTAGACAATAAACCCACAAAAAATACAACTTCTAAATAAAATTCAATTTTTTTAATTGGATATAAATGTGTCTGTGTAATTTCACTTACTTATATGAGACAATCCAAATTAGTTCAAATACTCCCCTTCAAACCTCCTCTAGGTCGTGTAAATAGTAGGTATACACACAAATAGATAAATGGTTGTTAGTACATTATAATAATAACCTAATATGACATATGTGCATTATTCCATAATAGGTAACTAATTATTTACATTGTCGTATGATATAGGAAGGTTACTGGATACATTATTGAATAATGAATTCAAAACAATACCAACTCTAACACCATGTTAAATGTTTTTTTATATAAAAATAATCGAGAGGTTATTTAAAGAAAAAAAAATCAAAAAAAAAATCTAAAATATCAAGTGTTTTTTAACAAAACTTGATTAGTTGGATCTTAGTAATCGGATTTAAATAACAAAAAATAAATACGATATGTTTTAGGTATTAAAAAAAGAGTTTTAAGGGAAAACCCTAAATTTTTTATTTCTTAAAAAACGACTTATTATTATTGTTGCACATTTTATACAAGTTGAGTAGAGACGGCTTTCACCATCTCAAGATGTAGACCCTATAGCTACGCTTGAGTGGAGACCTCACAAATTTATGACAATAAACTATTAAAAGTCCACACCTACGCATATCTCTATATATAATACCCCACTTCTTGACCCTCATCCTTCATACTCAAAAACTCTCATTTCCAAACCAAAGTTTTCTCATCACGGCAGCCATGTTTATCACTCTCCTCTTACTTTGGTCCCTACTTTTGTTCCTTCTCTACTTCTTGAAAACCATCCGAAAATCTCATACAAAATTACCCAAATCACCTTTGATCAATTCTCATGGCCCTCCTTCCTATCCCATAATTGGTTGCCTAATCTCATTCTACAAGAACCAGCACAACCTTCTTGATTGGTACACCAGTCTTCTCTCAAACTCGCCGTCACAAACCATAGTCGTGCACCGAATAGGTGCACGCCGTACCATTGTGACAGCGAATCCATCCAACGTGGAGCACGTTCTCAAAACAAACTTCACAAACTTCCCTAAAGGCAAACCGCTAACTGAATTCCTCGGCGATCTTCTTGGCTGCGGCATATTCAACGTCGACGGCGATTTGTGGTCCACTCAGCGCAAGCTCGCGAGCCACGAGTTCAGCACAAAGTCACTGAGAGAGTTTGTGGTGAAGACTCTTGAAGAAGAAGTGGAGCACCGACTTATCCCACTGCTTGAGGAAGCTGCAGAGAGCAAAAGTGTGTTGGATTTACAGGAGATATTGAGGAGGTTTGCTTTTGACACCGTGTGCAAGGTGTCTCTGGGATCCGACCCATTTTGCTTGGACTTGACCCGACCCGTGCCCCCTCTTGTGGAAGCTTTTGACTGTGCTTCCGGGATAAGTGCCAGGCGTGCCACGGCTCCTTTGTATTTGATGTGGAAGGTGAAGCGTGCTTTGAACATTGGGTCTGAAAACAAGCTCAAGGAAGCTGTTAAACTCGTTCATGGCTCTGTTCATGGTATGAAATTTCCATAATATTCTGATTTTTATTTATTTATTAGAACAAAAAAAGATTGTTCATGGTTCTAGATATCAATTTATCTGTATTGTCAATATTTTATCAATTTTTAATACGTATTGACAACATACTAGATACTGTAGATTGTCAATCTATACGTCGCTTTAGGTTTCTTTGGCCATTGATAGTTAATTCTTTGATTTGATTTTGTTGCAGAAATCATCCAAAACAAAAAGAAGATTCTTGAAAAAGATGAAGGATGTGAAAGCCATGACATGTTGTCACGCTTGTTATTAGCAGGGCATGGCGAGGAAGTGGTAAGAGACATGGTGATAAGCTTCATACTAGCTGGACGAGACACCACATCAGCAGCCATGACTTGGCTCTTTTGGTTGCTCAGCAAGCATCCAAGCATAAACCACCAGATTGTGAATGAAGTTGAAAACGTACTAGGACAAAACACTAGTACTGAAAAATTAGGTTTCGAGGATTTACAAAAAATGAGGTTTTTGAGGGCTTGTTTGTGTGAGTCTATGAGGCTCTACCCACCAGTCCCATGGGACTCAAAGCATGCTGAGGTGGACACTGTTTTGCCAGATGGTACCTGGGTTGGGAAGGGGGATAGAGTCACTTATTTTCCATATGGGATGGGGAGGATGGAGGAGTTGTGGGGCGAAGACCGGTTCGAGTTTAACCCAGACCGGTGGTTTGATATAGAACATGGTTGTGATGATGGTGGGGTTTTGAAATCCATCAGTCCATACAAGTTTCCAGTTTTTCAGGCCGGTCCAAGGGTATGTCTTGGCAAGGAAATGGCTTTTATTCAGATGAAGTATGTGATGGCGTCGGTATTGAGGCGGTTTGAGATCAAACCGGTTTATGAGAAAGAACAACCGATTTTTGTTCCTCTATTGACGGCTCACATGGCTGGTGGGTTGAAGGTCTTGGTTCGAAAAAGAAATTAGAATTGCAATACAAAAATTTCTATGTAAACTCATTTAGTCAATCAATATTTGTGGACATTTGTACTTCTTTTGTTAGCTTTTGTTTTTTTTCATTAACGATGGAATTCAAACTTGAGACGTCTTCTTTTGTTAGTTAAATTTGTTGAAATACAAAATCACGTCTTTGAAAAATAATAGTTATAACAAGATAAATTTGACATAAATGGTTCGTTTTAAGAAGTGACACGAGTTTAACTTGCTTTTGCAATTCAAATAAACTCAAGTCAAAACTTATACAATTGAGCTAAAGCCCCACACACTGTAAATCAATTTGACATATGCAAACTAAAGATCAAAGATTCCAGTAGGTTTAGGTTAAATTCCGGCACGTTGAACAACTTGAATTTCACCTAATCTTGATCGAATTTGATACCAAAAGAGAGAAAAGAAAGAAAGAAAGGAATAAAAAGAAAAGAAAAGAAAAATAAAAACGCGTATGAATAAAGCGGCATACATGTGGAGTGTCACAAGTGTGGCTCCCAAACTAGGCTGCATGTAACTAATAATGTAAGTAGAAGTCTAGCAGACTAGACAGCATACACGTGCATGTGGAGGAGCTCCGTTCAAATGTATTTGCAGCTACAATACAACGTGCTTTCTTTGTTTCAGAAGAATATACCAATCTGAACTGGTTTTCTTTTTAACCTTTTACCCCCTGACCCTGCAATTCAATTCATACAAAGGGGACGTAGTACAAGGTACAAACCCCCATTTACATGAAGCGAAAATTCTACAGTGGAGTTTTCCAGGATCCATGTTCACCTCATTTTCAGCAAGCAGAACTTTAGATGGCCACAAAAACCCATGTGGAATCCTTAGAGAGCGACGAGTTTACAACATTTTCAATAGATTTCACCTGCCTGGACAATGCAAATGGGTAGGTGCCACGTGTAATTCATCTTCGGGAGTTCTATCAACATTCCTTGTTGATGAATGATTGACCGTCCTCCATTGATATCAAGGAAACTTCCCAGGCCATGTTTGAGTCTGATTGATTTGACGTCGAGTGCGATGTGTATGCATATGTAAGTGATTTGATGGAAGTTTTAATAGATTTTACATCTATTAATGGCATGTTTATTGAACCGTTATTGAATTATGATGAATTGAATTGAGGGGTAGTTGAATTGAGGATAATTATATTCCGAATTCCTATTGAAGTTGTTTACTAAACCATATGGATTGAAGAGGGTTAGATTCTAGATTCTTATTGGAGTTGTTTACTAAATCATATGGAATTGAGGTAGAAGTGGTTCTAATTACTAAAATGTGCTTGTTGTTAGGTTAAAGTAAATGACAAATTTGGAATTTTTAAAATTGTATAAGCATATAATGAGTAAAAAAAGATGAATTCCTAATGGGTTAGCCCTATTAACTTTTAATTTTTTGATGTGAAGTAAATGCATGAATTTTTCATAGGTGAAATTTAATTCATAATGAGAATTTCAATTTCTGATTAGTAAACACACCATAATAGTTGAAAGTTCCAGTCTGTCCACCCTCTTCGCCTAAGTTTGAATTCCCTTTCCATAAATTAGAATAGTAATTTAGAATATCGTATTATTAAAAAGAACAAATACAGCAATTGCACACGTGAAAGTTAGGGCACGTTTTTTGGGGGTCAATAATTAGAAGCGGATTCCATTCTTGTACCATAAAGCAAATCCCACTCAACCTTCTGAAATGTACATGACATCTGACCGACGGGGCTGTTACCGTATGTGTGCATTGTTTGGCATGTAAAGTCAAGCCAATGCTGGGGGACACACAACGTCAAAATTATGGGCATCCAAGAGCAGATGGGTTGGGATGAAGATTTTGCATAAAGTTTTTTTTTTTTTTTTTTTTTTTTTTTTTTTTTTTTTTTTTTTTATGGAATGGAAGACTACATATAGAATAACAAAAAACACCACCCTCAACCCATGTGTTTCAAGTCTTTCAGCCATATCACAAGAAAAAGGTCTACAAGTCCAGACACTCAGCATCACCAAGCAAAATTCAGGCAAAGAAACAATATTATGTTTTCCATTAATAAAAAAGAAAAATATATATATGTATATATATATATATATATTTTTCTTTCCACAGGTGGTCGTATATCATCATAAATCTAATACAATTAAGAAGAATTTCTACTAGAAAGCTACTCAACGTACGCTTTCTGTCTACAGTATTTCAATACTCTCCTAATAAAAAGGGAAAAGATTGAATTGAAGAAACGAAATAAACATGAGAGGAAACAAGAAGACCTAGATATTTTGGAACACACACTACTGCCATTTATTGAAAATTAGGCAATTCCTTATTTCAAGTGCTTCCGGGAGCATCACTTCCCGCCGACTTACGGTTCAAGTAACGAATAACAGCATCCTCAACCCTGAAAAAAGAAACACCAAAATGGAAATTAATTCTGAGAAAATGATGGCAAACTTCCTAATTTATTCATATAATGCCTTGACTCTATTCAGTTTCCATGACAAAGGTTGAAGTCCTACCATATCTGATTTGCTATATGTAGGGAAACTAACATCATATACTGCTAGAATTGGTAAATCTTATACTGTAGGGGCAAGTGACCAACAGAAAATTAAATTCTGCAATATTTTCAAGACATTTTAGGCAGCTTAGTTTATATATCAGACCAAGAAACTGTGAATTACAATTCTTTTTTCAAATTGATGCGGAGAATTTCTATTTCAAAATAGAAGATACAGTATTAGATGTTGACGTTACACTCACTGAGTAGGGATTGTATTACTAATACAAACGCTAGGTAAACCTAGGGATTTTATATAAATAAAGGTTACCATGGAAATCCAAGAACTGAAAGGCAACTGGCCCATTTAGTTTTCTTCTCTAATCAAACTGTATTTAGTTGGCAAGCTCTAACTAGTGACACGAAGTTATTTGAGCAGTATAATCCTACTAAGCAAGCATACAAAAGAAACACATAAAAAGTGTAAGCATAAAATGCAGAGCAGAAGCTTACCAGGGTTGATTGTAGAAATCAGAGCGCCGCTCCTTTTCTGCATTACGACTAGCATCTCCAGCAACAAGCTTCAGATCCTTGCTCTGAGAAGCAATCAAAGTATTAATGAACTCTGCCGGAGATTGACTGAACCCAAGAAAGAAAGACCGCCGCCGACGATGTTCATGGATTTTTTTGATAGATGCACAAATCAATTCATCACAAGCATCAATCTCTTTGTTCCTCTCGGTGCTTGCCAAGAATGCAGACATCTCCTTCTCTAATGGCATAGGTACATCAACCAATATATCATGGCAAGTAGTTCCAGCTGGACAATTTCCTGAAAGTTTTATCTTATGCTCTATATTTATAGGCTGTGGTGGAGTTAAATGCTGAGATATCTTTTGTGAAACCATAGAAAACTTCATCTTCTCTTCCCCAAAAACCTTCTGAAGAGGTGGATCACACACAAATAAAGTGGGGTCATTTGGGTTCTGCAATTTCCTGGCCTTCACATAGTGCCAAATAGCAGCTATAACTCGGGGCCGTGTCTCTACCTCAATTCCCAGAACTTCGTTCAGAGCCGGGGAAAGTTTAAATTTCTCAGGTGCATAATTCATCTCCAGTCTTATTATTGCATTAAACTCCTTGTCCCCTTTTCTTTTGACTTCAAAGCCATCATGAAGAGCGGGTGAACGAGCACTTTCCCATAAAATCACATGGTTATCCGGATAGAGGCTTTTGTCCAAGTATATGGTAATCTTCTTGAACAGAGATGAAAATTTTGCCCTTGATTTCTGTGTCATTCCAGCCACCACAGGATCATTCCCCTCTTCCAATAACCTCCCAATTATCTTCAGTGACCAAGAAGGGGGTTCTGCATTTGTCTTCTCAGGAGTTGTTTGCGTCTGATTTGCAAAGGTGTTGAAGACATAAATTCGAACTGTTCTCTGAACACGGGGAGGACATTTAAGGGACTCCTGGATGTCGATCTTCTTCCTTGCCAAAGCAGCATCAACGCGAGCCTCAAATTCAAGCAATTGAGTATAGAGACCAGACTCTGGCAGAAGTGCAGCCACTTTGTCTGGTATTTGTTTATCAGGTAGTTTCCGCTTCTTTCTACGAGCAGCTGGGGTGAGCTCCATGGTTTTAAATGGTGAAGCCGTGTTGGCATTAGATGAACCTGGAGGCCGAGAAGGTGGCTTCTGGTTAGCCCGCTTGGCAGAGCCCGTGCTAGGCGTTGCTATGGAGGGTGAAGCAGCACCAGCATTACTAGTATTGGAACTATGCAACTGGGCAAGGGACTGAGCTTGAGCTTGCAACTGAACAAATTGGGCATGAGCAGCTTGAGTTTGGGCCTGTGCATGAGCATTCACGTACTGTGCCTGTGCAAGTGCCTGAGCTTGGGGCTCCGACAACTGAAAGTGACCCGGAAAATGAGACCCACCTTGAGTCTGAGGCTGTGATTGAGATAGAAGATGAGGCTGGTGGTTCATGGCCATAGGTTGTGGCACTGCCCCAGAATTGCCAAAATGGGGTGGCACCCCCACATTCTTGGCCTGATTATTATTATTCATCGACTTGGTTATCTAAAAACACAATCTTTAACACCAAACTATTCCATCAAAAACCAATAAAACCCTAATTCAAACCTCTGAAACCCCCAAACTTCCATATGCCAACAAAAAAATTCAAACTTGGGTCTGGCCTCTACCAAGCTTTCTCCTCCAGCTGAAAGAAATGCACGATATTTACACCTATAAAGAGCTCCAATTGAGTAGGCACAAACTTCCCAGCAAGAATTTGCAGAAGCTCTGCTTTATTTTTCTGTGGAAGAATATAAACCCTAATTTTAGAAGCCCAGAATTCAAAAATCAAAAGCAGCGCACTTTGAACCCAATTTGAGCATTTAAAACTGACAGACGAACTAGTGTGTTCAAAGCTTATACAGGCTGTGCTAATTCAAATTAATCTTGTTTACCAGAATTCAGACGCTAATTAATTTATAAAAAAAAGAAAAAAAAAGAAAAAAGAAAAGAAAAGGAGAAGTAGGAAGTAAAATACATACGACGAGAATTAGATAAGCAAATAATTAACCAAACGACATGTCCTTACTTATTACTAAAGCTTTTGTTGCTTCTCCTCCTCGCTGCTTTCAGATCGGCACCGGAGCTAAAACCAGTTCTCTCTTTCTCTCTACCCTCTGTGGCTCTGCAATTGCCGAAGTTACAAAAGTACCCTTTTTTAAACGACGGCCTGTAAAATTGTTAACGCGTGGCGGGAATCTAGAGATTGGCTATATATTTGTTAGATTAGCACGTGGGTAAATTCCAATATTAGAGGAAAGCCCAATTTAAAAGGCCCATTTATTACAATGTTAGTGTGGGCTCTGGCCCGAATAAAAAGGTTCAAGCCCACTAGCAGTTGGTAAAAAACCCTACTCTCTCTCTCTCTAAAACCCTTGGCTTCGTTTATCTTTGCGAGCTGGGAAGGAAAATCTTAGCAGAGCCTGTGGGAGCAGCCATGGTGAGTTGTTTGGATTTGATTCTTGTGTTCCTGTTTCTGAAAGCAATGTAATTGGAACCAAGTTGTTTGGTTTCTTAATTTGTTTTTGGTTTTTGAGTTGTTTATGAGTTGAATTGGATTTTTTTTTTTTTTTTTTTTTTTTTCAGGTGAAGTATTCGAGAGAGCCAGACAACCATACCAAGTGTAAGTACCTGCTATTATTTTTTAATTTTTTAAAACTACTGGTTTCTTCTCATTTAGTGTTAATTAAGTTTTTGTTTGGTAGCTGAGCAGAGATTAGTTTAAGATTCAAAGTTTGCATTTTTTTTATAAATATAATTGTTTAGGGTTTCTTCAAAATCTAATAATTGTATTGTTCTGCAATTGTTAAATCAGCCTGCAAAGCAAGGGGCAATGATCTCCGAGTGCATTTTAAGGTACGGAGACGAAATTCGACGAAATTCGGTTGACAGGAATGTGATTGATGAAATTTTCTGTGCCAGTTATTCTAATGAATACAATGTGGGTTGTCAGGCTATCGGGTTTTTTTTTGCTCTCATTTTTGCTTTATATCATCAAATTTGTGATAGCTACTGAAATTTTGAAGTGCTTTAAAAAGTTAGAAATGTTTCTATGTGGTTTTTAGGTTTTATATAACTGTTTGTTGGTCAGCACTTCCGATTTCACCTGCTAAGTTCCTGCAATATATTGCTACAATTATCATTTCTTTTTCTGCAGAACACAAGAGAGACTGCCCATGCTATTCGCAAGCTGCCTTTGGTAAAGGCTAAAAGGTATTTGGAGGATGTTTTGGTCCACAAGCAAGCCATTCCATTCCGGCGCTTTTGTCGTGGAGTAGGGCGAACTGCTCAGGCTAAGAATCGCCATTCAAATGGACAGGGACGGTGGCCTGTTAAATCTGCAAAGTTTATTCTCGACTTACTTAAGAATGCTGAGAGTAATGCAGAGGTATGTTGTACTTTATTTGTCTTTTTTGTCACTACTGTTTAACATATGTATGCTTACAGCATGTATGTTTTCTGCTGACATATTCTCTAGGTGAAAGGTTTGGATGTGGATTCGCTTTACGTATCTCATATCCAGGTAAACCAAGCCCAGAAGCAAAGACGCCGCACATACCGTGCTCACGGGAGAATTAATCGTGAGTGTTTCTAACCTTCCGAGTACCATACAGTTTCTTAAGTGTTTCAACTTTCATAATAGTAACATTTAAATTCCTTTGGCAGCTTACATGTCATCTCCATGCCATATTGAGTTGATTTTGTCAGAAAAGGAGGAGCCTGTCAAGAAAGAGGTAATTGAATATTTGTTTGTTACCTATTTTAACTAGGAAAAGGTTCCGGGTCGTTTATTCATCGGATTTTGCGATTATAGTTGTATTACTTAAGATTCCCTCATTGACGTTATTACATTGTTTGTTGGTTGTGCAGCCTGAGACTCAGCTGGCGAGTAGGAAAGCAGAGAAGGGTCGAACTCTACGCAGTGGTGCTGCTTCTTAAACAATGATGACCTACTTTAAGATGTTATGAGTTGGGGTTTTTTTTCCTTTGTTGTCATCAGTAGCAAGAGAGCCTTGTGGTTCTGTTAAACCTCATGTCGGAAATGTTATGGTACTTGTATTGTTTCTTGGATCTTCTATGAAAATGTGAAACTTGTTTAGACTCCTTCAAGCTCTGTTTGCCCTGAGTACATTGTTCCAACAAAACTGCGAACTGAAGACAATAGATACTTTTATTGATAATGATACCTTTAGGGTCCGTTTGATAACCATTTCAATTTTAGTTTTTAGTTTTTAGTTTTCATTTTTGTGTGCTAGAGTATAGAGGAAAAAATGGGAGAATAAAAGTGAGAATGAGAATGGAGATGGGATTGAGATGGAAGATGAGAAATTATTTAAGAAAAATCATGGGAAGAGAGAAATTGTTGGAGAGGTGTGCCTTCTTGTATTTGTTGATTGTTCAAGCAAAGCTGACGTGGTGCATGAATAAAGGCTGCATCTTTATGAAGTTAGTCAAGTGTATAACAATGTTAGTGAGTTAATAATCGTTTACTCATTACTAAAACTCACTAACATTGTAAGTTGTAGAAAATAAACTTTGTACTTTCACGTGCACATTTTATAATACATCCATGACTATAAATCACAAACACAAAACCCATCATGATTCCATAAAAGCTCTTAAATTCTTTGTTTAATTATGATGGTAATAATAATACAACTCTCTTCACAAAATATCCTTGTAAACATATAAGTAATTAGTCAATCAAATTTATTCAACTCCCACAAATGCATAGGTTATACATACAATTTGTGTGTAATGAATATATTATACATATCTAATGTATTTTCAAAGAGTTTTACTTAATATAATCAGTTTGTGCGGCGCTGGTAACTCTTAATTGTTAATTTATGTATCACTAAATAATTGTTATTGTGTGCGTGAGAAAGACGTTAATATTATCCACTTAAAAATTCAAAAAAAAAAAAATCTATTAATTTAAGAAATCCAATCAACCAAATTCCACTTGCCAAAACATGATAGGTTGAAACCAACACACTAGGGCTTAGGAGGAGCCTCCTTACATGATTTGTTGCTCTTAAGTTTTATATAAAACCTTGTCACTTCTACAAGTATAAATGCAAGTACAAAAAGACAAAACCCCCCCCACTAGATTGATCATTGAAGAACCAAACCCCCTCGAGTCAAGTCCTCTCTAAAACCATAACCTCTCCTTCATTATGAAACACCCACCGGCGCATTTTAGGAACAACCTAACAAAACTTGCTAACGTGCAGCACCAAGTCCTTGTCAGTCGTGGCTAGTTGCTACATCGCGCTGCTTAGCCTACGCCGTCGTCTCCCTCTATAAAATCCAACTTGGAGACATCAATCTTCCATGCACCAACCGAACACAAAGAAAGAAAAGAAAATAATATTTTATCACTTTTGAAAAACACAAACTATAAATGTACAAAACAAGACCATAAAAATAATTAAAATCTCTATCTTTTTCTCTCTCTCTCTCTCTCTCTCTCTCTCTTTATAGCATTTCTAGCTGAGAAAAAGAAAAAGAAAGGAAACGAAGAGAGAGAGCCATGGTTTCAACGAGGCGAAGTGGATCTCTCTCCGGAAATAACAGCAAACGATCGTCGTCTTCCGAGGACAAGCCTCCGTCACCAAAACGACATAAGGTTTTTGTGTTGGCATAGAAAAATCGGATTTTTTCTTCTTCTTTTCATTTGTTTGGTTTTTTCTGGAGGGTCAAAGATTGGGTTTTTTGGGGGTCGTGAATTGTGAGATTTAGGGTTTTGATTTGGGATGATTTCGCAGGTCGAAAATGGCGGTGCTTCAGAGAAAGTGACGCCGGAGGTGGATAATTCGAAGGAGCTCTGTACGCCTCCTCCGGCGGCAGCCGATCCCGGAGAATGTGGTCTCGGCGATTTTCCGGCCGCCGGAGACGGCGTAACTTCTGGGAAGACCGACGCTGCTACTCAAGCTGTCTCGGTCACGCCGCCGATCGCCGAAGGTAGGGTCTTGGCACTCCGACGATTCATTTCTTTCTCTGTAATGTGTGAATTTTGTTCTTTAGCTTCTTTTTTGCCTCAATTTGTGTTTATGGGGTATGGGTTTCATTGAAATTTGAAAAATTGGAAATGTTGGTTTGGTGGTTTATGAAGGGTCTACGCCTGTGGTGGAAAAGCCGAGGAGCGCATTTTCGTCCTGGAGTTTTTATCAGAAGCAGAGTCCTAGTTTCGAGACATCGACACCTTGGTGCAAGCTTTTGTCACAGTCTGGACAGGTATTTCGTGCTTATCTTACAAATGTTGAATTAGAACCTGTTTTGTGATTTTGGACTGGACTACTCTTTTTAGTGTTTTGCTTTGGCTCTGTATTTGACGTTTATTTATCGGTTTTTTTTAACTGCAGAACATAAATATTTGTATTTGCCCAATGAATTTCACAATTGGTGCAAACAGACAGTGCAATTTTTCTTTGAAGGACCAGACCATTAGTGGGTTCCTGTGCAAGATCAAGCGCACGCAGGTATTCTTTGAGAGTCCCATTTCTAACATTTTGTTCGTAATTTACAACACTAGTACGCACAGAGACATGCAGCGACTTTCATACATCACTAGGTTATGATCAGGGCTTCTCAGTGGAACTGAGAGCTGTAGTGACCTACTTGGGTAGTCACTGGTTTTCATTTTCTGGTTTCATTAAAATATGTACATGCAGTATGACCACTCATTGTTTCTGGACATGATCAGCGTGAGGGTGGAGCTGTAGCTGTTCTAGAAAGTACGGGAAGCAAGGGATCAGTGCAGGTAAACGGGACAAATGTCAAGAAAGGCAACAGCTGTGTGCTTAACCCGGGTGATGAAGTGGTCTTTGGTTCTCTGGGCAACCATGCTTATGTATCCTTCCTCGGTGGTTTACTTCTCTACTATTCTGATATTCCAGTCTTAATTTCTGGATAGTCCCTGTATCACTTTCAGTCACTTGTGTAACTGTCCAGGCCTATACATGTTTTTGTGTCTCTATGGATAATTTCCTTAACTTGTATCAATAGATTTTTCAACTACTTCTGACTGAGGCTGCAGTTAAGAGTTCAGAGGTTCAAAGTGGTATTGGAAAATTTATTCCAATGGAAAGGAGGGCAGGAGATCCTTCAGCTGTGGCTGGGGCTTCCATACTGGCTTCTCTTAGTTTGAGGCCGGAACTATCACGATGGAAGCCTGCAGCTCAGACCACAAGTAAAGTTCACCCAGGTGCTGATGTACCAGCTCAGTCTGTTGTTCAAGATGGTAACGAAGTTGAGCTCGATGGCCTGGAAAGCAGCTCGACTCCAAACAGAGCGGCTGACAAAGCTGAAGATATTGGAGCAATAGACAAGAATCTTACTCTGGACTCCAACCACGATTCTGGCATAGAGGCAGGCAATGTAAAACTCTCTGGGATGAATGATTTGCTAAGGCCTTTATTGAGGATGTTAGCTCGATCACCTAGTTGTAAACTAAAATTGAGCAAAGGTATCTGTAAACAGGTATTGGAAGAAAGAAACGAGTGGACGAGGGATTCGCAGTCGGCATCAACGTCAGGCATGTCTCTTCGGTGTGCTGTATTTAAAGACGGCATTCATGCAGGCATTCTCGATGGAAAAGGCATAGATGTTTCCTTTGATAACTTCCCATACTATTTGAGGTATTCTTTATTTTATTTAGTAATAAGACAGTTTTCAATATGTTAATTAGAAATAGTCATCTAATTTATGCTTTATTCGCCAACTTTATTTTTAATTTGAGCTATATAGTACATTCTTTGTTGACCATCATGCAACAAGTAGTCTAGTGAAGCAGTTCTTGTTCTTATAAAAATAAAAATTATACATTTGTCATCGGTTGGATCTGCAGCCCCACATATCTTTGCATCTATAGTTTAGATATGAATATGTGATTCCATATTCATGATCTGCATTCTCTCTTCGATGTAAGTTCTTAAGTTTTCTGTAGTAATCTAGTGACATATAATGTTGAAATTTGTCGTCAAAGAAATTTGTAGGAATGTGCCTTTAGATTGACTCATGAAGAAGGAAACTTGGGGTTAGGTGGACCTTAGTCAAGTTTGTTTTGGTTGAAGCTGCAAAGTGTGATGTCATGTCATTAGTCCTGTCCACTCTTTATTCATGCTTTTATTTGATGCATTTTTGCTTCAGTGTGTATGTTTCTTGTTAGTGGTGTGGTGATTATGAAATTGATACTGCTGAATGCTGTAGTTGTTATTTTAGTATGCCGTTTCTTTTACGTCTGATTTCTACCCAGTGTGATTGTTAATTAAAATATGCACCAGTAATTTATGGAGTTCATATTTTTGCTGATTTCAGTGAGAATACGAAGAATGTGCTGATTGCAGCTTCATTTATACATTTGAAACATAAGGAACATGTGAAGTATACCTCAGAGCTTACTACTGTGAACCCTCGCATTTTGCTCTCTGGTCCTGCAGGTATGGATATTGCTGTGTTCATTCTAAAATATCCCATTTATGATATTTGGTTTTTGTTCTCGGAACTGAAAATTATTGTTTCTGAATGCTTTCACAGGGTCTGAGATATATCAGGAAATGCTGGCAAAGGCCCTTGCACAATATTTTGGGGCCAAGTTGCTCATATTTGATAGCCACTCATTTTGGGTGTAAGCTAAACGGCACCTTCTTAGCATTTGCTTAAGTACTCACTTCTAGTATACTGCCTTATTCTTGGGATATAATCATTCTCATTTTGTTCCACTGAGTAAAATTATAATATTTTGCCTTTAGTATCATTATCAATATTCCTTTTGTACTTCTGTCTATAATTATAGCTTACCAGAGCTAATTAGAGGGAATTACCAATAAAAAATGTTCTATAGGGTTTATCATCAAAGGAAGCTGAGCTGCTGAAGGATGGATTTAATGCAGAAAAGCTCTGCAGCTTGACCAAACAAAGCCCCACACCCACAGATGTGGCTAAAAACACTGATGCATCAGCTTCTGAAACAGAAGCACCGAGCTCTTCAAATGCACCTTCGAATGGCCTGGAATCCGAACCAAAGATGGAGATTGACACCATCCCCTCTTCCTCAGGGACATCGAAGAATTTCTTGTTTAAAAGAGGTTTGCACTTTGCAGATATCTTTCTGCTGCTCTCTCCCAGACTAAAAGTTTCTGCTTTTTTCATTTTTTATGCTTATATATGTAACTTGACATGGTTCTTAAAAACTACAATATGCAGGTGACAGAGTAAAATTTATTGGGTCATCTTCTGGTGCCTTGTATTCTGCAGCATCTTCTTCACGGTACAATAGTTATGAACACTAGTGGAATGCTTCTGTTGTTGATACTATTTGTCTTTTGAGAATATGTGGTTTTGAATTGAACTTGATTTATGCATATAGAAATTTCCTACTATACTGGTGTAATGTGTGAGTTTGAACTGTATATCACGTAATATTGTTTAGGACTACATTTATCTACCAGTTGTTTAATTGTATGATCTGTTTCTAGCAATTTTGAAGCGGCTTGATCCGTATCCTGTTGTTTCTTTACAGTAGGAGGTACATAAAATTTGTAGCATAGATTGAATTTAGTGTTTGGTTCCTTGGAATAATGGTATTCCCTGTATCAGTAAGTTAATAATTCTTGGAATATTTACCAGTAGTATTATTGAAATGTATTATATACTGATACTATAGTTTCTTCTCAATGTCCCTTAAACACTATATTATTGCACTGATGCTGGTATATATGCTATGTTACATGATATACAGGGGCCCGGCAAGCGGAACCCGGGGAGAGGTTGTACTGCTTTTTGAGGACAATCCTCTGTCAAAAGTTGGCATAAGGTTTGATAAACCAATACCTGATGGTGTTGATCTTGGGGGTATATGCAAAGGAAATGGATTTTTCTGCAATGGTATGAATTCAGTCATTAACAGTTCCATAGACTTGTACCTTTGTTTTTTTTTCTTCTTTAGGTCTATGCATATGTAAAACTTTTCTTACTCTCTCTCTCTTTAGTCTCTGATCTTCGACTGGAAAACACTGGTGCGGAAGATTTGGACAAGTTACTTATCAACACATTGTTTGAGGTGCCATATCTTCCATCATAGATTGATTTATTTTTTACTTTTGGTTTAATTTTATTATCACCTTTTGAATTTATTTACGTTTTTTTTTTCAAAGGCTGTACTTAGTGAGAGCAGGAGTTCTCCTTTCATTTTGTTCATGAAAGATGCTGAGAAGTCCCTTGTAGGCAATTCAGATTCATTTTCCACATTCAGAGCCAGACTTGATAAGCTTCCAGATAATGTGGTTGTCATTGGTTCTCATACTCATACTGACAATCGTAAGGAGAAGGTAATATATGTTTTAGCAATTTGTTCTTCAATCTGATACATGATATGAGGAATTAGCTTTGTGATCTTTTAAGAACTTTGAACTTTAAATGAACAAATGGAAATTGCAATAGAATTTGAAATGTATAAACCTATGTATCAATGCTATATCATCAATTATATGCATGTATGCCCCGAAGAGACATGATCTGTTTTATTATCATGTAAAAGAGAGTAAGTCCATAGGAACCAACAGTATGGTTTATTATCTTTGTTAAATGATTGTACAGAAATTTTCTTTTTGATGTATAAAACCATCCTTACCTATGTTTTAGACAATGAAATCGAAAGTATATCTTGCTAGCATTTCTTTCTGCTCTAGGTACTGTTGTCTGGCCGATGCTCAATACTTTGAGCCAATATTGAATTTAAAGAAACACTCTTGATAACCATGTATATATCGACTTAATAGAATTAGGTGTGTAACCATGCAAGATGGATTAGGTGGTAAAAACTTGTGGCAGTTAAATCACTAGAAAGTGGGGGGAGGCTGTAAGATTTGCTTGAAATTGAACGTTTATTTTGCTCCCTTTTTGAACTCCACCCTTGGATTAGATGGCCTTGGAAAAGATTACGGTTTATCTTAAATGTTCTCCTCCTTTCTCTTGCAGTCACACCCTGGTGGTCTGCTTTTCACAAAGTTTGGTAGCAATCAAACTGCTCTTCTTGATTTGGCTTTCCCGGTAATGTTTATATAACTCTAACAAACATGTGCTTTTGCTTATGCGTTTGATGTTTCTTTTAACCTTTTGCATAATGGCTTAGTTTAGTTATCTGTCTTAAAATTATGCGAAGTCTGGATGGAGTCCTTTTGTTACTCTGAGCGTGGATTCTTCCTGGTTTCAGGATAGTTTTGGAAGACTACATGAGAGAGGGAAAGAGGTTCCCAAGGCAACAAAACTTCTGACCAAACTCTTTCCTAACAAAGTAACCATTCATATGCCGCAGGTTTGTATATTGGGTTCCTGTTGGATAGAGGTTTTTTTTTCTTCCCTTGGCGGGGCTTTCCTTAACATGCTATGAAAGCTTAACCATTGCAGGATGAAGCACTTCTTGTCTCATGGAAGCAACAACTGGATCAAGATTCTGAAACCCTTAAAATGAAGGGAAACCTGAATCTCTTGCGCACTGTAAGCTTTTATCTTTTTGGGGTTTCAGGCTGTCTTGAGTTCTATTTCCTTTTTGTCATGGAAGTGTATGGTTACAGCTGGTGAGTTATAAAGATGATAATCATGGTACACTATCTCATCTCTAGGTTCTCAGTCGATGTGGAATTGAATGTGAAGGACTTGAGACTCTATGCATCAAGGATCAAACACTTACAAATGAAAGTATGCACCATTTCTGATATATCAAAGATATCAATAGTTGCTTATGGTTTTGTTTTGTTTCTGCTATATTTTGTAACTTAGGTTTTGTTTCATCTGTCGCAGGTTCAGAGAAGGTAGTTGGATGGGCTTTAAGCCATCATTTAATGCAGAATCCTGAAGCTGATCCACAAGAAAAAGTTGTTTTGTCCGGTGAGAGGTAATTGACAGCTCATTTCTTGCCATCTTCATGAATAATTGTTAGCTGAAATATCAGTTATTGGATGGATATTACACAGTTGTAATGCCATGTTGCAATTCTGGCAGCATCCAGTACGGACTTGAAATTTTACAGGCTATCCAGAATGAAACGAAGAGCTTGAAGAAGTCACTTAAGGTGGTTAGCTGGATTTTTGTTTCCAATAACTTTTATAAGCATCCTTTTTTGTCCTGAGTGGAATTATTCCAAGATTTGAAATAACTCTTCATTTTTCCTTACAAGGTATTCTATATTAATCTTAACAGTGATTTTTTTTTTTTTGGGGTTGAAATCAGGATGTTGTAACTGAAAATGAATTTGAGAAAAGGCTTTTGGCTGATGTTATTCCTCCTAGCGACATTGGAGTTACGTTTGATGATATTGGAGCCCTTGAGAATGTGAAGGATACATTGAAGGAATTGGTGATGCTTCCATTACAAAGGCCGGAGCTTTTCTGCAAGGGGCAATTAACCAAGGTTTAAAGCTTTATCTGTATTCAGAGAAAATATGATTCTTTACTCGATTGCTTTAAAATTGTACGGCTTGGCATGTGATATTTAATATTGTTGTTTACATGAATTACTTCTGATAGTGCGTTGTTTTACTGTGCCTGATATGCAGGTTGTCATCTATGAACTTGTTTATTTTTCAGTACTAGGTTGATACATGTTTAGATTTGAGTATTTTAAGCATCTGATGGTGAGTGTAGATCGTGTTTATATGTCTTCTGTGTGCAGCCTTGCAAAGGCATCCTGTTATTTGGCCCCCCTGGAACAGGCAAGACAATGCTTGCGAAGGCTGTGGCTACAGAAGCTGGTGCAAACTTCATCAACATATCCATGTCAAGTATCACATCTAAGGTTGGCATTTTGGATAGTTTGGCTATAGTATAATCTCATAAGTGACTTCACTTCACAATTTTAAATCATTTTATCTTCTTTGGTGCAGTGGTTTGGTGAGGGTGAGAAGTATGTGAAAGCTGTTTTCTCGCTAGCTAGTAAAATTGCCCCTAGTGTTGTATTTGTTGATGAAGTAGGTTCTTTTATCCCTCAAACAATAATATTTATTTTGTGTTATTGTTTTAAACTTATGCTCTCATTGTTGGTGGTTGTAATAGGTTGACAGCATGTTGGGACGGCGGGAAAATCCTGGGGAGCATGAGGCAATGCGTAAGATGAAAAATGAATTTATGGTAAATTGGGATGGTTTACGAACAAAAGAAGCAGAACGAGTTCTAGTACTGGCAGCGACAAATAGGCCTTTTGACCTTGATGAGGCCGTCATTCGAAGGTTGCCGCGCAGGTAAACATCACGTCCTAATTGGAACAATAGTTTCATGTATACAAGTACCTATTCCGACACCTGTGTTTACACTTCAACCCACACATCTGCTACCCTTTTATTACATGATGTCTTTTTGTTTATAATGAGTCTTCATCTGCAGGTTGATGGTAAATTTGCCAGATGCTCCAAATAGAGCAAAGATATTAAAAGTCATACTAGCAAAAGAGGACTTATCTCCCAGTATTGACTTTGATGCAATTGCAAGCATGACAGATGGATATTCTGGAAGTGACCTTAAGGTAATAAATGCGATACTGTTTTTCTTGGTAGTTCTTTTGTTTCTTTATTGGGTATATTTGAGTATCTATATCAATAATTGTTATATTGCAGAATCTTTGTGTAACTGCTGCACATCGTCCGATCAAAGAGATTTTGGAGAAGGAAAAAAAGGTTCATCTTTTTTCCTTGGATTTTTTTTGTTTGTTTAAAATCTAGACCAAATGTGGTACTTAATCAAGTTGTGCCCGTTGATTTTTTGATCTCATATGTTCCACTGGTGACAGGAGCATGCTGTAGCTGTGGCAGAAGGTAAACCTGCCCCAGCTTTGAGTGGCAGTGCTGATATACGGTCTTTGAACATGGATGACTTCAAAGATGCTCATGAGCGGGTAAAGCGCATATCGAATACCATTAGCATGCCTTCTTTCTGTTCTCTCTCTCTCTCTCTCTCTCTCACTCTCTCTTTATTGCGGCTTTAAATTTTTGAACTTGTTCTCTGGAAATAGGTATGTGCTAGTGTTTCATCGGAGTCCGTCAACATGACTGAGCTTTTACAATGGAATGAACTATACGGCGAAGGGGGTTCTAGAAGAAAGAAGGCCCTTAGCTACTTCATGTGAAGGCATCCTTTGTACAAAAGGGGTTTTTTTTAAATCATTTTTTTTCTTCGAAATTTTCGCTCCTACAATCATCTACAATTCTCCTAGAGCCCGAAGTAATTTTGCCCACTCTTAGTTTAGGCTTTCTGGAGAATCATTTTGTCTGTAAAATGAAATTCAGTTTATCAAAGCTGTTTTTTTCCCTTATCCTTTAGTTTGATGGTGGCGGATACAGGGGAAGTGAAGCCTTCTAAAAGGAGAAGTGGCTTGGCTTCCACTGCTTGCGTTTTGTTTCCCATCATCCCTTTTGTCTGCACAAAGAACGGTGCCTGTTAAATCAAAAATTACTGTGGTGATCATAAAGTGAAAAACAAAAGCCAAAGACGGAATGGCCATATGTGCATATAGTCATTGTTTTATTGCGCTCGTCGGAATTGAACAATAAGTCATTTTTCAGTAACCATTGCATTCACTGTGAAGTGATTTTTTTGAAGTATCAATTGTATAATAGATGCTGGCTCACCAGATTTTCTGGTCTCACATTTGTTTTATTCTCCTGCATTTCCTCCCTTCAAACATTTCCTGCCGTATTTTTAATTACAACATGTTCATATGATGATGAATATTGAATTTTGTAAGTAATTTATCAGATGACACCAAGGTTTATCCCTAAACACCCAAGAATTCCCTCTTGAGAGGACAGATAATATTAAGAATTGGCAGATGTGGTTCGGCCAGTCGGCCAATGTAGTGTGTTATCGGCCTATATCCGAGTTCAAACCCCCAATTTGTATGGAAGCGAATGTTCTCTAGGCCCATCTTGTGTTTTGATCTACTTGGGCCTACGTTTTTTCTTGGTCATTAAGATTTCAACCCAAAAAGAAAAAGAAAAGAAAAGAAAAAGAGAGATGTTGGTTTGCCATTAGTTGGATTCACAGTCCGTAACGTATAAATAAAGCCCAAGTAAAAATAAGGAAACCCCAGATCCGTAGTGACCAGCAGTTACTCGTCTTCAACCTCCAACATCCCTCTGTCTGATCTGAAGACACGTAACCTCCTCCCTCTTGGTGCTTTCTCGGCAACCATACACATGGCGGATCCAATCCCAGCACCGCACAGAACCGCCACGGACTTCTTCTCCGACCCACTTGACTCCCACCCTCTCTGGTTCAAGCCCGCGCTCTTCCTCTCCCCGGAGTTCGACTCCGAATCGTACATATCGGACCTCCGAACCTTCGTCCCATTTGACACGCTCCGGTCCGAGCTCCAGTCCTACTTGGCTTCCCTCAACCACGAGCTCATCGACCTCATCAACCGCGACTATGCCGACTTCGTTAACCTCAGCACCAAGCTTGTCGACGTCGACTCCGCCGTCGTCCGCATGCGCGCCCCGCTGGTCGAGCTCAGGGAGAAGATCGAGCAGTTCAGAGGCTCCGTCCAGAACTCGCTCGTCGCCTTGACCAACGGCTTGAAGCAGAGATCAGAGGCCAACGAGGCCAGGGAGGTCTTAGAGCTTCTGCTCGACACGTTTCATGTCGTCTCTAAGGTAATGCCAGTTTGATTTTAGCTTGGTTTGCTAATTTAGGGAGATTTGAGGACTTAGTGTTGGTTTCATTGCGTGGTTGATTTATTATTATTGGAATTGGATTGCAATTTCTAATTCCACTGACCAAATCTGCCGATAAAGATTGGGACTGTAGAGAACACTATTATCATTTTTTCTTTCGATCTGGAATTTGATGGCTTCGGAATTCAGAATTTAGTTTGAGTTTGTATAATGAATGACTCATATTAGTTGATTTCTTTTTGGATATGAAAAACTTATTCAATGACCTTGTCTGGGTTTCCTGATTTGAGAGCTTCTAGAAAGAAGATAAGATGACCAGAGTGGAAAGCTAACCTCGATTAGCCACATTGTTGTGTTGATCTTAGATCCCATCCATTCTCGTACTTATCTTGTAATAGCAACTGTTCATAGTATAAATGTTATTGAATGCAGGTTGAAAAACTAATACAGGAGCTGCCCAGTGTGCCTGCTGATTGGTTGAACGGAGATGTAAATTTGGCAGAGAAGAATTTTATTACCAACGGGACTTCCTTACAACATGTTGAGAATGGAACAAATCTCAGAGATACTCAAAGCATGCTGTTGGAGAGAATCGCCAGTGAGATGAATCGGCTGAAGTTCTATATTGCTCATGCACAGGTTGCTTTTGCTCTCCCTTGCAATCAGTTTTTATTACATCCAAAATCTGAATATCCTTAGCTGCAGCTTCTCTTTACATGTGAGCTGAAATTCAATTCAAACTTGTCGGGTCTATATTCTACTTTCCTTTTCCAGTCATGAATTTCATATCTGCTGGTTTTTGTGGTTGTTGGTTGTCAAGCAGTGCTGAAAGGTTAAAAATTTATTTATTCTTTTTCCCTCCTTGAATGAGGCTTGGGAAAGATGCTGAAGAATAAATTATGTTCCAAGGGAATGGAGTTCTGCTTCAAAAATATTTCATATTTTTATATAGGTGACATGCAAAATGGTGAGTCTAGGTTTGCAGTTTAATTTTGTTCAGATGTTAATGATTGGAAAGTTAAAAATTTCTTGCCCTGGATCTCGTATTCCTCCCGCCTTAGCTGCATTAATTGTTGTTGGTCCTCGTACGGAATTCTTGTTTATTTATTATAGTAAAAATCTAATATTTACCCAGTGAATGTGGTAAATAATCAGTGAGCGTTAAACTACTTTATTAGGGACTTGGACATTTTGTGCTCATCTATCTTCGCTATTATGTGAATACAGAACCTGCCTTTCATTGAAAACATGGAGAAGCGGATTCAGAGTGCAAGCCTATTATTAGATGCCAGCCTGGGACATTGCTTTGTAGATGGGCTGGAACATCGAGATGCAAATGCAATTTACAATTGCTTACGCGCATATGCTGCCATTGATAACACAAGGAGTGCAGAAGAACTTTTTCGCACAACTATAGTGACTCCATTGATACAAAACATTATTCCACATAGGACATCATTGGCAGCTACAAGGCCCTCTGGAGATGACCTTGAGAATGATTATCAGCAAATCAAGCTATGTATTGATAACAACTGCAAATTTTTGTTGGAAATTTCTTTTGAAGGTATTACCATCTTCCTTATATATTTGCTATTTCACTCCCATCAACTTAAGAGAGCTTTATATTAAAGTTGGGTTTCTACAGAAATAGTGTGTCATTTGAACTTATTTTGGGCCTTAAAGTTTTATCTTTGGCCTTTCTTACCTCAAACTATGCTCTGTGGATCTTCTCCTGGTTGTTTTAGTGTCGCAAACTCAATTACTTCTCCTTTGCAGTGATCATTTTATGAAAAACAGAGATCTTTCATTACTATTATCTGTAACTCAATTGTCTAGGATCTTGTTCAACATCATTGTTTCATTTGTATATGTTTATGGATAAAGCATGTGTGTCCGTGTAGCCCAAAATCAATTGCTACTCCTTTGTGTCATCATGTTACAAAAATGCACCATATTTTGTCTGCTTTTTCGTGGTATTTTCATTTCCTTTGTCTTTCTTCAACTTCATTGCTTCATTTTATATGCGTTTCTTCAGGGTTCATGCTTGTCAGATGCACCCTAGTTTTATAGATAAAGCATGTGTGTTGATGTAGCGCTCATTGATAATCAATCCATGGTAACATGAAGAAGGTCAAATTATAGTTTTTAATATTTGACATAGAAAAGTCAACTAACAGTTTTTATGGGGGTTTTCTTTCCCAGAAAATTCTGGTTTGCATGTGTTTGACTTCTTGGCAAATTCAATCCTGAAAGAGGTTCTCTCAGCAATCAAAAAGGGAAAACCCGGTGCTTTTTCTCCTGGAAGGCCAACAGAATTCTTGAAAAATTACAAATCCAGCCTAGACTTCTTGGCTCATCTCGAAGGTAGAGATTAGTATTCCCCCCGTTATATTTTTGAAGTTCTAAAAATTTGGCTTAGCTTATCCATTTTTGAATTGACACTCAGTGATGGTCTGGTTCTAAGTGCATATAACATTGTATTGTCATGCAAGGCTACTGCCCGTCCAGATCAGCTGTTTGCAAATTTCGAGCAGAAGCTGTTTATATTGAGTTCATGAAGCAATGGAACTTTGGGGTTTATTTCTCTTTGAGGTACTTGGCAGAACTCTTGGTGGTTGCTGTTTTTATTGAACTTGAATTGAGGTTTTTTTGTTGTGGACTGCTCTTTGAAGTGTTTACTAGAATTACCTCAGGTTTCAGGAAATTGCGGGGTCTCTAGATTCTGTACTTGTGGCCGCTAGTCTTGCCCCTGTTGACAATGTACATTCTGATCAAGGAAATTCTCCTGATTTAACATTAAAGCAAAGTGTCACTTTGTTAGAGTGCTTGGAATCCTGTTGGAGAGAAGATGTTGCTGTTCTTTCTTGTGCTGACAAGTTTCTTCGCTTGTCATTGCAGCTTCTTTCAAGGTCAGATTATAGTAGAGCTTGGATACTGTGTTCTAGTCTATACCCCTGTTTTATTACTGACAACGTATTTGTGAATGTATCATAGATACTCAAATTGGTTGTCATCTGGACTGGCTGCTCGTAAGAAGGGTAGTACTGACTCTATCCCTGGCCGTGAATGGGCTATTTCAGCTGTCCCTGATGATTTTATATATGTATGCTTCATGTCTTGATTCTATTAATATGATATGTCCATAAATTGCTCCGTTGGTTTTAACGACTTCAATGCACTAAATCCATGCATAGCTGGTAGGGAAACATAAGAGTACAAGTCTTCTTGGACTATAAACCTGTAAAAAGACTTCGCATATGCTTAGTAGCTGGATCTTGCCACATCTCAACCAAATACGTCAGTTGATTTGAAAAGGAAAAAAAAGGAATTTTAACCCATGAACTGATATATGTTGTTGCCTTTGCAGATTATTCATGACATAGATTTTCTGTACAAGAGGGTTTGTGGAGACTTCCTCGAGCATGTACTTAAGCTTCTTTCTTCTTGTCCTGCTGATGTTCTTGATCTTGTAAAACCGAGCATTTTACAAGGAGGAAACTTATTGAATGATTTAGTACCTCTAGTTATCGACACAATTGTAGAGGCACTAGTTAAAAAGTCCAACGAGGTAAGCTCTGATTGATTAATAATATATATTGGGTTAATCGTGCAATGCAATAAGACCAGGCCCCTTGGGTTCGCATGTACCCTCTCAAAACGTGAAATTATGTGATGGATTTAATTTTTTGTGACAGGTATATCCCAGTGCTCTGTTCTGGGTCTTTAATTAATTTGCACAATTTCTTGATACCTGCCTTGTGATGCTATCTTCCTAAACAATGTAGGGCGTGGAACAGCTAAAGGGAATAACTGCAACTTACAGGATGACTAATAAACCTCGTCCTGTCAGACATTCACCTTATGTGGCAGCAGTAGTGCGTCCTCTGAAGGTATGCAGTTGTTAGACTAACAATATTCTAGGGAACTGTAATGCAAAACTGGGTTTTTCAGATAAGGTGGGGTAAAGTGTCAGTCAGTGTGTGTATTGAGGTGTCAGATTTATCTAATATTCAAACCTTAGGACATGGAGACATCTTTAATTCGTCCACTAAATCACATGTTTTAATGTGATGATGTTGATTTACCTAGTTATTAGACCCTAAAGGTACCATTTCCAAAAAGAGAAAAAGAATATGATTAATTGGATCCCTGTCCTAACCTTTATCGTTACTTCAAATAAGATCGGTGGTTTAGTTTGACTATTAATCTGTAAAATATGCAGTATGTTTAGAGCTTAAGAATATTTTCTCCAAATTATAAATTTTATACTGACCTGCCAACAACTCCCAGGCTTTTTGGGAAGGAGAACGAGCTACAAAGTATCTGACAAGTGATACTAAGCATGAGGTGCTGATTAGTGCTGCAACTGAGATTACCGGTCATTATTATGAGACAGCTGATAATGTCATCAGTATGGTAAATGTCCAGATTCTGAGATGAACCTTAAAATATATAACCTTCTAGGATTCATAGTTGCATAACTCTTTAACTCCTAACTATTGTTGCCAGGCTAGGAGAACGGCATCTTCACTCCAGAGAATAAGGCAAGGTGCACAAAGACGAGGTGGAGCAAGTTCAGATGTCTCAGATCAGAATGTTTCGGACACTGACAAAATTTCCATGCAAATTTTCCTTGACATTCAGGTAAGAACTGGCCTATAGATTTGCATTCAAATATTCCTCGACAAGATTTGTGTGTTGTGTTGTGTCACTGTGTGTGCATATTAATGTTCTCTTGTCACACTGGTTTATACCCTATGATGTAAAACTAATTTTATATATGCTGCTGAGTTGGTGGATCTCAAGCAACTGGGTAGCAAATTATTGATTTGATGCAATAGGATTAATGTTGGCATATATCATTGTCAGGAGTATGGCCGTAATCTCGCCGCCCTTGGTGTTGATGTTGCGAATATTGAGACATTCCGTTCCCTGTGGCAATCCGTTGCTCCTGCAGAGAGGCAAAGTGAGATTAGTTTCTAAAGTTTTGAGCATTTGGTCTTGAGCTGATTGTAGATGTTACGTTTTTCCTTTTAGAATCCAACCATATGTTTTTGTAAGTATGGTGAAATGCATTTTTACTGCAATAGATGGCTATTGAACATTAGTTCTTGGTGCGTTTTGCATTTCTATGATGGGAAGACTTAAATTTTTTCTTTTTGCCTGACTTTGTTTATATTTTTAAATGTGGGTTTCTGACACTTTCTCATCAACCAAAATATTGCAAGGTTTCGATTTAATGATAAAATAAGGTGCAAAATAAAGTATTAATTGGAGTAGACCCGCAGCAACCCTTGTACTCATTAGAGCATGTCCACCCCAAAACGCTAAGGTTAAGGCAAAGGCAAGGCAAGGGCTGCTACTATTCACGTGAATAGTTGCAGCTTTGTCTGTTTTGGTTCCACCCCAAAAGGCTAGGGCAAGGGCAAGAAAAAAAAATGCAATAAAATATAAACTTGTTATGTATTTATAGGAAAAACATAATTTTTTTTTTTTTTTTATTTGTTTTTTTTTTTTTTTTTTTTTTTTTTCCATCTTTCATTTTCAATTTTTTTAATTTTTTTTTACTCACTGATGTCAGCGTGACGTCACCACTGATGTCAGCGCCTTCGGACTGAAGCCCAGGCAAGATCTGTCCTTGGGCTTGCCCGGGCTGCTTCTTCTGCGCTGGAGGTCCAAAACCCATCAAAGGGGCCTTTAGCCAGGGCAAGAGGCCCTGCGCTGGAAGTGCTAGGGGACCTGGATTCGCCTAATCTGCTAAGCATTCTCTTTAAGCTCTTGGGTGTTATAAACATGCAAACACTCCACCTCGTGAACCTCAAAAGTTTGAATTTGTGTGTTAAACATTCAGATCTTGGGGTTTCGGAAATGAATTTGGTAATTGAAGTTTCGTAATTCATCACAAAAGCCTAAAGTGCACTCATCACGGGACTGGATTCACCTAATCTACTAAGCATTCTCTTTAAGCTCTTGGGGTGTTATATGCCCACAACCCTATAGTGATTTTCTGCATTTTCTACATTTTGGGGTTGTGTGAATGAATTTTCGCATATTGGGATTTTGCAAATACATTTTGTCAATTCGGGTTTCCTATTTGCAGTTCACTAAACCCATAAAAGCGAAAATTCATAAGTGGGTTTTCAAGGCTCTGTGAATGGATTTTCACTTCAGGGTTCTGCTGATGAATATTTTCATTTTGTGGCTTTGTGAATGTATTTTTCACATTTTATGGTTTTGTTAATGAATTCGCCTATTTGGGTTTCATGAATGAGTTTCACATTTCCAGGTTATAAGCGTTAAATTTTGCCTTTCGGATCCGTTACAAAATTTTGACATTTGGCATTTGGGATTTCATGAATAAATTTTGAATTTTAGGGTTGGGTGAATGAATTTTCGTTTTTTGGTGTTATGCTAATGTCTTTTCACATTTTGGAGTTTCACAAATGAATTTTCGCATTTTGAAATTTAACAAATGAATTTTCCGTAATTTAGTGTTCCTTAATATACTATCAACTCACGGAACCCAAAAATGCAAAAATTCAAAAGCAGATTTTCGGGGCTATGTGAATGGATTTTCCTCTTTGTAAGGTTTTTATATTCTCTTTACAAAAAAATCGACAGCACTACGACTTTAATATGTACGCGTAAAGGAGTTTATTTTGCAACTACAATCAAATCAAAACACTCCTAAAATTTGACCACTTCTGAAAAATAACATCACAATTCCCAGGTAGAGAACTCCAACATGTATACACAAAATAATTATAGCAACAGCTCAATCGATGAAAATCTCAACTACTTCAACCTAGAGAAAAAAATAAAGAAACAAAGAATGAACCAATAAGTATATACAGCATACAGCAACCACAAGATCAATATGATCACTGCATCATTATTCTGAATTCTTCAAAGCTGATAACACCATCCCCATTCAAATCAAACTGATTGATCATCACTTGACACTCATCAATTGACTTGGATTCACCTAAGCTGCTAAGCATTCTCTTCAAGCTCTTGGGTGTAATGAACCCACATCCTTCCACGTCATACACTTGAAAAGCATCTCTTAATCCCTTCACTTTCTCCTCTTCTTCCCCACCTTCCATCAAACACACAAGATCCTCCAAACCCAGCAAGCCATCTCCATCTGAGTCCAGCAACTCCACTGCAACCTCTGCCTCCTTTTGCAATAACTCTCCACCCATCAAGCCTAGTCCCCGCCTCAGCTCTGAAGGCGAAATCTTTCCATCTCCATCTTCATCAAAGTAGCTGAGCACACGTTCAAATCCTCCGTTGCTCTTCATTTACAATGGCAAAACACAATGCAAAATGGATTTGCAAGATATATATATATATATAGATATATATTGCAATGGAACAATAACAAGCATGCAGCCCTTATATATAGACTTGGAGGCCGTGTTGAAGTTTTGGAACCGACTTTCCCATGTTCTATGATCCTGGGTAGAAGCTGCTGTGAGTTTTCTATGATCCACGGGGGAATTCCGTGGCTCACAGGTCATGTGTGATGTATTTTTTATGTCGTAAGAAAAATAGAAGGGAAGAGACGGAGAAGCAGATTACATGGAAGAAGATGGAAGAAGATGGAACAAGTTCAACGTTCTAGAAGAGACTATAGTTTGATGGTCAACATCTTGCTTCTTATGACTTGTTACCCACTACTTATTGACTGGGTAATGTCTCACATGCAACACTAGTACTGCGTCGTACACACGCTTATATTACGGGAAATTATTGTGTATTAATACATGACGTAACATGCGGATTCGAATGCACTCCTATAGACGTCTAGATTTTTTTTTTTTTAGTGATATTTTTCTATCCGATGATAAAAGATATAGCAAATCTGAACTCTCATTTCTCCGTTGATTCAAGAAATTTTTTTACATAATTTTTGTATTTATAAAAGGCAATAGAAATTTATTAGATCAACGGAAAAAAGAGTACAAATGATACAGACTGTAAAGGAAGTCATTCCATTAGTAGTATGAGACATGAATAAAACCTTCCTAAGTGACCCGAACATGTTGAAGAGCTCAAACTATCTGAATAGAATCACTCTTAAAATTAACTTTTCTATAACTCATTTCTACCATAATAGTTGCTCCAAATCCAATCCAATTACATCACTGACAAAATGTAGGTTGAAATTTACACATTATAAAATATGTGAAATTTATACAATATTATGGGTTTTTTTTTATGTGGGATGGAGGTTTCCTTTTTTAGCATTTTCCATAACTTAATTATAAAATACAAAGTTATTAGAACGCTGTTGCTCCATGCGTTATTATATGAAAATTCAATTGTTGTTTACATTGATCCACCTTGTCCATTTATAAAGAATACCAGCGTCAATCCTTCATGCGACCTAGAAAGAGTGCTGAAATTATTTTGCTTTCTTTGTTGACTTGTGAAGGTGGCGCAATTTATTTTCACAATTTTAATGTAATCAATACTGTTATGCTCCTGTATTTGATCAGGATGATAGTGTCAAAAATGAGTAGAATTCATGACAGCCAAAAAGAAGCATTATAACTTTTTCCTACTTTCACTATTCTTAAAACAATAATAATAATATTGGAAAACAAGATGTAGGATAAAAATTATAGAACCAAAGATTTCCCCCGCTACAAAAATTCCACCCTTACCCCTTTGCTTATCTATCTGATTTGACTGATATACATCTAGGCTATGTGGGTACACAGAAAAAATAACCTAATTTCTATTTTTTTCCCATTCCTTCGATCTGGCAACTATCCAAACCTTGAGTCTTGGTGAATTAACATTTGGCTGCTCCTCCAGCTTAATCAGATTAAATATTGTTTTTGGGATCTTTCAGAAGTTCATGGGGCTTTTGTTGCCATTTCTCCTCTTACCAATCATTTTGTTGCCATTTCCTCAGAATCAGACAAAGCTCCATCCATTTCCTCAAAATATGGCCAACTCTTTTGGCTTCTTTTTCCACTCTTGCTTTCCTGTTTCACAAAGACACTTAGCGCTATGATAAAACAAAATAACAAGCACAAAGGGATGAAGCAACACCAGCATTAGGGTGGAGGTGGACAAACCTCATATTTCTGAACCAGGGATGCCCACAGAGATTTGCATTGTCCTGGGCTTCGATTGATCCCATCAGCCAACAAGTTTCTAGATATCTCTTCCCAGAGGGCCATTCTCCCCTTCACAACTTGAAATCTGCTGCGCAGTTTCCCGCGCATTTTAATAAGCTTCTCAACCTCCTCGGGCTTCCATTTATTGCGTTTCACCGGCTTTGAGGGATTTGGTATTTCGCTGCTGTCAGGACCATCTTTCTTTAGATGTTCCTGTTGCACAGCCAAACCATTTTTATCTACTACTGATTTGTCAACAGTTGATAACCTAACAATTGCATTCCAAAAATCATCTGACTTCTCTGAATCAGAAGAAAGCTTTTCTGACTTGGAATTTGAGGTAGCAGAATCTTCCTCAGGTAGGAGTACTTCAACTTCAATGCCATCATCTTCAAATACGGACTCTGATGAGATAAAATAATAAAACATACCTGACGTCAATTCTAGAAATCACAAGTCCAGGATAGAATATATTTTAGATATATCAGACTGACATTGAGGTGACAGTGACGAAATATTATGCACCCTAACAACAGCACTGAGTGACCACTCTGTACGGGAAAGGGGAAAATACAGAACATATTTCTATAAGGTGTATGACATTCGCAGAGGTCCTGTGCAGAGAGAGAGAGAGAGAGAGAGAGAGAGTAAAGGACCTTCCGTATCTTGTTGCGAAGTGCTCTGCAAATGTGCATCGTCCTTGCCTTCATCTGCTTGTGTCCTAGTTGACTGATTCTTATATGGATGTCGATCAATTACTTTCCTCAATGTGGACATCTCAGAACCAACATGGGATTTTCCAGATAGTCTTACACTGACCTCATCAGCAAGAACTGCTGCAGGGTTCTCCATGGCAATGGCAATTACGTCTGGCCTCTTACCACTGTACTTTCTTACCAATTTCTCAATACCTCAGACACTGTTCTTTCCATGTGAGGCAGAGGACAATTTATGGGGCAGCTTGACAGTGCAGCATGGGCAGCTTTATGGAGTGCATCAATAAGCTTCCCTTTGTCAAGCCATAAGCATCGAGTATTAATTTTTATCTTCCCTTTAATTGCTATTTTCAGTCAGACCATTTACATTTTGAGGGCGTAAAATTTCCATGCTTAAAAAAAAAAAAAAAAAAAAAAAAAAAACCAAAAAATAAAAAAATCAGGATGCTATCATATAGAAACTCATATTAGGAGTGCAGTGTCATTGAAGAATCCATGAGATCTACCTGACCACTATTATGCCATCTAAGGCAACTCTTAGTCTCTCATCAACACAAAGTTCACTTGATGTACCAAATGCTTTATCGCCATCGCTAAACTTCAACTGTAATATAAGAGTAGATTTATTAGAAATTGCTTGATTAACTTCTCATAATAGTCAGAGAAAACTTCTTAAGGAACAACTCCAACCTGCAAATTCTCTTTTCCAAGCAAGGTGAAACCATTAGAAAGTACCCTTCTGTTTCTTAAATGAGAAACCCCAAGCATTTCCCCGTTCTTTATAACCTGTTGCATAAAAGTTTTCATGTTTTATCATCTTAATACCATAATTCCTTTCAGATTATGACCACAGAATAAAATTTTAACCACTGTCATGAATACTACATATCATTGGACCATATCATGCACCAAGGCAATTTTGACAGGATAAATTCCTTGAGTTGGGGAACAAATAGAAAATTATAAGTCTGCAGAATAAAGTCTAATATGGAGCAGGTTACTTTAAGTTACTCCTTTCGTACTTTTAGGTAACAAGTATCGAAAATATTAGAACTTCTCAACATTGTGCAAAATATCATCTTGATGCTATGTACTTTTAAATGGTACTTGTACAAGGCTGACACCAAGGAAACAAATAAAATCCACTGTTGTTTGGTACAAGGAAACAATATAATTTCAAATCCAAAATTCTGTAAATCTGTAAACGCTATAAGCTGCAGTATGGAAATTCGATATTAATAACAAAAACACCCCCTTAATAATGCAAATGTAATTTAATTGTTGCTAATTTGGAAATGTACATGGGTCATTTTAAAGACAAAGAAAGAAATAAGAAAATACCAGATGATTTTGTGATAAAGACATCAGATTATAAAGTCGAGTACGAACCATTTGCTCTTTCATGTAACATAGTTGAATCAGACTTATCAGACATAAACAGTGATATCGCATCAGTATAACAAGATAAACAGATTGACTCACAGTGGTGTGCCGGATGCCAGTTGATTTCCCAAGTAATTCATGCTCTTTGAGAAACAAGAGCTCTCCATGTATGGGCAGAAAATGTTGTGGCTTCACAATTTGAAGCACTTCTTCCTTTAAGAGAAAATTAGATTCTTTCCCAGTTAAAATATATACAACAAAACCAAATGAAAATTGCAAATGAAAAGGCATATCAGGTTACAAATAAATCAGATGAATAACATAAAATTACATCTTCTATAAGAGTCAATCTATTGAAAAGTGACATAAAAAAGGGGCATTCCCCATGCATAACATCATTGCGAACTAAATACCAAACAATCACCAGATCCCAACACATGGCTAAATGCAGTTCACCTGCTGCTTCTTTAGCTAGAAAATAACAATTATGGCATTACAACTTAGTCCTTGAAAATAGAAAATATGAAACAAGGTGAAACATAGAAAGACAACCATGTCTACATTTTTCCAAAAGCAAGGGAACCTGCACAGAGTCCGCACAAATGATACACTACAGTTTCGAGAAGATTAGAATATGATCTAACCATATAAGAAATTAAGACCTTTTGAAATTAAAATCTTGTGATGCAAAAGACTTACCAGTTCTCCACGATACCCATGACCAGATGTGTGCAGCCCCTCATTCTTACCCATGACTATGGTGGACCCAATCTCTGATATGCGGTTTAACATTTTCATAACCCGAGATTCATTACCAGGAATTACCTATAAGGTAAACAAGGTCAAAATAGCCAAATAGAAAAATCACAGCAAGCAGCAACAAAATCTATTGAAGTAGATCTCAGAATTCTGAAAACCAGAAGAAAGAGTAGGAAAGATTTCCAAAAGATTTAGCTGATCTGTGTACAACTTCCAATTTTGGGAATTTCATATTTTTCTATGCATCCATGTTGAAATTAAACTTTGGACTTTCTTTCTTTTTCAATGAATGAATAGAATTGTTAACCACAAGTATAGGGAACTTAAAAGTCTATAGAAACTATATGTCAATTAACTAAAGAAAATGAGGATATATAAATTCGTATTTGTCTAAACAAATTTGGTTATGCTAAAAACTCATAGATGTAACTTATATGAAAACACAATTAGAAACGGATGCTTATTATCTCAAGTTTTATTACCTTAGCTGAATACAAAATTATATCCTCTTTGGTCAGTTTGACGGAGTGACTACTTCCAAATGATGCAAGATTTAGAGCAGCACGTGGTTCTGCCTGACACAATAGCATACATCATTTGCCAGCAAAAGGATCCAGCAAAAGATTTTACTTCATGAAACTAGGCGGCCATAGGAGGCCATCTAGATAAACTTACTTGAGAGCCGGTTGTGACGATTAGCAAATCCTTTGGAGCATAGGAATCGATATCTTCCACTTTCACCTAATTCAAGTATAAAAAAACATAACTTTATGATGAGATCTCTCGGTAAAGAGAGGAGAAATACAAATAAATGTCATTACTGATGTAGAGATTTAAATGATAACTACACATAACTCCAATCCCAGCACAATTCCATCAGGCACCCACTCAATGGCTTACAACGTAATAGATTAATAGAGGATATTGCCCAAAATAGAGTTTACTGGCAAGAACTAGGACTTCCACATACTAGCTCATTTAGTTGAAATAAGGTTGAATGTAAAAATGACGTGAGTCAAATTGTCTAGGCACAGCCAATTGTTTAGCTTATGGCTGAAAACAATTTTCCTCAACCAATAGAAGCTGAAGCTGGCTCCTAATTCTTATTTGTACCCTCATGTGACATGAAGCAACACAATACCTCATAAGAAAAGCACAAACATGTATACACACAGAGATGGGGAAGAAAAAGAAAACAGGATCTGCGTCTACCCGTGTAAAAGAGAACTAGACAACACTACAACAGAACCTTTATGCATTATTACCAGGGATGATGGATCAATTGGTGCCTTCCCATCCTTCCAAGCTGCATCAAGATATGTCCTTAAGGACATACCAACAAATACCTAATAGATCACAATATAACACTTACTCAGACACATTTTGCTTTCATAGTACTAAGGTGAAGGGTATTTTAAAGAAAAGAAACACACTGGATTGTGTTGGATAAGGTTGGAAGAACCTACCAACTTTCTGCCGGTAAAATCAGCAGCAGCTTTCACACTTCCAAGTCGGTGTATGTTTGAAGCAAACTGAGTAGTAATAACCCTCCCTTTAGCAGCTGAAATATGCCTCAACAACGCATCTGCCACAGAAGTTTCACTCGTTGTCCTTCCAGGTGATAGTACGTTTGTAGAGTCACTCATCATCTGAAAAATAATGTGCACGAAATGATAACTTCATCTTTTCCTCCATGAAAAACAGTTTTGACCAAAAATGTGGATCACTTACATCCCAGTTTAGAATATCATTTTTAATTATTCAGTCTACATACACATGGTGAGAAGATATTTTATACTCACAACAAATAAAATATGCCTCACCCAAGGTTAGTAACAATATGACTTCATATTCTTGATTTAACAGCCCCAAAAATTAACCCCTATTTTGTCCCCAAGGAAAATCTCAATCTCACTACCAAGTCCAAGTGGATCCCAAAATATAAGAAATTAAGAAATATACAATTACTATGACTCAGAGGCATACCAAGGTTACTCCTTCTTTTGAAAGTTCTTCCAAAGCTTCACGGTCAAAACCTCTACCATCCAATGGTGATTCGTCAATCTGTTTAACATAGTTCTTTATTAAGCTTGAGACCTTAATCAAAGAAGAGAAGATGCTATACCTGTAAGAAAATTTTACCTTCCAGTCCCCAGTATGAAGAATTGTCCCATCAGAACAGCGAAGGACTAATCCACAACAGTCAGGAATTGAATGTGTCACCCGAACAGGCTCAATCTCAAATGGTCCAGCCATAAATTTCCTCTTTGTTCTAAATGTCTTAAGTCTAGATGGAACAAAAATCCCATGTTCCTTCAGGCGTTTTTTAATAAGCTGTTAAAAGAACAATATCAACTTTTTGAACATTATGGTAGCAACAAAATTGTAAAGAACCCAGGAATTCAAGAGGACAGGCATCTTCATCACACAAAAAACCTCAAAACCACATGGTTAAGGGCTGCAAAGAAAGTACTAACATTCTACGGAAGGTCAACATTAACAAACAAGTATGTTGATATTTACATATCGTGAAAGAAATTTTTGGCTGCCAAATTAAAGTTACGCAAGTACCTCCATGGTAAAGGATGATGCAAATATTGGTGTACGGGGATCCAAAGCTGGGATCACCTGTTTAGAGAAAAAAAGATGTATCAACTAAATTACATGAAACCCAAAATAATAAACTTCCATGAGAACGTTTAATTAAAATAAAATACAAATAGGAGAGAATTTAAGTTCCAAGGATTTCAGGTAGGCATTTCAAACTAGTTGGTAAGTCTCTCAAAATAGTTGGTGCAAGTGCCATTCTTTTAAGAACATAAAAAAGATTTTGATGCAATTACCATATTATACTACCCTTTTGTACTAGAACAACATTTACAATCTAAGTTCATCTTCACCTAGAAAAGCATCTAGAAGTAAAAGAAAAGTACTCTATGGAATCAGTCCTTTTATGATGTTTCTTTCTACAAACATGAAAATTGCAGTAGATTTATTAACTGCTGGTATATATTTTTATGTGTGCATGCTGCTTTGGTGATTGACATTCTCATTTCACCCACTTTGCTCTCACTCTCTCTGCAAGCTACTTACGTAGGTCGCAACAATTCAGGACTACCTTAGCATGCCATAGGCCAGGGACCAATTGTGCATGTTGACAACTAATGGTTGTCAAAAGATATTTCGCACAACTCATCATATTACCCAAGGCACCAATATGCACTCCACCAAAAATTCACGCAAGCCCCACAGGACTCCAAATCCACTTACCATAGTATGTAACCGAACACCAGGCTTTCAAGCCTATTACAAAATCTTAATGGTAGGTGTCAATGACAGGAACTTAATAGAAGTAACAAGTGTGGTATTCAGTCAAAATGGCATTTCCAAAGTATCAGAAGGAAACTTTACCCAAGGCAACGCACCAATGTGGTCTTCATGCCCATGTGTAATAACAATTGCTTCAATTTTGTGGCTCCATTTTTTGATAAATGTGGTATCAGGTATAATCTTTTGGACTCCAAGCTCATCAAAGCTGCAATACATAGAACATATGATCTAGGGTTAATGCATAAGCGGAAGAAAAGAGAAGGCAAATAAGGATCACTCTCATCATAGATTCAGAGAAGCAAATATCCATTTTTCATGTAAGAAATTCCTTTTTAGCAGTTCCAAATGCATAGAGTACATTTATGCTGGTATTACACAATTTGTCAATTCTCCTAGAATAAACTAGACCTATAACAGTAAAAATGTGGACAGAAGAAATCTTCTAAGAAAGGAAACTCGTACTTGAAAAATTACATCTAATTATCACCCAGATGCATTCTTTCAGGAGTATAAACAATAGTAAACACATACTCCGGAAACATGACACCAGCATCAATCAGAATATAGCGATCATAATTCCCAACCAGCATGCAATTCATCCCAATTTCTCCCAGGCCACCAATTGGTAAAACACGGATTGGTGGGCCCTCTCTGCCTTCATAAAATTGTTCCATCTTTCGTTGAACAGAGTCTTCCATGCTTTTCCGAGGCCCTTCCATTCTTCCCGATCTTTTAACATTCGACCCACGTGTACCTAAGTGAAGTAAACCAATAAAATTTCATTGTACTTTCCATTTTCATTTTCTTCAACTTTCCGAGCACCAAAAAGAAAACTTTTTTATTTTAAATGCGTAAAATATGATGTTCTTTGAACTTTTACTACCTGTAACAGCAGAAGAGCCAACAGAGCACGAAACGCAGCGGTTTGTAGGTTTCGGCCGCCACAGGAGGCTATACGGACAAGGAGAGAGAGCTCCGAAAGCGGCCATTTGAGTTGAGACGCTTGGTCTAAAGGGAGCTGAGCATAGAGAATGGTGGACAGATAAACCCCCCAAAACCCCTAATTGCATGAGTTTCGAGTTGGAGGTTTCGGAGAGCCGAAACGGTGGAAACGAAACCCCCGGATAGGATTTTGGGGTTTGCCGAGCTTTGTTTGAAGCGGGAAACGGAGAGAGAGAGAGAGAGAGAGAGAGAGAGAGAGAGAGTGCAGAGTGGCCAGTGAAGTGAGTTTTTTAGAGGATTTTTGTAGGCTTCAGAAATATCTTTCTTATCATTTTTGGAAGAGGACAATGGCAAATGAAGCGAAGTGATAAAAGGGACTCGCACGTGCGAACGGGCCTGCTTAAAACATTTTCCCACCTATTTTTATTTTGTATAGAATAGGGACATTTTAGTATATGCTTATATATACTGCCTCTTTTTTCCTGATATTATTTGATTTGAGTGAAAAAACAAAACAAAACAAAACAATTTTGATGCAAGAGAGGCTTTAAATATCCTTTTTTTTTCTTTACATAAAATAAAAAATCAGTGGTTGGATATCCAAAGTGTCAATTTTTGAGTCAGCTGTTTGAAAATTCTACACATTCATCTTCAATTTCTTTTTCTTTAAGCAATGGCAAAACGCCATGCATTTTTTGTTGGCTTTTAGATTGGAGAAGCAGAATTCTAGTTGTGTACGCTATTAGGTTAACTCAGCTTTCAGAAAGAAGCATTCAGATCAGTTATGAAGCCATAACGACACATGTACTGTGAAAGATGGAATGTAAAAAACGTATGCGTTACCAAATTCTTTTTACGTCCCGAAGATGGAAATTACAACAATCATTCAATATGGTACAAACACCATTGCCATGCCATCAACGACTACAAGAAATCCCAGAGCATGGTATCTTCTCAGGCCGGGAACTAACTCCCAGGTCCCGGTTTGCGCAAGTAGGTGTCAACGTTGATCATCATGTCCCGGGAACCATGGTAGTCCGGGTTGAAGACACTGTTCTGTTTCTGGGATTGGAACAATAGGTCCCAGAAAGATGCGCCACAGATCTAATATTATAGTCACTAGCATTGCAGCACCCAAAGCATCGATAGCCACCCTAGGCAAGTCCCATGGATTGCCAGGCTTTTCATCAATCCTGTGTACATGGATGAATCACCAGCAGTTAAATTCGTATAACATTGAGTAAAAATTTTAATAAATTTTTTAACATGAACAAAGAAATATCATGAGAATTCTGAATGATCCCATATATGTTTCTGATCACTTTCAATTAGGATTTTAATAGATTGTAATCACATGCTTTTAAGGCAATGGATTTCAACAGGATTTGTAATTACAAGATTTTACTTATGATTTTAATAGATTGTAATTACATGATTTACTTAGGACCTTTTTATATTCTCCAAAGAATCAAAAGATTTGCTCTAGGATTTCATATGAAATAAAAATTATATAATAACATGGATTAATTGCTTGGTATGCAAACTCTTGATTATTTTTCATGTTCTAAAGGATTATTTTTCATAAACTTTCATGTTGTGTAGTCTCGGTGGTTCTATGACCTCTCTTTGGTCTTTATTAATGAAAGTTCATCTTTATAAAAAATAAAAAAAATTTGTAGCACAGTGGTCCTTTTCTCCCAAGGGAACTAGAAGACCCAAACACTATGCATTGAAACCAAGAAATAAAGCACCCTAACAGAAGGAAATTTCCTAGTGATGGATTTCTTCTAGTCATTCCACCGTAAACTATTTATTAGTATTATATAACAAGAAAGATAAGAAAGACTAGTTTAGGTCAAAACAAATCTCTATAGTTATTTGAATAGTTATTCTCCAGTTTTAACAAAAGTAATAAAATATTATTTTATGAAATAATAAATAAATAAGAAAAATCATTCCTAAAGAATGAGGGAGTGTGCAACAAACCAAAAACACCAACTATATTTACAGATTGGTTTCTTCTTCTGTTTGTTCCACAACAAAGCAACACAAATATACATGGATGTATGTAGGCTTGTGCCCACAAAGCAACAGCAACATAGACAATAGCAAAAAAAAAAAAAAAAAAAAAAAATAAGATAGTATATAGGAGAACAAGTATGTGAAGAGAAAAGATGAGAACCCTCTTCACTTCTCAAGTCTGGTCTTCTCCCCCCAAAACAAATCAACACGAGAATCAGATGTAATAGGGTGTGATTTTTTATGGGGTTTGGTATTTATATCATCCACTAAAAAGTCTTACAGAATACATCATTTAATGAAATACCTCAAAATCGGTAAGTTTTTTAATACCACCGTACTTTTTCTAATCTATTGAAAGTGCTAATTGAATACCACCATACTTGCATTGATGATTTTAAAATCCTAATTGAATACCATCAGATTTTTATTGATTACTTAAAAATCATAATTGAATACCACTAGACTTTTAAGCTTCAAAAAAATCTATTAAAATCCTAATTCAATACACCCCCCTAAGTTGCACCAAAAAACTGTCCACTTCTTACCTTAGAAACATGGGAAAGCTAACAATGAAGTAGATGGCATAAAACAAGGACCCAACTGTGTACATAGATGCCCGGTCGACAAACTGATAGTAAGGGAACTGCACATTTTCAAAACAAAACATCATTGTAACAGAATCTATTCACATTGACGTGGGCTAGTTATATTGTAAGATATTAACAAATCCTTAAACTGGAGGCATTTCAAAGGAACAGCTTGTAGAAATCATTTATGAAGCCTATTATATCGCAGAGGTCTTACCTATCAACAGAGAATTTCTGAAACAAAGCTGTCTCTTTAAACCAGTAAAAGATAAACAAATACCGATCACAGGCTCACTCCAGACATTATTTTTGTGGTTACGGTGGCCAAGAAACTTTACTACTATATAAATTTTCTTAATAAAGCTGACTTGATTTTCATCACAAGTTTACTGGGATTCTTGATACGAGGGCATAGGGGTCAAATGGAATTCCAAGGGATAAGCAAGACTAAGACTAGAGGGACATGAAGCAACGTATATATGAACTTCAGCATTCTACCTTATCTAGAATCTAATATATTGATAGGCTAACTTTGGAAATTCGTCAAAATTTACGAGTCGTTAGATGAAAGATATCACAAATGTGTTATAACATACATTAGAAATAGCTACAGTCTCCAGGTATGCTATGAAGTAAGAAAGAGCCAAAATCCATGCAGCCTCAGTAACCCATTGAACTCGTTCTGGCAATTCAGCAGTAAAATGGCGTAGTCTGCGAAGCGTTATGTTTGATGTGACATGATAAAATAGGAAGCAAACATGTGTAAGAAGGAAGGTAGTGTGTGGTACCTGCACAGAAATAAAAAAAGTGGTTAGAAAAGATAAGTAGTCTATTACAGAGTGTTTCTAAGTTTTCTGGCTTTAGCTTACATTGTTCATTTTCCATGATGGGAAAGTATACGAAGCTCCCAAAACTGTGAAGAAATAGTGGGTCCAAAAGTAATTCCCAACATAGCTAAAAATTATTATCCACAGGCTGGCCTGTAACAAAAATTAAATTATGGTTCAGGCTAAGCATAAAGTTGTAAATAAAGATGACAAGTGCTAATGGATTGACTGGCGCAGTAAGGCAATGAAGAGAAAAGAACCTTCAAAAGACAAGAACAGTACTACTAAAACTACATTTTAAACCAAAAAAAAAATCATTTTTATCACATGTTTTGCAACTTGATAAGATGTGTGATATCATATAAGCACATTAAGTGCAATAAAACGTACCAAACAGAGAAATACACCGCATTTAGAATAAACGATAAGTCCAGCATGAAGGTATAGTCATTGACAAAAACAAATGACTAATAAGCAAAGAAACTAATAAACCAAAGTATAAGTTCCATTGTCTGATGACCTTGTCCTAATCATGACATATATAAAGAATTTTAGCCCATGAAAACACTTGCCTTGATCCAATAACGATCCTTCCAAGACAAGCTGCTATCTGCCTGCAAGCATACTCGCAAAAAATTAAAGAAACAAAAAAATGGTTAGAAAAAAACAAATATTGGGTAACACATTCCATTCTGTGGACTTTCCAACTGCTAAACCATATGACGGCTCTATCAGTGTATATTTACTCTCTCGTATATTCCTTTTATCTTTAGATACAAATTAGATTCAAAATACTGCTAGTTTCAAGAGATAAATGAAGTTTTGTAGACAATGACAGAAAATAAGTTGTGAGTCTTAGCAAAAAGAAGAGTTAGTAACACAATTTGAGTACTGGTGGAACTTTTAATTTAACCATCATTTGTTTTGTTTTTTTCAAATTGAAAGTTTTGAATGTTATTTTGAATACCCCATTATAAATGAGAAATGACAGTAAGTTGACAACAATTTTATTCAGGAACACCATTTTCAAGCAAAATTTGGAATAGATTGAACGTGTTTATCTGAAATTATGAATTACATCTAAAGCACAAGGGTGTCAAAATTCACATCAGTACAAAACCCAAATATTAGCAAGAACTCTCATGATTAGTTGACAACCGTTCGTTAAGCTTTGAGGTCTAATAAGAAATCTAAACTGAACTTTGTAAAGTTGAAGTAGTTACCTTCCCAACGAAGAGCATTGGCAACAAGAAAGCAGGGACTGCTGAAACCAATCCAATCAGCAAATACTCCAATTCCGTAAAGCTCTGGCACAGACGCAGATCAAATATGATAGTAGATACTTAGTCAACACATATACAAAAATCAGAAAAATTAAACAATTTCATCAAAATAACATTTCCTTCTTTTTCTACTACTCTTTTCATTCATTTTCTTCATTTTTTTTCTCAGTAACCAATGAGACGGTAACGAAACCGAACCTCGTAGAGCTTCAAGGGCACGACAATTCCCAAGCAGAGAGTGAGCCAGAAAGGAGTGTAGAGAAGGAAGAAGAGCTCCCCCCATCTCTTGCTTGGATTGGGAGCTAACCATAAACTCGAACAAGAGCAAGCTGATTCTTTACCTGTGCATTACCAAACAACGGTTTATCAAAATTCGGATGCCATTTCAAACCCTAATTAAATGGATTTTTGAATTCAAAGAATGGGGAATTTACCGCCCATTTTGGTATTCGGATCTTAAATAACGGTGGTTTTTTTTTCGGATCGGGGCGAGCGAGTGTGGAGGTGAAGCTTTCAGTGTTTCAATTTCACTCTGAGTGAGAGAGCTCCTTCGTGATTGCGCCTAGAGATTGCTGCATCCTGTGCTGAAGATTACGTGGCGGGTTTTGCGAAAATAGGTTTGTTTAGTTAGTTATTTACTCACGTACCAGCGGCCTTGAAGAAAATAATCTAATTAATTAATATTACTATCAAATGAATACAAGAGAAAGCGATAGTCTAAACTATAAGGTGATAGATATCACAAACACACTACCAAGGTGTGAGAGAATTCAAATCTCAGACTACTAGTTCTCAATATTGAAGAGACCTCAAGTTCGCTTTTGGTTTAACATGCAAATATGCATAAATTAGCTTTTGGTTTAATAATGTTTTTCTTCTCAATATTGAAAAGACCTCAAGTCTCGAGTCTCATTTCTCATTTAAATTCTAATTCAATATACCCAAACGATGACTCAATCTAAATTCTATTTCTCATTTCTCATTCTTCATTCTTGTAAGGGTTTGACATAGATAAATGATAAATAATGAAAGTTTTTCCTTATAAAGGATTTTGTATGTTTGTTAAATTAGAAAGAAGAAGGGTGTTTTTTCATACACACTATCAATGTGTCATTTAGATGCAAACATGAGACTACTGACGTGCAATTGAAGGTCATTTTTTTATTGGGCTCTCATGTTGACTCCTGATAAGGGTTTGGTATAGCTAAATTATAAAGAATCCACATCTTTGAATAGAATTATGTTTGTTACATTACATCGTATAACCACACTATCTACATCGTTTTACATCATGGCTCTATCTTTGGGGAAGCACAAAGTTTTTATTATCAATATATGTTAGTTTATGACTTAATTTGATGAGGTAACATTTACGCACATTTTTCATAAGACGAATTTTGTTATTAATTTATTAGGTTCAAATCATGTCAAGGTTGTAACCGAAAAGAAAAAATAGCTCAAGGGTCCCCTCTTCTTCGAACATGGTAACGAATTTATCTTTAGAGGTTGTTATTCATGATGTAGTAAATATGTTACAAGATTTAGTCGTTTGTGTGAATACCGGTGTTAGTTTATTTTGTTTTTATTAAAAAAATTTGTCTTTATCCGGGACCCGCTTACACATGTGTCTCCACCTTTATTGGCGAGAAAGATTTTCATGAAACGGGAATAACACTATTTTGCTATCCTGACCAATAACGCCATGACACGTATAATAATACTTCCACATGACATAACATTATTGAACTAGATAACAAAAAGTATCATCCTCTTTTGCAACTAAGGGCCTGTCCGGTAATGTTTTCTTAGAATATTTTCAGAGAATGAAAACAAGAAAACGAATTTGCATTGTCAGAAAATGAAAATACGTATGGTTAATTAATTAGAAAACATCTTCAGAAAACAAAAAGAATGAAAACGTGTCTGGTAGTACAATTTGAAATAATAATATGTGAGTTCTTTTTATGAAAATATTTCCCATGAAAATGAAAACATGTTTTTGCCTCATTTTTGTTTTCTGAAAATGAAACAACCCCTTCAAGCGTTACTGAACAGGCCTAAGTTTTTCTCCTTATTGGCCATGGCCAACAGATCATTTATATGCATGTAGACCACCTGCATAGCATAGAATATAACGAAACCCCCTCTTCGCTCCCCAGGTGCTATAATGAGCAAGACAATCAAAAGGTGCGAAATTCTTCAACTGCCTTTGTCTCTTTCACGGTTTTACGTGCCATGCGTCACTCAATCCATGCACGTTCACACAGCAGAAGTCCTTTACAGCTTATAATATATATCACTCTTCGCAATTTCAAGCACAGAGAAAAGCAGAGCAACAGAGAAAGGAAGAGATGGCTAAAAATGGTGGCGAGGCAGTGGTTGTGTGCAGCGACAAGAGCATGGGAATAGGGATAACTATATGGGGCATAGACACGGGGGATCGTCTTCTTCACATACCAACCTGTGCTTCTGCTCCTCATGGTCTTGTGTGCCTGAGAAACCAGTTCCTTGTAGCTTCTCAGATTCACAAACATGGCTCTGTTGGAGGAGGGGCCATTTCTATGTGGCCCTTGAACAAGGTAATTCTCACTGCTTAGACTCAGATTGTTTGGGGGTTTATATCAATTTTTATGCTGGAACAATTGTAAATAAATCGGTTTAGGAATTTGATTCCCATCCCATGTTGGTTTGAAATCTGTAATTGATCTCTCTCATTTTTGGGTAAATTTTGGCCTGACCATTTATTTGCAAATTTCTGTTCTCTACTTTTCCTAATTGCCAGAAATTTAAACGATGGAGATCTAAATTCCATCATTTAAGAATTCTATGCAATTTTCAATTCCTTCATCCAAACGGATAGTTGGTGTTTAAAATTGCAAGCTTGATACGATCTGAGTAACAAAATACCACCTTTACACCAGCAAATTTGGTTAGCCTTTGCAATTTGTCTATGTTCATTGAAGTATAGGTTTGAATCGTATTCTGTTGACTCAGTCACCTCTATGTTCACAGAACTCTGATGCTTTTGATTCAATTTTACATCCTGAAAAATGAGATAGGAAATAGTACAATGAATTTGAACTCCTTTTTTTTTGTGTGAATTAATACTCATAAATAAGAAAACTATGTTCTTGTGAAAATCATATTTGGTTTGTTGTATGCAACATTTTCCCAGCCTCAGCAGCCTATCCGGAGCTACCCACTAGAGGCCATTGGGCCACTTTCTTGCACAAAGGATGGTGTATATCTTGCAGGTGGTGCTCTATCTGGAAACGTTTACCTTTGGGAGGTTTGTAATCACTGTCATCAATTCCTCCGTTCAGAAACATTCCAATAAAGATCTTAACGGCATTGAGGTGATCTGTAGGTTGCTAATGGAAAATTGCTCAAAACTTGGCGTGGACATCATAAATCTTTGAACTGTATGCTGTTTTCTGATGACGGCTCTCTTCTCGTTTCTGCTTCAGATGATGGGATGATATGTGTGTGGTCTATGGTCGGGTAATAACTGAACTTGGATTTTGGCCTTGTCACTTTTTAGACGCTAGAAAAAATTTCAGATAATAAGAATTCACAGTGATGCTAATTTCTGATAATTTTGATGGAAGTTTGCTGGACATGGAAGATTCTCAAAGCTTTCCCTCGTTATTACATTATTCAATGGAGCATAAATCCTCTATAACTGGCCTGTTAACTACATCAGGCAGTTCAAATGTAGTCTTAATATCAAGCTCACTTGATGGCTCATGCAAGGTTATCAAACTCATATTTGTTCATGCTCCTAACAATTGTATCTTTTGACTGATATACCTTATTACTGAAAGAAAATTATTCTGTGGTTAGGTATGGGATTTAGTCTTGGGAAAACTTATGCAAACTCAAGTTTATCCGCTAGCGATAACTGCAGTTGTTCTTCACCCAACGGAGCATCTCTTTTTTTCTGGAAGTATAGATGGAATAATTTTTGTGAACAAACTTGAAATCAGACTGGTAGAAAATTCTTTGGCTGCTGCTGAAGATGAAAAAGCTGTGATAAAAGGACACAAGTACTGTATGGTGTTTCAAGATTTTTTAGATCATTGGAGATAAAACTGTCCTTTTTCTCAACAGAAATAGTTATAAGATCTCGAGAATGTCTTTTTTATTACATGGCTGAGCTTTATGGGTTTGTATTGGAGATAAACATGCACATGCTCTTCAGACTCTTCACACAAGCAGAGTGCATTTTCTGTCAAATCTTCAAATATGAGTTATTGATTTTTTTCCTTCTTTACATTCTATAGTCTGCTGATGAAAGACCCATAATCCCTGCAGGGGAGCTGTCACTGCATTAACCTTCAGTCAAGCAGGTCTGGTATCTGCATCTGAGGACTGCACCATCTGCATCTGGGATATCACCAATTGGGCAGTCATCAGAAGATTCGACCATAAAAAAGGTAATCGTAGCCTATAGCCTTATTCTGTTCCCTTTTCTTGGAGAGGTTTGAGTGAGCTAAATTTTATTTCTCTTGGTATGTAGCTAACTTTTATTTTGTTGAAGGCATTTTGTCCATGCTCCAATTGGTTGCTCAAAAGTGGCATACAGTAGAAAAAACTATAAGGGCTTTTGTAATATTTGATTGAGAGGCATGCCTATAATTGCAAAAACGTATTATGTGCAGTTGCTTTCTAATACAAATCATACTAGACTGAGTTTTATTTTGTATGATCAAGATTGTTGCTCTCTTCTATTACCAGGGGCTGTAACTAATCTGGCAGTGATTCCACAGTCCTCATTGCTTTCTGTGTCAAACCATCGGAGAGTTTCTAATGCATTTGGTGTTTCTTCGCTCAACAAGTATCCACAGCCTCCCAACTCATCCAAGGAGAAAATCCCTCTTCTTTCATCATGCCACTTCCTCAAAAGAAACCACACCAATCATTCTGGCCAACAAATATATGACACAGAGGTCTCTCTCTTTCTCTTGCGTACATATATGCACATAACATTAGGACACGTGCACACACACACGCGAACAACACACACGCTCAGAAAAATGGTATATGACTTAGCTAGTAATGTTGTGCTATATGCCTAAGCACCAATTAATCAAGAGACATCTTAATTATTTGTCATACAAATTTGGGCAGGAAGAATTCAGTCCTGCAGCAATGCAAATGAAGTTGGAAACAATCCTAGAGCACCGGATGTGGGCAACAAGAATGGCAAAACATGTGATGGAGATGAACACGCATTTGCAGACACGTTTGTTAGACTTGATGCAGAGCGGATTGCGGTCCACGTCTACTGAAATTGATTCACCTCCAACAAAAAAGAGAGAGACTCGCATGTTTGATGAGAGTCCCCCATTTCAGGGAGAGGAGCAACCATAATCCTCTGAACTCATCTTGTTCCCATCCCATGTCACATGTGTTTCCTCCTTTTGTCTATAGAAGTTAATAGTGCAATAGGAACGCACCAACTTTGCAAGTTTTTGCTTGGCTGCTCTCTTTTATCCTTGCAATAATTGTGATTAACTTAAAACTGTTCCTTTCTTCTTGTATCAATGTACTCTTTGTCCATCAAGAAATTTCTCTATTGTCAACTTGAACATAGAAAATGTCAAATATGCCCTCTTATTCTTATTAACAAGAAGTGTATATATTGAACAGTTAAGGACAAAATAAGAAAATGTTAAGCCAATGGGGTCAATCTCCATGATATTTTGGTAGTGTGTGCGTATAGAAAATTTCTCTCCCCCTTAAGACTATCCCTTGTAATTAATAATTAAAAAAGGACTAAATACAATATGAAATAAATCTCAATTACAATAAGATTAAATACACTTGTATGTAACAAAATCCTAACTAAGTAAGAATTCGCCAACAAATATATTAATATGCCCTCATATTTTCGCCATTTATAAACCCGCACAAAAAGAAAAAAAAAAAAAAAATAGAAACGAAAAGAAAATGCAAAGTGTAATAATTTGAAAAAAAAACAAAAAAAAAAAAAAAAAAAAAAGTTGAAGTTATGTACATGGAGGACAGATTCCCTCTAATATTCCAAACGCAGTCTGCCCCGTCGGCGGGATCACCCTTGGGTGGATGGGCATTTTGGTCAAAGTAACAAAAATATTGTATTGGTTAATTTTCTTTTTTTGTCGGAAAAGTATTGGTTAATTTGGCTATTTGCAAAACCAAAAGCCTCCATAAAAACTCAAAACCCTTGACACTCAGAGACGCATTCATACATACAGACTCATAGCTCACGTTCCTTCACAGACAAACACTCTGCTCTGGTCTCAGCCACTGCCATCATGGCCCAATTGAAGTCCATTTCCGCTTTCTCATCCTCCAACCTCGCTTTTCACGGTCCCAAAAGAGGTACATTCTTTCTCTTCATCAGAGATGGTACATATTCTCAAAAGCAAATTCATAGAATTCTAGAAGAAAACAGGTTCCATTTGTTCTTAGAGAAAGCAGAATTCATTTCAGATTGATGATTAAGGATTTTTTAAAATTTGCGGAGAAATTAACAGTACCCAGACACTTAAATGCTTAATTTTTAATGGAAAAATAGTTGGATTGCAGTGTGATGGTGTATATATATATATATATATATATATATATATATTCTGATATCAACATGTTTCACATCTTTTGTTTGTTTGAGCAGAGTCATTTCCGTATCATGGCAAAGTTTGTTGTCCAGGGAAATTATCTTCATTTCAAGAGGTAGCTATACCTATATCCATAATGCCTTGTACATATGAATTTTCTCTCTCCTTATGACTCTTGTTGATTACTTGATTTTGGTTTCTTCCTGGGTTGTTTACCCTTTTTTTCAATTTATAAATTTTACAAATAACTGGTTTCTGCAGTTGGGGGCAAGAACGAGTGAGCTACAGGGGAATGCATTTGCGGTTTCTAGTGGCAATGGGAGTGTAACTAGAGCTCATGACAAGCAAGGTGGGGTTGCCTAGTCATTGGTTCTTTCACATGTTGGCCTTGGTTCTGATTTTGGATGTTACCGCTGTTGTTTCGTTTCATTTATGTTTAAATGTTTTGGCTATGGAATTTGATCTAAACCTATGCATGTTGTAGTTGTCTGGTTTTTCTTGTGTATTTTTATACTGACACCCACACATGTGTATATTATATGTTTTGTGGCATCTCAGTTATTAAAGTGTACTTAATGAGTTCATTGTGGTGATCTGATATGGTGAGATGACATTAGTGAAACATTTGGACTATTGTGAAAAGTTTAGCAAATTAGTATTTTGTATACATGTTGTGCATATCCGTGAATGTACACATCTAGACGGTAGAACTTCCAAATCAGGGGATGATATGTAGGATTCTTCTGTAAAGATGCATGGGTATGTTAGGTGGCATTCTAGTTTAATGCCAGCATTTCAGCCCATGGGAAGAGCAAACAAAACATCAGGTCCTTGCCTCCCCTGATATTTATTTCTGTGTCCTCTAGAATTTATTTTGTGATGAGGTTTTGAAATCCCCTTTAATTAAGTCATACCGTATCTACAGATTCTTCTTGCAATTTGACTGTCATTGGATACCTAGGAATATGTTTAGCCACAGAAAATTTAGAATTGTTGGATCACAACATATTCACATTCCAAGGAGTGAACATTGCTGTTAGAGAGATAAAGGAGTTTAAATGAGATGCCATTATAGGATATTTTATTTTCTAAATTCACTCATCCACTGATTCTGTAATATACTAATATTTGAGGTCCAAGATGCTAATGTCATCTTCATATCAATGCAGTTATTAGAGCAGTGTTGCCCAGTTATAGTGAGACAGAAGTGTCTGGATCTACGAAAGAAAGAGGATTACGTGGCAAGTTGAATAAGGTTGTTCTGGCCTATAGTGGTGGCTTAGACACATCAGTCATTGTTCCGTGGCTAAGGTATTACCCCTGTATTATCATACTGTCTGATTAAAGATTAGTGAAATCCCCTTATTGGATAGTTCTCTTCTGTGTGCTGCATACAGCCTGTTTTATGTATTCCGGGCACCATTTCTTTAGACTCAATGTTAATGCCTATTGATGCATATTTCATGTGTCGTTTCTTGTGTTTTCTAAGGTCACAGTTACCTTACTAGCTTATACTTCTGATTATTTACTTTCTCGTTATGGTTTTGTACGATTATTTACTTGCAGGGAGAACTACGGTTGTGATGTTGTTTGCTTCACGGCTGATGTTGGTCAAGTAAGTTAGGAGTAGCAACATCTACTTCAAAGTCAAAATTGTCTTGTTTCTGCAATGTACTTTAAGACCATGATAATTGGTTCTGACTTGCGTGTTTGCTACTTGTTTTAAAATTATCAGGGTTTAAAAGAATTGGAAGGTCTGGAAAAGAAGGCCAAGGCCAGTGGGGCTTCTCAGTTAGTAGTTAAGGATCTGAAGGAGGAGTTTGTAAAAGACTATATATTCCCTTGCTTGCGAGCTGGTGCAATCTATGAGAGGAAATACTTGCTGGGGACTTCAATGGCCCGCCCTGTTATTGCTAAGGTGATCTCTCAATTTGATGCTCGGAATGTTGTTTTAGTTATAAATTCATTACCTTTATGGATTGATATTTACATAGCCAAGACAAATGTAAAGAATAGGTTCTTGAAAAATGCATATGCTCTTCCAAGGTCTGTTCTGTCTGGTTTGATTCTGGTAGATAGAGCTGAGTATAGCTCCTTAATTACTTAGTTTTAGAACTTGTATCTCCTTGAAAAAATATATATTTATCATAATGATTACTTCATACAATGACATTCCTGAAAACAGGCCATGGTTGATGTTGCCAAAGAAGTTGGAGCTGATGCCGTAGCTCATGGATGCACAGGGAAAGGAAATGATCAGGCATGCCTTGCAACTCAGCATTTGATATTACAACAACTCATGCATTTCTTTTTTTCTTTGGTCATACCAACTCATGTATTTCTTCTGACACAACCTATCTTGTCTGCTTAGGTTCGCTTTGAGCTGACGTTTTTCGCTCTCAATCCCAAACTAAATGTTGTGGCTCCTTGGAGGGAGTGGGATATTACAGGTAGAGAAGATGCTATTGAATATGCTAAGAAGCATAATGTGCCTGTGCCAGTGACAAAGAAATCCATATACAGCAGAGATGGCAATTTGTGGCACCTTAGTCATGAGGTACAATTTTTTAATCTCTTCTATTAACCTTTTATTTTGTCTGGATAACTACTATCTTTTCATATCAAATCTTTTTGGTTCGTCTCTAGCTTGCTGTTTGGGTTCTATAATTCTCTATCTCATTTGTGTATGTATTTATGGAATTGATCAAAGGGTGATATATTGGAAGACCCGGAAAATGAGCCTAAGAAGGATATGTTCATGTTAACAGTCGATCCAGAAGACGCACCAAATGAACCTGAGTAAGTCCCACTTTGAACCTATATATTTTAGCTCTTACTTTGTGTTCTGAGTGCATTTTCTTACGTATCTTGCCCATGCTCTCATTTCCTATAGGTATGTAGATATCGGGATCATTTCTGGAATTCCGGTCTCAGTCAATGGGAAGAATCTGTCACCGGCATCTCTACTTGATCATCTAAACCAGATTGGTGGAAGACACGGAATTGGCCGTGTGGACATGGTTGAAAACCGACTCGTTGGTATGAAGAGCCGTGGAGTGTATGAAACTCCCGGAGGCACCATCCTCTTCGCTGCTGCACGTGAGCTGGAGTCTCTAACGCTGGACAGAGAAACATTGCAGGTTAAAGACTCGTTAGCCCTGAAATACGCGGAGCTGGTGTATGCAGGCAGGTGGTTCGACCCGCTTCGTGAATCTATGGATTCATTCATGGAGGAAATCTCAAAAACAACCACAGGATCAGTGACTCTCAAATTGTACAAGGGTTCAATTACTGTGACCAGCAGGAAGAGTCCGTACAGCCTGTACAGGCAAGACATCTCGTCATTTGAGAGTGGGGATATATATGATCAAGCTGATGCAGCTGGGTTCATTAGGCTGTACGGCCTTCCCATTAGGGTGCGAGCAATGCTCGACTCTTGAGGGATGAGGCTAGGCTCTCAATGGCTGTAGTTTTATTTGCGGCGTTAGAATTAGAACCAAGGAGTGAGCTTATATAAATGTTAGCCAGTGGTTTGAACAAAAATTGAGTTGTGGCTTCAACTTATAATTCCCTTCTTTAATAAACACAAGAACAAGTAGTTAGATTAAGGCACTCGCATATGTGCCACTTGTTTTATTTATATATTTATTTTTGTTCGATAGTTAATGTATTAATTCAGATAAATAAGGGAAATCTACTCTTGAAAAAAGAAAAAATTTAATTCGTCACAAAATATCCTCAACACCCACCATACACACTCGAATTAGATAATTTTTTTAAAAAATTTGTATCAACATAGAAATGATTAAATTTCTCTAGAAAGCCTATCGATTATACCTTCTAATTTTTTGTCAACGTTAGCCAAAAAAGCCTAGTCCTTCAAAGCCACATAGTGAATGTTCAAGGCCCAACCCGTTGGATTGATCATGCTAGACCACTTAGCTCCATGTCCAGATTCGTTGTACAGTAGTAGGTAGACTACGGTTGGTGACAGTAGTTGGTAGATGCCGGTAGGTGACATTGTATCTTAGCCACCTACTGTGGTGGTAGGTGGGATAGGGACAGTATATAAGGAGGATGACACATTGTGTATCCTCACCTCACAACTTGTAAAGCATTTGAGTAGCAATACAAGCATATATTCTCCCATACTCTGTTAAGCATTCTTATTGTTCTTGCTCTTGCGATTGTTCTTTGCTTGGTTCGATCTTGTGTTGTAGGAAGGAGGCTGACTTAGGCCCCGTTTGGGATTGTTTTTTTTTGCCAAAAACTTGCTTCACTTTAAAGTTAAGCAGTCTAAGGTGTTTGGTAAAAATAAAATATCCCGATTAATAAAGCAGTGGCCTTTTGACAGCAGCTTTTAAAAGCAGGCTATAGGAAAGCTGCTTTCAAAAGAAGCAAAGATGAACCTTTAACAAAATTTTTAATTCCCAAAATACCATCATTCATTTTTAAAAATAACACCACCTCCACTTCCACATCTAACTTCACCACTTACACCACCACATTCACTACCTCCACAATCACTGCCATCGCCACTACTACCACCACCAACTCCACCTTCACCTCCACCTCCACCCCCACTACCACCACAACCACCACCTCTTCCAAAACCTTCACAACTAACACCACCACCACCACCACCACCACCATGCTATCACTACCACCACCTCCACAAGCACCATCCCTACCACCACCACTACCACAACCACCAACTCCACCTTCATCACCACCACCACCTCTACTCCATCACTACCACTACTACCACATGATTAGTACATAACACTTTTAACATCATATCTATTTTAGTCATTATTCACAGTTACAACAATTTTATATTAAAACTTACCAAACGGTTTCGACACTGCTTTTTGTACTAACAGCACTTTAAAAATATTGTTTACCAAACATAGAGCTGCTTTACTTTACAGCTAATTATTTTCAAAACACAGCAGAAGCAACTTTTTTCAGAAGTGACAGCAATCCCAAACTGGGCCTTAGCTTGTTCGAGAGGCGATCAAGTCTAAGGCCGCACGGAAGGAAGACTCCGAAAAAGTCATCCTGTGACAATAGGCAGACCTAGTCCTTCAAAGCTAGGCAGTTAAAGCCTGCCTAATCTTCCCCGACCAGAACAAATTGTGATCCACTATCGTCTTGTGTGATGCAAAACCATCGTATAAGTGAGTGTTGTCTCTTGCAAACGACATTTTTTTCACCGTCGTATGTTAACAATTCAGACAACGGTTCTAGTATAAAACTATCGTCTATGTGAGTTTAAATTGACTGAAACATGTTATTTTCATAATCTAGGTGTACAAAATTCAGTTATTTTCTGTCATCTAGATGTACAAAATGTTGGAAAAGATGGCGAAAAATCAAAGAGCCAATAAATAAATATGGCACTCCTAGGATCTGACTTCTCCCAGCCTTGTGTAAATAAAATGGGCAAAAATAACACTCTATCTTCCACTAAGAAAAATAATGGGAATACAATAATAATCTCACCAAACACTGGTGGCTAAACTCTCTCTTGGTTTTTTTTTCAAGAGGATTTTCTCTCTCACACAATTGAGGTTTTCTTATATCTCAAAACTCTCTATGCTTCGGTTTTCTGAGGAATGCATTTAACTGAAAGAATGCAATTGCTTTTATAGGCAAACGTTCCTAACTAATTGGTGGCCATGCATGAAAGAGAGTTCTTCTCATTTTCTCTTCCATTTGTTTTCTTCAAATTTTCCCATCCTTTCTTTTATTTTATTTTAATATTTATTTCCTTCTTCTTCTCTCCTCCACTAACAAGGGAAACCCATCACAAAATTCAATAACTCACTTCAAACCAAATCGAATTATAACTAACAAATTCTTCCACATTTATTGTTCGTATTTGTCTTTGAGTTGATTTTTGCCTTGGAACATTCTCCTCCAGACTGTTTTGGTTTGACCTTTTTATTGATGTACACCTAAGAAGGAGAAGGTTCCAAGGCAAAAATCGTTTGCGGATCATGGATTTCTCACCGCCATGGTTAAGGAAATTACAAGGGATGTGTGCCATTGCTTTGTTTGCTTGTTTAGCACAAGGTTTGTAATTAATTATATTTCTTTTAGTTAATATTTCAGGACTATATTTGAATCAAAGAAAAAAAAAAGACTACACTTAAGTGGATGATGTTGATTGATCATATTCCAGGTCCTGTAAATGCATCCAACCCCCCAGAATTGGAAGTCAAGTGGTCTGACTTCCCTAGTGATTTTGTGTTTGGAGTCTCTACTGCTGCTACACAGGTGCATAATAATTTCTGCTATGTTATTTAACTCCATATGTACTTTTATATATGGTTTTCATCTTCGTATATATATATATATATATATATATATATATATATAACTATGTTGGGTGCAGATTGAAGGATCAGCAAAAGAAGCAGGAAGAGGACCAAGTGTTTGGGACTACTATGTTGAGAAATTCCCAGGTTCATAATCATATCTCAAATATAATGCAGAATTTCTTTTCTTTGGCAGAGTATCATGTTCATTCTCTTTTTGTCTCTGATATTTTCCTTTACATTCAGAAAGGATTGCAGATCACTCCAACATGTTTACGGCCCTCGATTCATACAAGCGATACAAGGTGCATTGCAAGAGGAGCCTGTGATAATTAAACTTCTCCCATCAAATTTCATTTGCTATTCCATGCATAGATGTGAATTTTTAATTTTTGACATATATTTGGCCAATAAACAATTGTAACTGTAGGAAGATGTGAATGCTGTGAAGAACCTTGGAGTTGGGTCTTACAGATTTTCCATCTCTTGGACCAGGATTCTTCCTGGTAAGCATCTTATCTACTTGTTGTTTTTCTTGTCAAAATGCTTTTGTGCTTGTGTCGCCGTTTAGCTATTTTGTGGTAGTGTTTGTATGTTGCTTATTTTGAAATACTATAATTTGATATCTAAATTATTCTCTTTGTGTAGCTAGAAACTATAGCTTTGTTTTTGTGCTTTTTCCACAAAGTCATATGCAAATTTGTTATTGGATGTGTTTCAGAGGGAACCTTGAGTGGTGGAGTAAACCAACAAGGTATTGATCACTACAACAACCTGATTGACGAACTGATCAAGAATGGTAAGAAGCTATGCTATTATTATTTACCATTTATTATCAATATCAATTCTAGCAGTCACAAAATGAGTGTTTATATAACCCAATTGCACCACTTTATCCCACATCGGCCAAAGCAAAATAGAAACAACAGTTCATAAACCCAGCCACATGACACCTCGTTCGCCGAGCTATGTTGCGCTAGCTTATGACTCAAGCGAGGGCATTGAAGTGGTAGAACCATGGTTCGACTCATCTGGCAGGGTTGGCAGTTGCAATCTGCTGGCTCGCCCATTCCAAGTTGTGAGTTGTGTAATGTGGTCCATGCGAAGGCTTGGGCCACGTGTCTCTTAGAGCGGAGGGCACAGCGTGAGGCTGGTTTCACAGAGCAGCGAAAACCTCCCGCTCACGGCAGTGGAAGGATAACGAGTCGGTGCTACACCAACCCAATTTGCCTGATGGGTTGACACCAGTTGAACCACCACTTCTTTTTTCCTTCCTTTTTTTTAATGACATTTCCATCTTATGTTTCTAATGCAGGCATCACACCATATGTCACTATATTGCACTTTGATGCACCACAAGCTTTGACAGACAAGTATGGAGGCCCCCTAAATCGCTCCTTTGTGTAAGCACACCCCTTCTTTAATTATACTATTTTTTCGTGTCTCGTAGTTTGCGAAAAAAATATATTACTCATATCTTCCATATATCATAATTTACAGGGATGATTTCAAGGATTATAGTGAACTTTGCTTTAAATTTTTTGGAGATAGAGTAAAAAATTGGATTACAATCAACGAGCCATTAATTACTGCAAAATTTGGGTATGATCTTGGGGTTGATGCACCAGCAAGGTGTTCTGTTCAAACAGCATATCCATGTAGTGTTGGTGGTAATTCAGCCACTGAGCCTTACATTGTTGCCCATAACATTCTCCTTGCGCATGCCACTGCTGTTGAGCTCTACAGAGAGAAGTTTCAGGTGACAGAGGCACACTCTCAGTCCATGATTGAATTTGTTTAATGGAGTTTTGTCCTCTGCATATCTCAAATTTATGGGATCAATTTTGTCTTGGCTAATATTATTTTTTTTATAGAGAAAACAAGGTGGACAAATTGGAATTAGTCTTGTGGGACAATATGTTGAGCCTTATTCAGATTCAGCAGAAGACAAAGCTGCAGCAAAAAGAATTTTGGATTTTGAACTTGGATGGTTAGTATATTCCACTTTGATCCTAAATTTACTTGCTTGGTACAAATTATGGGCCCTCCCAATTTGGAGGCCCTAGGCGGCCGCCTTACCCGCCTGTGCTCAGGGCCTCCCCTTGCATATTACATATTACTTAGACCGTGTTTCTTATTTAGGTTTGTGGAACCATTAGTGTATGGAGCTTATCCAAGGAGTATGAGCCAGTTGGTCAAGGACAGGCTACCCACCTTCACCGAGAAAGAGACGATGATGATCAACCGGTCCTTCGATTTTATTGGTATCAACTATTATACCAGCAGATATGGCAAAAATGAGCCTGCAAGTTCAGGGAAACCAATTTCCTATAGCAACGATCAATTAGCTTCGTCGTGGACTACAAGTAAACTTTAAATTATCTCACCACTACTGCTTGTTGTGTGAGGGGTTGTGTGTTAATAATAGGTGGTAAGTTTCAAGCCTAACATGGTTTTCTTACTCATGTTGTGTTTGTTGCAGATGTGGATGGAATCCAAATTGGTCCTCTGGTAAGAAAAATTGGATAGTTCTGCAGTTTTGTAACAAAACTTGTTATGTTAATAAATTGGTCAGTTCTTTCCATCTTTCTATATATATAAATGTAGCAAAACTTAGAACTCATTTACGGTGCAGGCTTCAGGAAGCAAGTTCCTCTACAGTTATCCACAAGGTCTGCAGAAACTTCTAGAGTTCATTAAGAAAGAGTACAGAGACCCTAAAATCTACATTACTGAAAATGGAATAACCGAAGAGAAGGACGATAAACTAGGGCTTGATGAAGCACTTAAGGATCCACATAGAATTCAATACATTCTTCAGCATTTGTACTGGATCAAGATGGCAATCAAGTAAGTGACTAACTTATTTACTCTATTAAGTACTGATCAAGATCAACTTGTCAAGAGTTGAATGCAATGCATGTTTGCTTTTGAGAGTTTCTTACATGGAAGATTAACTCAAAAGCTTAAAGATCTTGGGCATCTCCATCCATTGTCAATTGGTTTTGAGTTGGATGCTCCATTTACTTGTCATTTCTGTTTTTGCTGCAGGAGCGGTGTGAATGTCCGAGGATATTTCCACTGGGCTCTATTTGACGACTTTGAATGGGGGAATGGCTATACCACAAGATTCGGGGTTTATTATATCGATCACAAAGACAATCTCAAGCGCATTCCTAAAGCGTCAGCTAAGTGGCTCCCTAAATTCCTAAAGGGTCAGGCTTGATGTATTGAAAATCTTAGACATAATAAAGCTCTAGATGGTTGATCATGCTTCCTTGCATAAAGAGTTACCTATATTATGTTGAGTGGGAGAGAGCTTTAACAAAGACTGCCTTGAAGGTCAAGTGGGGACTTTGAGGTAAATGGGGTGCAGGAATGTTTGTGGTAACTAGTTACAGTAAGCAAGTAGTTTGTTCAGTCAATTCTAGTTTCTTTTCCTGATCCAACACAATTCATATTTAGAGGTAGTAGATGAGATACACATCCCAATTACAAATCTAGTAAAAACTACCAAATTGAGGCACATTCCTTTGTTTATTTAGCCTCAGAAGTATGCTATAAATTGAAAATTACATACTGAAATGGCAATGATTTGGAGTAGCAACAAAATTACAATTTACAACTCAATATTGATGTGATGCAGAATCAAATCTTCGGTCTCCATCCGCTGTGGCCTGGACTTGAACTGCGTACTGTAAGTTCCAAAGGATGTCCTCAAAAGATGGACGGCTTGACTCTGGACAAATACATTTGTTTGTTATAGAGATCACGATCGATAAAGATTCTTGTGAGCAAGTAGCTAGAACAATTGGTTCAACTATTTTCTTCCGGCCGTCTAGGCTATTAAGAGATGCCTGTAAAAAATTGCAGAATTATGATCAATCAATATCCATCTATGGTCAGAAAGAGGGCATGATTGTTGATAGTAGCATATATTAATAAGATCTGCATTAGGCCAGAAATTAATTTACTTGCCATATCATTTTGCATGAAAGCCTCTCTTCTATCAGACTTGGAAGGTCCAACAAGAGCTTCAAGTAATATATATCCAAAGCTATAAGCATCATCCTCTAAACTTGTCATTTGCCTAAACACAATAATTAGAGTCAACCTTGTGGTTAAATTTCAACAATCAAATAACTCACTACGGAAAACATGCAGCAAATACACAGCAAAATATGATGTAAATCTTACCATGATGAAAGGCCATCGTTTGCCTACAAACCAAGAACACAAATCAGAACTACACAATTGCAGGGCCAACCAATCATTTCTTTGTTATGACGAGACGTACCTTAGATTTATCAGTTTCTTCTGCAAGAATGGACAATCCATAGTCACTCAATTTTGCCATGCCATGCTCATTTAGCAAGATATTGTTCGTCTTCAATCGGTTGCAGAAGAAACCAGGAATAATTCCAGTATGTAAGAATTGCACAGCTTTGGCCACACTAATTAGAACTGCCAATCTCTCTGACCAGTCGAGAACCTTTCCAGGACTGTTCCCTACACATACATTGTTGTAATAAAGAAGTTGTTCTCCAAAAAGAATAATATGATGAAAGAAAACTTTCAGGCCAAATCAATTTTGAAGCAAACTGTCTATGAGCTTGACTTGAGTTTGAAAAGATTCCAAGTTTTTTGTCGAATCTAGTTCCCATTCATGTACATGAACTATTTTAACATGATGAAAATATGATAATTTTGTATCTTTAACCATATTAATAATTGCAAGAATCAGCATGCCAAGTGCAGTCCCATGGGCTGCTTTAGTTGAGAATTGAAACATAAGCAAGCAAATATCAGTAATTATATTGGAAAACACATGCAAAATGAGGTGCACATTTCAAATGCACCAAGAAAATATTTCATATTTAGTTTTATAAATTTACCAGAGAGATGAGCACGGAAGTTCCCATTTGGCACATATTCAGATACAAGATAGACCTTGTTTGGACTGTAATCATCTCGTACACTACCGTCGAGGCAGTGCCCTAAGAGGCATACCAAATGCGGATGACGGAGCTTGGCAAGTAGATCCAACCTGAGTTTAATGTTTCGAATTGAGTACTTCTTTGACAATGGCAGGCACCTTATAGAAACTAGAGACCCGTTGTATAGTCTTCCTTTGTAAAGCTGAATGTCAAAGGAAAGAAGCTTATAATGCAGATTGAAGTTTTAATTGTTTGTTGGTTTAGTTAAGCTGGCATCACAATCATTATTTAAAGTGATTGAAAGGGCTCAACTTAGACAGAGATGAAACTATACCTTCCCATATGAACCTTCACCCAAAAAGACAGAGTTGTCAAAGTTGTTGGTAGCTTCCATCAACTCTTCTAAAGCAAATGTCCTGCACACTGGGAGACCTTGTATACCTACATTTGCAGCTTGTGAAATATACCCTGAAGAACATAAAGGAACCAACTTGGCCAGCTTAAATGTTCATCCATTTTTAAATGAGGATCTGTCTACAGAAAATGAGAGAAAAAGAAAAAAGAAAAAAAAGAAATCTACATTCTTGTTAGTGGTTGACCTACTTGCATTTGCTAGAATCTCAGAGGAGAGCCCTACTGCTGAGTTATCTTCCACTGATTTATGCAGTAAATGCTGCTCTGATATCCCCCGAGGGAAATATCTTCTACAGAAAATGATAGAGCTTAAAACCAAAAGCACTGTGAGCACAACTAATCCTAGAATCACACCCACCAAGATCCCTACATCTTTTCCTCCATTTTGTTTTTCCTTTGGGCTCACTTCCTTGCAATATGATAGTTCATGCTGATGCTGCATACCAATGGATAAGCAATTCCCACCAAACTTAACAATTCTCTTTTCTGATTCAGTTCTCAAACAAAAAGGCAACTCACCTGTCAAACTATTATTTGATATATCAATGTAATCAAGTTTGCTTCCACAGATTAGGTGGCCTGGAAGGGAACCACTCAACAAATTTGAAGCCAAGTCCAAGTAACTCATATTGGGCAAAGAGAATAGTGCAGCAAGAGGTGTGCCTCTGATTGCATTGTGTGACATATCAAGGTGTTGAAGCCCACTTAGTGTGCAATATTTCTTAGGAATCTCACCAGAGAAGGAGTTGTTGCTGAGCAAAAGCATGACCAACCCTTTTGGCATTGAGGGTAGCTTAGAATTCAATTTGTTCCCACTCAAATCCAGCACATGTAAGCTGCTTGAGCTACTAAGATCTGGTAATGAACCCTTCAACTGGTTGTTCCTCAAGCTTAGAGTTGTAATATTGGAGAGTGAATCAAACCACTTGGGCATAGTTTCATTTAAAAAATTGTCATCAAATTTAAGAGTTCGAAGCTTCACCATTGCAGAAACCTTGGGTGGAATTGAGCCAAAGAGGTAGTTTGAACTCAAGTCCAGATATTGAAGGGAAGACAACCTATGAATTTTATCTGGAAGTTGACCCCAGATGCCCAAAGACACAAGACTGAGGACTTTCAAACTGTTTAGCCTTGCCAAAGTAGTCACAAAAGAATCCAAAGAGAAGGCCTCTGATAAAGTTTGGTTTGGAATTGAAAACCCATTAAAGTCACTAACTGTTGCTGGCTTATCACCCACAACTCTGAGCTCAGTGACAAGATTGTCCAAGCATGTCATGTGTACTTGTGAAAGTGAAGAAATAGAGCAAAAATCTATGGTGTGATCATTCCAAATTTCCAGTTGCCTTGGGTACTCTAAATGCTTCCTTAGCTGCAGAAGCACTTGGGTCTGAGATGACTGGAGTTGATGAGTACCCAGAAAAAAGAAACTACTTGCAAAACAGCATAGCAGAAATGATCTACAACACCCCATGAAAAATTCCCTTTTCTTAGCAATGCCCATGAAGAAATTGTCTGAAATCTGCACCAAAACAAAAGAAGAACCCAATGCTTAATAAGGCTAAAAATTATTAGTCGAACAGAGTTGAAACAGGGGATGGCTCATTGAAGATGAAACAGAAATACAGTTGTGGAGGTATAGAGAAGCTACAAATAAATCAGGAAACAGAGGAAAAGACCAAAAAAAGCAAGTACCGACAAGCTAAAAGACAAAAGATTCCTCAAGCATTTGAGAAAGTTCCACGCAGCATATGAAGCAGGGCAGAGACAGAGAAAAGGCAGAAGCTTTGAAGTCCCAAGATGATCGCTCAACTTATTTCACTGCATTCGAGCAAAACAAGCAAAACCCACGAAGGAAAAACAAATATTTATTTGAGCAGCATGTGAAATGAATGCAATAATCATTGAAAAAAAAAATGAATTATACCAGAAACTTGCTTTGCTGCTAATAAAGATTTTGTTGTATAAAGAAGTCAGAAAGTGGGGTACCTCAATTTATGGCATTAAAGTTTTCCCACATGGTGTTCTTTCTTGAAGATCAGGGCTCTCTGTCTGCAGCATTAATGGAGTAGGTTTTACTTCTTATACTCTACAAACCAGTCTTCTTGCCCTCTTTCAGCAGCAACTTGAAAACGTAGAAACATCTGTCCGTCACCTTGTTTTTGGCTCATGAAAAGGTTGAGTTCTTAAGTTATTAAGTTTTATAGCTGCATGTGTAATTTTACCTAGCTTTCTGCTCTCTCTCTTTTTCAGTAGGTTGATGACACTACGCAGATGTTTGTGTTCCAACTTGCTCTTTTCTTTTCTCCTTTTGTTCTTTTAATTGCATTATGACTAATCTTTGCAAGGGTAGATTGGTAAAAGGAATGCATGTCCTTGGAACCTGTGGTCGCAACAACTTACCATATAACTTTACAGGCTGTGTACCAAACGATATCAGCAGCAGTCCATTGAAAACACAAGGGCGCAATAATACTAGACTAGTTGCCAGAAGTTTTCTTAGCTATATATTATGATTGGAAAATTATCATATGATGGGATTAGATATGAACAAAAAGCATTGTAAAATCACCTTTCATGTCGGTGTCTACTAAAGTTTAACATTCTTTTGATATTTGTTGTACTTAATATGACTAGGTGCTTCTCTGACTTAGCAGTTATGGATAAAGCAATTTGGGAAGAAATGGAATTATTCGAATTCCCGACTTTTTCACGTTTATTAACACATAAGGAATGAATAAATATGTGGGTCTCATATTAAAATTCATAATCACATGACTTCAAAATTAGGAATCATATCAACTAATGGGGGTCGTTGATCCGATTCCCATTCATGTTCTCCCAAAAATAACCTTACAATTTTAGAATTCCCATTCATGTGCTGATTTAATGGGAATGTCTTCTTCCCATACTAATTCCTATTACTTCTCTCATTCCTAAATTCCATAATTCCTTACTTCGCTCATTCTTAGTAAGTAAACATGTCATAATATCACAACCAAGGGATAAGATATTGACAAGTAGAAGCTCAAATTATGATATAGATTAGCATCTCTTGGCACCACAAAATAAGCCAGCTTCAGATTCAGAGGAAGTGGGACTAAAATGAAATGAACAACTTGCAAGATTGACTAAGTCAATACAACATGAACCACTACATGGCTTTGTTTGCATCTTTTAGAGAGCGAGCTAGCTCCTTCAAGTAAATATATGTGGTATATATAAGGCTCAAAACAACACGCCAGGATTTGCTCTCCCACTGGTCGTAGACGGCTTTAAAGGTCTTTTTCTCTAAAGCAGCTTTGTGTCATAAGCCTACATCATATTTCGAATACCACATGCTTGGTGGGTACCAATTCTATAACCATCAAACATATTCAGTCAATCAAAAGTTACTGGAAAATCTAGAGTAGACATAAATTTCCACATACCACTTAAACAGAAAAGACTTATATATATATATACACGCACACCACTTAAACGGAAAACGTACCCCTTTGCCAACTACCCGGTACACGCCAAGAGAGAGTAGTCGCGCTCACCCACGTGTGTTGATGAATTTTGACATATAATGTATTGCGAGTTATACATGCATGCATCAATAGTTATGATTCACTCATGCATGCGTAGGTGACTGACCGTAGCATGAAAATTCACTTTTTCTATAATAAGCATTCAGTAATTAAAGACGATGACAATATGCATCTTCAAACTTGGCAACATGAGAAGGCACATCATAGCAAGACTGCCAAGGCATTCTTTGGCCAAAGTGATTGGTGCATGCAGGCGTATTTTCTGTTTCCCCTCTAGCCCAAGAAAACACAGCTGATAGATATCATTTTTTCATCATTATGCATTATTAATCAACAGTAGATTCATCGATAAGTAAGATGTGATTAAAAACTAAACCAAAAGTAAAAAAAAGGAAAACCCCACATGAATTTATGTAAGTAAAGTAATTAGGTAAAGTCTAGGCCATGTCATGAGGGCTCCTCTCCATGAAACGACAATGAGTGGAAGAAGAACCGCATCTAGTAGGACATCTTATTATTATGAGACCCCATGTGAAAAGAAAACCATATCTACACAGAGCAGAGCCAGAGCACATCATCTCTGCTGCTGTCCCACCCTCCCATTCCAACTCATCCATAATAATATGAAGCCAATCCTGATCTCATATCAGGTTGCTCAGACTCAGACTGGCCTGGCCTACATTAGGTTTTACAGAGACAGGTAACAACAGCATTTAAAAATGTTATAAATGATATGATCTTACGGAGGTTTTTGGATGGGGATAAATAGTTGCAGGGGCATGGCCATATTAGTGATGACAAAACTGACTATACATATGTATATCATTTTCATAATATAATCTTTCAAGATGGGACCTACCAATTCATGATTTCATAGACCTTTAGCATCAAGGAATGTCTTTACGAAATGAGCATTTGATGAAATTATGATATGATTTATTTACACTAATTAACACCCCTTGACCTTTTCAGTTTTTTCGTAAAATTCCTTTTCATTGATTTTTCGTCTGAAGATTGATATTATATATATATATATATATATATAAATATTTCCAAATGACAAAGTTAGCCTTTGAGATTAGATTGCTATACATTCACTGAGGTTAAATATGTCATTAATTTAACTATAATTAACACCCCTTGAGCTTTTTAGTTTTTTCGTAAAATTCCTTTTCGTTGATTTTTCGTCTAAAGATTGATATTTTATATATATATATAAAATATCCAAATGACAAAATTAACCTTTGAGATTAGATTGCCATACATTCATTGAGGTTAAATATGTCATTAATTTAACTAAATTTTTTATGTATTAAATCATCAATTTTTAGACGAACAACCAATAAAAATGAGTTTTGTGAAATAATTTGAAACCTGAAGAGATCTTCGTGGAATTTTTTAAACCTCACAGAGTGTTAGTGATAAGAGTTATGATATTAAAGGATGACAACATGCCCTAGCTTTTATCATCATCATAACTAAAATAAATAAATAACAGTAGGCCCAGAAGAACCCACTGCCGTCGGGCCCAAGCAATGCTTTGCCAAGAAACTAAGGCCCAACATTGAGACCAAACGGGTTACGGGACTTTTTACAAATTTTACTTGTGCGTCGCACTGGTTTGGCTTCTAAATATTTATGTCACTCGAGTTTTTCGAATTAGCATTGGAGGTTAGATGGGGAAGCACAACATGTTTTACCGTTTCTATTTCCCCCCCTACCTACCAAAGAAAAAAAAAAAAAAAAAAAAAAAAAAAAACCTTTATCATCTTCACAAAATGATAGGATATCAACACTTTATCCTTCATAATCCCTTCAAAATGAAAAATCATTCACCTAAGTGACTTCTACTGTCATTTCCTTCTTACCTTAGATTTAGTGACGTATCTAATCCAATTATATTATAGGCACCAAACAATCCCTATATGCCTATCCAAATATACAAACATAACTTACCAAAAAAAGAAAGAAAACTAAGGGGAATAAGGGGCTTATAACTAGGGTTGTGCAGTTGGACCGCAGATACTAGAAATTGCCATTTTCTGATTGAAATTTCCAGTCAGCAAACCTTTGAATTTTCTGCTCAACAACTGGTTGCGGTTGGACGATAGAGCCAAAATGTTGAGGATGTGGTTGCAGGATACCAAATTCGTCGACAACTGCAACCGAACCGATATAGAGGTCTTCTTCCTCTTCTTTCTCTCTGTTTTTGTTCTCTCTCTCTCTCTCCTCTCTCTCTCTCTCTCTCTCTCTCTCTTGGTTATCTTCTTGAGATATTTAGTCATATACCATTTCTTAGCACTAAAACTATAAATAAATCATACACCATTTAATTTCTATAAACAAACCTAAAAAATGATAGTTGGCACTATTGAATTTAATTTTAATTATTAAATTACTTTGATGCCCCATTGAGTGTTTTGAGTTTTTTTTATGAGGTTTTTGGGTTGAGTTTGTTTTAAGAAAACAATGGTAGTTCTGTAATTTAAAAGAATTTAAAAGCTTTTTTGTTATGTTGTAAATGGGCTTTGGGTGTGTTTCTAAAGTCCATTTTATATAGGTTTATATATATATATATATATAAAATATATAATTTGGGCTCCTATATTGGCTATTATAGTGAATCTCCATATCTTCTTCCTCTTCTCTTTCTCTTTGTCTCGATCTCTCTATATCGACGATGTTGCCACCACTCTCTGTCTCAATCTCTCTCCCTTAACAATGACGTCGCACCAAGTCCATAACC